GCTAAAAAATAGGAGTTATTATTTGAAATAAAAAATTTAATTTTTATGAATCTTTTTGTTCAAATTAAAAAAAAAATATTATCCACCGGTAAACTTGAACTCAGAACATATTGGGCTTGAGCTGATGGCTCATAATCGTGCTACTACTAAACCATTAGATGATATTAATTTTTAAGTTTCATTAATTGGAAAATTAAAGAATAAAATTAAATTCACAATTTATTCTTATGATGTTTATAAATTTTGTTTATTAACTTATCGTAATCAACTATGGTTTAGTTATTACATCTACACCATTTTAAAAGTATTTGAAATTAAAGAATACAATTTGCTTAATTGAGAATCCGTTATATATATTTGATTTTAGATTGCATGTCTGTCTCATGCATCTCAAATTAGTTAATGGTTATTAGATTCATAGAATGCAGCAATTAAAATATTTGGATAATAAATTCACCTTTTTCGTTTGATAATAAATTATCACTATTTTCTAAGAATTATATTGTATAAAATGTATAATTCAATTTAAATAAAGAATTTAATTAATACAATGTACTTCGTAGAGCTGAGGTATTGGAGTTGTCTATCCAACATAATTTTTTATTATATAGTTAATTGGGTAATGCTGATCTAAAACTTTTTTCTTGCAATCCAGTGTTAATTAAAAATACAGTAAGAAGAATTATCAAATAATAGAAAAGTGTTTATATGAACGTGAATTTAAAAATAAATCCACCCAATATTTTACAATTGATGAAATAAAATATTAAATTTTATCCTTCTAAAGATTTTTATATTATGTTATTAAACTTTATTCCAAATTGCAATTTTAAGATTCTGATTTTAAAGAAAAATAATAATCTACTCTTTTTGAAATAATTAATCAAATTTTTCAGAAATTATATATTTTTTTTTAATCTAATTATAAAGATATTATTATTGAATCCTTATGAATACTAGTTAATTTTATTATTTTTGAAGGACAGAAAGTTTTTTCACAAATATTTTTCTTTCTTTGATTCTAAGTAAGAAACTAAACCTTTAATTCCAAAAAACCTCTCACAAAGTAGAACAATAAAGAATATATCTTTTATTTCATGCAACCAAAACAGAGTGGAGAAGTTCTAAGCTAAGTTAACTAATAAATCATTTGAATAATAATGTATATATTTTAATCATTTTAGATGTAATTGTTTTAACTACTTTATATTGTGCTCCATATCATTTAGGTCAAATCTCCATAAATTTAATCCACTATATTTTAAATTTAATAAATATTGGCTATTTACTGATACCATTTCATTTCTTTTATGAAGATATAAAACGTATTTTCCTAGTACTGTTTCATACGCTTCTATTTAATCATATGAAATTGCCACCAATACTTTATCATGTTTAATTAAATAAATATCAATTGAAATCAAAGTGATTGTTGAGGATACTAAATTATTCAAAGTTATCTAAAAAAGAATGCGACTTTTAAGGAATTAAAACCAAAAATAATTACGGATATTATATGTAATTAAAGTATTAATTCAATTTAAAATATATAAAATAAAATTCAAAGTGAAAAGAAAACATTAAAACATAAATCAATTTCCTTTTAGAAATTAAACATTCTTAGGTCCAGTTTGAGTAACTTTATATAAACTCATTAATTAGAATTGTTGTAAGGCAATTCGAATAAGCTTTCATATTGTTGGCTATTTTAATTGATTATTAAACCTTAAGGAGAAAATTCAAATAGTTCCATCTAAGAAATTAGAAGAATGTAGTTTCATATTTTAGAAGTAATTTTACCTTCCTAAAATATACCTTGAAATTAAGGGCTTTTTTTATATAAAGAATAACATTCTTTCAACAAAATACCACGAAACTTTTCAAAGTTTAAGACTAGTATTGATTTCAATTTGAATCATTTATTATCAGTAATTTATATTTTATAGCCGTCCAAATCTGATCTAAACGATGGCAAGGTTTATCAAGCAAGTTTGCAGATACTTTGCTAACTATTTATTCTTTAAATATAGGTAAGAATCGTAATTGGAACAACAATTCAATTTAAAAATTGTCTTTAATATGGTTTTCAAATAATAGTCAGATTTAATGGTATTTTTATTGCTAAAACATTTATAACTATAATTTCTATGTCATATATTCTTAATTTGTTTTACCCCCAAAAGCAGAATCAAATCATTATATATTTTTTTTAGCAATATTATTACAAGAAGTTAAACTAAAATATAAACTATCAAATCCATAATACTAAAGTATATTTTATTATTTTTTCCAATCCATCCTTTCTCCCCTCTTGCAATGTAAAAATGTGAAATCTATTTTTTAATGTATGCATGTCATTTTTCTGTTGTTTAAAAGGTGCAATTCATTATGAACTGCTACTAATAGAATGGATGAAATTACAATGCCTTTAAAAATTACATAACTTATTATTCTTCTAGAGTTCCAATAATCATTTCTAATTATTTTCCTTCAAATTCATCAAGGTCCTTAGTTTGTTGGATAAAACAAAGTAAAATTTAAATATATATAAATAAGGATAATCAAATTTATAAACATAAGTTAATTCATTGAGTTTTAAAAGACTAAATAGTTTTCTCTGAGTTTTTAAATAATTCCTAAATTATTTGTTATAACCTTATTAGTATTATGTTGTTAGCAAAAATCTTATCATGTTAAGAGAATGTTATAATTATTACCAATCTGTGTTTTTTCCTGTTAATTATTAAGTCACTAACCTACCTCATTTCAGATGTAATTATTACATTAAAAAATTACTATTAACTTTTAACATATTTCTTTCTTTTTTTTCATTTAGTTATTTAAATATTTCTGAAAATTAAACTAAAATATTAAATTTTTCATTCCAAAAGCCTTTAAAATTTTTTGCATAATTCGAAAATATGATCAGCAAGTCTTCTGAAAAAAACTATTAGTAAAAGCAAAATTATTTTGAGCGTTACTCTTAATTCTATATCAATTTGATTTTCCAATATTTAAACTTGTTTTTCATAACCATTCCTTTGTTTTTATTATTAAATAATTCTTTTCAAAAGGTATGGTATACGTGATAATTAACAGAGATGATTGCCCTTGAATTTTAACAGTCATTTTCTTTTTAATAATCGCTAAAATAATTCATCCAATCTTTATTTTAAGCTTACCATATTGTTATATACATAAAAAGAGAATGAATTAATTTATTTAAATAAAATTAGTTTAATCATTTATATTAATAATGTAATAAAAAAGGTATGATTCTGTTCGTAAGAATAAATTGTAAGTCCATTAATCATAGCCACTTCAATTATAGTACTCTTCATAGCCTAAATAAGTGCCTAACAAATTTCAAATTGCACAGATTGGGAAGGACATTGCGCCTACAATCATCCCAGCATTTATAGATATGATAAACTAAGAAACTGATGTATACTATCTATTTGACTCATTTCACTCTATTTTAAATTCACTTAAATAAGCAGAAGAAGATACTAATATTACTTAAAAGAATAAATAACACACGCTAGATTGGTGGAAAGTTACAGGATCAAGTTAAAGTTGGACAGGTGTAAGAAATATTCAACCGCTTTCAGAATCTCATATAAAGCAATCATCCCGTTTTCTAGATAGCTATAATAGCAGAGGCTCTGCTATTATTGAAAATCTTAAACGGTAAATAGGAGAGTTGACAGAAGAACAAAAGTTTAAACAAAATTCTCGTACAATTGGGTAGGTTGCGATCAAACTATTTGATGAATAGGAACTCTACGTTGAAATGTCTAAGTAAGGGAGAACTTTGATTACTGTTTATCAAGTGTAAAATAAGTTTCATAAATGTCATATGGGTTTTTGCATATACACTGTTTTAGGAGAATTGCAAGAAAAAGAAAGTATAATCAACAAAATGTATGTGGCTAAGTGGCACAGAAAAAATGGGAACTTTTTAAATCTTGTTACAGAATTTATATAATATATCATCAAAAATGAAGCTGTGAGCAGAATAAAAATAAAAATAAATTCAACACAAGGATAACTTATTAGACACCTACAATAATTAAACTTTAAGTTATCTTCTACTGTACCATTAATCACTTAAATAAAAGTACTAACATTTGTATTACTCTCTAAAGAATTTAAAATTTGAATTTTGAATAGCTAATTTTGTTAATTATTGTTATCTAATTCTTTAATTTTATACTAATCAATTATTTTATTAATTATTTAATCTAGATATTGCCCAATAAAAAAGATTCAGATTAGGACATCCAATTAGAATATTTCAAGGATATATATATCTAATGTTTTATTGGAAATTTGAGAAGAATTAAAAAAGGATAAATCTTTTGAAGTTAAAGAAAATACAAAATAAATATGGTGAAGTGAAAATCATATTCTTTCTTAATAAACAGACTATTAAACTAACTCTTTAGAAAATATTAAAGAGACCATTTTCTTGATGTAGATCCTTAGAATGATCCTCCATTTAGAATAAAAATTACAAGATATTTTGAAGGATTTCAAAAGAAAAATTTGAAGGATTTTCGGAATTTAAATTGTTATTAATCTTAAATCAAATTTTAGCTTCTCATATTCAATTAAATAAATACATATTTGTACTAAGTTACATTAATTCTGGTGTGAAAAATATATGATTACTCATCTACTCTATGTTAAGATATCACCAAACCTTTTTTATCTTCAAATATTCTATTTGACTCAATTTATAATAAATTTGATTGATATTTAATGAATCCAAAGAATGTAAATTAATTGAGATATTTAGATATTTCTTTAATAAAATTCATTGATTTGAAATTTTATAACGCTTAGAAGAATAAAATCTACCTACAAGATTATAAATTATTAAAATATCTCAATAGTTTTGGCATTAACAACACTATGAAGATGTTCAAAATATTTCAGTCTGGTTAAATAAATTATTAATTGTATATTTTTTTTAATTTTAACGACATTAAGAAAATATGAGAGCACAATCTCCCACATAGAAATTTATCCCTACATCAGCAATTACAACAACTAGATTAGTAAGCTCCCCTCACTCAAATATAAGAGATCAAAGAGCTGATTCATAGGTGAATAGTAGAGTAACTAAAATAACTACTTACTCGACAAGGCCAAAAACTACTATAACCACAACCACTACCTTTAGACCAGTCATTGAGACAAGAACAGTAAGGCTATGCACAGACAAGAGATGTCAAGGACATGAATAGCATATCGAATAATTAACACAAGAGAACCAGTAATTGCATCAAAGAGTTTTAGAACTTCAATAGGAAATAGATTAGTATTCTATTTGTTAAAGACAGCATACTAATAATTATTCTTGTGAAATAGATAATATTAAAAAATTATATGAGGAATCATAAATTAATTACAAATCTGAAATTGAATATCTTACTTAAGAGATAACTTAATACAAAACTTAATTCTAACATTCTGATGATTAAGTAAAATACTTAACTTAATAATTGAAAAAATAATCAAATAATGAAAACCTAGAAAATTAAATTGCTTTGCTTACAACTGAAATGGAAAGATTAAACACTGTTATTCTTGAAAAAAATGTAGTTGTAGAACAATTGACCTATAAAATTAATTAATTAGATTCTGAATTATTCAACAAGGAAGAGGTTATTGAAAATTTAGAAATTAATGCATCTAAATTGAAAAAACAATATTAGGAAGCCTGCAACTAGGTTTTTCTTATAAGATCAGAGTTGGATAGATAATTGGATACCATCTAATAGTAAGAAAGAAATATATTCATTTTGAATCAAGACAAATAAGCCATTTGAATAATATAATTTTATTTTAGAACAAAAAGAACAACAATTATAGTAATTAAGAGGTAGTATCTAATTGTTAGAAATGAGATCGTAAGAACAATAAACTACAATTTAGGCATAATATAAGGAAATTGATAATCTCATGCTTAGGTAGGACTCAGCTAATTAGTAAATTGATTATTATCAAACAGAATCTGATGAACTTCAAAAGTATCGAAATATTTTGTAGAATGAATTAGAAATGTCTAAATAAGAAAACACAAAATTATAAGAATAAATTAATAAATTAAAACAATAATCCACAGATTTAAATAAAACAATCGAGAAATTAAAATTAGATCTTAATTAATAACTAAGTTCTATATAACAAGATTTTAACTTTGAACTTTAATCAAAGAATGATGAATTGGAACAAAATAAATCCTAATATTAATAGGAGTTATCGGTGATTGCTAAAAAATTTTAAGAAGAAAACTATTAACTTAGAATTAATAATGAAGATTTGGAAAATGAGTTAAATTAATTAAATAACATCAACTAAATGCTGTAGAGTACTGTTGATGACAAAATAAATGAAATCTCAAATTTGAAAAATGGATACCATTAGTTAAATAGTGAATATAATACATTCAAAATGAAACTTTAAGAAGAAAACCACAAACTAAAATTAGAAGTAGAAGATGCATTAATTACTATTAATTAACTCTAACAAAAAAAGAATTAATTAGAATCTACAATCATTGAATTAAATCATATTATACAATCATTGTAACAACAAATTACATAGAATTAAACTGAGTTAAACACATTAAAGTATAAATCTGGAGAGGAATATTCTACTTTAAGGATTCAAATTGAATAACTTGATTAAAATAACATTTAATTATAGACCATAAGATCAAGATTATAAAAGGATTATGAAGAAAAGTTAAATGAATTTAAAGATTTACAAGATAAGTTCAATTAATACAAATTAACTACCCAATAAACAATTAAAGATTTGGAGAAAAAAATATATGAATACGAAGAGAAATTATCCTTATTGTCATCAGAAATTCAAAGAATGCTCTTCTAAATCAATCAAAAGAATGACTTAATCTAAGAATAGACTACAATGTTAGATGAATATTAGAGAGAAATCAAATTGTTGCAATTATAATTATAAGAAAACTAATTAGAAGCTGAAGAATAATAGAAGAAATTAGAAAGTTAAATGAATGAAGCCTTAAACCAACAACGAGAGAAGCTATTTCGATTTGAGAGTGAGAATCTTTCTTTTAAGTCTTTTATTGAAGAGCAAAATCACGTGATTGAGACATTGTCAAAATAAATAGATGGAATGACTGGTGATTTAAAATATCAATAATAATTGGATGAAGAATTGTAAAAGAAAAATTCATTCCTAACTAAATAATTATAGGATTTACAATCAGAGTTTTGTGAAACTTAATTTAAGATCGATCATTTATTAGTTGAAAACAAGGCTCTTAGATAAGAGCTTGAAATTAGAATAGACACAGAGTCAGAACTTAAATTTAAATTAGATAAGCTTATTGAAGAATTAGCAAAGAAATAATAATAAATAAATGAGTTTGAATAAAGAACTAGAGAATATGAAACAAACCAATAAAATGAGGTAGTTTAATTTGAAGAAAAAATAACCTATTATTAAAATGAAGTTGAAACTTGGAAAAAGAAATTTATAATTTTAAATAAAGATTATCATAAAACATAAGAAGATTTAATGATGGTTCAAGCCGAGTTTGATGCATTCAAGCAAAGAGGGAACCCAATAGTAGTTAGAGTAATTAAATATTTTAATAATCTAGGAATCAACAAGTTTTGAGGTTCGTAAGTCATCATTATATAAAGAAAATATTGTAACTACTAAATCAAGTCAAGTCAGCTAGTCCAGTCAACTTATTGTTAAACCTTTGAAGGAAGTTAATATTTGAGAATATATATATATACTATTAAAGTTATTGAATTTTCTTTGAGGAATTGATAAAAGCAATTAATAATAATTATTCTTTATTAATAATAATTATTTCATTTCTCATTAGGGCTTTTCTAAGTATTCTGCAAACAAATCAGTATCATTATTATTATTCTCTTCATTGCTTACATTATTCATTTTTGCGAATTGCATGGGAGCCAATTTATTATCCAAAATGCTAAGATATTCATAATTAAGTTTACTTGAAGCATCTTATATCCTCAACTAGAATCTGAATAGCTAAAATTAAAGCAAATAATGAGAACGATATTAATACTTTGAAAGTGCCCATAATGTTTCTGTTCACAACATCTAATAAAAAAGGCATAAACACGAAAATTAGATTTTAAAATCCTACTGTGAGGCCAAAAGCTTTGCCAAATGATTTCAATTTGATTATGTAGATAATTGCACTCCATGTGCAAACAAATGATAAACAATAACCAACTGCTAAAATAATTAGACCTATGTGAGGAGAGGTTAAGTACTAGATGTGGCCAATAATGATAATGATAACAGAAACAATGATTAAGTACCTTCTATAAGTAAAATATTAAACCAAAGGGCCAATGATGAATAGGGATAAACAGCCTAACATCCAAAATAATGCAATATCTAATTCTTCGATTTGATTATTAGTATCAAATAATACAGATGCCATAATATATATTGATACGTTCACAAGTGTGACGATTGAACAAAAAAACATTGAGTTAAAGGCTAAAAGTAGCCAAAACATTTAGGGAAATATCTTAAAATCTTTGAACTTAAAGAAATAGAGTTTATTAATTATTTTTGTATCTTCAGTTAGTATGATATCACTGCTGGGTTGAAGTTGTCTATAAGAGGATAAATAATTTTCATTTTCTAATTTCTTGTCTATTAGAAAGCCAAGACATAATAAAATGTAGCCAACTAATATAAAAACTATCCCACTCATCAAGGATATCATCAAATTATATTGTTTTTAAATAATTGGAGTTAGATATATAGATAGTACTAAACCGATTTATGAAAATAGTTGCAATATACTCAGAACTATTGACTATATACATAATTGAAGCTTACAATACTATTCTTAAAAAATGGGGCCAAAAAAGATGACCATAATGGTAACAATGACTCAATACCGCAACCTAAAAGTAGCCTACCTAAAATCATTAATAAAAACGATTTAAAATAGACTCCTATAGTAAAGGTCAGTTATCCCATTATCATAATAGCTATAATAGATTATAAAATTTACACCTACAATATATGTCATAATCATTCTGTCACCATGACAATCTCTCATGCCACCAGTGAAAAGAGGAAAGAAGGCATTCCCAAAAGCATAAATGATGTAGAGAGATGCAAAATACAAGTCAAAATTAATGGTTTAATCTTCTTGAAATAATTATTATAGAGTTTTATATATTGCCACTGGTTAGTCGAAGCAATAAAACGAAGGAATAATGATCCAGATAGACAAAAACAAAACTAAGTATCTTAAGATGGATTATTATTTCATATGTATTCCATTATTTTATACAGTTTTATCTATGAGTTTTGTTTTGCTAAAATTGTTGCTTTAATCAATATAGCTTTCTATAAACTCTGTATGTTATGCATTCATAATTTCCTATATTGAAAATAAAAACGTATATAAAATAAATATTAATTAAAATTAATATGGAAACTTTAATTGAGAAAAAAAATTGCTTACAACCATACTAAGAATTGACCATTTGCATAAAGCAAGCTGCATAACAATCAAACCCCAATAAAAGACCATCATATACATCTATCTGTTAAGTAATAAAAAATATATTCTTAGCAATCATTTTAGAAATTGGGTTAGTGTGTTGTAAAAGAGGAGAAATGATTTTTAGAAATTTATATATGGAAATAATTATTTTCAATATTGCTATTGTTAATACTTTGATCTTTTGGAATTCTATTTTCTATTTTAAGATAACACCATCTAATCAGCACTTTCTTTTGACAATTCTTCTTTCGTATGTCTCGATTCAGCCAGAGTTTTTCTCTTCTCAACTAAAAAATAATAAATGGTAGTTACCTTCTGTTAAAATAATGTCTAAATCGATTTAATGATCGGTTTATGATTTTAATTCTGTATGCTACTTGGTACCAGATATTTCACTCTTATCATCATCGAATTTAACTGCACCTTTCTTTTATTTCTTTTGATCTTATTTAGGAATGTATTAATTTGAAACTAATAAAATATTGTCTATTATTTTTTCTAATTATTCTATTTTTGGTAATAGAGTTGTCTCATCATCATCATCATTAATAATATCGACTCCTATCTATTCTTGAATCCTCATATATTGTTGTTATATTTAAGAGATTTGCTTTTTATTTTAATCAATTCCTCTAGAAATCCTTTCAATCTTGGAATCTTCCAAATTCACCTATTCTTTGATCGGAGCTTTTGCCATTTATTTAAACTTTTGTAAGTACTACTAGATTTTCTCATTCTTTTATTCAGTTTGTTCAATCTATAAAAATAACAATAATCTTACCTCCTAATTGATCTCATTGATTTCTTTATAGATTTCATCAATCCAAATTTCTTAGTTGTAATATTATTTCAATATTGCATCTACATTATTGAATCCAGTTTCCAAATACAGTTTATTAAATTAAGCCTCATATTCAAGGACTTACTAAGCAACATCTTTCTATTCTTATTATGATTCGCTTCTTTCTTTTAATATTGGTTTTGACTAATCACCCTATTCTGTTAGGTAGGGTCCTTAAACCTAAGATTTTTAATCAGATGCCATGCTTTATTGCTCTTATTAATCATCCTTTTATGGTTTGAATAATGCTTCATATTCTTGCTGGAATTTATTTTGTTCTTTATCAGCTAATTCCTTAATTAACTTCAGTTAGTCTTAAAGAAATTTTTACTATAATTTATATTGGTTTGAGTTACCTCTTCTTTGAGTAATTCGTTTTATCTAATACAATTTTAATATTCTCTTTGTTTAAAAATGGCATCTTTTTCGATTCCTTTAAACACTGTTGAATAAATGACTCTTTCCCTCCTGCTGAGATTCAATTATTCTTTTTCTGCTTCGACTTCTGCCAATTACTCATTGTGTTTAATGTGAATCTATTACAGTTTCAATTCTGCATCTCGAACTGCCTATCAGTTAAAATAGTGATTTAACCTTTTAAACTTGAGTCAACTCGCTACCAGAATTAGTATTTTCAATTTTTGAGATGTCTTTTGCACTAGTTTTCATTGCATTTACTAAATTCTCTAAGTCTTACTAAAAAATTAAGTGATGTTGTACCTTCTTTTTCGTTTCAATTTCGATTTTTTAAGCTATCAAAGCGCATTCTTCCTGAGCCTTAATCACACTCAAGGCGATTTGAGTATCTACAACTGTATTTTTTTATTTTTAATTGATTAATTAATCTGTGTATTCAGAATTATCAATTTTCATTTAAGAAATGAGAGATCTAGTTCAAGGTTAAGAATACCTATTCTGAGTTGTGATCTATTGAAAATCAGATTTGGCCTTTTGAATGGATGTGTTTAGAGTTGAAATGGTTTAGCTTTGATTCATTTAATTATTATATATTATTAACATTTTATAGGGGTAATACAATACTTGATAAATCGTAAATAAAATTAATTAAAAATATCATATGCTTCTTTCGACATCAAAATTAACGACTTCCAAACTTAATAAATCCTAACTATCAAGTCCATAGAGATCAACCATTAACTATTTGAGTTAAGATCTCGATTCCCCATCTAGATAGAGAATTAAATTGCTGTCAGATAAATGGAATCATATTCAAAATGGAATTGATAAAGATAAGGTCGAAAAAAGAGAAGTGTTGGAAGAAAGAATCAAAATCATAGAAGACGTGCTTGCATCTGAAAAACCCAAGGATGAATAAAAATTCAAAGTCATTAAGGATTCAGTCTTGAAACTATAAGATTAAGCACATAATCAAAAATCAGAAAGAGAAGTATTTGATTGAAACCATATTCTCTAGGCATTTGACGACAAGAAGGAGAAAGATTTTAGAACATTATCAGATAACATTGCACTCTCCTTCGAATAGGAAAGAAATATTAGAGGACAGGGAGAAACAAAGTTATAAAAGCAAATTGATGAACGTTTTGCCTAGATAACCTTAACAATCACTAGAAACACTCATCAATATGAGGATAGAAGCCAGGCTAAAATTTCTGAAGTTCTTTAATAAATTTAGGTTGTTAAAAATTAATTAGATTAAGAAAGAAGATCAAGGTATTTTATCATGCATATGAAAATAGGGAGGAATCAGCTGAGTCATTATCTGAATAAATTGATAGTGAGATTAACAAGTTCTCAGATTAATTACTTGTCGAAAAGAAAGTAAGGGAAGAGACTCAAGGAAAAATATTCAGAATGATTGAAGATGTACATGGCAAATTACAATAAGATATCAATTTTGAAAGAAGGGAAAGAGAAGCAACTACTGAAGCATTACTAAAATTATTAGAGGATGCATGCATTAAAATAGATAAGAATTTCAGATCATTTTGATATATAAATAAATTATAAATTGGAATCTGCATAAAATTACCAAAAAATTTGAATAAAATATAAATCAACTGCTTACCATTCTTTAAACCTTGTTATTTTGAATTTATGATTGTTAATACTGCTTTTCCAATAGTTGATTATGGGATGCAAAAGAAATAACAGTTTTTTTATTTATAATTTTATTAAATGGGATTCTCGATTTTGGAATATTCTATGGTTGATTCAATAAGGAATTGATAGAATTATTGATTGATTTGTTTAGGTTTATTTGAGATGTATTGGAGCTATGAAATTTGAGTTCTTTTTTATAAAAATAGTTTCTGCTTACTGTCTTAGGAGCCTTTCTTGTTTGCGAAGTTCTTTCTTGCTATTCTTATTGCCTAATAAATTGTTGATTTAAATTAGTATTTTAGGTAGTTTCATCATTTTACATTCTATTAAGACCATACATCATTTTCAAAGTTATTTTCTCTTAAATAATAAATATTATTTTACTTCGAAGTATTCTTTGGAAGATTGAAAATTAGACAATTTTGATCTTTCAAATTTGTTTCTATTAGGGTAGCATTGGACAAAAAAACCAACATTAGTTTTCTCCTATTTAATATGGTTAGTTTGAGTTTCCTCTTGTTTAGTTGTGATTAAAGAATTCTCTTTTGGTTTAGGTGACCTGAGTTATTTGAATAATTGTGTTCTGCTTCTAGATTCTTAGTGGATTGATGCAGATTTCACTATTTTTTCATCGAGTGGCAATTAGGTTTACTTTATAATTTCTTAAGAAAACCTTCTCCCCGATTGCATTTAAGCAATTTACATATTGGACCCTATTATCTTATCTGATTGATGTTCAGAGACTGATTTGCCTAATTTCAATGAGGATATTCTTTAAAGTTCTTAATGTATGCTACCTCCATATTTATGCCATGGACCCAAATTCTCCATATCATTAAAAGTGAAAGAGTCTTGAGAATTTAAGATTAGATGTACCATCTCTACTTAAACATTCGAATATCTCAGCTTCTTTACTTTCTTTCGACTTTAACATAATTTAATTAAATGGGTAATATTGTTTCTTCTAACAGTAACAATTCAAATACTGAATAGCCAAATAGAAGGAAACCAAGAATTTTTGGAGAAAAAGAAAACAACGAACCAAGAAGCTTAATCAAATTTAAACAAGAAGATTAATCTGACGCTGAATCAGAAATAGTTCCAATTCAAATTCCTGAGATCTCACGAGAAATGACTCCACAGAAATAAGAGGACATTTACAAAGTGATAGTCCCATCTCCCAGAAGCGATCTAGGATCAGAGATTGAATAATTATGGAATAAAGCAGTTCAAGAGCAATCATGTTAATTGGCAAAAAAAATTATAACTACCTATCTGGAAGACGGAACAATGTACAATGGAGAATGGTTTAAAGGAACTATGCATGGCAATGGAACGTTGAGTAGAGAAGGACTTCTCCTATATGAGGGCGAATGGAAACTTGGAAAAAAGAGTGGAAATGGAGTTGAATACTACACGAGGAGAACTTATGATAAAATTATACCAGCCTGTTAGATATCAGATAAACAATATTGGAAGGTTTATAATGGCACATTTGAAGACAATAAAATTCATGGGGAAGGTATTTTGGAATTAATAAATGGTTCTTGTGTGTTTGGAGAATTTGCAAATGGACAGTTGCATGGATAGTTGACTTATGAATGCATAATAAGCAAATAAATAGTAAAGGGAGTTTGGAATTAAGGATAGTATTTTAAATTATGATTAAAATTTATATTAAAAGTCTCTACAGATTCTCATCATAAGCCAAGTGTCTTTATAAAACATTGAATGTTTCAACTGATGCTACCTAAGAAGATATTAAGGCATCCTTTTTTGAATTGGCTAAAAAGTATCATCCAGATTCAAATCCAGAGACCTCAATAGATCCAGAGAAATTCAGAGAAATCTAATAGGCTTATTCAACATTGTCCAATCCAGAAAAAAGGAAATATTACGATTAAGAAAATGGTATTTATCATCATATCATCATCTCAAGGGATTATTGGACAATAGTTCTAAGGGAATCCAACTTTTGGAGAGTAAGAAGATGTATACTAAAGGTGGGCAAAAGTGAATAGAGAGCATATTAAATAAAATGAAGGTTTGAAACTAAAACCTAACTATTTTAGCCGAATATTCAGATTACTTTGAGAAATAGTATTTCAGAAATCCTGACTACTTTAAACGCAAGGTAGATGAAGATAGTCCTTGGAACATGTCTTATAACCTTTACAAAAAGCATTACGACATTAAAAAAGAAAAGGCAGAGTATGTGCTACATGTTCCCACAGAGACCATATCTTATTGGGAGAAAAAATCAGATTTAAAAGAGTAATTATAATTTCTAATTTAAAAGGAGGACTATTGAGTAGAAAGCTGAAGATTTAAAAAGTGGCAAATCATTGTACATTGGTTTATTTGTAACCATGATCATCGGAGGAATTTATTATGTCTACCAAGATTAGAATTAAAATAAATAGAGAGTCTCTTAAACAGGTAGAGTAAAGGAGGGTTCAGGGTATAAGGTGAAGGCTCTTCCTTTGAACATTGTTTGAGAAATTATATATAAATATCTTTCATACTTAGTTAATATAATATTTCATTTATAAATTATCAATTGCAGCATGGAAAAATAACTTTTAGTTGCTTAATAAAGGGCTGTTCAAATCAAGGGAGACAGATATGGTGTGGAATTTTAGTATGAAATAAATGGTAAGATTTTTAAATAGAAAACTGGCTTTGGTTTTAAAACAATCGGAGATTTAATGAGCATTATTCTAAAAAATGAGATTGCTTAAAATCTCTGTCCATTCAATTCATAAAATGATTTATTAGGCTATGATATGTTGCTTGCTGAAGTGAAACATATTTCAATTAAGCCAGTAGATGAATGTATTTCATTTTTTTTATTCTAATAGAGGATATGATATTTGTGCATTTTATTGTTAACAATACCTCTTAATCTTTCCTTTTTAATAAAAAATAAATCACTGTTAAGAATGTATTAATAAATTTTGATTTTAGGCTATTTCTGAATATAATAAGGATAAAGAGAGCGCACTCAAAATTGATAATTACAAATAATACGAAATAATGGGGAAATAGATTAATGAAGGAAATATCAATAAGTTCTTGTGTGAAATGATAAGTGGAGAACAAGGATATATTAAATAGTTTGTTTAATGAAATTTTATGTTTGCATAATTAATTAAATTAAAAATAACAGTCAATGTTGAAAAAGGAAGAAATATGGCAATCGATTAAGATGTTTCAAAAGTAGAGTAAAAGAGAATTAGATTAAACGAGGGAATCAGAAGATTAATCATCATTTATTTCTGATAATGAAAAAGAAAATTTATTTAAAAATAAATAGCAATCTTGTTAATGCAAATAATAATTGTTGTCATTGAAGAAAGAATGTATGCTTTAAATAAGGGAATTAAAAGCTCAACATCAAATTGAGATGGAAAATCTTTAAAATCAATTCTAAAAAATAATCATCGAATAAAAATAATAATATGAATAAGAAATATCACAGCTAAAGGAAGATCTTGAATTTTACATTGGTGAATAAAATGACAAAGAATTGATGTAACTAATCGAATAGGAATAGTAGAAAGATAAAGAAATATTTTAGCAACAATTAGAATTTTAAATTACAGAGAAATTAAAATTGGAATAAAAGTTTATGTAAATATTCTAAATATTCAAGTCTTTGTTAGAAAGAATTAAAATAGTATAAAGAATAAGCCTAGTATTTTTAGACAACTCAGTAGAATTAGCAAATTTAATAGTTATAGTAAAGTGTACATAAAAATTGTGCCCCCCAATTATTTAGAGATACTAATAGGAAGGTGAAATTATAGACTGAAGGGATAGATAGATCGATTGTAAACGATGATAATAGCAATAGGGTGGGAATTTGTAATTCAATCAAGAATTTTAATGCAACTATTAAGCATATGGAAAAATCTCAACAATCTTAATGTTGATTAATTATTTATTTTATATAATTGCAATTAATTTTATATATAGATAATTAAAACAAAATAGTGAAAGGGTTTTTATCTTCTGACATTGTAATAATTAATGGGATGATTAAGAATGAATTGAAGGTAGATTTAATTAGGCTTAGCATTAAATTTAAAAAAGAAAATATGTACTTGTATTGATAATCATTTAAAAATAGATATTGCATATTTGAAATGTTATATATTAGACAATTTCTACTGGATCTTATTAATTGAATTTACTTCACTTATTAAAAAACCCTTAAATTAAGATGTTATTAAAAATACAGGTTTAAAGTTGGGAATGAGTTGAATTTCTAAAAATCACATATAAATATGACCAATTATATAATGAATATGATAATTATCATGCTTATTCTTAACCAACTTATAATTCAAGTTCTGCTATTCTTCTCTACAATCCGAGCAATTATTGTTATAACGCAGTTTTTTCACCTTTTAAGGCTGTTATTTGTTATTAAAGTCTAGAATTTTCAGCTTTTTAATGTGCAAAATGTCTAAATTGAAGATTGAGTAAAATACCTTTTCATTTCCTCTTCAATCCTCATTAATTCATTTGTGAGTGTTTTTTTCACATCTTATGTTTTCATACTTAAGACAGATTCTAGAGTGTCTTTTTCAGATTTCAATATTTAGACCTCTTTTTTATGAAAATTCATTTCGTCTTGAATCCCTTTGATTGTTTCCTTACATAAATGATTTCTATACTTCTAAGCTCATTAATTTTCCTTTGAGTGATGCAGGATTTTATGAACCTGCAAAACTTTAACCTGTTTATCCAAGATCGCCTTTTGTTAGGTTATTGCCAGCTGATTTAAAAGCATTACTCATTAAATTATATAAATAAATAATATTTTTGAGATGAAAGAATTACATTTTATACTTTAACTGTATCTTCATTAAGCACCAAGGTCATTTATACATTAAAATATCTTAATTTATGACATTAATTGAAATTTCTAATAGTATTTAAAGATGCACAAATGTACTGAAGCTTAGAATCAATAGAAATCCAAAACAGATTGAATAATTTACATTTCAAGGTAAAATTTAGAGATTTTAAATATGCCATCATTTATTTATGTCTTTTCTCTTATTTCAATGAGATATTTTGATAAATTAAGATTTAGATAAGTCAGGAATACAATTAAATTATTATTTTTGAATAAATAAATAAATTCTATCTTATCTTTAAAAAACCATCCATTCATTTCTAAATTATGATAGATAATGGATATTTAATTGCATTAAATAGAACAACATGCTGATTATGGTAGGCATCATTGAAAATGATTCAGCCTGAATTCTATTCGTTTTGAATCAATACTTATCTTGATAGTAAAATTCGATCAACAGCGACCAATAAAATCAAAAAACATTAATCTCCTACTTTAGACCATCAAATAATCATAATTACATAGAAGAATAATAAAAGGGATTATAATTTTATGAATTTTATTAAGTTTATAAGGATTGTTGACAGCATAGGCCAATAAAATAAATATTTTCAAACAAAAACTGTAAGGATTTCTTACAAAATAGAAGGTCTCATTTTAAATCTAATTCTCCTATTATAAATCAACCCCTTTCTCAGAAACCCTAAAAGATCATTGTTTCATGATTACTCTTATTATCTCTACTATTAGATTCTGAAATTAATATTTAATCCATAATTTCTAATCTCCTTTATTCCTTTATTCCAGCTTTAGTAATCTATTTTATGAATTTTAAGATAACATAGTAAGAAACATAAATTTATCTTAATTAATTATGTCACTATTTAATAATATTTCAATTTTCAAGCAGTTTGCGCTTGAGTTATCCCAATTTGGATGAAATTAAATCAACTGCCACAACAACTACTCTTTTTTATTTAATTCTATTTTATTTGATGTTAAATACCTGTTCTATGTATCTGTTTCATATTCTGTGTTTTTTAGTCTACAATCTGTTTATCTATTTTCTAATTCTTTTGTTTTGATAGCTACTTTTTAATCTACTTCGAATTTCTCATTTGCTCCTTATGTAATTCTTGTAGATAAGGAGGCAACCAAACCTAGATTTAAGTTATTATTAAAACCTTCCATATATGTCTTGTCTTAATTGGCCTAAACAAGTTGATCGGATAAAAGAGTCTTAAGGAGGTCGAAATTGCTGGATCTAAGAGCTTCTGCTTAATCCTCTCTGATTCTTTCAGATTAAATGTAATTTTCAATTTATTTTAATATTGAAAGCACTTTCCTTGTTAAAACTTCAGCCTAAGATGGATCATCAGATGCCTTCAAAGCCATTTCACTCATTATCTCAAGCATAGAAGCATAACCTTCTAGTTGAACCTAAATTATTAATTAGATTAAGATATACATGATGTTTTATTTTATTGACTTTTTAAGCAACTTAAGCCAAAGATGTGAGTGATCTCGATTCTGTGTCATCTTGTTCGGATTCTTCATATTTGAAACTATAAGATTCTTCTAAAAATGAGGGCTTTTCAAATCTTTTTCTATTTTTCACAAGAATGTCTAAGTAACTATTGAAGTATCCTTTGACTTAATTAACTCCGAATAAGGATTATTCTAAATTATCCAAAATAGTTTCATAGGCTGCAGTCTCAGTTTCTCTCTTGTGAGATTAATATTGCAACTCAGCCTTTAATTCAGTAATTTCGTTATTTTTACGTTCCAAGCTGGCAACAGCTTAGACTTTTTAAGGATTCAAGGAATCAAGTTGACTCTTGAGACCAAGTGATGCAATAGTATTTTGATTAATTTAATTTTTGAGTGTTGTGATGTCGATGTCACAATTTTATCTAATCCTAACTATGCGATCATCGTCTCTTTACTATTCATTTTCAAGAGTTGTTTCAATTCCTTATATCATATTAATAAGATTGGACACAACTGGGTCTTCAGTTTGTAGCTCCATCATAATAGTTTGAAGAATTGTTTGTCCAAAATTAGAGCTTTATAATTCTTCAATCTAATGGTCAAAGTCCATCGTTAAGCATCCTAAAACTAGGAGAGACAATAAAATTGATATTTTCATATATTTATATATATATTAAAATCCGTTTTTATTTATTGGTATTAATATTTTTCAGAATCTTATGCGTTGAATATAGCTTTTAGTTTCCATGTCGAATCTTGTTTCAAAGATATCTATGCATTCAACAATAATCTCAAGTTGACCATTTCTATAAATAAATTAATTTTGCTACCTTGAATCAGTTTATTGTCTGTGTGCCTTTTCAGTGTCACTGCAAGTTTGATCCCAATCACCCTTTTCAGTTTATTTATTATTAATAACCTATAATTATATGATATTCATTACAGCATCTTAAGTGGAAACGTCATTTCTAACTTCTAAGATCTTTTATCCTAAGACTTCGTAACGAGCATTCAAATCAGCAATGCTTCCTGCCAATCTTCTATTAGCCAAAAGTAATCTTTCCTTTTAGGTCTAAAAATCTAATTCTCTTCCGTCATCTGCTTTCATCTCTTCTTTTTAGACTTGGAATATGCTATCAACAAGAGTGTCAATAATTTTGACTACTTTTTATGCTGCACTTTCTTATGTTCCTTCATCTTGTAATACTTCCAATAACATGTTGACCATAGTATGGAATCCCTTTTTGTGAGGATAATATTTCAAGAAGTTTTAGTGATGACTCTTCAATTCAGCAAAACTGCTCTTCTTTAATGCTGTAATACCTTAAGATAAGATTTATTTTGCTTCTTATAATGCAGAAATCAATCCTACTAATTCATCTCTTCTTTATTCATATTCACCCTATTAAATTATTAACAAATATAAATTACTCTTTAAACATTACGAGCTTCTTGCAATACACTAATTCTATCTAAATTTCTTTATTCTTCCCCTTGCTTGTCAAATAATTGCTATTTCTTATCATTTTGTTCTTATTGTAAAAGAGGTAATCTATCTTCTGCTGTTGCTTTTCTTTCCTTTGCAACTGTAATCACTGCAGCTGCGGCTTCAGAGGCTGTTTAACAACTTTACAATGACCCTTACAAATCTTCATCTTCAGCTCTCTATTCGTTGAGTAGATCATCCTTCATTTGTTTAAGGAGATGCACAACTGTATCAGCAGGATGCTCTTGGAGCAATTATACTTGTAATGTTTATATAATGGTTTTTCCAAATTCAGAATCTCTTAATTAAGCAAAGAAATATTCGTCTCTTGCTAGAGCTACTCCCACTAGCACAATCAATACGATTATTTTCATTTTTATTGTAATAATTATTAAAAAACGAATATATGAAGTAAAATTAATTACAAATAATCACTCAATACCATGACTTTTAATAATTAACTTATGTAACTTCATCTCCTGGTATTAAAGATGATGTCAAATTGATTATCAATTTCATTTTAGATTGGTTTAACTTTAGAATCGCTTCTCTTCTCTACAAGTGTGGAGGGGTTTTAAACATGCTCAATGTTCTCTTGGTTTTTTAAGTACATAAAGAATACTCCAATATATAGTGTTTATCATTAAGCATTGATAGTGGTCATTTCAAAAACATATTCTTAAGTAATTAATCTTGAATTGAATTTCATATCGTATAATATATGATCAACAGTAAAGTGTATTATATTAGATTAAAGTTAAATTACATGATAATCCCAAATATTTTTGGTAATTAATAAATTTTGGAGGACAAATATTTTATTTTGGGAAACCATTCTAAAAGAATAAGTTGTTTATTCTTACATAACAGTTAAACCAATAATAGAGGAAATGAAAAATTAGTATAAATAATAGAAGAAATTGTATAATTGTTTATTTTTTATGGAATAACACTTCAAAAACCAAAATTGTTAACGTTCATCATTCTCTTTATAAATTGAAATTTAATACATTAAAAAGTAAATGAATAAAATATAATTTCTAAATTAATATTAAAATACAGGTTTCTCATCTCCCTAAACTACTTTTTAAGTAAGAAGTAAAATCCCTACAATTCCATTTATCTAGAAATAGCTTCCACACATTTCCAAATACACTGTATTTTTTGTGCAAAACTTTTTTTAGAGTATATTTTAATCTAGCATTATCTTTGTTTTCTGCTTAACTTCCTTCATAAACTTTGAACTTATGCGAATTTGAACTTATTTTTTTATCATGCAAATCTTAATAATAGGCGTCGAGTTAATCAAAATTATCAAAATATCTCCCTCTAATACCATCTGTTTGTAAATGAAGTACAACATATGAAAGGAATTGGGTATTCTCAAATACTTATTCAATTTTTAACACTCCTTTATAATAAAACTTCCTCATGTCTCCAGTTAAATAAACCAAGATAGCATACTGATGCCCAATAGGAAATTCTTCAAGATATTTTATATTTAGAGGAGTTTCTACTTAAACTAATTTAATCAACACCTTATAGTTTAAGTTTTCAGCTATCTCATTAATGAGATCTTCATCTAAATGAACGCACTGTTCAACAACCTATTATCTTGTTCCTTAAGACCTAAATTAAGAATTGCTTTAACAAACACTGTATGACATAGATTATACATTTATTGTTGGGCTTATAATTTAAAGTAAAGTCTTAATTCTATTAGAATTGTAAAAATTATTATTTTAAAAAAGAAATAAATATGTTTTTACAATGATGTCCATAAGTGACTTATAATTCACTTTTATTCTAATTAATATAAACCATAGAAAGACCAAATTGGTTATAAATTGTTTCTAAATTCAAGTTATTTCACTTTTAGATTTTTACTTTACTCCCTTTGTTTTTTAATTCTCTTTTCTCATATAACTAATTTATTGATAGATGAATATTGAATTATTAGGTTAAATTTATGAATTTAATAATAATTTTATGTAATTTAATATAAACAATAACATATAATTGAATTTTCTTAATATAAAATTAGTTAAAATGAGTTTGGAATAGATTCAACAGCACATAAATCAAATAAAAACAAGTCATCAGATGCCAAATAAGGAATTTCAAAATACTTTCAAACTTTTTGAGAGTTATGTTACTTCCTTAGATAAGAATAATTAAGAATAATTGAATCAAGTTTTTAAGGCTTTGAAGAGATTTCGAAGTAGATTAGAAATTAATTGATACTTAATTAAACTGATTATCACACAAATATAAAAAAATGGAATAATACATATGTCTTCTTGTATGATGTGAAATTGGATTTTAGTAAAAAGATATCAAAACTAACAAACAGCATATAGTATATTAAGAATATGAGGATTTAATCAATGTCAGTTTTAATCATCATCATTATACAAGCAAGGAAATGTTAAAAGCTTCAATAATGATATTTCATGATTTGGAAGTAATTTAGCTGGGTTAAATGCTATGCGAATTACAATAATTTAGAGAACCTATTGACCAAAATTAATTTAAATTATAACATCTTTTCTTATCATAACTTAACTCGCGCATTCGCTTTATTCTAAGTAATCATAACAATAAACTTAGTTATTATTTTGTTTTTATGAGAAATCTGAACTTTAAATAGTTTGTTTTAAAGTAAGATAATTTTTTGCAGCATTACTGGCAAGATTAACCCACGACCTAAATCATAGTAAAAATATAATTTAATAATATTAAAGAGGGAGTTAATAATTTAAACAAAGTTAAGAAATCCAAAAGTTAAATAAAAATATATGTGAGCAAGCAGTTCTTGAGAGTATCAGAATCCGCAGCTAAACTGTCTAAATTAATTGTCAAATCCTTAATAAAAGAATTCAAGAGAACTCGATTATGGCTACTGATATCAGATAAAATTTCAATATCTTCAGTTTCTTCAAAGATAGAGTCAATGGAACAATGATTTGAAAGATAATTAAAATAAAACTGATCAGCTAATTAGATATAGAGGATTCAACAAAAAAAGCTTGATGATAGAAAAGTAAATATTAGATTAGATTATTTTAGTTGAATTTAAATGTAATGGTGATATTTCCAATCCATGTTTGGAGTGGAATGCATATATGAAATAGTCATTTATTTAGCTTAAGAATTTTAAGATTAAGTAGATCAATCTTTTAGATTAGACTGTAAAAGAGACAGCAAAAGGATTGAAGTAATAACAACGTTGCAATAAAAGGATAAACATACCTTCTAAAATTGCTTAACAATTTTCTTAAGTAATCTTTTGAATCTAATTCTTAGATAGATACATTAGTATTGCCATAATGGTAAATGATTACAGCATTGTATCCAAGTCTCATCGATTTACCTAACGAGATTAAGAGAAATCTGGAGATTTTGGAAGAAGAGAAAAAGAAGATAAGCAATTGATTTTAGTGATATTAATAAATATCCAAAATAATATGAAGAAGGCAGTAAAGGAGGCTGAGAGAATATCCTCTAAAATATCATCTCCCATGATCGTTGATCTCTTTGAATCTCAAGGATCAGGTCTAATGCCATACTTAAAGAATGCTGTGAAAACTAGATTGGCATTGAATTAAGCAGAATCTTGTTTCATAGGTATTAGGAGTCTCAAAGTTATCTAGATTTTAAAAGAAGTTAGTTTCCATTGTTCGCGAAGGATAGATATTTCGAATTCTTAGAAGCCTATAATAGAAAGGACAAAGTAGATTTAATTAGATTATTGTCTGTTCCATTATATGATGTATTGCATAATATAATTGTTAGATTGTCAAAGCAAGTCTAAAGGACAATAAACCCTTGCCTTTTAAATTATATAAAGAGATGACTGATGCTTAATTGGTTTAGGCTAGATTATTTTCATAAAAGAAGATGGCATTGCAATCATCATAAACATGGCATCAAATTACTGTTAAATTTAATTTTATTGATCCAGAAACTAAGAAGGATGTTGTAAAATACAATGTTCTAGAAAGAAGAGAATCAGATAGTTCTGAGAAGGATTGGCGTATATGTAAATTAGATTGATTTAAAACCACACATATATTTTTATGCTATTTGCAAAATAATATTATTTATATGCTAAATTAGTTGATAATTTAAAAATAAATTTTTATAGTTATATTTTATATGCTCAAAATTCCTTGTAAGTATCATCCAAATTCATCAGTGGAAAGAATATGTGCAAGTTCGTCTTGCAAAAGAGATCCAACATTATGTTGGGAATGCATGATTGATGAAGCTGATCATGCTAGAAATCATCGCGATGTTATGGTATTTTTGAATTTCAAATTTAGATTGATTTTGACAATTTCACTACTAGACTAGATGAGGAGTTCAGAAATGTTTTGGAGAAGAGGAAGAAAGATTAATAATTGGCTATGGAAGGTCATTTGAAGTTATTGCATACCAAACAAGATTTCATTGATAGATATGAATCATAGATCAATAACAGGAAATGTTGGGTTGATTACATTATAGCTGATACGATGAATCTGTTAACTTCACTATTAGAGAAGGTGAAGGCTGAACTTTATGAACATTACGATGAACGATTTCTTCAATATTAAAATTCGTTAAATTTTTTAGTTTAATCCATACAACATAGGTATGGCTTAGTTCCACTTCCAACAAAAGAAGAAATGATGAATTCACTATAAGAGTTGTCAAAATAAAACAAGGAATGCAACACCTATGTGTCTGAGTTGAAGATCAAATTACTGCCACCTGAAGACTTAGGCAAAAACTTGGCATTTATTGACACTTTTTAAGAATTTCAAATATAAAATGAGATTGTTGAGGAATTAGAGAAATAGTGGGCAGAAACACCTTAGTCTGATCCTGAAAATCCAACATTTTAACAGGAATAAAACTTTGTAGAAATCATGAACTCAATTAAATAATAATGTGAAGTACTTATGGATGAATTCAAAGTATAAATCAATTTAAAAGATTTAATACTCTCAAGAAATACTCAATATTAAAATCCTGATGAATCTTTGAACAGTATTATTAATTCAATATTTTATTCTAGTTTTAAGCGATGTCAAGAATTAAACTTCTGATCAGAAATTAACAAAAACCCAAAGACAATATGATAGTCCAAAACTATTCGAAACCCTCTAACCTAATTCTCCTGTTTATAATGCTGGGATTGAAAATAATAATTCTTAAGCCTTAAAATTCTAGTCCAGTTAATAAAGTAGAATTTCTAGTTCATCACGCATTAAATTTTACAGAACTGTTGAAACATCATAAATGAGAGGAGTTACAAGTTTATTATAGGTGGATTAGAGGACTATAGCATCTGGTAGTAGAGATAAGACAATCAGAATTAATAATTTGGAGGTTCCTCAATAAAGTTTCACTTTAGAAGGACATGTTGATTAGGTGACAGCTCTTTGTATGTTTTAAGAAAAGTTATTGATATCAGGAGGAGGAAATCTTGATTCTTCTATAATTATTTGGTCCTTGTCCACTAGAAAGTAGATTAATAAATTAACAGGACATTAATCTGGAATCACATCTCTAATTGAGTTATCAGACAATCATAGTATATTAAGTGGTAGTTATGATAATTTGGCTATCATTTGGAATGTTACTTCAGGTAAATCTCTTTGTGCATTGAAAAAGCATACAGCCATGGTTTCATGTCTCCAACTTGTCAAAAGAGATATTGTTGTAACAGGCTCATGGGATAGAACTTTAGCTATTTGGTAGTTGTATTTTGAGGGTGAAGAAATAGTTTCTGCTTCTTATTTGAGAGACATTAAAACTGAAGGTGCTGTGTTATGTGTCAAAAAGTATTCTGAAAGAAGTATCATTTTTGGAGGAACTTCCAATAAAGTTTCAGTGGTTGATTGGATGAATGGAGAGATCAAACTAAAGTTAAATACATCTTAATTTGGTATTTGCGATATCATTTGTTCTGATTATCTATTGGGATTAGGAGCTAGCGATTCTACTATTAGATTGTGGGTGAATAACTAAGAAATAGAAGTCTATCGAGATCATAAAATTATTATTAATAATTATAATACCAATCCAAAAATGATATAGGTTGGCAAGAATCAGATTGCTGTTATTAATAATAAAGACGAATAGCCTCATTTCAATATATTTATTATTGAATGATTATATATATATTTAAATTATTTAGATGGTTTTATTAAAAAAAAAAAATATGCCTTTGGTGGGGGTCGATCCCACGACCTCGAGATTATGAGACTCGCGCTCTAACCAACTGAGCTACAAGGGCATCTCTATTAAAAATGGTCAATCCCTGATATTTATAAGTAGATTCATATACAGATTTATATGAATAAATTTTTAACGAATTATAAATAATTCAAATTTTAAAACTAAATGAGATCCTTTTAAGTTAGCAAAGACTCGTCATTCAGGTATCATTTTATACTCCATTTAGGATCTTATGTCCTTCTAACAAAATAGAAATGGAAGAAGAGACTGTAGAAACCCAAATCTAATCAGAGGTAAAGAATATCTACAGACCAATAAAAATTATTCTTCCACCTCCTAATCTCCCTAAAATTGTTTCAAGCACTAAGTAAATTTGATTGTTATGTCAGAACTTGTAATTGCAAGAAATCCTAATGCTTGAAATAGTATTGTGATTGCTTTGCTAACGGATAGGTTTGCTCAGAAAATTGCAATTGTGTAGGATGTTTTAATAATTCTCTCAATAATTCGTAAAGAAAAGAAGCAAAATTATAAATATAAACAAGAGATCCAAGGGCATTTAAATAAGCCTTTAAAGGATGCAATTGTAAAAAGTCAGGATGTTAAAAAAAATACTGCGAATGCTTTCAAAATAATTTATAATGCACTCATTAATGTAGATGTGAGGGGTGTGTTAATTGCTTAAAATGAGTGTTTAGTTAAATTAATATTTCTTAACCTGTTTCAAATTGCATAATTTTATTCCTATTCACTTCAATTTCATCATCAATAATTGTATAGATTTGATAAACATATTTAATAATGAACATATTAAAATCATTGTATTTCACTGATAGACTTTTTAATTGATTTGATAAGTGATTCACTATTGGGAAATGTACCATTTTGTTAAAGAACATTTAAGCATTCTTATAGTTTTTCTTTTTGCAAATTTTTGTCTCCAATTTTTTCATAAAAATCAGCCAAGACAGTGCTTTTCTTATATTAGCGAGAGAACTTAGTAAATGCTATGCTTTCAATCTTATCTAAAGTCTTTCTTAGCTAACAATAAATATTAAAATATACTTATTCAATTGGTTACTATTGATTAAGTCTTTCCAAAAACTCAGTTCTTAATCTTTAGAATTTGATAATTTATTCGATGTCAGAAATGTAGGTTATATTATGGGATTCTGAAGACAATTGTACAATGTAATCTTTAGCTGATAAAAAGTCTTGTTCATTGATGGCCAACTCTAATAATGTAACAAGAGTTTCTCCATACTATTGATGTGATGAATCAAAGTAGGATTTAAGAATATTTAATTATGCTAAGCAGTATTCTTAAGCAGCCTTATTATCTCCTTTGCCAATTAGTGCTTAGATGAGTTGTTAATTGAATTCTATTTGCATTGGAACATCCTATTTTATTTTTGCCATCAGCTCAATTAGCTTCTAAAGATTAGTACTATAGTATTTATTTAGAAATAGTTCATATCTAATCAATGTATAGAGAGTATTTTCATTTTCTTTTGTATTTTTGGCAATATCATCTAATTTATTTTTGATTGCATTCATTTCCTCCAACTTTTCGTTTTTTTGGTATAAGTAATTATATAATTCAATTAAAGTAGCAACGTAGTTCTCATCATTTGGACTCAATAACTTTTATTCGATCAAATAATCAAAGTATGTTAATGAAGCATCGATTAATTATTTACCATCCTCAAATCTTCCTAAGTGTAAACAAGACTTTGCTAAGTTTTTCAATATTATAGCTTCATTAATAAGAATGTTCATAAAGTGTCTTTTCAAATCATCGTCACTTAATTCTGTTTTTACGGTAATTTGCTTAGAGAATACTAAGATAATACGAAATCAATACTTTTTCTAAATAGATGACCAGTATTATCTAACAAAGTGGCAGCAATTCCCAATTAATCAATTGATTCACTAAACTTTCCTCTTTCTTAGCATATTTTGGAATATAATGACAAGTGTGTGACCATATTTTGGATATGTTATAATTCTTATTCGAATAAATTCTCACTATTAGGAGTTTGATTTTAAATAGAGGCTTAATAGATGGGGCACTAATTATCAATAAAGTATTAGAGATATTAAACAGCTTCTCCAGCAGATTATTCAGCAATAGATAATTTATCTAAATTTGACATGCAATGAATCATAAATAGTCCTGTGAGAAAAGCTTAGTTTTCATCTTTATGATCCTTAAATTCATTCCTAAAATCTCCCTACATAATTTCATTCAAGAGCTTGCTGCAATCCTCTCTTTTATCATTCTCGAAATTCAGTTAAGCAAGTACCAACAAATCTCTTCTGTATCCTTCATAAAACTTACTATAAAATTTATTTTATTTCTATACTTTTCTTCTTGTTTGTTAGGAAACAGTAAAGTGTTTATTTGCTTTTTTACATCTATAACATCTAGCATGATTTTTTCCTTTTATTTGTATTCCTCAATCTCATAAAATTTAGAATTTAATTCTGCCAATTTGGTTTTTAATTAATCGATGCTTTGGGTCCCTGTTGTAAAATAGAATCTTTGATAGTAATTAAATAATTTCAAGTTTTTTCCGATTCTTTAACCACATACATTAGTGCCTAATTTAAATAGTTATTTGATCATAATTAAATTTTTATAATTTATTTAATTTAATTGAAATCCTATTTGTTTGTGTTACTAAGTATGTTTTAATTCCAAAACAATAATTTTAAGTAATTATAAAAATACTACATATAACAATAATGGAAAATCATATAAAATGATTGCTGGATGTAATGCTAGAGTATCGTTATTAGAGAATGCAACTTATAGTTTTGAAGAGAGGAGAGGAGCTCACTTAGGATTAAAAGGTTCTTGATTTTACTCTATTTTATGCTGTGGGCAATACCATTTTTTTTACTCCAATAATACTTCTCATTTAAGTTTAAGTTGTACTCAAAGGGCTATCACATGATTATTTCTCTGCATATTCTTCTGGGAAATGAGTTTTTATCATTAACTTTTTGGGTAATTTTGGATAATTAATCGGGTATTAATGATGTTACTATTATCTTTGGGTTTATTGTGATTGTACCATCTATATTTCTCCCTATTATACAAAGTTATAGCCTCTGTGAGTTTTAAGAAAGAGCTCCGATTAAGTATGGGATGAAACTTCATAGGATACTTTTAAGGGTTGTTTCCTCAACTTTTAGGATGCTAGATCCATTTATAATTTGATTTAATCCATTCTCTATTTCTTCTTATTTTGATATAAGAGGAGATTTCGTTTTGCAGTTGCCATTGGTTGAGTTACCTTTTCTTGCGAAAATTCTTCAGGAACTTCTGTTTAAATTCTTTTACAGAAATACTATGGATAGAAGCTGGCTGTTTTAACATCGGTTTCAGTTCTTAAATTAGCCAATTGTTAGAGTTCGATCCTATGAAGCTTTAGTTCTTCTCCTTATTATTCAAACATTCTTTCTACCAAAGATGTTCTATTGATCTTATATGCGTAGCCTTTGGATGAATTACAAACAAGGGAATATTCATATGGTAAATTAATATTGAGATGATAGAAGCCAAATACTTGCAATTCTCCAATTTCAAATAGCTTTTTGATAACTTATTAAATTTACATTAACACTAGCTTAATTGGGCTTCATTATTTTTTTAACAAGAAAACTTCCGGATTTTATCAAAATGAAGTAGTCAGCTTTTTAGCCTTCTTTGATGACAATTTAATTCTTTTCAAATTCATATAGAAAAGAATTCAAATAGATATGTTTTAATTATGTTCTGTGCAAATGGGAAAATATTCTGATTTGTGAGAAATAATCAATGTTCTTGAAATAATAATAAAGTGATTTTACTTCATCCAATTGTTTTTATTATTCTTCTTAAAGAATATGTTTAAATTGTTGTTTATCTAGGACAGCGAAAGTGCAATCAGTATTACATTAAATGGTAGCAAGTCTTGGCTATTTATGTAATAGGGCTAATTCCCCAAAAGATTCACCTTTGTTTAGTATTCTAACTGCCTCCATATCAGATTGATTAGGTTTTCTGACTAGGACAGTGACAGATCCTTCCAATATGATGTAGAATTTTGTACCAACACTGTCTATGAAAATTTTATGATATTAGTTGTACCAACATAGAATACGATTTCACTTGCTTTGAATTTTTCACAATACATGTTTTTGCAACATTTCCTTTAAATTTATAATCCATTATCTTGTTTCATGTACTATTTAAAAAATGGGAGCTACGATGTCAATTGGACTAATAAATTAATTTCTGCTTTGCTCCTGTGTTGGGGACTCTTTCTTAATAGAAACTCAACTTCATCTATTTATTTTTACATTTTTAATAAATGTTAATGTTAATGATTAATAAAATTAGACATATCATAAGTAATTTTGTTCGGCAACCATTTATTGTAATCCAACGGTATAAATACATGTGAATCAGTATGATCGAAAAGATGATTACAGTAAAATGAACAAATAAAAAGTGGTAAATATTTCTAATAATACTGTTGTAAAGATTAAAAGTAATGAAGTTTATGTTGTAATATTTAAATAATGAAATTCGTTTTATTGTTATTGTATAGCGTTTCTTTTTAAGGTATCCTGGGTGAAACTGTTCAAATGAAGGATAAATGTCAATGCAGCCATATATAATTAATAGAGGAATGTATCATAGATTGCGAATGGGATTATGATACAAAGAAGTGTAAGGATCCAAATCCTTCATTAATAAGAACACACTATTGTTCAAACTTACGAGACACTTGTAATAAAACTCAAGGTTGTGGCAATTATAATGGTGTGTGTGTTCCATTCACAGGATGCAGTGCAATAAAAAGAAATACTAATTATGAATGTCAAAGGTATTCAGAACTTTGCATAACTGATGGTTACAAATGTGTAGAGAAGAGCGTTTGTGCAGATTACAAAACTAGATACTCCTGTCGCAATAATTATATTAATTACGAATGGTCTGGGTTTTGTTATTGGGACAAAAAGGAATGTAGGAATGCCTAGAGTTGCCATGAATTATCATCTAGTTTAAAGAATGATGCAGAATGCAGAGGGCAATTGAGTTGGTGTACATATAAAAAAGGAGGAGGTTGTGAAGATTCAGGAGAATAATGCAAAGATCAAAAATTCTAATAGCAATGTGTGACTAATAAAAGGAGGAATGTTAAATGTTTTTGGGATGGATTAGCATGCTATGATTATTCTTGTAAGTACATTAAAGGCGATTGTATAAAAAATGGATGTTCAATCGATAAGGATTCATATTGTATGGACAGATTAGAATGCGAAGAATACACTATTTAGAAATCATGCACTTACAATAAATCAAATATTTAATGTATGTGGGAAGCCAATCAATGTAGAATTAAATCCTGCGAAAATGCTAATGCAAATAGACAAACTAATTAATCATGTTAGGAAATTGATTCAATCTGTATTACCAAGTTTGGAGGAGGATGCAAGAAGAATGGGGAATGTGGAGAGGCCAATAGTAAACAGGGATGCTAGTAGAATACCAGAGGAGATGAATGCTATTGGAATGGGTATTTGTGTGTAATAAAATAATGTCAATGGGCACCTGCTGCTTATTATAAGGAAAAGGATATATGTAAGGATTTCTAATCAAATTGTGTGTATGGTAAAGATATGTGCATTGAAGATGGGTGTTATGCGTAATTAACTCGAGATAAATGTAATGAGAATAAGAAATGCAAATGGATGGGTTAGTGTGACATAAAAACTTGTGAGACTGCTGGAGCAAATGTAACTTACACTTCCCATTAAGATTGTCAAAATTATCTATCGAATTGCACTTTGTCAGATTCAGGAATAGGATGCATGTTGATTAGATACTCTTGTGATCAATATACTAGATAGATTCAATGTTATCGTTCTATTTTGAGTAAATGTACTTGGCATAATAATTAATGTTTGGACAGTAAATGTGAGTATTATAATTATTCAACTCATGAAGATTGTAATTATGAGTTACAGAACTGCACTAGTGATGGATCATAATGTATATCACTGAAATCAAATTGCTCTTAATATACTCAAATGGAATCATGTAAGATTAACAAGTAAAATTATAAATGCTCTTGGAAGAATGACAAATGTGTTGATCTCACTTGTGATATGATTTCAAAAAGCGAGAATTATAGTACTCATTAAGATTGTTATACAGAATCACCAAATTGCACTATTTTGGAAAGGATTACTGGATGTATTGAAACGCCCTCTGATTGTCGTTTGTTAAATTAATAGTAATGTTATGGAAAGAAGTGCATCTATTCAAATGGAGAGTGTCGAGAAAAGTAATGTAGTGATTACAAAGGCGATATTACTTAAACGAATTGTGAAGCCTTTATTGAAGGTAAAAAGTGTATGAGGGGGCCTGGTTTGATTCCTTATAGTTGTGTTGATAAAGTTGCACAATGTGGAGATATCAAATAGTAGTATTAATGTGAGGATTTTCAAGATATTGATAATAATAAATGCAGATGGGACTATTCTTTCTGTATTAAATAGCAAGAGATTCTAAAACGCAAAGAATCTAACAATACTTGTATTAATGGTTCAACACCTTTTGATGACAACTTTTGTATTAGATAAAAGTCATGCACTGATCCAGGTATAGCCACAGTGGATTATACAGATGAAATATGTGAAAATTATTTGATATCTTGTCAAATGCAAAATACCAAATTGTGCAAGACTAAAAATGTTGATCTTGATAGCAGTAATTGTGATTTTTACAAATCTAAAACAAATTGTACTTCGTAATCTCATTGCTATTGGGCGAATAGTTGTAAGGAAATAAAAAGCAGTTGTGATGCTTTGGAAACTAAAGAGGATTGTTAAGATAATAAAGATACTTCAGGGACATTCTGTATTTGGGATGTTGATCATTCTTCATGTAAAAATATTTGTGATACATTGTCTTCCAAGAATCAATCATGTTCAACTCAGGATTCGAAATGTGTACTCAAAGGTGAAGACATTACCAAGTGCATTAAAAAGAAGCAAAATTGTTCTAATTACGTAAAGTCAAAAGTGGAATGTGAAGATGATGACAGGTGTACATACAATTTAAATGAACTCTGTGTTGAAAAGTAGTGCTCTGATCTTACAACTAGTGTGTTGCATGATGAATGCAATTCTTATAAATCAGAATGCACAATTGCTTATCCTGGAGGATGCACCAATTTATTATCCAAATGTACTGATTATAAGACTCAATTATAGTGTGTAATTAATAATGAATCCAAACCTTGTTATTGGTCAGAATATAAAGGATGCGTTGATAAAAATTGTGCAGAGATTATTTATGATCCAACTGTAGGTGAAGAAAACTAGTACCTAACATTTTGTTATTTCGATAAAGAAGCGAAGAAATATGGGGATTTAAAGGATTCTTGTACTAAATATTCCACTGAAAAATAATGTCAAAAATAACTCGATGGTTATGAGTGCATATGGCAAGAAGATAAATGTTAGAAGGCTACTTGTGAAAATATTAAAATAGTTGAGTACAATCATTAGGGATGTTATGATAAAAATATAAAATTAAAATGCACTGTGAATTTAACTAATGATAAATGCATTGATTTGTTTTCAGACTGCAAACAATATTAAACAAAAGAATAATGTGTTATAACAACGCTTAATGAAAGTTGTGTTTGGGACTCAAGTTATTCAACATGTAATTTCAAAACTTGTTAAGATAAATAAATAACTGTAGAAGATAAATGTTCTGATTATCTCTCAAGTTGTGTTGATAACATATCAAAATGCAGAAACCTCATTTGCGAAGATTATGAATATGATAACGATGTGGATTGTAGAAATGCAGATAGTAAATGCACATCTAATGGTCGTTTTTGTGTATTGAGAGGAACTTGTGATCAAAATTAGTATAAACAAGCTTGCAATATAGATGTCAACAATAAACAATGCAGTTGGAATTACAATAAGAATTAATGTAGTTTTGTCTCATGTCGAGATGCTCCAACTTCATTGACTCGTACCTAAGATTGTGAAACATACTTTCCAAATTAGAGTTGTGTCACTAAAATAGGAGGAGGGTGTCTTGTGGCAACTAGTTGTTATGATTTAATTCAGTTTGATTGTGAACAAAATAAAACCTTAAAATGTATTTGGGAAAAGGATATATGTAGATTCAAGGAGTGTAAAGATTATAAAAGTAGTTATGTTTTGGATTGTCAAAGCAAATCTTTAAATTGTACCTCTGATGGTGTCACATGTGTTGAAATGAAAAATTGTGCATAGTATTATTCTAAGTAAACGTGCAATTTTGGTACTGATGGAGTTTGCATTTATTTGGATGATCGTTGCCAGCCATATAAGAATTGTTAGTCAATTTATTACACCTCTCATTAATAATGTTATGATACTTTGCAAAATTAATGCACTTCAAATGGAACCTAATGCATACCTATAACCTTTTGTAATGAGTACAAAGATAAGATATCATGTGTAAAGGGAATTGATGGAGATTGTGGTTGGGAAAACTCGAAATGTGTAAAGTTTTCGTCCTGTGGTGATTATCATTTCAAAACTCACGAAGAGTGCAATTCGATTAATTCAAGCTGCACAACTGACACAGTTAGTGCGTGTATTGAATTATTAGAATGTTCTAAATATGGACAAAAAAATTGTAGCCTTGATAAAAGTGGAGTAGTTATAAAAGATGGTTTAATCATCAAATAAAATTAATGTATATGGAAAGATTAAAAATGCACTTCTATTACATGTTAAGATATGTATGGAACTAATCATTCAAGTTGTTACAGTTAAATGTCCACTTGCACTTCAGATGGTACAAAGTGTCTAGTTATGGAATCAGATTGCTCATCTTATTCCTAAAATATTTGTGATTACGCATAAAGTAAAGAGGGTAAATGCGCTTACGTATCATCCAAGTGTTCCAAAGTAGATTGTTCAACTAAAACTTTAGAGAATTAATGCAAAGAAATAAAGCATTGTCAATTTATCAATGGATCCTGTCAATCTTACATTAAATGTTAAGAATACAAAACAGAAAAGGATTGTACTGTAGGTACTGATGGTCAATGTGTATACAAGAACTCTTAATGTAGTTTAATCAATGATTGTACTGGTGCTAATTAACAAAAATTATGCCCAACCAAGACTTGTTATTGGAATGATTAAACCTCTACTTGTCAGCCACACACTTGTACTACCTACGCCATTTAGAATTCTTGTGGATTGTTTTATAATTTTAAAAAGACTCAAATCACCTATTGCACTTACAATGAAGTGGATCGTGCATGTAAAGAGACAAGTCCAACCTCATTTAATCTTGTTGATTGCTACAAGAAATCACTCGGATATTTCTCAAACACCAATGAAACATGTTCGTCTTGCATTATTACTAAATCAAATGATACTGATCACAATACCACAAATCCTGGTAATAGCACAAGTTCTTACAATGCTGTTAATTTTGCCCTCATTATAATCGTATTATTAATTGTCATTTGAAAATACATTGTCATCATCTATATATATTAATTATTATTTATGTTTAAACATGCAGGCACCTCAGAAAACAAAGCATTGATCGAAGTCAACATCCATCAACTTAATATCAATATATCAGTTCCAAACTGCGAAGTTATGGTCGTGTTCCAAAGAGGAGACAGAAAAGCTCAAACGCAACCAGTCTCATTGGTAAACAAATGTGCCAGAATCGAACAAATCCTCAAAATCCCTGCCACTCTCTATTATGATGTTAAGCAGAAGGAATACTAAAAGAAAATGGGCACCTTGATTGTCCTCGTCAAATATGAAAAGGGAATGAAGAATGCAGGTCAAATCGATATTGATTTCTCCTCGTACCTAAATTAAAAAAAGGGGAAAATCGATGAGATCTCACCCCTTTCTAAATGTCCTGACTCTAATGCCACCCTCTCATACACAATCAACTTCTTGAGTCAAGAATAGAGATCCAAAACTCCTGAAGCCAACATCAATAATAGTATTCTAATCTCTAAATACAGTTAGGGAAGATCAATCCAAGGCTCAAATTACATAATTAGACTTGTAAAATAAGCAATTGAAGGAGGACAATATTCGATTACAAGATGAAGTCGATTAATTGAAAGCCTAAAATAAATAATAATAGATCTACATTCAACAACTATAAAATTAACTCAAATAAGGTCAGGAGGTATTAATCAAATAGAATTCATCTAAACCCAATTATGAAACACCTACTGCACAACCAGAAGAATGCCAAAAATGCTATGAATTTCAATTAGAATTAGGTATGTATTTTCGTATTTATATCTAAGAGTTATTAAAAAAATAAAAATCCATTAAGTAGCTTCCTTGTGAGAAGTGCTCAAATTTAGAGTAGTAAATCGAATCACTCAAAAAGCAATATTCACAAGGGTCAAAGAAGGAGAGTTCTGATTAAAAAGTTGAATTGTTAAATGAAGCCAACACTCATTTAAAGGAGCAATTGTATGAGCTTGAATAATAAGCTGCCAAAATTAGAAAGGAAAACCAGGATCTAAAAAACAAACTCAATATTTAAAACCAATAATTAATAGACTGCAGAGAGAGAATATAAGAATTAGAAAACAATGATGAAGATGATAAACGCATTGCAGAATACTAAAAATTAATAGAAAAATCAAATGATGATCTATTGGATATCTAATAAAAATTGTTTTCATTTTAAACTGAATGCGATTAGCTCTAAAGAGAAAAGAATGAATATGAGCAATAGCTTGAGATTTTGTCTAAAAAATATGATACTCTAGGTAATACGTTATTAAATTATATAGAATTATAACTATTCTAATAAAAATAAAGATATGCTAACGCTATGCATGCATTCCTTAGTATAGGCGATACAAATGCAATTGAAGTACTTGAATAGTTTAGTGGAGATTGAATTTTTATTCTTTTTTATTATTTTGTTCAAAATTATAAGGACAATAGGTTTACTTACTTATTGTGTCTTTAAAAACTAAAACTAAAATTAAGATTAAGTTCTTAATTGATCTAATTTCCAAATTATAAATTAGACATCCATTAATATCAAAAATAAACAGCTCTTATTTAATGAATAAGTCTCTAAAAGTAAATTTAATAATTATAATAATAATGAAGTAAAGTGTTTTTCAATTCATAAGGATTATTTGTAAACGCTGTAGATTAGGAAAGTAAAATGTGATATTGAAATTAAATCGGGCATATTCTAAAGATGCAATATGATTTTAATAATATGTGTGTTGGTTTCTTTGACAAAATGTTATGAAGATTTAATAATTATTAGTTCGTTTCTTCGAAATACAATTTGTTTCTTCCTTTGATTGTCTCATTATCTTTTTAGATTATCTATGTAGGCATCAATATTGAGCATAATATTTAGGAATTAATTATTTCTTGTTCTTACAAAGATTTAATTGGGTCCAATTTATTATAAATTTAAGGTTTTTTTGTTATAATAAATAATCAAACATCTAATTTTTAATTATTTTATATCTCTCATATGATGATTCGTTCTCACTTTAGGAAGATGAAGATGAAATCTCAGATTATCATTTTAGATGTCATAATATTGTTTATGGTGATTGTGGTGTGTTCTATTGGAATTTATGTTGAAGCCAAATTATTTTACGAAATTAGTTTAGAATCATCATATATCATGATGAATTCTACCGATATTAAGTAAGTTGATAGAATAGGAAGCTAAATTGAATCTTACTTAATCACTAAGCATAAAAGAAGTAACTAATTAATTAATGAAGGCATTTAGCTTCTTGATAACATAGCTAATTTCTTATTTCACTTTGCTAATCGTTAGGATCAGTAAATCTACAATGGCATTTTAGACCTTTGCCTGACAGAAGAAGAGTAAAAAATTGCAATATATATTAAAAATACACCAAAGTTCTGCTATTAAACAAATGGTGTAGAGCTTGAAACAATGATGAAGAATGACAACATTACGCTTTTGTATTATGGACTTAAGGAACTTGAGCACTATTCAATAATGTTCAATATATAAATACCCAATATATTACAGGTGGTTGACACAAGTTCAATAATATTTGATGCATTATATCCAATAGGATTGCTGGCTCCTAGTTACAACCCATAGCAGAGAAGTTGGTATTTGTAATTATAAATGCAGGTATTAAAATCATATGGCTTAAATAAACAATACAAAAAATGAGTTCTTTTTTTTTACGAATGTATTTTAGAGTTTGTATGGATCATAAGAGTACAGTTTTTCGATTACTCAATCATTGTTTAATAAAAAGAAGGAATTTTTTGCGATTTTAAAAACTGTATTGTTTATAACTGACCCAAATTTACATAACATTTAATTTAATGTTTTATTAATAAATTAAGAAGGTTAAGTTATGGAGAATGGAATGGAGAATCGTACTAATAGAACAGGAATCTTATATGTGTATAATGAAACCATAACTGGTTTTAATGTTACCGATTGGAAGGAAATTGAATTAAAATCGAATTAAAACGGATTAATCGAAGAGCAGAATTCCATGTTGATTCTCTATAACAAAGTATACAAATCCTTTGTCAATTTAAAGTGCAAAAAGTTTTAAAAAGAAAATTTTACATTAATTTTGTAAAAATATAAATAATTAAAATAGATTTACTAATTTGACTTCGTAATACATTTTAAAACAGTAAATTCTGGATAGGTACAATGAATTTTTACTTTAATATGGGTATGCTGCTGTTGTAATTTGTTGTCTAGCAATTACACTATTCTGTTTGAGCTTAATTTTTATTAACGTAATCTGTAACCCAATTGTAAAATTAAGATAGAAAATCTCGTAACATGTATTGGAAATCGGGAACAATACAGATAAAATGATATTCAAGATGACAACAAAAAAAAAGAGAAAATAAGGTCTCGTCTTTAAATTAAATGAAATGTTTATGAATATTTCAGATGTTTTGAAATTAAACTAAAATAAGAAGAGTGAGCAATGTAGACTTATTGAAAAGATGTAGTATAATAAAAAATGTAAAAAAGAATAGTGTTAGTTGAATTAACAAATTCAGTCTCTCAGTGACTCCTAATCAAATTATATTGAATTAAATGAATTTAATAAGGAAATTTTGAAACTTTTAATGAATGGTACTAATAATAATAGTCAATTATGATAATTTTTATAGATAACAATATTTATAATGTATTAAACTTTATTATTTTATTGATTTTTATAAAATACATTATCACTTAATATTAATAATTCTTTAAAGGTTTGATATTAACATGTTAGATTTGGGTTGTAAATCTCTTAATTGTCTTAATAACTATGATGAAGGGGAATATACATACTTGTGTGTTTTGAGCATTAATGTCTTGTTTCTAAACAATTATTTTATCACCATCTATTTTAGCATTAATATTTAATGTTCTAATGGCATTAACCAACCATGATTCAGTTTCTTCCTCATTGAGTTATAAATATGTTGAAAATTGCCTATTAAATTTATTGTTTATGTTACTTAATTTATATGCCATTGAAGATTTTGATGTAAGTTGAAAAGAAATACAGTTTGCATGCATTAATAATGAGAGCCTTTTTGGATTTGACAATGAAGTCCTACTCAATTTCTGTAGAAATATCTGAAATCATTTTGATTGCATTGTTGAACTAAAATTTAACAATGATTTCTTCAACATAATTGAGCAAATGAAATGGTTTGATTGATTTGTTGGCGTTGTTGCCAATGATTGCAAGACTTGTGTTTCCAATGAATTGTTAATTGATGAGCAAGGCAACTGTGTAATAATACAATAAATAAGGGGCAATTGTGTGAACTACTTCCAAGAATTGTTCGCCTGAGAAGATTTCTAAGAAGGCATTAGTGTCATCGGATATAAAACAAACCAAAACTCCAGCATGCAAGAGATCTGCTCTTTGTTTGAAATTATATTTTATTTGATCCTCCTATTTAATTAAGTCTTTGATTGCTTCAATACATACTGCTGCATTATTGGTGTTCTTGAAGAGTCCAATTAATTTGCAATTCTAATTAGATAAATGCATTTTTTACTAATCTAGCCCACAAGAATCCATTTCTCAAATGATTTAACTTCTCAGTTGCTTCCACGCATGGGTATAGGTTATCAACAATTTCTGTTGCCTTTTCGTATTCTCCTGAATCAAATAATATTATTAATGCTTGATAGGCTTCTTCAACGGTCCATAAATTTTCTTGAACGTAATCTACAAGTGCTCTTTATCTGAGTTTAAGTAATTCTGCAACTGAGGTCAGTTTCCCATTCAAATTGTCTTGTTGGATGATTTAATCAATTTTTTCTGAAGGTACACCTAATTTTCTTAACCTTTCGAAAAGTCTGGTGCCAAGGAGAGCCTCGGTTTCTTTAGAGGTTTGTAATTGCAAGAACTGCACAGATCCCAAGAAGACATGGGGATTAATGAATCTTAAGAAATGGTCCATATATTAAATCAAATAAAATATTTTGGGACTGAATAAATTCCAAAGTTGTGTTTTGGATTCACTTTTTTTTGAATGTGATTGAAGGGCTTCTCTTTTTGAATTTAGTAGGTAGGTCCACGCAAATCATGTAATTCGGCCATCGCCTTCTTCTTTTCTTTTGGAGTTAATTTCTGAAATTCTTCGAATTTTACCATTATATATTTTTATTAATGAGTAATTAGGATAGTGAGCCCGAAATCGATGACTCGGATTTGGAAGAAAATTCAAGGAGTCGATCATCTTATGGCAATCCCATAGAAGACCAGGATGAAGAAATGGACACCTCTCAATCTAAAGGTAATGTTACTAATTCATACTCCCAAATAGGTTAGGAATCGGTCACTTCTGACTCAAGCGATGATGAAGACGAGAATCAAATAATACGAACTGGGGCTATGATCCAATAGAGCAAAGGGAGGAAAGTGTTGAAGAATGAAAGAATTACGCCTCCCTTTTTAACTAAATATGAGCGTGCCAGAGTTATAGGAACACGAGCTTTGCAAATCAGCAAGAACAGTCCCATTTACGTGGATCCAAGTATTCAAAGACATTGACTTATTATAGAGGAAACAACCGACCCCATATAGGTGGCTTAATAAGAATTGAATGAGAACAAAATACCTTTCATAATTAGAAGGTATTTGCCAAATGGAAATTTTGAAGACTGGGAACTTTAAGAGTTAGAACGCTTGGACTGACACATATTGTATAAATATATTTTTAGTCAAAGTGCATTATTTTACCATTTCCATACATGTTCACAAATTCTTTTTTAATTTCATATATATAATCTTATCGATAAATTTATGTTAACTTTGGACAACTTCAATCAAACATCGCATAAACAACCCATTCTGAATAGGTATATATACCTAAAATATTCAAAGTCCGCGATCAATAGAAGCATGTTAAAGATGTGGAGTATTAACTGAAGAATTAATTAAAATAAGTATCAAGGAATTAAAGCAAAGAAATCCTGATTTAAGATTGAACAAACAAGGATGGAAGATTCTGTGGAGACATCATGAAATAAGGAGATAAGAGACATTGTAATTATGTAGAGAAGAAAGAAAACAAATTATAATCTAAAATCAAGATGAACATTAAACTAATTTATAATATGATGATTATGCTATTTAAGTTTAAAATGAATTAGACTAAGTTGAAATTGAAAAAATTTAAGAAAGAACTAAAAGAGAAATATAGCAAATGCAACACTTTCAAAAATTGTAATAAGAAATTAATGAAAAGAGCTAACAAAAATAATTAAAGAAACAATAAAAAGAGTATTAGAGGTAATAGGAATTGCAATTACATAAAATGAAGTAGGAACAAGATAAAATAAGAAGAGATTAAGAAAAAAAACTAAAGGAATAATTAGAAGAATAAAGATAAAAATAAATTGCATTAGAATAATACCAAAAAGAATAAGAAAGAGCCTAATAGGAAATTAAAAAGCATTAAGAATTGCAAGAGGAACATAGAAGAAAAGAGGAACAACAAAAGTTGAAGCAATAATAATTCAGATAATAATTGCAGAATAAGGATTTATAACATGAAATGGAATAATAATATAAGAAGGAGCTATTGCAATTCAAAGAAAAAGAAAGATAAGCAAAGTTACTTTAATAACAATAGGAAAGAGCATAAGCATCTAAATTTGCTTAAGAAGAATTAGCTTAAAAGTTGCTTTAAGTTAAAGAATAATAACAATACAAATTGATGAAAATGTAGGAGGAGTTTTAAAATAAACAAATTTAAAGCGAACATTAAAGATAATTGTTTGAGTAGGCATAGCACTAGAAATTTATGGAAATCTAAAATAAGGTATTACTGTAAAAAGAGAAGATGTTAAAGTCAGCTGAAAAGTGTAAGTAGAAGTAAGAAATAAAATAAGAAATCAATATTTCAAAACAAAAATAGAAAAATGAGAGAATTAAATTACTTTAAGAGTAAAAACTTGTTGAGCATTAATAAAAATTAGAATAATAGGAAATTGAAGAAAAGTAGATTAAATAAAAAGTAGAAGAATTGTAAAATACAAATAAAGATTAAAGAGTTGAATTAAATCAGAAACTCATTTTAAAGGATTTCATGATTAAAGAAAAATAGCTAGAGAAAAAATAATTATTAGAGTAAATAAAACTATAAGGAAATTAGAAAATGAAAAATAAAAAGTTAGCTCTTGAAAAGTTATATTAAAAACAACTTATGGAAAGACAATTATTAAAAGCTTCTTATAATGAAAAATTGAAGTGGAATGAAAGTCTAAAAATATCACATTATCAAAATGAGTAGAATTGGAACCTAGATTTAAGACGTAAGAATTTATAATAGTCAAGCTTCAACCGGTTTATCAAAATCATCTTTTGATATCCCAAGGGTTTAATCAGCTTTAAATAAGAAAATGGAAAAGGAGGAGACAAGAGTGAATGAATTTTTGAAAAATCCTCAAAAAAGGCAAGAATTTCAAGAGCTTGAAGAAATATAGCATCAAGAGATGATTTAAGTACTGGACCAAGTTAATTAATTAGTTGATTGAATATGAATAAAAATTAGAAGAAGAAAGAGAGAGAACAATGTTTTAGATAGAAAACTACCAAGAGTAAATGAGATTAGAGAAGATATTTGAAATTGAGAGAAAATAAGCCTAAAAGAATATCCGAAATTTATAAATAAAACATGATTATCAAATTGAAGAGCTACTATCTACTTGAACTATACTTTATAATAATATATAATATACTAAAATAATTCAAAAAAACCTATTTTGAGATTTAATGTTTCAAATCTTCAAGATAAAGACTGTTAAGAAAATAAGCTTTTTAGGAATTAATTTCTACAATAGAAAAATAATCATCTAATTAGGAATATTTAAAAAAGTAATTATTATTTTAATTAAGAAGAATGATTTTTTTGAACTATAAATGATATTAATTTTGTTAAAATAAAAAAATCACTCAAAAACAACTGATTCTGATGCTTTATATAATGGGAAGTTGACTTCTTATTGAGCTCCACATTATCCGGCTTTATCGGCAATTCTGGCGAATCTAATATAACCAGATTCTCCCCATGATTGTCCCCATGAGTTCTTGATCAAATAGTAATCTGGAGCATATCCAACATTGGTAACTCCGTGATTGAGTGCTGGTTTGCTTCCGTCGCATTTGGCACTGTAGATACCCTTCTTGTAGAGTTAGAAGTTAATTCCTGAGGCATTGATACCGATGGAGAGAGCATGTTCAGAAGCAGCTTCAACGTAGGCTTAAGCGCTGAGAGGTTCAACATCAACATAACCAGCAAATTGATATCTGGTTTTGGTTTATTTGGCAGCACATTTTTGATCGACTCCAGCATATGGATATTCTGATCTGATAGCAATACCATATTTGGAAGCATATTGGAAACCATCATACATTTCACCACCATCGCATCCTTCACTTTCAAATTCGTCTTTGACTGCACAATCAACTAATTCTTATTCAGACAATTCGACATTTTTGACTCCTCCTTATCTCAAGGCTGTTTCTAAGGCAGCAACTGCAGAGAAGGCCCAGCATGATCCGCAACTTCCTTGATTTTTTACTTCACTAACAACTCCGTCCTTTCTTAAGTCTACTTCAATTGGGACTTATTTTCCTGTTCTTCTATAGACTTAGTTGGTTTATTCTCTTGGGGTGGATCTGTATTTCAAATATTTAGCTTCGAATTCTTCAACTGAGAGATCAGCGAAGTCATTCAATCCAAGTTCAAAGGTTTCCAAACCAGCCTCAACTCTTTATTGGTGCTCTTGGATATATTAATAGTTTTTCTTGAATATTCCAAATCTATGTGAGTTTTCGAATTGAGTATATCTCTTTCCGTGTTCTTTTTACCAATTTTGATAGACCTTCATTACTTCATCTTCCAAGAATGAATTTGATTCGTTGGTTGTGGTTGTGTTTAACAATGTGGTACCAGCTAATAATGTTATAGCTAAGAGGGTTAATAATCCTTTTTACATTTAATTAATTGAATTCCGTAAAAATTTTCTGCATTTGAATGAATTAATGAGATCAATATTAATTAACGATCACGTCATTAAGAATTAATGAAAATTTTTTTAATTATATTTTAATTACATAATTAATTTGATCAATGATGTAATGATTATTTTCTTAATTAAATGTATGATTCTATATACAACATAATATTGAATTAATAAAATTAAACCGATTATTGTGCTAAAAGTTTTAATCCTTCTTGCAGCAGTGTAATCTATCCACAAATACCATAATGCACTCAAATTTAAACATATATATATTAATTATACGAAAAATGAATTCAATTTTGTTGAGTAGGAGTGAGGAACGTTTTAGGTCTTGTAGTAAGTGCTTATTTTTTTAAAGGACTTTTGCTAGGTTGTTTTGGCTATGCAATCTCTATTTTTTACTCGATTGCAGGATCTTTATTCAACATATTAATTATAAATACCTTCGATGACGGCAATGTCTCTCAATCTAAAAATTCCAACTAAATTCTCATATGAGCACTCTATCAATTACGTCTTCTTGTCGACCCTTTAGACTATCACCTTGTAGCCAGGCTTCAGCATAAAATTGTCACCTGTTATTGGTTTACAATTATTTATTGCTGTGCCATAAACAAAAGGGTTGGATTTGATTTCTTTGGACAGGATTTTTTGAGAATTGAAATAATTTGTTTATAAATGAGCTGGCTTATTTCGAGCAGAATTCATTTAAGAGGATATTTATGAATCTCTTTTCGCCTTAGATTTGCAGTCATCGAATAAATTAAATTACGCAATTTTTTGAGATTTATTGGTTGGTGTCAATGACTTTTGAGTTTGAGCAGGTGATTTGTTTTATTAATTGTTGATATTACTAGTTTATCTGGACCTTTAATTATTACTCACTGGAATTATCTTATCCACTTAACAAGTAGATAAATGTCTACTTACTTAGCATGAAACATCTGTTATTGATTCTTTCTCGGATATCTTTGTTAACAATTGAGGAGGTTATTATGAAGATTAATAAATATCAGTAGATTCTCTCTTTGAATTCTCAGTTTGGGATTGAGTGGCCAACACTTCTGTCAAGGTATCTTCCTATTTCATCAAAGGAGATGATCTCAACACACTTTCAGAATGCATTTTTTAGAATGAATCATTCCCAAAAGAGCACTTAAAATTTTACAATCTTTGAATTCTTAGATGCTATTGTTTTCTCAAAGCGCTCTCTAATAATTATTAGTATATGAAATACCATCCAATTAGAAGTTGTAAATATCCTCCTCTTCTATATTTGTTTTGATATCCTTAATTGATTTAAGTTGTTAATCTATTTTTGGTGTGAAATCATTATTTTCATAATCCTACAACTTCTCTTAAGAGTTCTTTCTCTCAAGATCAAAAATCATGTCTGTTCTCTCTATCTTCTCCTCCAACATAAAATTCTTAATTTGATTATTAGTTAAATCATTGTCCATTTCAACCTTTTAAATAACTAATTCCCAATTATCCTATTATTTTGTTTCTTAACTATCCTACTATTTTAATTCTTGTTTGTCCTCAATAATTATTTATTGTTGCTGTAGAAATGCACTAGATTTCTTATTCTGTTCATTTATCAAGGTTTTATCTATTTTGAATACATTATTTAATTTTCTCATTGCAATGCTTGTATTCCCCAAAATTTTGAAATCGTCTGCCTTTTGTATTGATTACTCAAACAAATGAGAAAATAAAAGTAAAATACTAAATAATAATACATTTCAATGTACCTCTTTTGTAAAAATAAGTTGACTCTCTCTTTTAATAATTGCATATCAACTACCTAAGAGTTCTAAATTTATAATTCATCAGTCTAATTCTTTTCCATAAACTTAAATTGCTTACTTGAAACTGTAAATTTCGACTGTCTATTGGAGCGTCTGCTATTTCTATAAATGATCGATTCTTTATTGTTCTTCTGGGTTTTTTCAATTTAGATTCCCCTTATGGATTTATTATTCTTGTTTATACTATTATTATAAATACTTCGATTTTGATGTCGTATTTGAATTGTGAATCATAATATTCATATTGATTGGATAAGGGAAAACAAATTTTCCCATAATTATTTGTGAAGTCCTCATAAATAGCAAGCGCTTTGGCAAACTCCAAATAAATAGTCCACAATTATAAATCTTCATTATCCTTAGCATCAAACAAAAACTTGCGATCCCCCATCTCCTTCAACTTCTTGTACCAGTAGGTTGAACATATTTGCAAAGTGAAGTTCTTTTCGTTTTCCAAGGCCAATACTGAATATATGCTCTTCAATGGAATTGAACATAAGGGCAATTCACTATTATTTGAGTCCTATCTGCTTGAATACAATTTAAGTTCTTTTCCATCCAGAATTACATATCGAGGCACTGATGAAACTCTATTTTAAGATTTCTTGATCAAGATCCCTTCTCTCAAAATAATATTTGTTTGATTTTATGATTTATTAAATTTATTACCAATTTATTTCAAGATAATTGATTTTAGTGCCTTACTTGACATATTCTTAAACTTTTGAGTGTCCTAAGAGCATTTTGGATAAATCAGGTTGATCAAAAAATTAGGTTTTGAATTCGATTTGTTATCATTATCATTATCAAAGTTGATTTATTGACTAGCATTAGATTCTGCCATCAACCATTGGAATTGTAACTTTTTACATTCCATCAATTCTTCAGTTTCAAAAGGTAATGGCAATTATTAGATGGCCTCAGCAACTGCCTTATGCAATTGTCTTCTTTATTTAAATGTAATCCTCTAATAGAGACAATCTCTCATGAAGGGACAAGTAAAACGATAGAAGATATTTTGTTCTCTCACTTCCATGACTTCAATAACTTCTTTAGCCTCCAACTCATCCAAATACTTCTGCAATTTGTTGTTAACAGCATTCTTAAATGGATAAATCTTATTTAACAATTGAATATCAAAAATATCTCCTATCACACTCGCTGCTTTCAGTAATAGTTGTTCTAAACATGATAATTTATCAATGATAGGCCCATTCACTTCAATTCTACAATAGGGTGCATCTACAATAATACTCTCATCATAATTAATTAAATTAACTAATTCATTTGTTATGGTTGCATATTTTGGACTCGGTCTAATTAAATCTAGATCAATTAAATTTTAGACAAAGTTCAAAACCATCAATGGATTACCACTAGTTTTCATGTAAATCCATTGCATAAATAGTAATTCCACATCGGTTTTGATGAGCATTTACTTGTTTTCTGAAAATAGAAATTGGTTATTGATTTCCTTAGATTGATTCTCTTATAAAATTACATCGTGGATTGAAGAAACAATTCTTTTTCTGATCCCGCTTTCAGATATATTTTAATGATACTCCTATTCAGGCATAAACTTTTAGATATTAAATGAAAATCTAATCATCTTAGCAAATTCATCGTCCACTCCTCCTTTTCTTTCCACTCCTCTCAATTGCATCAATATAAATGGATTTCCATCCATTCGATCCTCTAAAGCTGTGATACCTTCAATGGCAATATCTTCTTGAGACTTCCTTTTCTCTGCAACCTTTGGTTAAATGATCATCTCCTAAAATGAATCTCGATACAATGCTAAAATTGTAAGTCTATCATATGTCCTTATCATTTGTTTTAAGATTTTAAAAGATATCTAATCATAGTTCTAAATATCATCTAAACATAGAACAACAGGTGCAATGATATTAGTGTATTTAATAGAATAATTAATTTATCTTTGAACAGATGTCTTCATAACATCCCATCCAATTTGATCAGGAGCTCTTCCTTCATACAATTCAGACAATTTGCTAGGGATCTATTCAAAGAAATTGCTTAGAAATTGGAATATTATTCTTTTAACATCAATTTCTTTATCCTCTTCTTGTTATCTTTGAGGGAACTTCTCCAAATGTCTATTGTCATTCAAACCTACAATCTCTTGTAGCATTTAAACCAAAGTTTATGGGTGAATGTTTACATCCACCATCATATTGAATAGTTCCATGTTTGGTGGTCTCTCTACTCTTTTAGCATATAAAAGGAAGATCTACTTTAAAATACTTCTTAATCCATTCAATTTGAATGTTCTCGTTATAGGATCCAATTGTTAAACAAGTATATGAGGATACTCACCATATTTCCATGGACTATATTAATTAGAATTGATCTTCTCCTATATTCTGTGTAACACCTTCTTTGCCAAACTACTCTTTCCACATCCATAGGTTCCTTTAAGAATAATCAAGCTTTTCTTATCAACTCCTTTAATTACCTTATCGATTTGATTTAACAGTTTTTTATGTTGTTCTTCTCTTCCAAATAATTGAATGGCTATAAAGTCTGATTTCTTTGCAAAACCATATGCATAATTATGAGTTTTAAAATTCGGCAATAGATTCCCTGGAGTTGGTTCCAGAGGCTTATCCAAAGGAACATAAATATGGACTGGTGCATTTTTGCCTTTCACTTAGGTTTGTCTCAGAAAGGCTGTACTAATACAATGACCAGCACTTTTAGCAGTTTCCAAACATATAAGAATTTTGTGGGTTGTCTCTGAACACGCTGCTTACATCAATCTAGCTGCAAGATTTACAGAATCACCAAGAACAGAGTATTCTCTCCGTGAACCACTTGTACCAACTACTCCAGCAAATACAGTTCCTGTAACTATTCCAATAGAGCATCCACAATTAATTTTAGGGAGTTCCTTATTCATTAATTAAGCTGTTAAAATAGCTCTTACAGGATCATTCTAATGGCTAAGAGGAGGAAGACCAAAAACAACAATTAAAGTTGAACCCTTATCATCCATCAGAAGCTTATTCAGTGATCCTTCATGCATATAAATACATTTTTATACAGTTTTAATGACTCTTTAAATTTATTCCAATCCCTAAGCATTTTTCGCAGAGTTCAAATCCATTTTTAAGTTTACAAACATAATAGACAATCTCCTCAATTCAGCACTCCAAGCTTCCTCATTTATATCAATGTAAGGCAGAAGAGCAGCAGGAATATACGATTGAATCTCATTTCTAATCATCTGAAACTATGATAAGGTAATGTTATTTTTGATTAAAAGGGCATCTGCCTTCATTTTCACTTTGGCTTATTATAATTTAATGACTTCATAGTGTCCATCATGATCCACTACTTTCTAGCATTCGAAAAAGTTGTTTATCATATCATAAATCTATTAAGAGATGATAATCTTTCCTCCCTCGGTTAAACAATGCTCGGAATGAAAAGCCTGGATCAAAGGGTCTCCAGTTGCCAAATACTCCATTCTATTGAAAACTCCTCCAACGTGAATTATGTTCATTTCTCCCACTCCAAATCCAATCTTTACACTTAATTAAATGCCCTATTCTATCTAGGCTTTGGTTAATTTTTCTTGGATTAATAACGCTGACTAGATGGCCTATTTGAGCAAAGTTTCTAGATTTTACTGAAAGTTTTGATCATTAGGAGGGGGAGGCCAGATAACAATCATAGCATCTTAGGAATATTTAAAACTAATATACCTCCAGCGAATTTGAAAATATCACCACCACTTCTTCCTATGCCCTAAACCAATAACTCCATATAGCGATTAATTGCAAATGCTATTCGTTCTGCCCCTTCTGTTCCCAATTAACTTAATAATTCTGTTAATCTTGTAAATCCGGATATATCTGCAAACATCACGACACTCTTTAGTCTTTATTTCTCTGGTAATTTTCGGATTAATTTATTCATTTTAAGATTCAACAGATGCTATACAACCAAAGCAGGCACATAGCCCAAAATGGACATTGATTAACTCTAAAATTACTAAGACATATTTAATGTAAATAATTATTTATATTATTTAAAGTAATAATAATGAAGTTCTTAAGTTCTATGCTAATCAGCATAAATGATCATCATTTCATTTCTACTGGATTTTTGATGTTTTATAAGGGATGAACAAGAATTTGCGAGTACAATTTCCAGTTTAATTAGAGATTGATTTACTCGGTGTAACAATTGTTTAATTGCATAAAAATAATTATATTCTTATCAATAAGAAAATTTAATAAATATCCTATAGCAATCTAATACTCATGTAATTTGAATTTTAATTACAATAAAACTTAGATAATTGCATCTATAGTTTATGCTCAGGAATAAAGATGAAGAAATAAAAAGAGAAAATGTAATACCATTTAAATTAGTTCATCATGAATTCTCATAACTTAAAGATAAGCAAAATCAAAGGAACCAATTGTTAAACAATAATAAAAAGAACAAATGCAAATAAATATATAAGGGAAGAGGTTAAGTGCAAAGACAGGATTTTGGGTCTAGCTAACCCCTAATTCAAGTATTTCAATACTCAATTCTATATAGTAATTAAGATACAAAATAAAACCGTAATTTGTTCTCTTCTTTAAGCCTAATCATGAGGAAATGTAAATTTATTTGGAGTAATAAATAGATGAATAAGTAAATATAAAAATTAAAATAATAGTTCTCAATTTAGGGGGACAATTTCAAAGTATCATACTTCAAATAAAGTCTAGTAATTGATTTCATTAAAAGGAGAGTGATTTAAACACAAGAATATAAATTTAGTTTTGAGATAGAATTAGGAAGGATAATAGCTGAGATTACTGTATATGAAATTGACTGAATAAATCAAAAAGGCAAGAAGTTCAAGCAATTTCAATACCTCATATCAAAAAAGTAGTTAAAATAAGAAATCATTTTTTGATGAGTATTTTGAAAAAAATAGAATTTATTTTTAATTGTGAAAAAATGACAAACTTTAAGAATTTATTTGAGCTCTATTCGTTTAAAATTCAAATATTTTCCTAAATAAATTATAAAGGAAATGAAACTCATAATTAATGATAATGGATTCTAAGCTTGGTGGTTTATTCAATCTATTAATTATTGATATCAATTTTTTTGATCTTATTTATGAATGTATAATATCAACCAAAACATTAAAATCTGAAATTGTTTATATTAATTATATAAATATCATTAAATTGTTTAACATTCAGGTTTATTTTAGGTAATTTAGAATTCTTAATTATTATATTATAAAATGAAAAACAAATAGCATAAAAAGAAAATTATTAAGTTTGTTGAAATTTTCAAAGAAATCTTAGAAGTAATACTCAAGAATATTGTAGTAATCTGGGTATGGTTAAATTATTACATGGGATGGTGATGGTAAAAAAATTAAGATCTTTGATAAATCTAAGTTATAATTAGAAGTTCTACCAAAACATTTCAAGCATGGCAATTATTCTAGTTTTCTGAGGTACTTATAATTTTGAAATCTAAGATAATTAAATCTTTATGGTTTTATTAGTTGTAAGGATTAGGATGGTGTTTTAACATATGAAAATCCCTATTTTACTAAAAAAGAAATTAAGATGAGGAAGATACAAAAAAAACAATAGTTTTCAATTGAGAAACAATCTTCGGATGATATCTTCATGACTGAGTATGAAGATTTAAGGAAAACTATTATAGATTTGAAAGAGGAATAGATGAAAATTTAATAAAAGCTAATTTAGTCAGTTTAACACTAGTAGTAATGTCATTTGCATTGTAAATCAATAATAGATGTAAGTGTTTTTGAGAGTATTAAATAGTAATTACTAACCATAAAGGAAATCCAAACAAGAAGGGGCACATTCTTTATTGAGAGTGTAAAGATGATAGTGAGGGCTATGAAACCTGAGACTTGTATTTAACGAATGTTATTTAAGCTGCTTCATTTGAGTACTTGATAAAATGTGTGTTTCCGAAGGAGTATGATGTTGTGGATATTCAATCGAAGGAGGAGGGAGTAATTGAGTAGTAATAGTATCTTAATTCTCCAGCTCCATTCGGGAAGGGAGTGATTGATAAGATAGGGGAGTATCTAAATCATAAAAATGAGGATTTCAATCCTGAAGCTTTGGAACCAGTTTGGTTTTGCGGTTATTCTGAGCAGGATTTTAACTTTTTTGGTTTTGAATTGTGATTTTGTTGTTGGTATATAAGTACTGATAAAATGGTTAAAATGTTACGAAAAACAATAGTATTGTATATCATAAGAAAATTATATAATTATTATTGAATGTAGTAGAAAAAAAGTCCCAAGTTTTTGGTTAAGTTGTTTGAATTATTGGATGTAATGACTGCGAATTATTTCAATAGTCAGAGTAATATCGCTATTTGCGTTGGAGTGAGGATGGGAGGTCATTTTAAGTTTGTGACTTAAAAAAACTCGAGAGATAAGTGTTGAAGGTTTTCTACAAGCAAAAATCCTTCGCCAGTTTTATAAGGTTAGATTCGAATTTAATGTATGATTAGACAATTGAATTTGTATGGATTCAAGAGATCCAAGATTCGCAGAAATGTGAATGTGTTTTCTCATCGTCATTTTATTAGAGGTGACAAGTAAATCTATATATGAAAGTGTAGAGATTAGCTCATAAACATTATCAGCCACAATAAATTGAGAGTTCTGGAAGAATTGAGCAATTAAGATAATAATTTAAAGCCACAGATATACGAGGCTGAACACCAGTAGTTAACTGAAACTCTGAAGGATCTCTAGAATTAATAAAAATAAATATAAATCAAATTTAATGAGCAAATACATTTGTAAACATAACTAAAACTTCGAATTCTCTAAATTATGAATGTAAAATAATTGATTTATCCATATAGCAAATTAATAATCACGATATTTCAATTAATGTGAAGGCATAAAATTCGTATTAATTACTTTGCAAAGTAATGTAAATTATACCAAACAATGAACAACACAAAGAAGAAATGGCAGTGATAAAGTACATTTGCAAAGTGTTTAACGAATTTCATAAAGATTCAGTGACATCCTTGTTTGAGAGTCCAAATGAAAGGCTGACTCCTTTGCCCTTTTACTTGCAAGATTCGGCGGTGATTCCTAATCCATTAGACATAAAGGTCTAATAAAATAAGCTTTCAGATTAGTTTTAAATTCATGCGACAAAAATATTTCAGCCCTCTTAAGTGAAGTAATAATAATATTTGCTGTGATTTTATTTTATCTATGTCTAAAAGTCTATATTATTAAATGTAACCCTATTTGACCAGGATGAATAGATGTTATAAAATTTTACAAAATCTCGGAAAATTAAGAATCTGTTATTTTGGAATTTTTACATTTAATAATTATCATAACTCTGATTAAATAGATGGGCAATTAATGCGGTTAATGTGAATGTACTAATGCGAAATCGAATTAACAAGAAAAAGAAATAGTAGTGGTAATATGTCAACTAATTGTAAGTTAGATCATAATGAAATAAGAAACAGCAATAACTAATCTAAGGGCTCTATCACAAGTATTAAGGCTAACGGTGAGTCAAACTAATTTAGCAAAGAGAAGGATAAGAATTTTAGCAATAACCAAAATTCTGTATAGAGTTCAATAAAAAAAGAATAAGCCAGATTTAATGAACTGTGTAATGATAAAGATAAATTAATCAAAGCTGCTATTAAAATACAGAGCAACTACAGAGGATACTTAGTTAGAAAAAGGAAATTATAAAATAGATTGAAGATTGTTTAAAAAATCGTCATTCAGGGTGCGAATAAAAACTATTTATAGGAATGTGTTGAAGTAATAAATCTACCTGCTCTGAAAAACGATGCCTCATTAGAAAGGAGAGCCCCTTATTAATTTAAGAGTGGGGCCATATATGAAGGTTAATGGAAGGGAAATTTGAGAGAAGGAATTGGAGTTCAGATTTGGAAAGATGGAGCTAAATATATTGGGGAATGGAAAAATAACAGAGCCTGTGGGAAAGGAACTTTCTACCATGTTGATGGCGACACCTTCGAGGGAGAATGGGAATAAGACAAGGCAAACGGAAAAGGAATATATAGACATTCCAATGGATCAAGATATGAAGGAGAATGGAAGGAAGATCTTTAACATGGCTTAGGGAAGGAGATCTGGACTGATGGTTCTAAATACATTGGGCAGTATTATCGAGGGAGGAAGCAAGGACGTGGAAGATACGAATGGCCTGATGGTTCATATTATGAAGGAGAATGGTAGAATAATAAAATAACTGGTCATGGAGTTTACTGTTGGGCTGATGAGAGAGGGTATGATGGAGATTGGTTGAATAATTGTATGAATGGTTATGGAGTTTACACTTGGAAGGATGGAAGAAGATATGAGGGACAGTACAAGAATGATAAAAAGGATGGACATGGGATTTACTATTGGGCTGATGGGAAGAAATACGATGGGATGTGGAGTTAGGGAAAATAACATGGTTAAGGGTTGTTTGTTTTTGCAGATGGGACTCAGAAACATGGGATATGGAAGGAAGGAAAGCGAATGAAATGGCTAGAGATCACTACTTGAATGGAGGTTTTAAGAAATAATGAAATTTATATATATATATACTTAAATGGTTTATGAAAAAATTGAAATCTTTTTTTAATTTAAATAAATAATAAATGGGCAAAAAGGAAACAAAGGATAAGAAGCCAGCACAATTCAAGTAAGCAGATGATTGATATCTTACTTTAGAAAGATTTATGAGTTGTTGTCCAAGTATACTTAAGTCATCATCGTCGGATTAGCAAATGTTGGATCAAAACAAGTGTAAGACATTAGAAGAATTTTGGCTAAGAAGAACGCCCTCTTAGTTAATTGGCAAGAATGTATAGATGTTCAATTAAATACTCCTAGACTCTCTTCAAAAAGGTCTTGGCCACAAGAGTTTCAGAATTGCCAGATACTCATGAATATTATGAAGATTTGAAGAAATTCGGCAATGCAATCAAAGAATTAGACTCCTTGAAAAACTAAGTTGCAGGCAAAGTTGGATTCGTCTTCACAGATACTCCAGTCTTTGATCTCAAGCCAGTAATCGAAGAAAATAAAGTTGAAACCCCAGCAAGAGTTGGTGCCGTCGCTCCAATTGATGTTGTTATTCCACCTGGCCCAACTGGTATGGATCCAGCTTCAATTCAATTCTTCCATGCACTCTAAATCCCAACCAAAATTGAAAAGGGTTAAATCTAAATCACCAAAGACTTTGTTGTCTTGAAAACAGGCTAAAAAGTTGGTTAATCCCAAGCTGTCTTATTGTAGAAATTAGGAAAGAAGCCATTTTTATATGGGTACTCTATTAATTCTATTGTTAGTATGGAAGTTCTATCATGCTATGATAATGGATCAATTTTGAATAAATAATAGGTTTCAGTAAACTTGAATGACATTGTTGCTAAATTCCAATAGAATGTCTAAAACATTTCAGCTATTTCATTGTAAAATGGTACTATTTGATTTTAATCTCAATTTAGGTTGGGTCAATGAAGCCTCAGCTCCATATGTGTTGGCAAATGCCTTTAAAGATTTAGCAGCTATCGGCTTATAAAGTGGATTCATCTTTGATCAAATTAAGCAATCTAATGCCCCAGTTGCCGCTGCTCCAGTAGCCGCTAAAGTTGAATAAAAACCAGCTGCCCAATAAGCCCCAGCTAAAGCTGAAGAGCCAGAAGAAGATGTTGATATGGGAGGTTTATTTGATTGATCATGAAAACAATAGTATATTAATAATACATACAAATAACATACAGTAAATAGGGTTATATATTATCATCATTTAATATTAGTGAACAGGTAAACAGTATTCTTTGGGTGCTATTATTTGCATCCTCATTGAATTTTTAATAATTAGTATTAATTAAAATAAAATACTATATGTTATTCAAAACACTCTTTATTTTGTAAATAATATAATTATTTTCAAGTGAAATTGAGAATTCATTCGAGACGTGTTGGCATAAGAGTTCTGTGGAGGGATCAACAGAATTTATCAGAATTTTGGGCAGTCTTAAGCCAGAGGGGGTTTTTAAATCTTTTTCTTATATTTAAATTAATTTTTTTAACTTTTATTTCCTCAATGCCTCCAGAGAACACTTAGGTAACTTAACCTTGTTTTAATACTAAAATTACGATTATATTATCTCAATATCACATGACTTTATATTTTTTTTTAGATTTCTAAAAAATCAAAACACATTAAGAAAAACAAGACAGATGTTCATGAATATACTGAGGAAAAGAAGAAAGAAATTGAAAAAGTGATCTTTTGTTATGTATTTTAATAGGAATACTTGCAAATAAAAAAAAACAATTCATTACAAGAATCATACGAACCAAAGATCTAGAATGTGGTCAGTACGGTGATCTTGAAAATGAAGACGAAAGCAGGAGAAGAAATCGATAAACTTGATTTAGACAATCTGGCCCATACATCACAGAATTGTGAATACAAAAAAAGTAGATATTTATATTTAAATTATTTAGGTCGATTTCCTGCTCTGATTCAGAGAATAAAAGATCCCAAGTCAACTGCCCTGATATTTGAAGCGGGTAAGATGGTGATAACAGGTACCAAAGGTTAGAGTGAGGCAGAAGAGGCTGCTAAAAAAGTTTGAAAAAAGCATTTTATTTAAAGTTTAGAAAACAGATAGAGAAGAACAACAGGATTACTATCGAAATAGGCGATATTTAAACTAGTAACATAGTAGCCAACAGCCAATTGCCTTACGAAGTAAATCTGATGAAAATACATGATGACAGAAGTTTACAAGGATCTATCAGCTATGATGTACACATTCCAATTATCCTCTCTTAGCGATCAGCATTCCCAGGATTGATTTATAAAATGTAAAATCCTAAACTCGCTGCCCCTCATTTTTCTATTCAGGAAAGATTGTCTTCACTGGTGCAAAAAATGAAACTTAAATCAAAGATGCCTATTGTTAATTATTCAATATTCTCAAAAAACACTCATAAGAAAAAGTCAATAAATGAAGAATAAGAATTATTGAATATTTTTTGTGTTGTTTACATAACTACGTCTTTATGATTTAAGTTATACTAATTATAAGGATAGTCCATCCCCTCATCCTAATAATCCTCAATCAACTAAACAATCATATACGCTTATTAAATTCATCAACTAGAATTCCTGAAACTTCCTGAACTATTTCTAATGAATAGTCAAAAGATATTCTTAATTAAAAATCATACTAAAATTATATCCAAGATTTTGGCTCTATTATAATATATATTTATTTTGAATAGATTATTATTAATAAAATAGGGATTTATCATTTCATTCAATGTGCACCCTTTCGAACCACAGATGGTAGCTAAGATCAAATTAATAATTCCCAACATTAATTGAATAAAGAATAATTTTTAACTTTTGATATTTTATAATTGATTAATATAAAATTGAATGAATCATAAGGCTTAAATAAGCTATTAATGAGTAAAAGGACAAGGACAACTTTGACATTGAATTAGGAAACGAATTAGTCCTCAAATTAGACTAGAAAATCGTCAATTTAAGTTATCAATTTTAACCAACAAGATGTAAATTAGAATCAGGATAAGATTTATTTTTCAACTCGTCAAGGCTCTCCAAAAAAACACAGACACACTAAAAGTAATTATCAGTACTATTCCATAGGTTTAGGGGATACTTTAATGAAATCTACGTCATAGAAATTAATAAAAACTACCCAAAGAGATTTTTAAGAGACTAACATAATTAAGGAAGGGGCCTTATATAAGAAGATTTCTCCGAAAGTGATCTTCTAGAATGATAAAATCAATGTTTATTTTGTGAAGGAAGTCAATAAATTCACATAATCAAGTGACACAAAAATATCTAGTTAAGATATTGGTCATAGAGAACAGACCATGCAAGAAATTTCTAATTCCAGAGTTTCAATCAAAGGGCCCATGACATCTAGTTAAAATTTATTACAAGCCAGGATCACATAAGGTATTTTGAGCGATCCCAAACATTTGTTTGCAGCTTCAAATAAAAAGATAAAACTCGATAAAGCTGAGTCCTTAAATACGAGTGTCAAGTCTTCCTTGTGTAAATTATTGAAATTATATCATTGACTATATTCATTTACTTTTATTGGTATAATTTTTTCTTATTATTTTTTAATTGAAGTATCATTATTAAATCAAAATGATATTCTCTTTTGTATTAATTAAACATATAGTTGCGAATCAAGTTTATTCAGCATATTCATCCAGATTAACAATGAATCTAATTCAATTTGGTAGATTTGCTTATTGCTAATTTGTATTCTTTATTATTATTCATATTAGGTAAAATGATTTAATTTGAAGAAGTTTCAATGAAAATCATAAATAAAGAAACAATTAAATAATAGTCTCTCAAAGAATGCTAAAATGATTAAATATATATATATCAAATTGTTATTAATATTAATGAAGACTTTACTAATCATTATTACACCTCAATAAGAACAATAGCCATTAATATTGCAATATGTACTAAATTGAATCAATATGTAGATATGTAGATAATAGTATTCAAAATAATAAGTTTGCTGATTTTATTTTACTTTGCTTTTTTCAAATCAAGCTGATTAAGAATCCTATGTGTATAAGATGTGTTTTATTAATTTCTTATAATTCTGTGTATATTTAATTGATCATGTTTGTCGAATTGCTCAATAATTTCTTTTTCGATGACATTTGAACAAATTATTTGATATATATATATAAATAATTTAATTATGCAAATAGAAGCTGAGAGCAACATAAACATTTAAGAGATTTACGAATCCATGGTGAGCCAATAGTTTAATATTGCAATATTGAGACAATGGGAGAAGGAGTGGTTACTGGAGAATTACTTATTTCCCCAGATCAAGAATAATGAATAGTATCTTTAGAATAATAAGTAGATTATCAAAAGAGCTTGTATTTACTACAATAGCGATTTTAAATTTAAAATAGCTTGAGCAAATCAACATCTAGGATAGTCTTCAAGATTAAGAGATCCTTTTGAAGATATTTAACTACGTAACCAAAGGATTACCAGATTTTAAATCTTTATAATTGGAGGAAAAATAATAAGTTTATACATTTTTAATGCAATTATTTTGTATGCCAGAGACTCAATTTGTACAAAAGGAATGTTATAAATATTTATCGTCAGCATTGCTATTGAGTTCAAACAAAATAGTATAAAATCATATGAATAACAATAGTTCTTGAAATGGCACTTCTTGAGATACCCAAAGATGGTACAATCCTACATGAGTGCTTTAAAGGTCCAAGGAGGTAGTTAGAAGCCAGAATCCTTGTTCATACCTAATATAGTGTAGGACATGATTTAAATAATATTTTCGTATCCAATTAGCGAGGCAAATTTTAAGGAAAATGAAGAGTTAATACAAATAGAATCTCAAAATCAATTTAGAACATTTTTAGAGAGAAATTCAGCTCCACTTCCCACTCCTAAACACATTATCAAAGCATAGAATGAAAAATTATTGTACAGAAAAGTGACACAAACTTAAATGAGATACCTCAAGTGTATTGAGAAATTTGTGGATTTTATGATTTTGTTATTGAGTTCAATCCCAACAAGGAAGTTCTTGAAGATCTATTTGCTTTCAACAAATATACTGCCCTATTTGAAGTGCACATTGCCTTAATATCATTCATGTGTATTGTAGACATTGGTTTAATCATTTGAACATTATTTAACATATCCAATAAATGATTAGGATGGAGAGGTGCTTTCACTCAAAGATTAGTAAGTGATGTAGAAGGATTTCTTAAAGAAATTGCAGACGGTGCTTTACAAATAGTTTAAGTTCATGGTATAGCAAAAGGAATTGGAAGAATATCAATTCATCAAAAATTTAAGAAGATCAGAAATAGAGAAACTATTCTAAATGATGATATTGGTGTTCCCAATTGATTTATAGCCTAAATTGTATGAACCTGGCAAGAACTTTGATTTTCTTATCTAAGAAGTAATGAAGGCTGCTGCACCTCCTCCTTATCTAAACCATTACCTCAAAGATACTCCTCTCATACCTAATGAATAGATGATATGGGATTATAAACACATCCCTGAAGAATCTAAAAGCGGAGTATTAAAATAAGTTTTGGCTTTGCCCAAATTGAACTTATAGTTTCTATGTTTTGAAGACTATTTAGAAAGAAATTATAAGTTATTTAAACTTGAAAGTGCATTTGATTTGAGAAAAGATTTAGAGGACACTATAATCAGAATGGATCCCAAGTTTGATTAAAATGGTGCCTTTATTTACTTCAGTGGATGGGCTAAGGCAGCAACAGAAGTGATTAAGTTCAGAATTCATGAAGTATAGACTCCCGAGATCGGTAAGAGAATCCCAAGGAGGGTTTATGGAGAGATACAATATTCAGTTGAAAGGATGGCATAGAATGTAAGGAAGGATTGGGATAGCTTGAAGAAGCATCAAGTTGTATTTTTGATAAGCTTTAGAAAGGAGATAGATATGTAGGAATTTTAGAGTGAACTAAGTGAGAGATAGAATCTAATTGATTAGATCGAGGAGAATGAGGGATGCAAGCTGTTTTGTGAAAAATATGGTATTAGAGCAATTAGAGGAGCTGAAATAGAATTGGTTTATGATGAAAGAAGGAGAGAGATATTAGATTGGGAGGAACCAGATCCCTCAAAGAAATTCTAAGGAAATTTAAGAATCCTTCATGTCTTTTTGGATCAAGCATAATATCAAGAAGATATCGATTGTATTAAATTAAATAATTGTTTTAGCTGGTATCAATGCAGAAGGTGAAATCTATGGAAATTTCAAACTGTTGGTTAAAAGAAATCCTAAAGAAAATAACTTCAAAGCAATCCTTGGATCAATCCAATAAGTCATATTGCAGAATCCTAAGTTACCCAAATTTTTAGATGAAATTCTTTTGGGATATGGTGTTGAAGACATTTCTTCATCCTAATATTATTTGAAGAATCACACAAGTAGTGTGGATTTCAGCCTCAGAGATACTATCATTGATTAATCACACTATGATGATGTGATTTAATAGAATTCATTCATTCCAGAAGACTTGAAATAGAGAATTACTTTTGGTAATGTGAATATTAGAAAGAGAGTAAACAACATTAGATTCACTAAACCTTAAATAAATGCAATAGTTTCAGCTATGTATCCTGGTTTGACACTAGTTGTTGGTCCTCCAGGAACAGGTAAAACAGATGTAACTGTTTAGCTTGTGAATTTACTCTATAAAAACTTCCCAAATGAAAAAACACTTCTGATTACTCATTCTAATCATGCATTGAATGACATCTTTTAAAAAATATCCAAAATGGATGTAGATGAGAAACATATGTTAAGATTGGGTATAGGAGTCAAGGACTTAAAGTTAAGCAAGACATTTTCAAGGGAAGGGAGAATCGATCATATGTTATCAAGGAGATTGCAATTGTTAGAAATTGTTGGGAAAATTTAAAAAAGTGTGCAAATTATGTTTTCAGAAGAGTATTCTTGTGAGGTTTCAGAGATTTTCTTTAAATTGCATATTCAAAGACTGTGGGATAATTATAGAGATAAGGTCCAAGCAGACCCCAACGTGGCATTTCCTTTTAATACTTTTGTTGAATAAAACCCATTGCTCTTTGAGAAGGCTTAAACAAGGGAAGAACAATATAGAGTAATTGAGGACATATTTGAACAAGTAAGAGAATGCAGACCATTTGAATTATTGAGAAACAAAAAGGAGAGAGGAAATTATATCATTTGTCACCAAGCCAAAATTGTAGCCATGACTTGTACTCATGCTGCTCTCAAGAGGAATAGTTTCTGTGAATAAGACTTTTAATATGATAACATAGTTTTTGAAGAAGCTGGGTAGATATTAGAAATCGAAGCCTTCCTTCCATTGACTATGTCTTTAACTGGAAAACTCAAGAGATTAATAATGATTGGAGATCATAATCAATTGCCTCCTGTTATTAAGAATGTTAGTTTCTAAAAATTAGCCAATATGGAATAATCCTTTTTTATCAGAATGATTCGATTAGGAGTATTTTATCATCAACTTACAGATCAAGGCAGAACAAGACCAGAAATTATGAAGTTGTATTCTTGGAAGTATAAAGAATTAAATTCATTGTAATGTTGTCATCCTTCTTCGGATAATTAATTTGGACATGCTAATGCTGGATTTTGTAAAACCTTTTAATTTATTGATATCGATTACAAAGGAGTTCTTGAAAATAAACCTATGCCATATTTCTATTAGAATATTGTCGAAGCTGAATTCATTGTTGCTACGTAAATCATCTTTCAATATTTTTTAGTTACATGTATTTGGTCTTAAGAGGCTATGATCCAAAGCAAATAACTATTTTAACAACTTACAATGGCCAAAAGATGCTCATTAAGGACATCATTACAAGAAAGTGCTCCTGGCATTCACTCTTTAGAACTCCAGAAAAGATTACAACTGTAGACAAGTTCTAAGGATAATAAAATGACATCATCTTGATTTCAATGGTTAGAACATCTCAGCCAGGCTATTTACGAGATATTAGGAGAATCATTGTAAAAATGTTGTATATTCCAATAGGTCGCTTTTTCAAGAGCAAAATTGGGTCTGTATATTTTTGGAAACTTATCAATATTTAATAAAGTACCAGAATTGTAATAAACATTCTCACAATTCGTGTCTGAACCATTACATATATTGCCAAATGAAGTGTATAAAACTAAAAGGGCTCATGATGATTTATAGTTAGAATAATCTCAAAGTGTTAATCATCCAGACTAAATGTATGAAATAATTAAGACACAATTAATTGAAAGACAAAGACAAAATTCTAATATCGAGAATCTAACAGAAATACAATAAGAATAGGAATTGTAGAGCTAATGAAAATTATATATTTTTAGCATATAAATAAACATATCGTTATAAATATTATTATTAGAATCTTTTCTAATTGCTTATATAAGCCTCTGAAGATATTTCCTGATACTAAAATTATAATTATAAAAATATATTTATTATAATTATATATTTAATTTAATAGTATTTACTATTCCATTTTGCTAATTTATATGAATATTAAATTCGCCAAAAGAATAATCATTTTTTATTAGGATAAGGATAAAGACCAATTGAGATTAAGAAGACGAGTTTGAAATCTTGATTCTCTTAAAATATAAATTGCGTTTTAATCATAAATAAATTTTGCAATATAAATAACTATATAAGTTTTACTCTAATTTCTAATATAAAATTTGAGCTTTCTTCAAGATTTTACATGTTAAACTTATATCAAATATGAGGGATTAGAGCCTTCATTTAGTTAAATATTATTCAATTTTCATCTAATAATAAATAATACAAAAAGAAGCTAATTAAAATCAACTAAGTATTAATCATCTCCACTTTATCCTTCTCCCTTCAATCCATTCACCCTCTCTTTAATCTCCAAGCTCAGACACCATAACTCCATGACCATGTTACTTTCCCTATTTCCATGTTCCTCTATAACTGCTGCCATTTGGAAACTTAAAAATGCCAAATCCTTCCTTCAAGTCATAGGAATACTAAAATTATTCGCATATATTTATTTACATTCCCAGAATACTCACGTCCATCTGGCCAAGTAAATGTACCTTTCCCATGCATTTAATTATTTACCCACTAACCTTCATACTAAATTGGATATTTTTATTACTTTTCTTCCATCCTCAAATAAAAAGATACCAAATCCCTCATATTTATTTTTCTAAAATTCTCCCAAATATTTGCTTCCATCTTGATACGTAATCTCTCCATATCCTTGACGATGTCCAAATTTATATCCACCTTTATATTCGAATTATTAATTGATTTCATGTCCTTCCCCATGAAACAATTATTGTTTCCATTCTCCTTTATAGATAAATCCATTTTAATCCTAAAATTCCCCATATCCATTAAATTCATTTTCTTCAAAGTTTCCTTCATATCTAGAATTAATTCATTAGTTACAAACTTCCATCACAACCAATTTGTCTTCCCTTGCCTGACTTTTAATCCCTCGAAAACGTTCCTTCATACAAAGTGCCATCAATATCTATTTACCTACCAAATCCTTCTTTTTAAAACTATAAAAATTATCCTTGGTATTGGCATCCATCATTCAATAAATAACAAGGATAACTGTTCTATTGAAGGGGAGCCAATTCTTTCAATTTATTTTGTATGGATAAATGTAAATTTTAAGGCCATTCTACTTTTTGTGCATCTTTTGGTATCATTTCTATAACTGAGACATTTTATTGGGTTAAATTAGATTCCACTTAATTTTGCGTGATAAGAGTAACCTACTATTCCACTATTTTTTGTTTCTTTAAATAACCTAAATTTATTGGAGGCACAATTACATCTAACACTTGTTTGAATTTTGATAATTTTGGTCTCATCCAAAGATATGTCGTCTGCTGGGATCAATCCAAAATCTCCTTACATATTTAATCTTCCAACATCCTAGTTTGAACAGCAAACTATTCCCATATAATTTAATAAATTATTATTATTCAATAGTATTATCTTATCATCTTCCAATTACATTTTCATAATTAATCCCAGTCAATTCTTAACTAGAATTAACGACAATCCCTTTTAAACTAACGATTTGTGATTTTACCATTTAATTTCAATAATTGTATATTTTAAATCCTAATTTTACCCAATCAAGAACCCTCTCAAGTTTGTGATGATTAGATAATTAATTAGAATTATTGGATATTTTCAAAAATTTAGTAATTTTTATTATTTCTTCTCAATAATACGAAATTTTTCCAATGAGTCGCACAAATATTCCACCCTAATCCATTCAATCCCGATCTTGTGATATTTAACCCCATTATAAGAACAAGTAAAATTAGAATAATATTAATAATAATTAATTAGGGAAAATACTGAGGAGGGTGAAATATAAATTAGAAATTAACAAAACTTTATCGAAGAAAATCGTCTCAAACATAAACTCTAAAATAATTATAATGATTTTTACCTCCTTTTCAAAAAGGATATAATTCATATTTTTCTATGGTTTATTTTAAAATAGGAAATAATTTATTGAAATGTCATTTAATATTATAATTGAATTACTTTAAACTATTCAGCATAAATTGTCATCTAAACTCACTCTCCCAATGTAATCAATGATAATTTACATATTGAATAAAGTTAAGCAATAAATCCAGTTTATATTATGATATGCAAATGTGAGTTACTCTCTGATTAGGATTATTCTAGAATATTATATTCTGTAATACTTTTTGAGAGTAATCTTTGTTAAAAATTGTGAGATATCAAATTTGATTCGGAAACTTTGTAATTATTATATTTATATTATTATTGAATAAGAATATATGGCATCATAATTATTAGAAAGGTTGTTCCAAAATAACCCTAATTTGAATGAGATTTAAAGAGATCGAGTCGCAGAAACCTTGCAATACTTAGAGACGCATAAAATATCGCTTTTATTCGAAGTAAAGCTGAGATGATTACATTTAGGAATTATTATCTTAATTAATATTTGAAATGAGCAATTAACCGAGAAAAACACTATTGGATACACTTAAAAATCATAAAACTTAGACTTTCTTTGACACTTCTGATTATGAAGTAATTTTTGAACATTTTGATACATTTAATGATAAAACTGTCAAGATGAATTCAATCAGACAGGGATTATAGATAATTGGAATTACAAAATCGGAAGAGGAAATAAATCAAAAATATTAGGCTATTTTAAAAAAAGGGTTTGTCAATAAAAATGAATTTGTTGATATAATGATCAATGAATATAGTTAAAGATGAATTTGGAATATCGTTTAATTTAATATTTATGTATTATCTCATGATGGGTGGACTTAATTTACACAGGATCCTTTGACCTTGAATTCGTAGATGTTATTTAGGGTTGTTTGGCTGATGTTCATCAGAGCTTCGTGAGTGAAGAAGGCTTGATGTCCTGTGATGATGACATTGGGGAATGAGAGCAATCTGGCTAAGACATCATCAGTCAATACTTCCTGACTTACATCTTTAAAGAACAATTTTTCTTCTTATTCGTAAACATCTAAATTTTAGTTTAAATTTATACCTATTGCTAAGCCTCCGATTTTTTTCTTTTTCAATGCGTTAACAACTGCTTTGGTTTCAATTAGAGCTCCTCTTCCAGTGTTTATAATCATTACATTTTCCTTCATCTTTGTTATTGAATGATCATTGATAATGTGTCTGGTTTAAGGTGTCAATGGACAATGTAAGGAGATGTAATCACTTTAGTAAAAGATATCGCTTTCATCAACATAAGTAAATCCCAAAGTTTCAGCCAGTTTTGGATCTCTGTGGGGATCGTAAGCAACGACATTCATCCCGAATCCTTTGCAAATTTTGGTAAAGCAAATTCCTATTTTTCCCAGACCTATCAACCCGATGGTTTTTCCATGTAAATTCGATCCAACGAGTCCGTCCAAAGCAAAGTTATGATCCCTTGTTCTGTTGTAGGCTTTATGAATCTTCCTATTGAGAGACAAAAGGAGAGCCATAGAAAATTCTGCAACTGCCTCTGGAGAATAAGCTGGGACTCTCACAACATTGATTCCGAGTTTGTCTGCTTCCTTTAGGTCGACATTATTGAATCCGGCGCATCTTAGAGCCACCAGATTCACTCCTTGTGAGGATAGCTTTCTTAAGACTTGGGCTGAGACTTTGTCATTTACAAAACAACTAGTTAGGGATATTAAGGAAGAGTACTTACCAAACAGTGTCGCATTCATGTGCGAGTCTAGCACTATTCTCATTTAATTGTTCTGCAAAAAATGATAATTTGACTTGTTTTTCTTCTGGGAGACTTGTATTGACTTTTGTTAGGTAGTCTATGTCATATTTCTTGGTATTGAACACAGCTACTGAGGGTTGCTTGGGGATACTTGAAAGATATACTTTTATTGTATTGAATGCAAATCTGCCTAAAAGTTTAATCATTATTCTTTAAAATAAATTTATTTTCAATATCAAAATGCATGGTGGATTTAATAGTAAAAAACTTGAATAAGAATATATTTCTGTAGTCAATAAAATGACAATCTTGCTGATTGATTAGTTATCATTACAACTTCAACTTAGTAAAGTAGCATAATATGATAGATAGATTAAATTACAAATAAACAATTTTTTGATAAACAATTCACTAAGTTGTTAAATTCCATTAAGTCACTAGAGAATCAAAAGAGATTGCCACCTAAATTCAGCAATCTCTTGTAACCACTATAATTTGTTATTCAAAACAAAGCCAATTAGATGACGTCGAATGAGTAAGTAACAAATGCGAAGCCTAAATACATTCCCCCCATCTTGGAGCAAGATGTTTAATATTCCACTCAATTTACAAAGCGTTATAGCAATACTCAAAGATAAATTCAATATATAAATCAGACACAAAAAAAGAAGAACTTCTCTCCCAATAAAATCAATAGAGTATGCAAGTACTTGGACTAGAAGAAGACGAGACCTATGAATTATAACATAGGAGAATTCTACGCTGACTTTTAAAATGACTCATAAATAGTAGGGAAGAATAAACTATTGGATTATAAGTTGCAATCCTCTGAATTAAACAAAATTGCGAAAACATCTCTAAGTGTTGATACTTCTTAGCTTTAAGAAATCTCTAGATTTTCAAATTTTCACGAACAGTATTGATAACCCTATATTTTATTTGATTTATAAATTAATTAAATTTATTTTCAATGTAATTATTTTAGAATGTTAAAAGACAAAGTATTTTAATATGTTTATATGAATCAAATAGTGAATAAATATCATAATTTATTTTTAGGCTTTAAACAATTCTAGATTTTTTTAAAAACAATTAAGAATTTCTCTTATAAATCTTATACAAACTCTCTCAATAAAAAGACAAGTTATACAAATATTGACAATCCAATAGTTCCTATCATCAACCATCCTATTTAAAATCTCTGATCTGCGCTTAATAAACCAATCTAGAGATAAATGAATATATTACTATGTCATCAAGAGCAAAGCCTGTGGATAAGAGCATTAAAACAAAAATACAGAAGTCAGGAACTCCATTTTAGACCAGTTCAGCATTGGATGGAAATGGATTTTCGTAAAGGATCAAGGCTATGTTCAGAAAGCTGATGAAACAACTGAATACAGTTTATAGTAGTGGTTAATAGTAGAAGTATACGACTACTACAATGAATAAGGCCTTTCGGTTTAGGTTGATGAAGGAGTACATCATAGCAGTGCTGGATTTGGTGTTGATGCTTTCATATAAAGTGCCATATTATTTCTAAAAGATCTCATGATCCAACAGCATATGGTGTTTGGTGGTCACATAATAGGAAATGATCAAAATAAAGACGCAGACACTGATGCACACATATGACAAGATTTGATTCATGAATACAATTTAATAATCCATAAGACTGCTAGGAACTGTTGTGATTTGAAGTATGATGGCTAATACTAAGTCTAAAAAGGCTAAGTTTAAGGACTTAATGAAATTGGATAGAAAGTTCACCTTAAACTTGTGCAAAGGTTAGTAGATCTTGTCAATTAGATATGGGAATCTCTTTCTGGGATTTATAACTATTTGTTGTATTATTTCGACAGGCTATTTGTTTTTCACTTTAGAAAATAAATTTGAATTGAATTTGGTAGGGGAAGCTTTGGTTTCATTCAATTGAAAGATTTTATTGGAGAGCAATTAGCTTTTTTATGTAACAGGAGGCCATATACATTCAAGGATCAATAAAATGACACAAGATAATAATTGAACAGCAATCGTAATACCTATGATGGCAAAGCAAGTCCATGTGTTGTTAAGGAATATTGGATCAACTCCTTTTTCCATGAATTTCTTAGGACTCTCAACATAATAAGGATCAGTAGGTTCGTTTAGTACGAAAAATGCTGGAAATAGTTGAAAATCTCCCCAAGCAGATTTTTGAAAGAACATCCGAACATTTTCAGGGAAATAGATATTGATATAATAAAGATTGTTGATCCAACTTAAGATATCCATAATGGTCCAAAAGAAGTTGAATCCACCTAGTAGTATGACAGATGGAGCTATAAAATACATCATTTCTCCAAGAGTAGATTGGGCATCACTTGCACTTTCAGCCTATTTAACTTGATTTTAGGAATAAATAATTTTCTTCCTTGGAGTAATAATAATCTCTCTGGTTTCTTCTTCAAGTACACGTCTAGATGTTCTCACTTTAACTGGGATGAAGATGTGTATGAGATTTCCAAGATCAATGGTTTTGTTGAATGAAAAATCGATATTACATTTGGAATTGTTTTCATCAATTTATTCATACTTGATGAAGGATTAAAAGTCATTTGGGAGAAATTAATCTATTGTAATATTGATTTTGGCGCATGGATCGCCTTAATCAATAGGAAAATTAAGAGCCATGCTATCAGAAGTTGTAGAATTTATATATGCAGCATCTACCTATGCTTGTGGTATTTTTGTGCAAGATGATTCTTTACAAGTGTAATACTTTTCCACTTGACATTTGGAACTACAACCGTCGCCATCAAGATTGTTTCCATCATCACATAATTCACCGTCAACTATAATTGAATCCCCACACTTTGTAATACATTTACGATTAACAATGTAATATCCTTTAACATTTGTACATTTTGGACATGCTCCTTTGTCATCAGGTTTTGCATCTATGATAGTACATGATAGACATGTTTTATTATCCTTGCAAGTGTAACACATATCTGAACATTTCAAACACTCATTATCTTTTAGATAATAACCATCATAACATTAATCACATGAACTTTTATATCCTTTTAATGAGCAAGTTTAACAATTAGCAACACATTAGAAACAGATAGATCTGGATAGCATTTTATTAACACAAGTAAAAAGAGAGTCTACTTTGCAATCTGTACAACCATCTCTACTATTTTTATTACCATCATCACATTATTCTCCTTTGGTTAATTCACCATCCCCACAATTTATGTAATTACAAATATCATTCACTTTACCTTTTATACTTGAACAATTCTCACATTAATTCTACTCATTCTCAAAAAATCCTTTTTAGCATTCGCATCTAGACTAGACGACATCTCTATTCACTATTTAATAATTTATGTATAATTTTACCATCTATGCAACTTAGACAATCTGATGCACTTGTACAATTAAAACAAGGAGGAGAGCATTCTATAATTAATAATTAGATATAAATTACTTTGACAAACTTGTTTCTCATTTTCAAAGTATCCATTATTACATATACATGACACTCCATCTGAATTTAAAGATCTATTTTCAGAACATGTTTAACATTCATGATCATTTACACACTTCCCACATTTGCTATTACACTTTATGCATTCTGAATTGTCATTCTAGAAATATCCAACTGCACATTCACACAACTTATTATCAGGGTTCATTTTTCTTTAGGGAATGCAAATCAAACACCCAATTTCTGTACCGTTGACACAGGAGGAACAGGTCGAATGACATTAAGTGCATATGCCTTTCTCATTTAAATACTCATTTGTTTTGCATTAACAAACATTATTGATAAGTTGGTATTTTTTGGTTTCATCACATGTTAAACAATTTGTGGCATTATTTGAACAAGTTAAACAATTAGTTGAACAATCTAAAGGTATTTTATAATTATTACTTTCGCATATATTCAAATCATTAATAAATTGATGACTATCTTAGCATTTACAAACTGAAACATCCAAATAGAATTTAGTATCACAACTTAAACAGTTTGTAGCATTAGTTTCGCAAGTTAAACAATATCTACTGCATTCTATGTTACAATATAATAATATTAAATTACTTTAACAAACACCATTTGAATCAAAATAATACCCATCTATGCAGTTGCAAGCATTACTGATGGAATCTAAAACCTTGTATTCAGCAGGAAAACAGCAATTACCCGCATCAGTACAAGTCAAACAAGTAGGGTGACATTGAAGACAATCTGTCAGACTAGCATTCATGTAATATTGAGTTGGGCATGAACATACATTATTAGTCAAAGTCATGTCAATTCCAACACAACTTTAACATTACGTTGCTGCATTAACACAATTTAAACAAGGAGATGAGCATCCTATTTATTTAAAAGTATATTTACTTAAACAAGTAGTGCCTGATAGGTAATAACCATCGACACAACTAGTACAGACTGATGAATCAGTACAATTAATGCATGGAGAAGTGCATGCTATTATAATTTATATAATCTACATATGCAAGTTGTTAATGACATGAAATAGCCATTTTGACAATCACAAAGATTGGTACTAGGATTCAGCATTTTGAATTCAGCTGCTAAACAGCAATCATTTTGATCAGTACAGGTTGTACAAGTAGTGTGACAATCTAAAATGTATTATTTAACATATATATACTAATGCAAAGAGAATTAGTTTAATCAAAATATTGATCAGAAGCACATTGGCAAATTCCAAAGCTTAAATTCATTAAGGGATCTGCACAAGATTTACAATATGTTGATGAGTTTATACATGTAGCACAAGGCTGAAGACATGCTAATGGATAGTAATTAGATATCATTACCTTAACAAGTGTTATTTGCATCTAAGAAATATCCAGCTAAACATTCACTACAAAAATCTACAGATGAACACAAAGTGCATGGTGATACGCATTCTTAAAATAAAATGATAATTTACGTATGCATGTCATATTGGCATCGAAGTAGTATCCAGGGATACAATTAATACATTAAGTTTCAGATGAACATGATTAACAAGGAGGAACGCAAGCTATAGAATTATATATAATTGTCATACTTAAACACGTGTTAGAGGCGGATAAATAATGCAAGGTATTCACACAGGTTTTACAATATGTATCAGTTTCGCATGTTAAACAAGGGGATAGACATACTAATGAAATAATAAACAATAGAACATTTGCATTATTGTACTGAACCGTCGTAATAATATGAATCATTAACACAAGTTTTACAAGTATTAAGATCTAAACAAGTTAAGCAAGGTGATGCACAAGAGACGCATAAATTATTTTACAGATAGTATGAGTCATTTATACAGGAGAAACAGATGTTGGAGGCAGAGCATTACAAACATGGAGATACACATTGTACACAAGTGACATCAACATAATAGGTGGGATTAATACAGGATGTGCACGTTGTTAGTGAAGTGCAATCTAGACAAGGGGATTAACACACTAAATCACAATTAATTATTACATAAACATTCTAAACTATTGCTGTAATACCCATTTTAACATACACATGCATTTACCGCAGCATTATAAGAGGATAGATAAACACATTAGTTGCAAGAAGTTTGACTTGTACAATCAATGCACAAAGCGGGACAGTACTGATTGCAGATTCCACCTACCACCTTATATCCTACTGGGCATGAACATGATGGTATCACTTAACCACTGTATTGACATGAAGTACAATTAGTCACTGTGGTTTTGCATTCAATACAAGGGGATTAACACTCTAAAAATATTGAATAGCAATACTTTCACATCCAAGTTCTGTTAATGTATAACCAACTACACATTCACATTACTGAGATATATTTATAGTTTAATTTGGACCACAACTTGTACAGTAAGTTGGAGCGATTTCACATGTTAAACAGTTAGGATCACAATCTTGACATATTCCATTTGAATCTTGGTATTAATTAGTAGCACATACACAATAATAATACATAGTGGTAAGGTTCTAGATAAGCTATGTTTTGTATTCTGCGGGACATGATTAGCAATTTGCAAAATTAGTATTGCAGGTTAAACAATTGGGATCACAATCTACACAGACATTTTTCGCTAAGTCTAGATACTAATTTGGATTGCATGAGCAACCAGTTAGTATTGGATTGCACTTTTACAATTCTTCAATGTAATCGCATGGTTTAAAGGAGTCAAGACATTCGACTGTGAAATATATAAGATCAGCAGTGAAATAATTGATAATATATTGTCCATTTGTTCTAATCTTGAATTCAACTGATCCTGCTCTCTTTTTTTGATGAATGTAATATTGAGGAGAATAAGAGTATAATGTTGATATTCTTTTGATGGACAATAGGGTTGGAATGGTTAATGGGTAAGACTAAATACCATAAGTAATCGTGGTTCCTCCAATAGAAAATCCTTAACCTTAAGTGCTTTAACTTAGCATTTCATTAAAAGAGTACTAAATGTAACCTAAGAATTCAAAGAATTAGTATTTTAACATGTATAAATATTAGTTAGCAGACAATTGGAACAGGTTTACATTTACATATTCCAAATTCAAATCTATCGTATTTGAAACCAATGACATCAAGCACCATCCCAAAATGCCACCTGAAACATCATTCTTATATCCTTGAGAGAGATAAACTTATTAAAATTCCCCTGATGTATCTGATTACAAAACTGATTAAAATCTTTAACTCCTACCAGCCACCCACTGGATCTTATATTAAGCATTATAAGATTTGCAAATAACTCTTAACAGAAAATAGTCGTTGTAAACTGAATCTACAAAGGTTTAAAACTCTAACCCCTCACTCTAATCTAAATGCCCCAAGATGCTTATTGCAACAAGAGGTGGACTTTAATAATTTTTGGAAAAGTAAACATATGAGTAATAATCAGAGTAATATGAATAACAGCCAAATTCATAAATTCCTTCTTCAACCGTTTAATCGGGTAGAAATCCTATTATGATTTGATATAATCATTTACTAATACAATCTGGTGAGATTCCATCGTCGAAGTAGCCTGCAGGGCATTTACAATCTGGTGTATTAACTCGAATGCCCGCACAAACCATACAAATAGTGGGATCCGCTAAATCACAATCCAAACATGTGGGATGGCATTTAGGAATGCATTCCTTTCGTTATTCATTGGCTTCATAGTAAGGTGGACAAGAAGAGTAGCATTACCCTTCCAAAAGATATTATCCCTAAGTAATATTAGTATTTAGATTACATTCAGACAATAAAAACATTTATTTATGGAGTATGAACAAATATTATTATTTATATACTCTTATGGCGAGTAAAACCCATTACTAATTCTAATACTAGTTATTTAAAATGGATAAAGATTAGTATCTTAATAATTAAATATATTTATTACTATCGTTTGATCCTATATATAGAGTGTCTGTTTCTTTTATCCAGAAACTATATGGTTGACCAGCTGAACATACCAATTTTTCATTCTAAATAAATAAAATCACCATCATATCCATCAATTCCACAATCCCCAGCATAAATCTCTCTCCAAAATTCATAATGCAAGAGTAATTGACATCATATGATGTAAAATTAATAAAAATTTATTAATTATGAAAATCAGCACTGATTGTCATAATATTATACGAATATCTCTAACAAGTAAAGTTGAATAAAGTCTAATACCCCTCTATTGGATTATTTAGTAATTAAAATTCTATTGTTATAGTTTTTTCAATTTTGAAGTTCTCAAACTTTATGTATTACTGGTTTGAAAATTATAATGTTTAGTTACCTGGTATTATTTGAGGATCAAAAATATCATAGTCCAAAGAGCTTCCCAATTACACGACACGCTAATAATCACTCCAATCCTTTAAAATCTTAGTTTGATATCTCTCATAAACTCTTAAATCTAGAATGACTTCTGGTTCAACGTTAGACAATATGGTGATTTAGTCTATCATTTAAATATTAGAGTCTAATGCTAACATTTTTTTCACTGTTATAGAATTAGCCTAACCAGTAAATGTATAAATTTAATCATAATAGGAATAAGCTTCGTCGCAAAAATAACATGTTAAGTCTGAAGTTACTTGAAAGAAACCAAAATATTAGTAATTGTCTTAAGGCAACATAATGCATTCAGGATATAGTCCTTGATTGATATTAATAGAGCAAACTGATTTCTATCCTTCCACTAGATTTTATTTATAATATATGTATATCCAGGAAGAGTCATTCTAAATATATATTGAACTGTAATAGCCAAAATCATATTTAGTTGTGTAGATTTCAAGTTAGTCATAAGTAAGTAGTACATTGATTGATTTTTAGTTAATCTACATTACTAGTTACTTTTCTGAATATCCATAACTCCACACCCAAGCTAAATCTTACAAAATTAATACTTCCTATTATAAACGAATCTGTTAGGATATTGATACCATAATTATTGATATTATAGTAATAGATATTATTACTTTCGGTATTCCCGTAAATATTATTCAAGTTAATTGGGTAACTTAGATCGCTAGACCTTAAATTAAAAGTCTTACCTTGATTCTAGTGAATAAAATTGACTCTAGGCTGCAAAAATAGAAATTGCTACAGTGATTACGTAATTAAACACCATATTTTAATATAATAAATTATAATTTAATTTCAGATAACCTTGAAGATTACATCACTCTCTTTAAATTGATATCAACCCAAATTGATAAAATTTTAATTAATGTATCTCAAAGAATAGTTCTTATTCCTAAACGAACTGAAAGCTCAGAAGAAGAAACCAGTTCTTCCCTTCTTACAGAGGTAATTTTTTCATTTATTTGGTTACTCGAATAATTCATTGGATGCTAAGCTATGTAGATTAATATTTCATATTTCTCGCTGATCACTTACAACATTCCAGTAATCTTTTGACTGAACCCTTAGACAGAATTTATGGGTATTACAATGACTGAACCCAAATGATTTTCGTGTAACTGAAATAAAGCACATTCTAAATATTCTTCTTTTATCTGCAATGTCTGGTCCTGTACTACAATATGCACAACATTTTAGGGATTATGAAATAAGGCTAAGCTAGAATCAGCATGATTATAATGTCCATTTAATTATTGATAAGTGCAGTTAATTTTTTTGCTTGCTGTCTCTGAATCAGTGTCAATCAAAACTATGTACTAATTTTGATTAGGTTTGTTAGCAATAATAATGAACAATGACAACAAAATGGTCATTATTTAAAATTATTATATTATCACTTACAACAATAACCCCTAAATGATATTATCAATTTTTACATTTAAGTATTATCCTATCTATAGGTATTAATTGATTGTTAATCAAAATGGATACTTAGTTAAGATAAAAATGATATTAATTAATAACTTAATTAAAGATGGCTATGATGGTCCCCCCCCAAATGAATCCAAAATATAAGACATCGCTCTGCAAGCATTGGACAACAACAGGAAATTGCAGTATTGGGTCTAGATGTCATTTTGCTCATGGAGAAAGAGAATTGCGTAATCCTAATGATGTATTCGAAGCATTCATAAATTTAAATAGCCTTTACCATAATTACCAAGTCAAAACTTACAAGATCCTAAGCTTCTGCAAGTGTATTTCTCTGGCAGCTTGGGTATTCACAATTACAAAACAACATTATGCAAATATGCCAGCAACAACACTTGCAGATATTAAGAAATGTGTCATTATGCCCATTCTCCTGAAGAGATGATTCCATTTGAAAAAGTTAGAAATGTTACTACCCAAGTACTGATTTCAAATTACGTCTCTTTAATCAAGAGTCATTATTTGTTGAATAGTCATTCAATTCCCGGTTTTAATATCAATTAAGAATAAGTAGAAGTAAATTTTGCTTTTTTAATTTTTAGTTAGCACTTTAAATGGAATTCCAAAAATTGATAGTGGCACAATAACTGAAATTTGTTCTCAATCATCTAGATAAAATGGATTACACATAATCAGAATTGAGATTAAAATTAAATACTGCTCATGAATTACTGAATGCCAACAACTTTCCAGGTTGCAGCCAAACAATAAGTGATATAATAAATAGACCAAATGTGCCAACAGATGAAAAGAAACATTACCAAGATATCCTTTATGAAAGTGCGTAAGAAGGCTATAGAATTGTGGAAGGATATTAAAGATAAATTTTTGAATTCTAGTGCGAATAGGCTTAATAATTACAGGAAACATATTAGAAGAGTGAAAATCCATAAACATTATTTGGAAATGCACCAACTCTTCCTACCACAAGTATTCCAGGATATAGGTTTTGATAGATATATCAATATTTTAAATGTGAATTCGCAATAATATATAAATATTATATCAACACTGCCATTCTAGATATATTTTTTTTGTATTGTTTATCAAAAATTGGGTCTTTGTTTATTTGAATCAGAATAATTATATGTCAAAGTAATATGGTTTAATAACTTTAAAGGTATGTTAATGATATAATCTGATGTATTGGAAATAACAACGAAAATCTAAACAATCTTTAAGATAAATGAATTCTAAGTTTTTGGAATGTTTGAAATTACTTAAATTAATGTTATAATTATATTTTATAATCATAAAGAATATTGTATCTAAGCCTCTTAAAAATTCAAATTATCCAAATTATAATTAGAATAATTAACACTAACACATATATATATAGATTTCTACTAAGTGATATTATATAAATTCATGTATATTTATTTAAAAATTTGGATATGAATCCTGTTTTGTTTGGATAAAAATTTTGCTCTGTTTAACTCATTTATCTACTTTTGGATAGCAATTACTGACTTAATTACTCATTCTCCTTTAAATACTTGGAGTTTAGCATCATTAGATAAACTTCATTTTTTTCAGATTCTATCAACTACTAATTCAATTTATCTATCCTTATCTTAAATTGCTCTTTTTCTTCGTAATATTGTTGATTCAATAATTCTAATTCTTGAATGTATTGGAGAGAAATCTTTTCATTCTAGAATTGAAGTATTTCTTCTTTTTGAGTAGAAATGAGACAAAGTAATTCTTTTTTTAAATTTTATAATTCTAATTGCACATATCTAATGAGAGCACTAAAAGTTTCAGCCAATGATTTCTTGATGGAATCAAACTTCATGTTTTTCTCATCTACAACTGATTTCATCATATTCAATTGTTGTTTCAATTTTCTGTACTCGAAATCCTTTAACTTTAATTCTAACTAAAATTGCAAATTCATTAATTATATAATATTATCTCATTATTGTTATTGCAACAATGGTTCAATCAATTGAGCCTATTATAACCAATTATGAAATCACAATTCATAAATATAATTAATTAAAATCATTCATTTAACCTATCTACAATATCACAAAGCAATTAAGATGTCCATCGTGACTATTTAGGAATTTGATTTAACAATCCTAATCTGGCTTCAATGTTCTCTAATTCTAAGTGAGGTTTGAATCTCTACATGGCTGCAGATCCAATTGATAATTGATGACTTTCCTCCCTCATTCCTAGTTGGCCTCTGAGTTTGTTAATCTCACTCTTTTCTACTTTAATCTATTGTAAAAATCAATTGGAGTACATTGTCACGCATCCTTTCAATTGCCTTTAACTAGTTTTGCTATAGCAATTGTTTTATGGAATCAGTCATATAAATTAAATCGTCCATCAAAGTTAAATCGAATTTCTCAACTACTCGCTATTCCCCATTAATAAATTAAACGTCTCTAATACAGCAAAGACGAGAAATCTCTGAAAATTCATACAATTCCTCTGTCTGAGGATTTATTAAGATTCTGTAAAGATTTTTTCTTATTCCGATCTAATTTTTGACTACCTGAAACAGTTTTCTTGAATTGTTCAAATAATCCTAATTTTAGAGCGATCTCATACTTTCAATAAATGGAGGTTGTGTATTAAATTATACAGTTATTCGGTGAACCTTTTGTATTATTGGGCCAAGGGATTACGAACTGTTTCGAGCAAACTTATCTTCTTACGTTTGTCTCCTTGTTCTTTTAAAGCTTTGAATCTTTGTACGGTAGTCTGACTTTCAGTTTAAAACAGCTCGACTTCCTCTTTTATTTTTTTGATGGTTGCATCACCGACCAAAGGAGGTCTAAATGATCTCACAGAATTCAAATGATCTAAGTAGCCTTATAAACTGTGATCTTTTTAAAGCATTGGTCTTGGAGTAGTGGTGGTTTTTTGCTTTTCCTTAGGACTTCTCTCAAAGATTGATTCTCCTTGATGGGTCGTATTTATGGGTCTGGTCGATTAGGAAACCAAGCGCCTTATTGGGGCAACAGTGTGGAATCGTTTGGTTGTTCTAGTTGGTTATTCTCTTCGATGGAAGGTGAGGGTCTCTTGGTGTTTAAAGATAGGAAAGACTACACTATTCTTTAAAATTAGACTCATTATAATTATATTAATTTATGGAAAACAAAAAGGAGATTAAGGATCAAGAAAAATCCAAACCGATCGAGAAATCCAAGTCTTTAGTGCCGATATTGGATAAGGAAGACATTGAGACTTTGAAAACACAATTGCAGAAATACGAATATTTGAAATAGAAATATAATTTGTGATAGTAAATCATTATTCAAGAGTTTAACATCTTATTTTTATTAATTACAAATCTTTCATTTGCTTCATTGACTTGATCAGATAATTCTTCTTTTGATTGTTTAACTTCTTTTTCATCGCATCTATTGTGTTGAATTAAAGAAAGTTCTGTATTAAACCACTTTTTGTTCTAGAACTTAAAGAATTTTTATTTTTCAGCGTATAGATTGAGTCAGTTCTAGAGGAGAAATCCTTTTACTGTTCAGTTTCCTACTTTGACGGAGAACTACTCTCAGTCTTTTAATTTATTCCCAACTTTTATTATAGTTATTAATATTATATTGATTGTTTAAAACAATTTCTTTTTTACTTATTTTCTTCAAATTTCACCTAAAACAAAGCATAATCTTCTAAACACTTGGTAACCTGCTTTAAACTATTTTGTGTATTCAAACTCTAATTAGTTTAATTGCTGGAGAATATACTGCTCCCTCTGTTAATCGTTGTGTCTAGTTTCCTTTATAAACGATTTGTTATTCCGTAATACTACTTTTTGTAATTTTCCTCTTAAGTGCTTTAATTCCTATTTCTGATCAATGTTTTTGTGGTTTCCCTGTGCTCAATGCTCTTTTTGATTATGGTTTAAAAAAGCAAAGTTCTAGCTTGCAGTTTCTTCTCCATCATACTCTTCAATCCCTTCACACATTGTTATGATCCCTTTAATAAAAATGATTAAGAACTAATTTTATAAAATTTAGCCTATTAGCTATGAACAACCACAGTATAATAGTAATTTTCTTCGAATAATGATTCTTCCCCTATTACCTATTGATTATGCAAACTGCACAACAACATCTAATGATTTTCATGTTTTTTCATTATAGCCACTTCTCCCTCATACAAAATATAAAGAGTATTAGCTTGTTCTCCTTCTTAAGTAATAGTTTCGTCTCTTAATTTTATTTCCTCATTGAAACTGTACATTAAACTTTCGATCATTAAAGTTGATGTTATTCTTTCGAAATATGGAATTACCTACTAAAATACTTCTCTTTTGAAGTCTGCATCCTTTTTGAAGGATCCCAAAACCTCGAAAAACTCATTTCTATTCAAAGATATCAAATAAGTGTCAACATCTGCTATACAAGTTGCTGATCGTTGAGCATCTCTGTTACTCTCCATCAAAGCTCGTTCTCCAAAATAATTACCTGGATTCAAGTCGTTTATTAGTATTCCATAATCTTTCATATAAGTTTTCAGAATATCAGACTGTAATTCAGTTTTAGATACAGCTTATTAACCCTTGAGTTACTGTCTGGTTATTGAATATTGCTATTTGAAGATTAATACTCTGCCCTCAATGATTAGATACATCTTATCGTTTTAAATAGCTCCCTCTCTCAAAATTATGGAACCCTACTTAAAAACCTCCAGTTGAAGTTTTGTGCATAACTAACTTAAATGCATTAACTTACATGATAGATTTATTCCATATCATTTCTTAATCTATTTGTATTAAATAACTCTTAAAAAAAACTATACTTCTTTACTTAATTGTAGATTGTCTAATCATAAAATTTAGTAGATATACCATTCCATCTGTTAATTTGTAATGCGGTTTTGATAGCAAACCCAGTAATGGGATGGATTGATTGAGGTCTTCAAATTTCAACAACATTGCGTTATCACCTTGAATTTAGATGCGCTGCCCATATTTATTTTATATACTTCTGTATGAGGCTAGATCAGCGAACGAGAAAACATAAAATTACAATTAGAATGAGTTCTTAGTTTGTAAGAGCCTTCTCTTACTGGTGATGAAGCTTCACTCATTTAATATTATTTAATTATATGTTGTAAAAGTTTAAATGATAAATTATCATTATAAATATCACTTAAACAAATTCGATTCATCTTGCATCAAATCACTGAATTCAAAATCAATTTAGAATTCATCCCCACTTCGATATTTCAATTTATTTTGTTTGAAACATTTGACACAAAATTTTATCCTTAACTGCAAAACTTAAAAATTCATTAACTCTCTACTAAAATGTCTTATATACTTTTAAGTATGCATTTGAGACCCACAAAGATACTAATGCACTCACTTTTCGCTTATATGGCTTATCCATTTATATTAGTTCTTAGATGATATTTTAATGAAACTTAAATCTTTTGGTAAAATCTATATTCTATATTAATTCACTGGAAATCTAATATATATAAATATTTATTTAAGCATTCATTTTCTATTTTATTGACCAAATAAATTAAGATTAACATCCTCTATTCTAAGATTTTAACCAAAGAAAATCATTCTAACATTTTCTATTTCTATATTTTAACTAATCAAGACCATCAACCGTAACTTATATTATTGAAATTTGAATTTTTTATCATCAAGATTAATTAATTTATGATTGCTATTTATTCCAATGAGTACACTACTCATTTCTACATCGATTCATTTATTTTCTATTAATTGCATTCATTATGTTATTTTTCCAAAAGATCTTTTGATATTCACCACCATCAAAGTTTCTATAATTACTAATCAAAAGGCAATCATTTATAGATTATGGAAATGAATAGGCCATTTAATGTTATTATTCATTTATAAATAATAAGTATATAAATAAAATGAATGAAATAACAGAGTTCACTATTCTTTAATTAAAAAGTTAATTAGAAAGCTCATTAGAAAACACTGGGTCTCAATCCAAAGAAAGCTTAAAACTATTATTGTAATATAGTAAGACCCTGAGCAGTTATGCAGAATCTCAACCTAATAACAGGGCTATAACAATTCTAAATCAAGGTAATATTCATAGTGGATTATTATTTAAGCTTTCAAAATGCTACTACCCGAAAAACCTCCAAAACTATTAAGCATTTAATTCTAATACTGGAGATTGTTGATAATGACTGCTATTAAATTATGTAAAGCATTAGAGATTAATGGGTAGTTGCAACAAGGCTTAAATGTATTGATATAGATTGAGAACATCACCAAATAATATAATAAATCACTTGAATGGGCTTTCAACGTAGAACTGGAGTATCTGTATTATCATTTGGCCATCATCTGGCAAAAGTTATAAAACAAAGAAAGAACTTTTTATGCTGCCAATGAATGCATTTTACTCCTAAGAAGTAATCTCAAGAATAAAGCTGAACCAAAATAAATACATATGATAGCTGAAATGCTTAAGTTATAATCATAAACAAAAAACTCAATTCACCAATAGTTGTCATACTATAATTAAATACATTTCTATCAATCCAAATATTTGGGAGACAATCATAAAGAGACCATTAAAACCATAATGAGAATAAATCAACTTAAATCTGAAATTCAATTTGAAAAAGAAATCGAAGAATTCAGTAAAGAAGATTTTAAAAAAAAGCTACCTTTCTAAGAAGTCTCATAAATAGACTTCTATGGAGAAGAAAAATCATTCAATTTAGAGCAATAGTAATAATAATAAACTAAATAATTTGATTCTAAGGAATATTTAAGATAGAGATTATTCTAATAATAAAGACAACTTGTTTTACATGCTAAGAATAATTCCCAATCAAAATCCTCTCTTCGAATAAGTCATTAGTCAAAGAAAAGCTTAGAAGAATTTAAAAGATTCACTGATTCCAAGATCAATTTAAAGATTAATTCTAGAACATCTAGTTCTGGAGAGAATAAATTTTTTTACTTTTTGAATGTTAACAATTTACAGTAATTTTTATTCGAATTATTAGAGGGAGAACAAAAACTGAAACAACGCAGTATAGAACTACACAGAGTAAAAATTAAGATAGATTGACACCATAAGGAGTTCCCAGTTAGCAATTTAGATGTAAAACTAATAAATCTAATGTATCTCTTAACAATACCTAAAATTAATAAGAATTGAATAGTGGCAAAAATATTAAGGATGATTTATTTAAAGATTTAATGACTTAAAGGCCCAAAAGTAGTATAGCTTAGTAGAGATTGGCAAAACAATTATAAATGACTATAGGAAATTAAGTGGCAGCAAATAAGAAATCATCTTAATAAACACAATTAAGCAATTCAAAGCCTGTTGAAAAAATACTAAAAAGACTAAACACTTAAGAATTAAATCTAAAAAAAAGAACTTTAAATTTATAATAGCCAATATAACATTCTGAAGTGAGTACTAAAAAATCGAATTAAGCTTAAGAAATAGTTTTTGGTTCTATATCCTAAAAATCAATTAATTTGATAACATCAGGAGGTATGAATATGCTAGTATTTAGATGATCATACTCAAAAAAGAAGTGACCTAGATTAGTTTGAATATAATTTAGAGAAAATAATTATGATTTAAAGATATTTTAGATTTAAATTAAAATAATCCCAGAATTATGATATAAAAAATGAAAAAATCAATTTAAATAAATTTAGTGTTGGTATTGTTCATGAAGATGACGATAAATTAGCTGATAAGACTCCTGCTTTGAGAGGCAAATCAAAAGACTTAAAATTTGCCTATTAAAGAAGTAACACATCTTCAGTGGAATCTATTAAATTTGTGAGCAAGAGGGATAATTTTTTATAGCCATAATTATTCTAATATAAATAAAAGGATCATTCCTTTAATAGTTAGGCAAGTAGTAAATTAATAAATCAAAAATCAGGAAGCAACAGTTAGATAAAGTAAAATTAGTAAATAATAACATAGTGAATAATCTTCAGAGTCTTTATTAGATTTTGAATAACTATATTAAAACATTGACAAAAAATGGTCTTATGAGGAGTACATTTAGGGATAATGTTTCTTTTTTTGTGATGATTAAGCTGATTAAATTATGAAGCTTTTAAAGTTTAAAGCTAAATTTCTCCATTAAAATGAGGACGAGAATCTTAGTCTTTTATGCGAATTAGAAATAGAAAAAGGCTTTTAATCTCATATTATAATTCTCCCAATAGTTTTGTCAATGAAGAATTGGAAATTGTATGCCAAAATGAAAGGCTTATAATTCTTTTTAAGCCTTTTAAAAGAATTTGTAGAATAGAACTTCCCAATCATACCTTAGTCATCTAAAATTCTCATCTATAAAGGCCAATACTTTGATATGCTTTTAGAACCCATAATATAATTAATATCTGTGATAATGAAGCATATTTGTATTGAAAGAAAGCTGATTGGAGTAAAGCTGTATTATACAAAGGATGTATAAATAAAAAAGAATAGAAAAATGATTTAATAATATTATTAAAAATAGAGACAAGAACAACGATAGTATTATTTTAAGTCTTTACAATTCTTTATGAATCACTACGATATCAGAATAAACAAAAGAGCAAATTCCATAGATCTAAACCTTAAAAGTCTAATGGGCAATGATACAGCCAAATAAAAATTAAAAGCTGCTGAAAATGCAGTGTTATTTGCAATTAAAGCTAAAACAGCAATTGAAAGTCAACCTCCTAAACCACCTGTAATTCCTTTGATGTTATTTGATGATGATAATGCCTAATCTCCTTAAATTCTCGAAGTATCTATGAGGGATCCTGATGTCAATAGAACGTAATTAATAAATATCATCAATCCTTAAAAAAGGAGATAATCAATTTAAGAATAAGAAATGAACAGGTTCAGTAATCTTTTTCAATAACATCAGAAAGTAAATCATTAAAGAAATCAGTCTAACTCGACTCCCAAAAAAACATCTGAAAGTATTTTTAAAAAGACGTTCACAATAGAAACAAACCTATTACAACAAAAAACTTTGACTCGTCCTTAAACAATAATTCAATAAGTTGATTAATCATTTTCAAGCAAATCTTAGACTTCATCCAATAATTAATCTAAAGACCATGAATTGCAACCACCTTCTATATCTCATAGTGTGTCATTAAGCCAATAGCCTGTTCCTTCATTTAAGAAAAAAAATGTAGGAAATGTGTCATAATCATACTATGGAAATACAACTAATTCAGCCTAAAATTTATTGGATACACAATAAAATTTAGTTGCAAATTAGTTATTTGATACTTAAGCTTTAGAAGTTTTAGAGTTGATTCCTGAACAGGAAAATGAGTTGGAGTAGAAAATAATTACTATATATTAAAAAGATGATCATTTTACTGTGTCTCCTTAGTGGAAAATAAAAAGAAAGGCCACTATTCATAATTTTCAATTTGAATATTTCTGGAATTAACACAAGGTGTAAAAGAAAGTATTTTAGAAAATCTATCATAATCCTTTTAATATAAAAGAAATTTTAATGGTTGGAACATAACACATTGATAAATAGTATTTTTTGATTAGTGTGACATAAATATTAAAAGAATAAATTCAAATATTTAATCAATCTGTATTAAACAATAAAGATTTGGTAAAAATTGAAATAACATATCGTTTAACATATCCATATGATAATGTATGGTAAGATAGTATAGTAATTAAATTTAAAGAATTTATAAAGTGGTTTGTACCTGATTTTGAATTAACTAGCTATATTCAACATTTTGGATTAAGTAAAAATCAAAAGATCCAAGCTTTGTTATATTTAGGACGTTATGCACACATAAAAGAATCAAAATTAAAATTAGAGTATTATGAGGAAAAGCGAAATAAACTTAAAATTAAATAGCAATAAAGAAGAGATATCGAGATCTCGAGAATGAAATAAATTGAAAGTATGTTAATAAGAGACAAACTGGATTTGCATTACATTCAAATATTAGGATTGGATAATTTATATCAAGAATTATTGAAGGAAAGAAAAATAATAGAAGAGAAAATAAAGAGAAAAGAAGAACGGCTTAGAGTCTTTCTTTAGTTAACTGATCCAAACAGTTTAGACCCTACTACTTAACAACCAAAATATATTGGATATGATTACGATGGTGATTCTGAGGAAAAAACAATTTAAGTCCCACTTAGTCTTCAAATGTAAGTTTTGAAATCGTATAATACTGTTGTCCACTTGAAATCATAAAAATAGATAATTAAAATGCCGTCTTCTTATTTAATTTGGGAAGGGGACATTATAAAAATGTGGAGACCTTTCTAAAGAAAGATTTGGTAATAGGTTAAGATTCAAAACAGAGATAAACTCATTAATGCAATTTAATGTAAATTAAAGTTTTATATTCTGAAATAAATTATAGTAAAGACATTAAGTCTAAATGGTAAAAAATTTGTAATAAAGTAATAAAAATAGTTGATATAAAGTGATTCTGCATAAGAACTTCTTTATTAATATTTTTAATTAAAGTCATTTTCAAACTAGCAGTTTTATAAATTCTTAAGTATATTACGTGTTTAGTTGCTGTAATTAGATGATTGCTCACACTTATGGAATTCATATTTTAAACAATATAAATAATTATAACATTGTTATGTTTCTCAAATTGGGGATTGCTTATTAGAAATTGTTGTGTTAATTGATAATTTTGCATAGGTGTTAAATTAAAATCTGAATAGATATGTATTTATAAGAATCAATATTTATGAAAAGTAAAATATGAAAACAAAAATGCATAAGTTGGTCTTAACTCTTGATGATTTACATATAACATCTAAAAAATAATATGATTTATCCAATGAAAATATACCTCAAATTATTTTTGATGATGTTCAAAAATTGATGCATCAATATGTGGGATATGAAAATTAAGGTATTACAAAACACCCTACCTTAGTAATTAAGAACAGCAAATTAAATAGAACATTTAAATTAGTAAATTCATTCCCTTGGTTGAATAATTTTAATTATGATGAATTTTAAGTAACACTTTATCCTTAAAAATTCTAATTCTATCATCCATAAGGTTTGAATCCAAAAGTAATTTGCAAAGTGGTTAAATTTTTAAAAATTCCTAAGGTTTTTTCATAGAGACATCATTCATTTTATGATAGTTATGAAAAACAATATGATAAACCATAGGAAGATTTCACTGTTAGGGTACCAAGTATAATCACAATAGAGAAATTTTAAGAAATTTCAAGCTTTTACATTTATATTTATTTCCCTCAAATTTGCAGGAGATTTATTACAAAATTGCATTTTGATGATATCCTAATAAATTAAGATATCAATTTAAAATTAAATTTCTAATTTAAAGAACAATTAAGAATTCATAGAAGTGAAAAATTGTGGCACAGTTTAATAGAATCATTTAAGATTGTAAGCAATGATCAAAAGAAATTAATTTTGTAAATTGAGAAATTCAAAATTTCATGTATATTATAAGAAGTAGTTTATCAAAAGATCAAGTAAATTGAAAAGACCTAAGAATTCATTCTATTTATTGTAAATATTGAAAAAAAGATTGAATAAGATCCTGAACAAATTCTGATTCATTACTCATTTGAAAGGATGAAATTATAAGAAGCAAAGAATTATAGTATGTTTCTGAAATTGCAATGGCTTAATCAATATGATAATATATAATCCTATCGATTACCCTTATATGAATTAATGATTGGATACTTTGAAAAAACAAAAACAGGGTTTAACATGTTTGATTATAAATTCAAACTAGTAGATTTGATAAGAATGTGTTAAATTTCAGTGGAAAATATTATCATGAACTTTTCTATGAATTAGAAAATTAATTACAATAATACATTAGATCAATTGATGCCCCAACAACTTACCTATAATATTAATCAAACTATCAAATTAAATATCAACTTAAAAACCATATAGGTGGATAAATCAGTATATAAATTACTTTACAGAGGAGTTTTATTAAGAAAACCATCCATTTTGGTAGGTATTTACTAAAAGTTAAACAAACAAAAATTGTATTTTTATATACAAAGAGCAAGAGATTGCGAATCATTTATTCATAAAATCAGATTTTAGGAGATAGAAAATATCTATCCAGGATTCTAATTGAATTTATAAGTTAATTAAAGGTCAATAGGTCCTAATATTTTTAAAATACTGAAAAATAGATTGATTGTATAAAGTTATTACCAATTAAATTGAAATACTAAATAAAAATTAAGGTTTTGAAATATTACAATATTCTACATACAGTATATTAATAAGTTGAAATTGAATTTTTGGTAAGTAAAGTATTAATTATTACAAATTATTCTTAATTCCATCTCCTCTTAATTAAAAAATTTTTGAAATTAAATTGATTGAATCTTCAATTTTTGAGTAAATTTCTGAGTTGAAAGACTTCAAAGTGTTATTTGGGGAAAAAAGTTAAAAATAACAGAATCAATTTTCTTATGTTCTAAATAAAAAATAATGTTATTGAATTTTGTTTTACTTCTAATATTTTTATTTATACATGTCTATCTTGAGTTATTCTAAATGTATAAGTGATCATAATTCTGAAACTTCATATTTCTATGGATTAAATGCTTTTATTTTTAGGAAAATAGTCTTACATTGAACCAATCAATGATGATGCTACTTTTTTGAAGACTACTTTGAAGACTTTCAGAAATATTGGTCAGTGCCTTCAAATCTCAAGAGTAATTTCAAATTATTTATTGCTTTACAAAGAGCTACAAGTAGAGCTTCCCATAATTTGATGTATTCTTATGATTTTCTTATTCTGTAGGTTCTTAAATTTCGGATTTATGATATCATTTAAAAGATATTAAAGATAAGTAGAATGTTCTTAAAATAATTAGATGAAATAATTTAATTCTTGTAGTCTACCAACTTTTTAGGACAGAGTTGATTAATAAAGAAATAATTCATTGTTTCAATGTAAGTTTTTTAATGGATATGGATTAAATGTGTTTAAATGTAATAATATAAAAAGATTTATAAATATAAAAACACTTGTGATAAAAATAGAATCTAATAAATTTAATAATTTAACTGATATTTTTATTTGACTGTTAAAATTATTATTATTTTTATTTATCTGTCATAATGGGTGCAGAATAATCTGTGGCACACGGAATTGTTAAATCAAAGAACTTTACAATTATAGGTTATAAGGAAAATGAAATTTATGGATCTTTCAAATTAATTGATTCTCAATCAAATTAATATGCTATGGTCTCCAAGACTTGTTAGAGTTATGAAGAATATACTAATTTATGTTAGATACTCAAAGAATCTAAGTCTCTGAATGAAATTGATCATTTAGTAAAATTAGTGGAAGTTGACACTCAAGAAGAAACAAATTTATGTAGTACATTTTATAAAGTCACTGCCTTATATGAGTATTACGATATAAGTCTAAGACAAATCACAAAAGAGGCATCAATAAATTGTTTGTTTGTATTAAAGTGTCTGGCTGAGATACTGAGCTAATTATATGAACATAACATTGTACATGGAAATTTAACTCCAGATTATGTTTTGATTGAGAAGATAAAAGGAGAGGTCAAATTGAATAATAGTACTTAACTAACTGGATATAATCATTACAAAAGAATTTTATCAGGTGATAGTTTATGGTATTTGTCACCTGAATTACTCACTGCTTTAGGTAAGAAGGAACTCAGACCTTAATATAATCATGAGAAGAATGAAGTTTATTAATTGGGATTGATAGCTTTAGAGTTTTGGGGAAATTGTAATATTTCAGACATATATGATAGACAAAATTACAGAATGAATGAGAGTATGAATTGTAAATTATATGATAGCTGTGATATAGGAATCCATAGATGAGTTTGGTGTGAGAAATGGTTATGTATTGAAAAATGTGATAAAGTAAATGTTGTAGGAAGACCCAAATGCAAGACCAACAATGAGCGAATTGTGTTCTTCTTTTAAGCAGCTGTTTGAGATCCAAAAATAAATAGAGGAGCGAAAAGTGTAATAGTATGAAGAGTAGGGTTAATAATACGAGTAAATCAATAACTATTAAGAAATCAACAAAGAAGCTCTTGAGATTCATGATGAGGTATTATAGTTTAATAAGGAATCATTCTAATATTAAGAAGAAGGAAAGAACAATATTCATTATGAAAACTCACCTCGAGATTAATTTGAAGAATCTCCAAGGAAAGTAGAAAAATAAAATGTTGAGTTTAATACCCAATCAGTAAAGTAGTCAGTGAACTAATCAATAAAAGAATACTATGTAACTGGATCAATTGCTGCTTAATTTGGATAATTAAATTTACTGGAGAGCAATGCAGACTATAAGAGTAATGGGATAACTCATTTATAAGATGATGGAGATGTGTTATAAGAAAAGTCATAAAACCATCCAACTTCGCCTAAAGGTCAAGATTCTATCAAACCAAAAAAGAGTGTGAAGGTTAATGTAGCCTCAGCAAACAAAAAAGGAGTCTCAATAAAAAGACCTAAACATGAGGTTATGGACACTAAACTACCTAAATAGGCAGTTGTTGTGAGCAAAAAGAGATGAAGTACAAAACTATATTACTATAAATAATTGTCAATTTAATTTTAATCTTTAATTCTTTTTAATTTAATGTCCAAAACTCTTTGATTTGGATTGATTTGTTTTCAGAAATAGTATTTCAATCAGACATGAAATGGTTGGTTAAAAAATAGTGTTATCTCGAATTATTATTCCCTAAAATATTTATGAGAATTGTGTCAAAATGACTCATAATCCATGTCATTCTGAATTCATCACATATGTTGAAATAAAATTTTGATTTAGTAGTATTCTAATTAGAATCAATAATCTAATGGGATTTAGCAACTAAATTGTAGTTAAATTAATTATGATTCTTACATAAAATCACAGGTTAAATAATATATTTTGGTATTATTTCGAAGTATATTATGATATTTATTTGATTTTAATATTAAATCAAATGGATACTTTTAATCTTGATTAGCTAAATGATATTTGTCCGCTGTTTTATCAGACTAGAGAAAGAAATCAAAAATATAGTTATATTAAACTCATTTCTAATGAATATAAAAATGAATTTGGAAAATATAGCATACTAAAAATCTCAAATTGAAAAGAAAAACTTTAATGATGCAGGAGAATTTTTGATGCTTTTATTGTTAAATATGATCTAAAATTTGGTTTTTTATGTATTATCATTAAAATATTTTGGCAAATTCTGCTTTAAACTCTTCAGATCCTTCCTTGGTTGTGAACATTATTTTTAATGTATCAATTGATATTGATTTCTTTTCATCATTTTCCCCTTATTTACTATCCTATTTTTCTTTTCTGCTGATAGTTTTAATAATTAAATTTTCTGCCTTCTAACCCAAGGGTTTGATCTCTGAAAATCCTTTGATGAATTAGCCTGTATACAATGATTATTAAATTGCATTTCTAAACAATAGATAGATAAAATACCTATAAACAAGGTAATAAGACTCTCCGGTTTTAGTTTTTTCAATGGCAACAGATCCCTTTTCTAGTATATCGTTTGTATTTTTTCTGAACTTTTCAACGTTTACCTTTTAATTAGCATTATTAATTACCTTTACTAATTATTCTGTGTTTGAAGTATAATTATACTTCATTACCACTTAATTTGGTTCGTCATCTTCTGGCTTTTACTCATCCTATCCTATAAATATTAATATTTAATTGGTACCATCATCTTCTCCAGGATCACTCTCATCAGATTTAGGAGCCTTGTAACTAATACCAAACAAGGATGGTCCTGGTTTAGTTAGATCTACATTAACATTGCTTAAAAGAGAAGGTCCAGAACTGAAAATTCCAGTTGTGGGTTAGGATGACCCAAACAAACCTCCTTAAAAAATAGAGGAAGTTTAATTGTTGTTGAACAAATTTTATCCATTTATCATTGATCCAAATAAGCTTGGAGCCTTATTTTCTGACTTTTATGCTTCATTTTTCTCTTCGCTCTATTATTTAGGTTCTTAGGGTGTATTTTTATCATCCTCTTAACCTTTATGAGACTCATCCACTTTTGTTGCAAATTCAGCGGATTATTAGGCCATGAATAATTTAAATATTTAAATTTTTATAAATGTGCTATTAAGGAATGTGAATAAAAATATCGAAATTCTGTTCGTTGTTCATCCCATAATATTTTGATCTGAATTTAGATATTCCTCCTCATCGTAATAAATTGAAATTTAAGGGTCAGGCTAACCATATTTTTATTCTTCATTATATAAGGTATGCTGGAATTGGTTAGGATCTTAATTATTAAAAAGTAATTTCAATTTTGATATGAATTCTATTACTCTGTTTTAATAAAAGTATATTTTTTTTTTGTAAATTTCAAAAATTTCAGCAGATGAACAATTCGTAAGGGTATACTTATTTAGATCTTCATCTTCTTGACTTTTAATTATTTGCACCAAAAGATTTTTAAAAATCACTTAAATATCTTATAAATATTAAGTAGCTAAGAAAGTTTCAATTTAATATGTAGCAATTTATTCAATGGTTTATTACTTATCTATCAGTTCTAAGATTTTAATCAATTCTGAGCGAAATTGTTCATCTAACAAAAAATAAAATTTCTTAATGTATTAATACCATTATGTATTTTGAATACTCAAATATTTTTTTTAGATATATTTTTTAAGTGGTTGAGTGTTATGTCTGAAGAAAAAAACTATTATTCTTGATTTTTTCTATTAACTTTCAGGGTATCCAAGATGTTCAACACAAAAGTTTACCAAAAATTCATAAGTAGGTTGACTATTTTTGATTTACCTCTATTTTTCCTCTTTTAACTTTCTTTTAAATTCATCTTATTCATTTTTTGAATTTCTCTTTGCTCCAGCTAAATGTATAGAAATATGTCTTCCGTTCTCATATAAAAAAGCTAATATCATTTAAATCTATTTATCAGTACTCCAAATATTTGGGATTTAAATTAATATTGTATCTATATTAGGTGGTTTGCCAACTTCTTTTTTTATATTATCTTATTTTCTATATCTTGAATTTTTTAGACCTTCTGTTGCTTAATTCGAGTTTTTTGTTCTAGAATGCTTTACCATTAATTATTTGAATGTAATTCTATTAAAAAGAATATAATAACATAGAATTCTATTCAAGAATAATAATTTGATTATTAATTTATTTTTGATTATTAGGCTAAATTTGAAAATGTGAAAGAAATATTCTGAAATAGAACATTTTATATCTTGAAGATGAAGAGAATCATAAGATATGTTATAATTGGAAATATTATAATATTTGATTTCATATATCGATTTACATAAATAACATAGGTATTAAGTGAAGATAATCAATCAACTCAAAAGTCATCAATTCTAGTTAGTTCTTTATATAAGTGATTGTTTAATTTTAATCTAAAAATCTAATTATAATATATACCTTTTTTAGATACCAAATTTCGCCATATCAAATCTAAATATAATATCGCTAATTTTGATTTCCATTTTGTCTTCTATTTTTAGTGGTTGAGGTGTTTTTTATTAAATGGAATTTAAGGGATTTTCGAATTATTATAATGACTACCAAGTTCCATTAGCAGATTGCTTTGTTCCTTCTCCATCGCATATTTCCCATTAATTTCTATTAAATTTGATTTATGTTTGCTTTCTGGAAATTGTATTCATATTAACAATGATATCGCAATCCTAAGATCTTCCTATTTTAAATATCTGTTATTCTCCAGGTCTTGCAATGAAAATAGCCATTTATTTGATTATGGGAGTATCAAATTGGATTTTAAGAAAAGGACGATTGCAATTTGTTAAATTATATTATTTTCTTCCCTATTTCTTTGTTGATACATAATTTTATAAACATTCTAATAAGTTAGTTTAAAATTATTTACTTTAAAATATCTCTGATTCTTCTTTGGTTAAGCCATGTATTCTGGCTCTATCTTTGATATGTTCTCGAACAAGAGTTTAAAAAAAATATTCTGTATCCGTTTCTTACTACTTTTTACTTTAAATTTAAGGATTAGCGCTTAACTAAACAACATGAAAGTAAAAATCAGCTCCAATTAAGTATTGATTATTTTCATTCATTATTTGTGGATCATCTTTATGAATTCTCACTAAAGTTTTCAAAGATGTACCATAATCCTGAATATAGAACTTTGGCTTTTCTCTTAAAATAACAATTCAATTTACTTGATAAATTAATGAATAAGTTTGAAAACATTTTAAGACATTTCAGCAAATTTAGAATTTAACTACTTGAGAGAAAGAAACACTAGTATCTAAGGAGTGATTCTACTTGAATATTTGAAGCCAAATTCTGTTGATATTTTGCAAGGGATATAATCATTGTTAGGGTCGGCAGAAGCTAGACCTAAATAATTATTAATTTTATATACCAAAATCCAAATTATTATCGTCTGATCTTGAAGTTTTCTTTCTTCTTATGATTTGGATTTCATTTTTATGTATCTAGTTTTCCCCTATGATTCTAAAAATAAATAAGAGACATTACTTGTCATCTTGAAGAATATAGGTTTTTTAATTAGACTATTGATGTTATTTGTAAACACTTATCATTAAATGTGGGGATTCCTTATCAAAATAGGGCTTTGTTGTCTATTGAGCTTAAGGGTAAACATTTAAACTATGATCCCTATTCTGAGACTAGGAGTTATCAATAAATTTTACATCATTTTCTACAATCATTTCATTCTAATTTTAAATGATTGTTGATTGAATCACCTATGAACTTGAATTTAGTTATAACTATGAAGTGGAGAAAGCCTATGTGAAATGTTGATGATTCAAAAGGTCTAGAAATCAATAAATTCATACTGTAAAAATGACTGTTCTGTAGTTAGCTGAAGTTTAAAGTGCTGGACATTAAGGCCCTGGTTGTTTTATTAAGAAATTTTATTTAAAAAATTAATAAAATGCCAATATTGATGCATCACAATATTTCGTTATCCAAATATATATTAAAAACTGATTCCATTAAAACCAATGCCTCATATTAAAATGACACCAACATTATTAATATACTCAAATTATGTTGGTTCTAAGATATTAAATTAAAATAAAAAAGAGAACAATTTTTAAGCGTTTTATAGCAATAATTAATATTTTCTACAGAAACATAAATTTTATATTATTGGAAATTAATTGCTTCAAATGTATTGTTGAATATGAAATTTTATAAACTTAATTCTAAGTTTCATTTAAATCTTCCTCATACCCTATCATACTTGAATATTCTCTAGATATTGATAATTTAATATCAATATATTTACAATAGCACTAACGAAATTGCTATTATAAGCATCCTGCTATGCTTTCTAATAATTTATCTATTAACAATTATTAAGCCTATAAATCGTAATTTTGTACTAGCATTTTTAATTTAAATAATCTTTCAAAAAATATATATCATACTATTGATATTATCGATGCTCTTCAATTGAGAGGCCAATCTAATAAGTTTTAGATGAATAGCCCTAAATTTTGGAGAAAGAAATTGCCTGTGTCAATATATTTACTCTAATTTATAATTTATTTATTTATCAATTAACAAAAGCTTTACCACTCAAATTTTAAAACTCTGGTGACTTCAAATGAGGCTATTTGAAAGACCAAAATGAATTGATTTAGCAGAGAAAGGTTGTTCACCAATCCATATTTGTCATTCCATATTTATTATTTTATTTACATTATATTAAAAGTGAAATACCAGTTGATAAAGAACATACTTAGGTTTAAAATAAGACTAATATATGATTAGAGTAGAAATGATAATTGTTTTTGTTATCAAAATGATAACCTACATGTTGATATATGTTTCTTATTTTCTTTTTTCAAATTAGAGAGTTTTTTATATGATTATATAAAAAAGTAAAGCATTAATTTTTCGATATTATAGTTATTTAATCTAATATATTGATAAAGTGAATGATTAAACGACTAAAATTTAATACAGAGTAGATTCGAAGAGCATCAAGTGTATTATAGAAAATCGATCTAAGAATGAGTTAAAGAGATTTTTCTAAGTATGTAATCATGAGAGTACAGTTATCAAGACATCATAGATATAATGATTTTTATACTTCTGAAGCCATGTGAACTAAGATCATAAGCAGATGTTGAACTTTTAAAGTAGGCTACTCGATCTCTAGATTTTTTTGCAAATTTAGGTTCCGATCTTTTACATGAACAATGTTGTAGGAATCTTAGACACAAATATGTTCCAATTGGATATTTCATATTTAAGGAACGCGAAAAAGGAGACAATTTCTATTTTATCATAAGTGGTCGAGTGCAGGTGTTAAAGGATTTCAATCCATCAGACCCATAAGCGTCAATATTCGATAATGAGATAAAGCAATTGACAAATTTTGAAACTTTCGGGGAAAGAGCTATGGATTCTGATGCCCTCAGAACAGCATCTGTAAGAGCTATAGAGAACACTCATCTTGCATATTTGAATAAGGAGAGTTATTAAATTATAGCTAAGAGTGTGAAAAATCAATTAAAGAAAGCCTATTTTGAAGAATTTGCAAATTTAGATTTTTTTCATAACTGGAGATTCTAAGACATCAAGGTATTTTATGATAGAGCATATGTAAAACGATACTCTATGAATGCCACCGTGTATAAAGAAGGGGATCCATTAGACTATGTATACATCATTAAAAAGGGGGAGTTTAAGATAGTCAAAATAATAAAGACATCAACCATAGACTTAAATGAGATGTTTAAGGGTGATTTCGAGAAGATTTTGAGTGGTATGAGTACTCCGAAGACATACACAATCTCAGAAAGGTTAGAGGCTCGATTTTAAAGGAAGAAATATGGCAATTTATATTATTTGGAGAAGAAAAAGCCTATAACTATCAAATATATAACTGCTGGTTAAATGTTCGGCGAAATGGAATTTTTAATGCAAGTAAACTATCAATATAATTAAAGCAAAGAATAATAATGCAAGGACTCACTCAGTTTATTCAGTTACAGATTAATCGGAACTTTATATGGTTAAAAGAGAATATTTTGAAACTATTTTAGACAAGGTTCCATCTATCAAAAATGCATTGATTTAATTGTCTGAACAGAAGAATAATAATTTTATGAGGCAACTAATGCAATATGAGAAAAATTTCAATGATTTAACTGAGGTAAAGAAAGATTTGGAGAGAAATATTAATTTAGATTTTTTGTAATTGGGGAGCACTGAAAAGCGATTCCCTTCTCCGGTTATGTAATAACTGCGATCATCTCAACCTGAAGTCAAAAAAGTATTGAAGATACCCAAAATTGAAAGAGAAGTTTAGAGGATAGAGACGAAAAAGAAGTATTTGATGCGAAGAAGAAAAACAAGTGTTTTTAAGATATATGATAGTAATTCTGAAATTGATGGCAGTTAATATAACTTTATTAGTTCGATTAAATGAATAATTAATTTATTGTATATGAAATCCTAATATGATTACTCTTAAATTTAATATGAATGTATCGTGGTTCGTAAACATTTCATCAGCGATGTAAAATATTACTGCTATGTTCTGAATGATTACCTGTTGATGAGTAGGGTAAGATTGCTCACTATATAGAAAGTTAAAGATTAAAGACCAAAATATGTCTTATAATTGTAATTGACGTAATAAGTTGGATGGATTACAGAATTGAAGAACAATAAACTTTTATTAAAAGCATTTACCATTACGTATCAGAATAAGTTCAAAGATTTCATAGGCAAAATGGAGGACTTGCAGAAGTACTCAATTATCAAATATCATAGAATAAGAGAACATATTAAGAATAAGGTGACATTTTCTAAGATATCGGACTTCTACGAGGCACAATACCATTTAGGGAAGGGGAGTTCTGCGAAAGTGATACAAATTAAAGAGATTGGAGCGGAATCAGCTAAGTTGGCAGCCAAGGCCATAGATAAAAAATATCTTTAAAAGAGTGAATTTGGAATGCAAGCATTTTTAAATGAAGTTGCTATACTAAACTTTCTTAGTAGAAAAAATAGTAATTCACCATTTATAAGATTATATGAAACATTTGAGGGTGATCACACATATTACTTAATTTTAGATTTGTTGCGTGGAAGAACCTTAGCAGAGGAAATTGACTTAATGAAAGTACCATATAATTGATAATTAATTGTGTAGTAAAAGAAGGAATTGCTTTCCCTAAAGTCAGTAAAACTTATTATGTAACAGTTATTGGAAGGTGTGAGAATTCTCCATGAGAATAATATCATACACAGAGATTTGAAGCCAGATAACATCATGTTTCGTGAATAAAATCAGTATGATACTCTTATCATAGTGGATTTCGGATTGTCAACATTTACTGATGTCTCTAAATACTAATTCCCAAAATGTGGAACACCTGGATATGTAGCTCCAGAGATTTTAAATTTAATTGATAGAGACATAAAATATGATAAAGTTTGTGATATTTTTAGTTGTGGATGCATATTCTATAAGTTATTATTTGGACATAGTTTATTTTTTGGCAATACTTTTAATGAAGTGTTGGCTTAAAATAAGAATTGTAATTTCGTTCTTGATGGACGGGATATGGATATGATATCAATAGAAGCATAAAAATTGTTAAAAAGAATGCTTGCAAAAAGCCCAGCAGAAAGAATCACAGCTAAGTAAGCTTTGGAATCAGATTTTTTCAAAACTCCAATTATTCAATCTGCATAAAACAGTATTATAAATTAATTATTAATTCTAGTAATGAAATTGTCAAAAATTAGTAATAATATTAGCAATAAAAACATTTTTTAACCAACTGCTGATGGATAATTATCTGAAGCGGAATCACCTTTCTAAAGAGTTTAAAATAAATTTAAAAATTAAATAGATTTTGATGCTGACATCTCAGAAAATAAGTCTTCATTCATTTAAATTAAATAATTACCACAGGTTAAAAAGCCGTCTTGTGGTAAGATGGTAGATTCCTCTTTAGGAAGTTTTTACATTAAAGACCCTTTAAGTAGCTTTAAAAAATTAAATGCTAGTATAATATTGTATTAAATTAAGTGTCTCTTAAAAATTTGAGCGAGTCTTAAGATAACAAAGTTAATCAATATGAAATTGATTAAATGTAAAGAATCTCATTATTTAATAGATAAAAAGAATATTGATTTATTTTTAATACTTCAATCAAGTTTATTTACATTCATTATTAGTATTGTTAAAAGATCTTGAACAATTAATCTTTCCTTTGTTATTTCTTACAATTCTATAATCCTTAGGCATTAAAAAGACCCATCAACATTTTATATGGAAATATTTTCTATTAATTTATAACTTAATTACTTGGTGATTATTCATGTATTCAATTATTGTTTCTGCTTGAGCTTAATTAAGCACTTTAACATAGGATTCATACAAACTATTTTCAACATTAAAAGTTTTCGATACTTTATAATAATCATTTAGCATAACATCTCTACCAATATTATTCACCTTCTTAATTCTTGAATAAACTACAGCAAACAGATAAATTAGTTCATCATAATACATTTTCTAAACTTCAGCTAATTATTGTTAAGACAATCCTTGCAATTTAATCTCATTAGTAGAAATTATTTTGTCAATTAATTGAATTCTCTACTGATCATCTTTGTCATTCTATTTCAACTCATATTTGCATTAAACTAATTGAGCATAAGGTTCCAAATTGATACAATCTCTGATTACTAATTCTTATAGTTAACCTATGATTGAATTTAATTCAGAGTAAAATGGTTTAAATTCCTAAAAAACGTCCTTTATTGAGTCGAATTCATTTATGACAAAAATGATTGACTCAATATATACAACTCTATCCATTAGATCAAAGGTTTGAGTCTTTTTGACTTTAAGATCTTCTGGAATTTGAATTTTTTTCAAATATCTAACCAAATCACCATATTTCTCTCTATATATGATGACTTAACTATTGTGCTCAAACTATTGAGTATATTGATCAGGTTCTTGCTTTTGATCATAATTAAAATTAAGAGCATCATCAAATATATATCTTTTATGTTCATCCAATATAATTGGAATGGCTAAAGTGTAGATATAATAATTAATTAAGAATATCAATTCTTCGACTAACTTTTCTTTGTGCTATTGACAAAAGTGAATGTACAATAGTTACTATTGGATGATTATGTATATTTAATTAATAGTTTAAGTCAGCAACAAAGTTCTTTCTTTTCCCAAATAGATTATGCTGGAATTATTGGTTTACTTTTTAAAAGAAACAGTTGAACCCATAATTAAATCAATAATTTTCTTATATTCAATTGATTTAAAGATATTTAAAGTATCTGGAAATGGGTCTTTATATTCAAAAATATGGAATTTGGATTATTTATTAGCAATTTGCAGAACAGTTTAAGTTTAATTGAGTGTTATTTTCATACATTTCTTGCAATCTTCATTTATTAGTGCTTCTTTGATTTGTTTGTCATTTCCTCTTGATTCCAAATAATTACTAAATTTATCCTCTATAAATGTCTTATATTTCTAGAGATCTTAGCCTCCAAATACTTCACATTTAGAAATTAATATTGTTAACATGCCAAAAAAACAAATCATATCTTCTTTGTTCATTCTTGGCCAACTTGTTGTTTAATTGATAAAGTCACATATTCTATCAAAAACCTTTTCGTAAATTTATTTCCTTAGTTCAATAATTGTAGTGTTTTGAGAGTAATCTAAATGGAATCTTATGATCAAATGGAAATTCATAAAGAAATGAATTGTTTGGCAACATAATTCTCTATAAAATTCAGTTAGCTAATCCTTTGAAATTTAATTTAAAGAATCTGTTAAATTATCGAAATAAAAGTCAATGGATAAAATTTGACTAATTTGATCAAAGACCATTTATAATTTAGCTTCAAATGCTCTCATAATTAGGAGATGAACTACTGATTCATAAGGTTGAACAAGATTGTTTTTCTTATTTTATTTAATAGATATACTTCCATATAAAGATAGGACTCGTAATGAAGTTTGTAAATCTTTTCATCATAATTGATAAACTAATCAAGTATTCCTTTACAAGTTAATTATCTTACGTATTCAATCCTATCCTCTTTATAATTTTTGGGTATCAATTCCAAACCTTCAATTATTTCAATATTCTATATAATACATAAAGAGTACAATGATTGTCGGCAGGTAGATTGAAGCATCTACATATCCATTCTACATACTCAATACAAAACTTTCATAGGGTAGAGCATAACAATCTTTGATTTTTTTTAATGTTTCAATCAATTGCTATAATAATATTATTTAATTACTTAGATGTTTAAGATTGATTGTCTTTTCCCTAAAATCTATTTACTTTGCTTTAAAACCATTTGTTATGTTTTTTACATCTTTTCTCTGCTACTTCGAACTTTGATGAGCAGCTCCTAACTGATATTTCCAATTTAGTCAATATGAGTAAGTGCTTAGAGATAACTTGAGTAATTTGTGAATACATTTTTGGATAGCTTTGTTTGTATTACATTCAAATAATGATCATATTTCTCAATCTTCCTTTAAATGCTGATCATTTACTAATTCACATCTCCCTAAAATATATTGCTATATTCAATTTTTTCAATCTAATTTTGGATGTCCTATTCTTCATCAACATTCTTATAAATATTGTTTAGAGCATCATGATTGATATCTACATCTCCATAAAGTTCAATTAATCTCTATACATTTTTCCTAAGTATTTCTTCTGTATTGCTTTCATGAGTTCGAATGTTGTGCTATTTCTGTATTTCTAAAATCGAGGTAAACATTCGAAATTTGTCCTCATCATTCTTGTATTATTGCAAAATTCTATTCACATCACCAATGTTTAATGGAGGGACGTCTTTATACTTTTTTTTTATATAGTCTTTTTTTTTATTAAACATATAAAAATTATAATCAAATTCTGGAATTTATTCTTATACTAATTTTGCAATATATTCTTCTATCTCTGACATCTTGAGAGCTAAGGATTAGAAAGATTAATTCAATGCAAATTCTTTACTAGAAGTTATGAAAAGAGTTTCAGCAGTTTATTATAAAATCAGCTAAAATTGTTTAAGATTAAAAGTCGAAAAATCTCTGAAAGTTTGATGCATCAAAATCGATTCAGTTAATGAGTTAAATATATTATTTATGTTTAAAATATGAAGATAATAATTGACTTTGAGTTTAAAGAATGAATGTACTGAACAAAGCAAGGATTATGAAATCAGCATATAAACAATGTCTCCTTATGGTTCTTTGGAGATTTAAATTTAATTTTTAGCTCCTTGAGAAAAAGTAGCAAAGAAAACTGGAACCAAATTCCTGGAAAATAATCAAATAATAAGTCTTTATTTTCTTGATAACTAGGGTTCAGATTTACATGTCCATAAAATTATAAATCTACTAACGATATTTATTAGTTTAAAAATAAAATTTGAAGGCATTGTATTTAAAACATAAATTTGAAAAGGAATTTTATATTTTAATTTGTTCACTGCCATTATAAATAAACAAGCGATTATATTATTCAGTAGTATTCCTCGCATCTTCTTTTCTAAGATTATTTATATTGTTACTAATTATTCTATTTAATCCTATTATCCTTTGATGAATTTTAGAGTTTTTAATTAGGATTATTTTCTTTAATCGCGTTCTTCTCTGATTTACAGAAACAATTTCGTCACTTTTTCATCAACTCCACATATTGTCATCATTTAATTAATTATTTCTTCTACTTTAATCTGAAATGAGAAATCAATCTGTCCTCTAGTTTTTCTGAGTATGTTGATCGATTTTTCTATCTTACCAACTGCATCCCATCTTTTTAATTCTGGCTTAGATTCTGCTTCACTAAAATTGAATGTCCTTGCTCTCTCTGTTTTAACGATTGGAGTTTTTATATGGATACTACTGGATTGTTTGGCTAATAAGATATTTGAAACATTTAATACTTTTGATTAGTTGTTAAGAGTGTGGAGAACCCGTTTTGGGAGCAAATAAAGAGGGTTTAGAAGATTTTTAAGTTTAAAGAGTTGGTTTACTGAAAGCTTTTGGTGTACTCATAATTATTGTAATAAATTTACTATTTATATTATATATTAATGATTAGATGATCAAATATGTTTAAATTCTTAAGAGTCTTAGAAGTAGTCCTTTTGTATTTTTAAATGTTAAAGAATAGGTAATCATTACAAATATGTCGAGAATATAATAAATATCATATAAATATAATTAATTTTTGAATATGAATTTCATTACGCGATTCTGGGCAACAATAGGTGCAGAAACAGCTTTTGAAAGTGTATTAATTATTGAATGAAACAATTAGGCGAGATTAGCAGCTACGTATGGAAATCCCTACCCTCCAGAGGAAAGAGATATCAAAATTATACTGAATGCACTCTCTGGCTTTGATAAGGAAATAGATAGAAGAATCGCTTTTGGTTCAATTGTGCGGAAATTAAAATAAAATCATAGGAATGATGATGATTGGATTATCATAATCAAAAATTTGATCATTATAGATAGGTATTTAGGTCACAAAAATTGATGAGGTGTGTGAATGATGGTATTCTATTAAAAGAATTTTGTGAGTTGGATTTACCTAACATAGAGAATTGGTTTGAAAAAGACAGTAACAATAATAAACTGCTAATTCATGAGTTAATATCCAAATATTACAATTATATCAAATTCAAATCGTAGTAGTTAAGAACTTCATTCTCTTTGACATTGTACAAAAAAGAAAAATATTTGCATTTCAGTCAACTATCTGTTGGGTAAACATAAAATGAAATCAATTTAATTTTGCAATTTGTTGATAAAGCTTTTGAAGTCATAGAAACTAAACGAAATGGTCATTTAAAATATAAACTTTGTTAATATGTCTTTCTAATGATCCTTAATGATCTATTTAAATATTATAGTTGCTCACTTGTAGCATTTAATGTTTTGATCAAAAGGATTGATTAATTATAATTAGAGGATCTTCTTCAGATGGCTGAAATCACAAGATTACTATATAAATTTTGCAATTAGTTCGACACATTTATTAATTAAAATAAATTCATAGCAGGATTTGAATATTTTGATGTAGAATATAAAGTAATGTATAAAATATTTTAAGATAACTCCTGATTTAGTTGAATTGATAGTCTAATATATGAATCTTTATGAGCAAGCTTAAAAAGGAACACCTAGCTAGTCTAAAGAAATTCATTTTAACACATAAAAATCCATATAGGTTCTAGCAAAGATAAGTATTTATTTACTCATCCTTTAGTTTCACAAAGTCCATTTAAGACATAAAGTTAAGAATCTTTTATGGGTCAAGGCAATGCAGAGTAGTAATACAGCAAATCGGTGATGTATTGTAATCAATTCAAACATAAATTTGATGAAATTAAATTTCAAGAATTTCAAAATAATTTTTCATCGAAGTATGAACTTATAACTATATTGACACTAGTTATATAACAATACCAGAGTATTATAAATAGAATAAGGCCATTCCAGAATTCAAGGAGGAAGATGAAGAGCTAGATATTCTAGCCAAAATTGAAGAGTATAAAATGAAACTTCAATGTGATCAACAAATACATTTACTGTATCCAGAAGCTTTCAATGAAAAAAAGTTCTTAAATTTTGAAAATATATATTATTAATGATGACAAAAATAATAAACATTAAATACATAACCTTTTTGTAATTAATAATTTCATCTTAAATAATTATTTACTGATTACCTTCGCTGAATACATATATTGTTATCCTTGATTTTTTTATTCAACAGAATAATTGAGAAAATTGACCAAGCAAGACTTTACATAAAATTTCAACTAAATAATATATAAAATTCAGGTTAGTTCTTTTTTCTTCATTTGAGATAAATGAAATAGGTGTGTATTTAAATACCTTGAGAATTTATTTTATATGAAACTTATATATTGTCGCCAAATGTATACTTGAAGATTAAGATAATTATTAGTATTAATTTTTAAATTTAAACACATCCTTAGTAATTTTTATTAATTATAATTTCGCTTCAATGAGCCTAGAGAGTAAATTGATATTAGTTTAATCATCAGAAAAATATATGTAATATTTAAAATCGTTATAACTAATTTGATATATATGTAAATAATTAAAGAAATAAATATACAGAGGGTATAAAATGAAAATTCATTTATTACCAAATCTAAATGATGTTAGTGATGTTCCTTGAACTTAATCCACTTTTGTTAGTTTTTTTAAATTTTAGTTCAGACTTAATTTGGAATAATCTAATTTAATTTTTTATGTTTAAGGAGAAACAGATTAGCGTGTTATATCATCTTCAATATATTCTTTTGAACTCTTTCCTAAGTTTTCTTCTGGTTCTGCAAATGATGATTTCTTTGATTATTCAAATTATAATCTCTATATTTTACTTTTCAATTCTAATTTTTATTCCTTGAGAAGCTATATCTATTTTTGAGCTTACTCCATGTAGATGATTTTCTCTTCTTTGCTCTTAACAAGAGCTAAAGATAACTCATTGATTTTCATTTCTAATTATCTAATTTCTGGATTAAATTCCTGCTTATTGTTGACTTATGGTTATTTTTCATGTTATTATTGTAAAGTAATAATTTTTTCATTTTAAGATTCAATTTGCTTCTTCAACGTATCTAATTGTTGCTTATCTAACTAAATCAATATTAATAGTTACACCTTCTATTATTCTTATCTTGCATCTTCAATGATAAACAATGCATTTATAATATCATTGGGATCAGAATTAGACCCTAATTAAAGAATTTCTTCATATTCATCATCAAGTGTTTTGGAGATCTTCACCCAATATTGGAGCAATTATTATTTAATCAATTAATTTTCTTATTAATAGTCTTTTTGAGTTTGTGATTTTTCTGACATTTTATTAAAATTAATTTAAAACAAAAATAACTATTGAATAACACTCAAAATATATAATACATAGGCTTTGAACATGAAGTATTAACAAATAAGCATTCTCTATCAAGAATATATACTTTAATATATATATTTATATATTTGACAGAGAGAAATATGCTCAATCATCCTCATTTAAAAAATTTTCTTATTTTTTAGAAAAAATTTGAAATGAAAAACCTAAATTTTATACACTCTGTCTACTAATAACTATAAATAATTTTTGTTTCTCAATTTTTGGATTTGAGATAGCATTTTATCATATCTCTAAAGATAATTAGAAGCCCAACTTATTTATTCAGTAAATTTCAAATTTATTAATTTAGCTTAAGTAGTTTTATATTATTTATGAATTTGTATATTAGGGAGGAATTAATAAGATGCATACTCAATCATTCTTTATTTAAATTGTTCCCTTAAAGACTGATTTTAATTATTAGATAAATTATTATTATGATATAGAAAGAAATTTTTTAATACTCTTTTTTCCATATTCAGGATTTATTTATTACATATTTTAATTGATTCTTAATGAGGAATCTAATGGCATATAAATTAGATAAGACTATTAAAATCTACCATTTTCATTATAGTAAAATTAGTTAATTGTTTTGATTATGTAATAGGTGGAGTTATTCAGATATTTAAAAGTAGAAAGTGATTTATTAATTAATTAAAGGATAAATTTCATTTATATAATCATTTTTAGAATTAATCAATTAATTGTAAGCAGTTGGCTGAGCTACTTTGAAATTCCTCAATAGCAGCATCTATTCCATCTTCCTCCTCATTTGGTGTACAAATTTGACTATTGAGGGACTTCAAAAATTATTCCCATTAAAGCAATTGTTCCTTAATCATTGTATTTTGAGACTAACACTGCTTATACTTCTTGAATTCTTCAAGTATTAGTATCTATTGATTTGAAAGTTCCTATTTGATAATAATTGAGTATTACTTGCTTTAATATTGAAATGTTTTAATCTTAGTTAGGATCTTTCTGTGAATCTTTTTTTTCGCTTTTCTAAAGATCTATACTTTACAACTTTTCCTATAATTCTTCAATAGTAAGTTGCAACTATTAATTGTCAACTTATAGTTATTTAATTTAATTTTGTAAATCAGAATAGTCTTATTGGCTTTTAGTTTAAACTTATTTATAAACATGATCACTTTTTTTTCTATTTGCAATGGCATCTTATTCGCTTATTTTACATTTGCTTTGTCTGAGATCACTAATGGAAGATTTTGATGGTTTTTTATTGTCCATAGCAAATGGATTACATGAGACTGCAGGTTTATTGGCCTTCTCTAATATTATTAGTTTGTCTTTTTATTTCTTCATTTCGACTTCGTATTTTTGGATTGACATCATAAGAGTTTTGATTTCCTAATCCTTTTCTTGATGCTATTACTCCAAATTAGATATAATCTTATTCAATCTTTCATTTTCATCAATCACATTGTATATTTATTACTCCATTTATTATATTTCTAGTCTTGAATCTCCAGCTGCTGCTTTTTAATATTTTAATTTCCATATTTCAATTTCATTTTGTTGTGTATCTATTAGTTCTTCCAATTTGCTGACTCTCTCTTTAATTATGTATAACTATTCCTACTATTAAGCATTATTTTATATTTCATTTCTTGCTTTTTCTAATTCCTAATTTAAGTAGCAATTCTCATTCACCAATGATTGGATTTTACTCTCAATTGTATTTGAATTCTCTTTAAAATAAAATGTCTATTAAGTTTTGTTAGGAGTAAATGTGGACGATCCTCTAATTTATTAAGCAATAATTGATTTCTAAGGAGTGCTTGGAGTATCCGAATATGGATTGCTATATCGTATTTACCCATTAAATGGGCTTATTTGTTACAATGGTATTTGCAATTTTTGAATTTGAACGCTTGAATTGGTTCGAATCATAACGTTTTATTTTAAATTATAATAAACTAATTTGGAAAAGTAATCAAATAATCAAATTTCAAAGAATAATTATCCTATGAATTTATTCATTTCCATGTTCTCTACATAGTCATATTAGAATTATAAAATGAATCTTTCTCTACAATTCTAAAATGCTTCTTATTATTTAGATTGAGTATAAGGGTTTGTATGATTTTTTTAGTCAAGTCTAGGATGGCAGATTAACAAGGACTCAATTAATATATTGTAGAAATGATTATTAAATGTGAATTAATAGATTATCTTAAATTTATTTCTTAGTTTTCTTGTAGATCTCTGTTATAATATGCATAAATCCTTGTGTACAGGTAAATTAAATGATGAGAGAAGGTTGTGATATCGAAAATTAATTACTTGATTTTTTTAGAGATTTAGTTTGAATTAGAATAAAAAGTCAAGTTGTTAACATATTAAAATTTATTAATAAAATGGATTAAAAAATTAGTTTACAGCCAGGTTTGATAATAGAGTCTAGATTCAAATTGCTTAAAAAGTTAGGGAGTGGCAGCTTCGGAATTGTTTTCTTAACTTATGATTTAGAGGAGAAGGAGTATTGTGCAACGAAATTCGAGAGTAGAAATTTATAAATGAGAATGATGAATCGAGAGATACTTATTTTGAAATAGTTGAAAGGCATCAATGGTAAATAGTTATTCACTTATTAAATTTAATTTCAGGTTTTCCACAATTAATCCACCATGGAAAAGATAAACAATATTAATTTTATATGAGTACATTGTTGGGTGAGAATTTGGAAGTCTTGTTATAAAAATGTGGTGGTAAATTTACTCTACAAACTGTCCTTCAATTATCCATACAATTGATAGATCGATTGGAAGGTATTTATTCTCCATTAATAGTTATAGTGTTTCATAGTATGAATTTCATTCATAGAGACATAAAACCTGAAAATTTCCTTATTTCTAAGGAGGATACATCTATAGTTTATTTGATTGATTTCGGATTGTCTAAATATTACCGAGTAGCCGATGGTAGACATATAGAATTTACGCAAAAGACAGGTGTAATAGGAACTGCACGCTACGCTAGTATTAATACATTATAATGTATGGATATATGTGTTATTTTAAGGGATGGAATAGTCTAGGAGAGATGATCTGGAAAGTCTGGGTTACATGTTGATATATCTGGTAAAAGGGGAGTTGCCTTGGTCAAATGTAAAGGCTGTAAGTAAAGAAGACAAATATGAGCAAATTTTATAAATTAAAATGGGCTTACCCTTAAATCAACTATGTTTGAATCTACCCAAGGTATTCTATATTTCAATATAAGTGTTTTATTCATTATTTTCAACATGTCAAGTCTCTATTATTTCAACAACAACCTAATTATTCGCACTTAAGAAATATATTCGAAAAACAATTGCTTCAATATAATCATTAATTATACGACTGGGAACTCAAAACTATAGAGAATCAATAATTGTAAGATATTCTTATTGATCCTAATTCAATGCCAGATATTCGATTACAGAGTGATTTAGATTTTGTTCCACCTGTTGATGATGAAGGTGAAGTCTTTCGGTTAAAACAAGAGAGTTAGCATCATGTCAAATTTATGAAATAATTGCATGAAAAATATTTTGATCACAATACACATAAATAAGTGTAATAGATTTAATTACAAAAAAATACATCTATCGAACCTAAAAGTTAAGCCACAAGCAAATAGAACAACTATCAAACTAGCAATCATACTTTAGTCTAGATTGAATCTTAACCTTACATTCTTAATAACATTTCATAGTTCTCTAAAAGGAAAGATTCTAAATCATACACTTCATTTAAATAGAGTTAAGAGCATAAAGAAAATAGGAAGTTTCGATAATCAAATGATGACTATGATTTAGAAATGGGAAATGAAGATGGGCCTAATCTTGACTTACAAATTCTCTAAGCCAATCACTTTTTATAATGATGTAAATATATTGTAGTAAATTTTTAACTAAAAACTGAATTTTTATTTAAAGTTTATTTTCTTAATTAATTTTTTTAATTTTAATAAAACATAATTGAAATTCATCAGTTTTATTAACTCTCACTATCAAAGTTATCTAAAATTTATTCCGAATTCATTCTTTATTATTTATCTACTTAAATAGTTCCATCATTTAGTATGTCTTCATCTTACTATTCACCGTCATTTCGATATAACTAAAATTACAAGAATTCTAATATATTTTCATCCATACAATCGACTAAATGCTTGTTTATAGGATCATACATTTTAAATAATATTTCCTTGTAAGCTTATTGGGCTTCGAGAGCCATTTAAAAATTACTTTTAAGAGGTTTTAAGATGGAGAAATATTGATGCCCTTGGAGTTCTTTATCAGGATTCGAAGCAATAGTAGGTTTTGGAAGATAATCAAACAATTTTATTTATTCTTTAGTTAATAGAATCATTTTCAATTTGTCGATCTCATGTAATTTCTTTATTATATATAAAATATCGAAAGATTTTTCCATTCTATTAATGGAGAAGTTCATTTATTTAATCTATTGATCGTCTTAATACAATTTCATTGTACTAAGTATGTATTTATAATATGGGATATTTAGTTTTTTGGAGACAGTCTAAAAGAAGCCTTTGACTTACTGATTCAATTTGTCTATCGTTTTAACTTTAATATCTTCTTCTAAAGTGGCAGCATTCTATATTTTGATACATTGTTAATTTAGTTCTTATAATTTTTGCTAGACCTTATATGATGATCTAACTGAGGATCTAAAGGAATCTTATTACTAGAACTTTGATTTCTTGAGTGGAGTATTCTATTTGATAGGCGAGATAATTAATTTTCTATTTGATTATTAGTTATCATTTAAAGTATTTCTTGGAATATTCTCTACATATATCTTGCTCTATTATTTGCTATTGATAATGGGAGCACTATGCTATTCAAGCAAGTAATTATCTTAGTCATCATTGATAGTCTCCTCTTGTCCATCAAAGTTGAATAATGAGTTAATAATTTACAGTTTATACGATATTGTACTAAAAGGTATCTAAATTAGCATAGCAATTGTGAATAAGACATTCCATAATCCTCCTAATTCAGCTAAAAGAGTTTAAATTCTTGAATACTGTCTATAGTTAACTTATTCTATTGTGTGTAATCTAATTGCAACATTTGCTAATAAATCTTCCTCATTAAAGTCAATCATCTCGGTGTGATGCATATATTTGACTGTTGTATCTTAATGAAAATCTTAGAAGAAGTTGCCAGAATCTGTATAAGTGGTGACAGGCTAAAGATAGATTGTAATTTCTTTGAAGATTTTACTGGATATTGTAGTAAACAAATCTTCACCTTTGGGGATGTAGGGATTCTAGGGGGTTTACAGATCTACATAGTAAGACGAGAGTTGCAAAGATAAATAATTATGAGTCAACCTTTTTATGATTTCTTCTTTGCTCTTGCATTTAGGAACATCTAAGATATTGATGAGGCATACCTTTCTTTTTGTTCTCTTCAGTACACATTTTAAATTTTAACAATATGTATTGATAATTCTCAGCATCGAAAGTACCCTGCATGTTAATCTTATCGATTTTATTCCAATCTATGCAATAATTCGTTGGAAGATCAAAATGTGAAAAATATTCAGCTAATGAATCTTATTTTATTATATCTTTGGAACACTAGACAAGAGGAAGGTCATCGTATTTGAATTGAGCTTATTATGTGCCATTAATTCTAAAATGAGAATAATTGCATACATTTCTACGGATTTCCTTACAAGCATAGGTTCGACATAATATATCGATTCATCTATGTAAGTGGCAAAGGAAGAATCTTAAAAGCCAAACTGCAAGGTAAAATTTTTGGGTCTCAATTCATACAAATTTGGTTCTGCATGATATACTTCTGTTGTTAATGTGACAGGCTTTGAACGATCCGCATAAACAACTATGCCATTCACCAAAAAAATAAACATCACAACCAAAACAGCCAAAGAGAGTGCAGCTCCTATAAGTGTCTTATGCCCTTCTTCTTTTTTAATTAGCAGTTGAACAGGTTTAGTGAATAAATCGATTTGTTTAAAATAATGAGAGAAGGTTTTAGCATTCATTAAACTTTGTATTTTATAATTTAATATCTTCAATTAAATTTTCAGATCAATATTTCTCTTATTTGATAATTAAGGTGTAAGAATTATTTGTATAACTAAATCATAGAAAAAAGATTCAATTATACTTGTTTTATTACAAATAATTTTATCAAACATCCCTGTCCTTATCCAATTGACAAATCATAGGATCTGCTTTATGGGATATACTATTTTTACTTAAAACTACATAAAAGTAAATTCAATTTAATTATAAAGAAATTATACAAATATTTTAGAAAAATGTAGAATTCATTACAGAAGTAAGAACTTTTTAGAAAGGATTAGATGCTTTCGAACATAAGGTTTCAAATTCATTAATGATAGTCGTTGCAAGGTTCAACTGTTGATTATTGTAATAAAATTAAACACTCGATAAAATAAGATGTATAAAACTGATTTATATTTCATTGCTTGAATTGCTAAAGGGTTTTGATAAAATTAACATCAAAAATAGGCATTTATTTTGGAGATTCTGAATTTAAGCGAATTTTAATTATATCGTTATTACTATTATTGTTGTTTTTGTTGTTGTTGTTATTATTATTGCTCATAAGATTATTTGTTTCAATTTTATTTATATTTAAATTTGGAAGTGATGAATTTTATTAATATCGAGTTTCATTAGGACTAGAAGCATATTATCGATGCTAGTCAATTATAAATTTATTTAGTCTATTTTTTGTTTATTTTGAGGCTGTATTTGAGAATAATTTTCCTTAACTTTACATATTCTTAGGGAGATTGGACAAAAAACCTACCATAGATTTTGAAGGCTCCTCATCCGTTGCTTTCTTTATTACCCATTTGTTTCCTTAACATGTAACTTCTACCTTGTAATGTTTATTTAGCAAAGTATTAGCCCAATTTGATTTATATGGATTAACTATCTATATTATTAAAACAATCTCATACTCTTGTCATTTTATAGACTTTTTTTGGGTTTGTGATCTGAATTCTGATTAAAAGAACCTTATAATTCATCTGAAAGTAATTTCTTTTGCACATCCTAATTTGTAAACTCAAACAAACCTATAGGTTCACTTAATTCAGGAATAAAGCGCTGACACTAAAAAAATACGCTTGACTATTGTTACATTTTTAATTTATGTTAATTTTTTATATGGATATATGTTACTTTTAAAATCAGGGGCAAACATATAGATTTTTAGATCGAATTTTTATTAGAATATTGAATTTTGAAATAATATGAGAGGAGAACATTTTAGACAGAGAAACAACTCTTTTTCTATTATTCAAAATAACAACGAAAACGATTATTCCGCTAGATTGAGTGTTAAGGAACATAAGGTTTGATATTCATACATGATTAGACATTCATTAAATCTATTTAAGTAATGTATTAGATTTATTTCTGAATCAATATATATTGAAATATTAAGTAAAATTTTTTTTCTAAAATAATTGATTTTAAATTGAAATTATTCAAAACCTAAAATTTTCCTTACGAAATAATTCTTAATAATTCATCATATATTAACAATGGTGATTTTATGATTGCCTATTTTAGATTGAATAATAGTACATCAATCGTTTTATTAAAAAATTACTATACCGAATTATATAATTATACAAGTAAGTTTAATAACAACTTTTGATTATTTTTAATAGTATTATAAATACATCCATGTATTCATTTTTATTTTATTTGGCCTACTTAATTACAAAGGATCTCTTATATTAGATCTAAAAGTAAATTTGATTTCTTAAATAGAAACGAATCAACAAATTTATTTTGTTCTTGTTTAATTGGCACCTATTGTAAAAAACAACAAATTTATCTAAAAATTTAACTTAAAATTCTAAAAATAAAACGAAAAGACAGTTCAGCCATTCTACTCCGTTGATTGTGATTATATTTAAAGATAAATCCTTAAACAACTAAAAAAATTCATTTTAATGATATTTTTCAAATAAATCACTGTAGTTTTAACTAAATTGCTCAGAGGAAAGTTAAAATGTCTTGATTATATCTTTATCAAAATAATCAAGACATTTTACTTGAAACTAAATTTTTGATAGATCTTTCATTTTTCTACGATAGATTTAACAGAATATAATGATTTTGAAATGTATTTTGAGTAATATGTTAATTCTAAATAAATAAATGAAAATTAGGCTCATTACAAATGGAAAAGATAGATAAATCAAATTATAATGTTTAGATTTACTAAATTAGAAAATGAAGAGATCTCATTCGTATGATTTACCTTACATAACCGTCCTGTCATCAGGTTAATAGTTGAAAAAGTAACCCAAATCTAAAACTATGTTGTTGATAGCAAATTCTTCAAATTATGGAAATTCAGCAAGGAAATCATTGAAATCTGAGAAACATGATTTAATGGATGCAATATCATTGGCGAGTCAATTAATATAAGAAGCCCCTCCATAAAAAACAAATATTAGAAGAGCCAGTTAATATGATTATATTAGTCTAAAGTAAAGAAGACTAGATAGTTTTGCTCCGCTCGTTTTTGTATAATAACATTCTCAAGAGGCGATGATACGTAAGAAGAAAAAATTAACTCAAAGAAAAATGCAGTATAGTATAGTATAAGAATAATGCAATTAGAATTTATGAAAAGGTCAATGCTAAGGAAGCAACAAAGGGTTTAACGTAGTAAGAGTGCTTTGTTGCCATAATAAATAAAAATCAAGCATAAGAGGGCTAAGACAGTTATGGATTAATTATACCAAGGGCCAATATTAAGACTGGATACTGAATTGGAAAAAAAAATTAGAATGTTAGTCTATTCATAAAGATGTTCTCGTTTAATCTTGAAAAGGAAGACATTTATACAAGAGCCTCAAAACAACATATTTGTTTCAAGAGATAAGTTGTTGAGATATCAAGAGGTGATGGCTAATAAATTTGTAAAACTTATAAATAAATGCATATAGGATTAAGCAGATTCCTCTTGTGACTCTTCTCCTTAGATAATGACTAAGATTCAATTTAAGAAGACATAATTTAGTAAGATATAGGTTGGGGAGAATACAATAAGTTAATATCTGACTCCCAGATTACAAAGTGACTGCAATCTCAATATTTTCAGTAGGAATGCCTCTCATAGTGTGATTGCTCAATACGTTCAAAATTATATAGATAAAAATAAGGCATAAAAGAGAAGTGTTCGTGGATAATAAAAATTGGCTATGATTAACCAGCCAAGTCTAAATGAATTCAACAAATAATTTTTGGCTCAAAAGAGGAGTGTAGATGTTGGAAGAATTTCTTCGTAATTGAAATTATCTAGATCATAGGATAATGGCAATAAATAGATTTAGTTAAATTAGAAACAGAGTTAGTTTATCAATAAACAAAAAAATATTATGATTTAGTAAAAATCAGACTCCTAATTCAATTAGAATATCAGGATTAGGACATTGCCTAGTGATATAAGTTTGAGTAAAAGTAAAATCAGTTTGTAATAAAGGTTGAGACCTTATCTCAAATGAATCTTAATTTTAATTAATTATTGTAAATATATTGATGTATTATTAATTGAAATTAGATTTTGTAAGAAAAATAAGAATTTTATTATAATAAACATGCATTGTGATTCTTTTGCACATTACGAATTATAAACGATCCTATCTGAAACCGATTATTCAAAGAGAGCTACAAAGATCATTTGCACTATTGGGTAAGACTATTAGAAATATATTAGTCCTGCTTGTTGGGATGTGCCTACATTGGTGTAATTGATTGATGCAGGAATGAGTGTAGCTAGACTCAATTTTTCTCATGGGGATCACAAGGTCCATGGAGAGACAGTGGCGAGATTGAGAGAAGCATTTAAATAGAGGAAGGACAAGCCGGTGGCAATAGCATTGGATACAAAGGGTCCAGAAATTAGAACTGGTTTGAATAAAGAACATAAATCGATTGTATTGAAGAAAGGGTAGAAGTTGGAAATAAGTATGAATATTCTTATATTCAGCTACCGATTATACATTTGAAGGGACATCAGAATGTATTGCATGTAGCTACTAAAGTTTATGCAAAACTGTGCATGTTGGATCATAAATCTTGATAGCAGATGGAACCGTGGTGACAACTGTGGATGAAATAAAAGAAGTATGGAAAATTGTCATTTCATTAATAGTCCAGTGTAATGGTAACAGTCTAAAATGATGCATAATTTGGAGAAAAGAAAAATATGTCTTTGCCTGGAGCTATAATTGATTTGCCTACCGTAACTGAGAAGGAAGAGGAAGATTTGGTGAAATTTGGTTTGAAACATAATATTGATATTGTCTTTTTATCATTTACCAGAAAGGCATAAGATATTGAGGATGTCAGAGATATTTTAGGTCCCAAAGGCAGTGGAATCAAGATTATTGCTAAAATAGAAAATTAGGAAGGAATGCAAAACTATGATGATATATTAAAATCAGCTGATGGAATCATGGTGGCAAGAGGAGATCTAGGAATGGAAATTCCTCCTTAGAAGGTATTCTAGGCTTAAAAATGGATGATCAAAAGAGCACTTGATGCAGGAAAGCCTGTCATTACTGCCACATAAATGATGGAATCTATCATTACTAATCCCAGACCAACAAGAGCTGAAGCATCTGATGTAGCTAATGCTGTATTGGATGGTTCAGATTGTGTTATGCTCTCTGGAGAAACTGCCAACGGAGCATTTCCAGTTATTGCTGTAGAAACTATGGGAAGAGTAATCCATCCATCTATTATTAGATATGTTGTGAAGCAGAAAAATGTGTAGATCACGAAAAAACCTATTGGAATAGAATTCATGATAGAGGATATTTGGGGGATACTGAAGCTTTGGCTGCTTCTGCTGTTCAAATGAGCTTTGAAACTAAGGCTCATGTGATCATTTGCTTCACTCTCACTGGGGAAATCGCACGACTTGTTGCTAAATATAGACCAAGAGCTCCCATCATAGCAATTAGGTTAGATATGTTAATATATATTATTAGTACTGAAGACAAAACTATTAAAGGATTAAGTATGGCAAGTGGAGTTACTTGTCTTAGAGTTCCAAGTTTTCAAGGAGTTGATACTTTAGTTGATTATGCTATTAAATCTGCAAAGTCTAGAGGAATTATTTAAACAGGAGACAAGGGTATTGTCTTACTAGGAGGAAGTGAGGAAAATCCAGATGAGTCTAACATCTTAAAAGTAAAGAAGATCAATTGATTATCTATACAAACAAATAATTAATTAATTATTCAATATCTGTTATTTAGGGTAAATGTCTCAGGTTCTCAAAGTGTCCTTAATAATACTAGGCTGAATTAGGAGATGTAGTATTCTCAATTGCAATCATTATTATAATATGAATTTATTTTATTTATAATTTTTAAACTATAAACTCGATTAAAGATGAATCCAAAAGGTTATAAATTTGAAGTTCGAATATATATTGAAAAGTTGGAGATGAAGTGCAATTTATCATTTAAAGTGTAAGTTATATTAAAATGTGGTATATACTATTTCTATCACTTAAGGGAATTAAAAACTTATGACTGAGTAATTAGCTGATTTTAATTAAGGAAATGCAAATATTAAAGAAACTCTCTGCATTCAAACTAACTTGTAATAAATCAATGGAACATTTTAAGAAAAGAAAATAGAGTTGCTAATTTTGCTCATAACAACAAAAGGTAATAAAAAAGCAGGTCAATGTTATATTGATATTGCACAGTTATTGAACTAAAAAAAATATGGTATTTCATAATTGCACTTTAGACTCTAATTAAGAACTACTCTTAGAAAATTGCCCCGTTAACAAAGCCAAAATTTATTCAACAATTCGATTAGCAGAAGTTGAGAAGGTAGACTTTGAAGTAATCAACCCACAGTCTTCAATAGTTATTGAGTAAGGATCAGATAAAACGTAAGGGCTTTTTACACCATTAAAAGCAGCACTCGAAAATACAGTCAAGAAATACTTTGGAGATAATCAATCTGCATAATCACAAAAATTGGAAAATTAATTTTCTAGAAATTAAACAAATTATCCTATTTTAACAGATGGTTCACCTCATTTGAATTCACAAAAATAACAATTGGATTTCTAACAGGTCTAATAAGATTTATCAGATCTTCAAGAAGAGCTCCAATAATAAAAGATAATATATACAGAAATGAAGGATTTGAATAATTAACTAAAAAAGGAAATAGAAATATAGAAAGAGAAAAAGGAAGCCTTGATTTAATAGGTCTAGGAATAAAAACTCTAGATAGAAAATATGATTGACTAACATAAATATCAAGAATAGTTAACTTAATATGAACAATAACTAAGCCAAATTCAAAGTCAATTGAGATAAGCACTAAAAGATAATGAAACTCTTACTTTGAACTATAAAAAAGCTATGTAATAGTGCAATAAATTATCTGAGGAGTATAATTAAAATTAACAAACCTTCAATTATGAAGAAAAATCTACATTCTAATTAAATCAAAAGATAAAGGAATTGGAAGAAATTTGTAATGAAAAAGATCAATTATATTAAACTTTAGAGAAATCTAATAATGATAGCTAGTTAAAGAATATTAATTTTGAAAATTAGATCATTTAATTACATCAGTAAGTATAACAACTCAAAGCTAAGCTTATTGATAAAGATGTTGTAAATGAATTATAGAAAGAGAATCTTAATAGTCTAAATATATAAATATTAAACTTAAAGAATTAAAATAGTTCTCTATAGTAGAGTTAAAGAATGATGAATGATAAAGTATTGATTTTTTTATCATTAGATTGATGAATAATCTAAGTAGATTGTTAATCAATAGGAATTAATAAATCAATAAACTGGGGAAATTAGGTAACAATATGAAGATATCTTAAATCAAAACCATTAGAGTATTTAATAACTAACTAAGGAATTAAATGAGAAAAATATTGAATTAATTTCTTATTAGACTACATGCAAATAACTAAAATTAGAATTAGATGCTGTTTTGGAGTAACATGAAAAATCAAAGCAAGAAGGAGTAAAAATATAGCCAGAGTCAGATCTAAATTATATGGAAAAGGAGTAGTAATTCTAAGAGGAAATAAAAAAGTGCCGTGAGAGAGAAGAGGAACTAAAAAGTAAAGTTGAATTTCTTTTGCAATCAACAAATTAATTGTAATAACTGCTAAACGAATAGTATCAGTCAGAAAGAAGTTATGAGAAATTTGTTTCGAGACCACTAGATTCCAAACGCAAACGCAGAGGTGAATGTTCCAAATCAATTGATTTAATTGAACAGGGCAATATCATTGAAATTTTCTAAGTTAAAGTAGGATCTAGAATGTCATTAATTGTAGATATAAGCTCAGGCGAAATGTGATTCTGATAATTCAGGATATCAACAGATGGTAATAATAAAATAATTATGATTAAAGACCCTTGAATTAACTTAAGCCAAATAAAAAATTGATAATTTTTAAATTGAAAATAGATATTTACAATAATAATTAGCTACAAAATCTGAATGTTTAAATAACTTAAATTTAATAATTCTAAATTAAAATGAAAAAATTGAGAATTTAGAAATCTAAAATAAAGATCTTAAATAAAAATCAATAAAAGAAGAATAGATTCATCATTAATTAAGTGAGTAAATTAAAGTAGTTGATGATTAAAATTAAGATCTTTAAATTTAAATAAAAGCTTTATAAATTGAAATTTTGTAAAAAGAGAACTTGATAAATAATGTATCAAGCAAAATTTTATAATTAAGCTAGCAAAATTAAGAATAAATTATAGTTAATGAATAATTATAATTTTAAATAAAAGAGTAGACTCAGCATGCTTAGTAATTAAAATAAGAATTCTTAATCTCCAAAGCAGAATAAGATTAGCAAAATAATAATTAAATTCTGGAGTTGAATAGAAAAATCACAGCTTTAGAAATTACCAACCAATAAATATTCGATTAGAAATAATTAAAAGAGAATTAAATAGAAAAGTTACAATAAGATAGACTGTATGATTAAAAAATAGAAGATCAAAGTAGAAAAGAAGAAAATCAATATATAGTTGATAATTTACTAAGCCCTCTTATAATAGAAGAAACTTAAGAAAGTTAATAAAAGATTTTAGAATAAAAATTATAAGCATTAACAATCTAATTGAATTAATAAACTTCTGCGCTTTTACAAGCCTAGATATTTATTGAATAAATAAAAAATGAATATAATTAAACATTAGAGAAAGGTAAAATGAATGAATCAGAACTTAAACTACTCTTAGAGTAATCAAAAATTTTGAATAATAATTTATAATCTCAATGCAATAGCTACAGAATATAACTTAATGCTTTAGAAATATATATTTAATAGAAAAATAGTAAAATTGATGAATTAGAAACTTAAATCAAATAGAATTAATTACAATTTTAAAATGAGTTGTAGGAGTTACAATAACAATTATTTGAAGAGAATGATTAATGCCAAAAGGAAAAAGAAATGATTTAGTAATATATTGATGAACTAGAGGATAAATCATTATAGTTAATAAATCAAGTGAAAGAAATGGATATTTAGCTTTCAGATATAAGGAGATAGAATGAAATTTTAAGTAAATAATTAGTAGAATAGTAATAAATTGATGATAGAGCATAAAAATTAGAATAATCATACTTAGATAATATACAAAAATATGAATAATAAATACATGAAATAAGTTTGAAACATATGTAGAACAATAATGATATGATGAAATAGATTCAATATTTATAATAGTAGTCTCAATAGGATTAGGTAGATTTATAAAAATAATTAGCAGAATAGGAAGATAAATATGCCATAGAGATATAATTAATAACTAAAAATTATTTGAATGGATTGAAGGATAAGGATGATTAAATATAAAATTTATAATAATAAATTCAAAGTTTTCAACAAGTTAAATTGGAATAATAAAATGAGATTAAATTGTTAGGGAGTATTAATGATAATATGGAATAAGAATAATTTGAGAATTTTGAATATAACTCAAAAATCTAATTTACAAATGAAAAAATGATAGTATAAACGTAACCATAGGAGTTTCAATTAAATTAATTATAAAATGCAATAAAAGAGTTGGAATTGAAAAATCAGGAATTGGAGACTGAAAAGATTAATATTTCAAATAACTATCAGTAAGCTTTGATTGAAGCATAATCTTTGAACCGCATTCAAGATAATTCTAATGAGAAAATGGAAAAGATATAGGAAGAAGTTATTGCCTTAAAATGCCGAATAGGAGACATGTTGAATACAGCTTAGGAATTCGGAGGGGCTTAATTAGTTGATAAATTGTAATAAGCATTAGGAATAAAGGAATGAAGTAGATTATTTCTTTAATAATTAAAATATCAAATCATAAAGTAACTAAAATATTAGTAAATTCTTCTTCAGAGATTCTTCCATCCTTATTCAAGTCACAATCCTTTAAAAACTATTCCCATATCTCCGGCTCTAAAAATCCCATACTATCTTACAATTCCTCTTTTGATATGTAACCATCACCATTTGTGTCTAGCATGCGAAATGCCTATTTAATTCTTTTGATAGAAACTAATTTTTCAAACTTCATGGCCCCCATAATAAATTCAGAATAGTCAATTAAGTTTGAATGATTCAAATCTAGAGCATCTAATATCTGATTAACTTTATCTTCTGCCTATTCTTTGTTTTTTAATATTTCTTGATAACCAGCAATCAATTCTAGCTTACTCAAATTACCATCAAGATTTTTATCTAGAGCATTAAAGGTAGCCTTCAGTTCATTGATTTCTTGGCTTTGCAAAGTTTAATTCACCATAAAAGTCATAATAGCTTTTTGAAAATTACTTTTGACCTAATTTTAGCAAAATAAAATACACAGAATTTTTCAATATTATTTAATAACTATTAGGATATAATCTCTTATTTAGCATTTTTTTAAACCCAAGGATGTAAGAGAGCTTATTAGGCAGAGAACCTTTTTTTGACATCAGTATTGAGCATATTGTTAATCAAATCTATAGCTTCCTTTGAAACATTAGACCAATCGTCTTTGTCAAATATTATTTTGCCAATTTTAACCTTAGCAAAGATTTCATTTTCAGTTTTTCCAGTAAAAGGAGGATACCCGCATAAAAAAATATATAGTATAACTCCACAGGACCAAATATCCACTTTTTCATTATATTTACCATTTAAAACTTCTGGGGCAATATAATAAGGAGTTCCTAATCGTTTCTTCATATTATTATTTGATGAAAAGTATCTAGATGTTCCAAAATCAATTACTTTGACCTCTTCACCCTATCCACTTAAGAGGATATTCTCAGGTTTCAAATCTCTTTAAATATCATGATAAATTTACCTATGTACTATTTATTTTTCATGGCAGTAGCTCACAGCTTTTAGGATTTAGATAATGTAGCCAGCTGCCATTTTCTCACTAAAGCATTACAGTTTCTTAATTCTTTAGAATAATTCTCCTCCAGGAAGGTGTCTAAATATGATAAATAATTACTCAGTAACAATTATATATTAATCATCTTCTTAGAAGCATTCGAAAACCCGAACGATATTAGGATGATCTAAAGACTTTAAGATATTCAGTTCCGATAACATTCTTTCTTAATCCTCAAATAAAAGTGAGTCTTTCTTAATTTACTTCAGTGCTCTTAAAATACCAGTTTTCTTATGTTTGGCAAGCCATACACAGCCGTAGCTTCCTTATCCTAATTTTTTAATGAGATTATATTGTTCTTTCCATCCCCCTTGTTTCATTGTGACAAAATTATCATAGCTTATCTTCACAGATTTTTTGGAGCCTGGCAATTAAATGGTTGATTTCATTTTAGACTGATTGGTGTCTGAAGAGAAATCAAGATCGACTTTTGATGCAGCACTAGGTGTAATATATTGTTTAAGGGGGGAAGTAATGTCTTCCTCGTCATCTTGAAACGAATTCCAAGTCTCTATTTTTTATAACGTAGGAGTCAAGATTTAAGTGTTACCTTATAAGTGATTGTAATGGATTTCTGAGTGATTACAACACGCATTACCCATATCAGAATAATTTTTATATTAATATGAACATCATTTAATTTGGTCGAATATTCAATTTAAACTTCTCGGCTTATAAAAATATCAAATCAAAGAATTTAATTTCTTTTCAATCATCTGATTAATGATAGTTATTAATTGAATAATGACAGATGAAAGAGGGTTTCAACAAATTAATTTGCTCTACTTAATCTTATGTACATTTAGACAATTTGATCTTGGTCATAAATAATGTATTAAAATTGATGTAAATAACACTCAAATAAGATTATAGAAATAACATCAATTTATTCAATAATTTTATTGTTCCAAGACTTCAATTACCTCCACTAAACTCTCTCTATTTTGAACTTCTTATATCTATAAACTATGAGTAACGGGTTTTCTACATAAGTAACAAAGTTCACTTTTGCTTAACAATTACTCACAACACTCTTTGCAAAATCCTCCATGACCACATGGCATATTGATCATATTATTCTCTTTTTCATAACAAACTAAACATAATTTTTAAGAATTCTGATTCTATTGCTCTTATTTAAGTTAAGACTAATCTTCGAATTATTTTTTATCAGAATTCCTACTTGTCAAATCTTATCCTAAACTTGAACTGATTTCCAGTCTTTGTCTTGGACTAGACAAGAGCAAATCGAATCTTTTAGATTGATCATTGTCATTCATTTAATATTTATTGTCTATTTAATTTAAGTTTTTTTGTTGAATAACAGATGGTTTGTGTTGTTTATCATTATTTTGAGCGCATCTATAGTAAGTTTACGATAATCTAACCATGAATTGAGGCACCTTTGATATGCTAATCTTGTGCATTCTCTTCATTTTCAGTTATATCCTATTTTCAACCTACTGCTGATTTTGATTGATTTGTTATATCTATTGCTCAACATACAAATTACTCTATGCCATATCATAATATAAAAAGTAATCGCTCTATTATTATTCATTTCTTACATTAGTTTCGATTTAAACTTATAAAAATAAGCTAATTAGAGTAGGTAATACAGGATTGTTAATCCAAAGGCATACTGATTTAATTAGACGACATGAAAGTCTAGTTTCAAAGCACATCCGAAAAGAGTTGCAAATGGTAATATAGTGATCCCAAATGCAATCAAATTTAACCAAATCCCTCCCTTAACTTAAATATATAAATTATTTTAACTGATAATTAATTTTTTATCTTCTTCAATCCCTTCTAATTTATTTCTGCATTTTTAGAGTAAGTCAATAAATAAACATATTGCTATCACAAATGACAATCCAAGGAGAAACCATATTATAATTAATGTTTAAATCCATCCCCAAGTAATTTGTCCTGTTATTCTGAGACTGACAAACACAAGTTACAGAGCACCAATACTTTTAAATGCTGCGATTAACTAAGAGTTTAAGATCAACTTACAATCTCTTAAATCTAAAATTATTGATCTACAGCATCGCTATCTGATGTATTTCTATTGACTAGAACTGTGACTGATAGAATCAAGAACTGTAAGACGAGTTGAGCATAAGAGATGAAATTTATATTCACTCTCTCTACCTCTAAATAATAGACTATGGAAAGCAAATAGGATATTAAGACTAAACTTTCGAAAATGTTAAAACAACAGTATTGGGAAAGACTAGAAATAATAAAGTGTTATACTTTCGACTTTTGAGCAATCTATGCACCATTATTGTAAATGAGGATACGCAGCAGTAGATAATGATTAATTTATAGTCCCATTAAAATATTAAATGAGCATTGTATAATAAGCAAAATCCGCTGAGTATTGTTATCATAACTATTATCTAAATTTTTCAATTCAAATTACTGATTTCAAATTGTCTTGGGACTTTGATCTAATTTACTACAATTCAAAAGAACTAATTAAATGATTTGATACTTCACAATTCCATTCATAAGACAAAATGATAATATAATAATTTTAATAAGATAATAAATGATGTACTCAAACCTGTAATTTTTGATCATAATTGCTTAATGCAATCATAAATGCTATCAAAGGACTAAATGGTGCTGCTATGTCCAAATTAAAATAATGCTTGTCCCACTTTCCAAATTATAGATATATCTTTTCAGGCATCTCATCCTTCAGAATCATTTAAAAATTCTTTATTGAAGAAATCTTAACTCTTTCATAGAAATTGAGGATAAAAGTTTGAAGTTTGGGATCCCATTTTGGTTTTCGATTAAGATATTCATTATTTGGATCGTTTTGAAATTTAAACTACAATTTACAATGATTTCAATACACACTGTTATCTGGGCTCATTGGCTTTTGGAATTGCACATATGCGCAACTCACCCAGACATTATCTATAGGGTTCTTTCTTCCTTTTGGGATTCAATCCTGTATCATAAAAATAATATTAGTTATTTTTTTTACAACTAACCTGTCCTACAAATTGTGGAGATTTCCTTTCTATATTTTCTTTATCTGCACTAATCAGATATTTATTTCCAACCTTTTTAGCTGCCAAATAGCATTAATTATCTTTTAGAAAGTAGAACTTTGGTCTAAAAGTATTAAATCCTGATTTGTTTATCTAAAAAGCACATTGAACTATCCCTTATTATTAAATAGGAGAAGTAAGAAAGTCAGATTGTAATTAAAACTAAAAGTTCTTTATGATACTCGGATAAGCACTTATGATTAATGAATTAGTCGTAGATTTGTCTGGACTATAGGAATCTCTTTATTAATCGACTTTAGCCATTTAATATTCCTTTTAGTAACCTCCCTTTTATTTTTATTCTAATTTCTTAGGAATATTCCCTTAATAAGTGAGATCATCTTCATGATCTTCGGCTACCAAATCGCCTACTCTTGGATTTTGTCTCTCTACTTTAAACTTCATTTATAGACAAGCAATACCATCTTAATTTCTAAAGGATTTTGATTTTGCACGTCTATTGAGTTCATTTTAATCAGTTAGGAAGGACTAACGGTTGGGGAATCGTTGGGTTGCTTAATTATGGAACCTCTCTAATGATTAGTTGAAAATCAAAATACTTTTTCCGCGATCCGTTTAGGTGAGGATTGTTGTTGCATAGCGATTAAATTATACTATATTTAATCAAATATACAAAATATATAAAAATTTAGTCTCATTTCATAAAGTTGTTACTCCTATTTATTAAATGCCTTAAACTTCATATTTGGCAGTAGTTTATTATGAAGTCCTTTCAAAGAGGCCAGCTAGTATTTTCAAGAAGAAATCTATCTTAACTTCCCAATAACACACTTGATTGTAAAAATAGTGAGCAAATATGCATCCCGTTGTTACCTAATTTAAATTTTTAAAAATACATCAATTGTGTAGTGTATTGCAAATGTTATCACAACGAAAGCCTAATATAAAGAACACAAAAAGAATAATGTCGACACATACTTTTTGCCTATCCTTTTCATTTCGAGTCCACAAATCACCAAATATCCGACATGTCCCTAAATTAATTTCAATATTTACAGAATAAAAGAAATCAGAAAAAAATCCATACTTTACAACCAAACTTGGGATGTTTGGGTCCTCCCAATAGTAATTTTGGGGGGATTCCAGTTTCACCAGATTCAAGTGAATTGCCCGAATAACATAAAAGATAATTAAGGCTGCAAATAATCTAAAATTTCTTTGGTAGAGAACCCAATATAGTGAAATATATAGATATGCAACGTCCAAAATAATAGCTGAGAGCAATTACATAGAAATAGAAAACCTAAATAGCATCACTATAGTACCATCGATGTTCTTTATACAAATTGTTGATTGGTGTTGTAATTTAGTGTCCCACATCCCAAACTCCAATTATTTTTTCCGATGGAGTGCAAAAAAGTTGAAATAGCTAAGTAAGAACAACATATGAAAAGAACACAAAAATCCTAAATCGAAAATTGTAACAAGGATTCCCTGGAACTCCACTTTAGGTATGATCAAACTTCTCTGGAAAGACAAAGTGTTTAATATCCTCTCCATTGTATATTGTAATTTTTTCGTCATTGACAGTCTTCATTTTAAAAAATTATTAGAATTCCAAATAAATTCCTAATTTCTTAAATGGGGATATCATATTATTAATTAATATCAAGATCAAACTTAAGAAAAATCTGATAAATGCAATAAAATTAATCAATTTGTATCCCTAACCCAGAGATTAGGCATTAATTACTACATAAAATATCAAATATCCTTATAGATAATAAAAAAGATCAATATTTTATATTTTTAATTCTGTTTTATCATCAAAAAATATCTAAATAACCTTGGAGTACATTTTGTTCAAGATTGTGATAATGGAATTTTTACAAAAATTGATTTTTGCAAAACCTGAGTTATGATAAGAAATTTTACAATTGAATAAATGTGAATGCTTAAGAAATTCATTAGTAGATGTGAGAATCAATTAGGAATATCATATGAATTCTTAATACAAGATTGAATTTCGTTAAATGATAATAAATTATATCAAATTAAATCAATATAATAAATAGACCATTGTAGATCTAAACTAATTTATTCTTATTTAATCAATATAGAGTTATTACTGCAAATGAAATTATCTAAAATAATTGAGAATATAATTCGGCTGGATCAACACAGGCTTAACATTCCTGATTACCTGTGCTATTATCAAAATGATAGATAAAATTGGAATCCAAACTACATCTAGATATGTTGGTGAATGGAGTTGTATCGTTTGATTCCTAACAAAATGCTCTTGTTTCATTCCAACTACAAAAAGTGAATTTTCTCTCTCCATTAATCGTCCATAAACAATTTGGTTGATCAAAATAGAGACACTCCTTTGAATTGCATTTAGATTAAGTCTTCTTAGCATCCCAATAACATCCCAAACCATTGCATGCCTTTTCTGTAAGAATCTCATTGCATTTTGTTTCGTATGTCACAGAAGAGCATGCATGATCATGTTTCTCACAGAACTCATAATTACTTAATTGTATGTTGCAATTATTGGTTGAAAAGTCACTACAATGTTTTCTATCTAATGTATATTTTATTTAACAGGACTCAGTGTCATCAACTTCGCAGATAGATGAATTTGTGCATGTGTCATTGCAATGATAAGTATCAATGTCTAAACATTTCTCATCAACCCATTTACAATTGGGATTCCAATCATCAGTCGTTGTGGTTTAATTGCATTCTGAATCACTGATCCTATTCTCACAACTCACCTAAATACAAATATCATTCTTCCAAAAGCATCCTCCAAGTAAACATTCTTCCTCCCAAAATAACTACTAACAAGTGCATCTAGCCACCAGTTACCAAGCAACTATAACGAATAACCCTAATAAAATCAGAATTTTTGCAGTCATCAAATTAATGACTATTTAATATTTTTTATAATAATAATAATTTTTCAAAACAGTCCTCATAATCGTTATATGTTGAAAAAATTAATTGTTTTCTAAACAGTTTATTATTACTTTATTTTTAAATATTGTAATCGATTGCAGAGTTGTGTGAATATTATTTAAAATGTGTAAAATCAATTTTAGGGATTGGTATAATTTAGTCTAAATGTACTTCCTTTTACTCATTTCTGTCATTACTAAGGAGATTATTTAATTAATTTAATGATATAATTTTATCACTATGTCTTAAGTCATTTCCTAAATAAACATCACAAAGTTAAAATAGATTCAGAAAAAATTGTTTCCCTCTTATTCATAGTATATTACTCTCAACTAATTTGCGTACTATAATAAACATAGGATAATGCTTTAGATTAGCAGATATAAATAAACTTACTAAATTTATTTTAGTATTACGGTCAAATATGGAGACCCTACAATTATTTAATCTAATATAAGGGATTCAGACAATATGCCTTCCTAATACCTTCGCTACTGATTACATTGATTATGATTGATTTTTTCTTGTAATGGATGGAGGAAGTGAGAAGCAAGAATGCATAATAAAAAAAGTTGAATTTTAAAGCAATTCATAACAATAATGAAAAAATACTGTCTGTTATCTTTCAGGTGCATTTGTACACTATATCACTTTACGAATTAGACCTTTTAATGTTGTCTCTTAGAGATGGAATATCGAATTTGCCAGAATCAATGGCTGTGCTAGCTTTCTCTTTTTTTTTCCTTTTTTGTAAATTACTTTTTATACTACTAACCCTCATGTGTTCAGAATCGATTCACTTTCCAAGTTCTCCAATTCATTTTAATGTATTATCCATTGGATAATATTTTAACATATTTCTTATAGTAATCAGTTTATATCTGAAATACGAAATGGGAGACTTGCAAACCTCCCTTTTCCACATCATTAATTTAATTATAATTGGATTTTACATTTATTAAGAGTGCCAGAAGAAAGTCAATTACTTAAACACCTTAGTATTACTATTACTCACATATGGTTTTTTTAATAATTTATCATTCTTTTTTGTTATTGAAACCTCAAAGAAGGAATATTAAATAGCACTCCTATATGTCTTGTGTCCCTTGTTTCTAAATTTGGTTATCCATTACTCAAGAAAGTCAACTATTATAGTCTACGAAAAAAATCGAACTATTGATTAAATATTTAACAACCTCCTCATACTAGATGAAAACAAATCCAATATTTATAAATAAGATAATTTCTAAACTCTGATTCTAAAATAAATAACAACTAACGCAGATGACCCCTTCAATTCAGAATTAATCTTGTTTAACAATAAAATCATCAAGTCCAAAAAGAGCTAAAAAGCTTTTTGGTACTATAAATACATTCTTATAAAATTATCACAACAGTAATACACCGAGACTCTGATGCTGATACACAATTTCAAATAATCCTTATTTTATTCAGAATTAAGCAAATAATTTGTCAGAGTTCAGATAACTATTTCATTTATACAATAATTGAAACTCATAAATATCAAAAGTGAAGTTTATTAATTATTAAATTACAATATCAATAAGAATTTTGATTTGGATAAACTCAACTCAAGCACTTTTATTCATTACAAAGTTCAGATTCAAAAAAGCTAAATTTAGATTTTAAATCTCTTTAAGGAAAAGGAAGCCCTATATGCTCAACTCTTGGAGGGGAAACCTACAAAAATAAATGGTATATTTAATAAGAGTTACAATATTCTTGAACAAGCCTTGTAATTACAATAGGATTTGAGGTAGGAATTAACTACCTAGAAAACATACCGCATTCATTAATTATTGACCATGCTTTACGTTGAATTTTTTAATAATATTATATAGGCCGAACTTCTCAAGTACTTTTAATTGAATAACGAAGAGTTGAAATAGAATCCATTAGAAAATATGGATTTTCTCAATCTTAAATTAGAAGATAACCTACTAAATACTTAGATAAAGTATTTTAGTTAGAGTCTCTTTTTGAAGTTGGGATATAAACTAAAAGATGAATCCTTTTTTCATTTCAAAATGCTCTTCCCGGACGCTTTTTATGATACTCACCAAGATCTAATTAGACGCTTTCTGGAAAGTGGGACTTGTAAGTATTTAAACAGAATCTCCGATATGCTGATTAGAGGATAGGATAATGTCTACTTTTACTCTATGTTCTAATTGAATATCGAAAACTCCAGTGAACCAGAACTATCTTTTTATGTTTTCATAAAAATAAATGAAGAGCAGCCGAATTCAGTATTCATCAATAAGCAAAACCAAATTATCGGCTATACCACATCATTTTTGAATTACATCAATAAAAAAAACATGACTTTTACTTCGAAATCCTTATACTTACAAGAGCTTAGTAAAGTAATCATTATCAATAAGCAACAACTTGGGTAAAAGTATGTAAAGGGGCGTTTGACATATGATTTATAGGAAGTAGCCTTAGAGTATATTGAAAGAAAAAGCATTGCAGAATTAGTCATATTGGATGAAAATTGGGATTATTTATTAAATCACGAAGTATTTAGTCAAGAACCAAGTCAACACTGCAGTTTATTACTTAACCAAGAATCTGTAGTCTTAATACCAAATCAGCTTTTTATTGATGATTTGAATAGTCCACTATCTTTGGCAAGAAGAGACAAACCCTATTAAGAACTATTGCAAAGTGATATAAAACAAAACCAAACAATCAAAAGTAAAGAAGATAGCAACATAATTAGCGAACCTATTTAGGACAAGCCAAAATATAAATAAAAATTAAGTAATAAAGAATAAAAAGATGACATCAATAATGATTAAGCATCATCCAAGTTTTCAAGAGGATTTTTAGATAATTCAATCTTTTATTCAAAATACAACAAGCTTAACTTATTTTTAACTTAAAGCAAAAGAAATCGTCAAATCACTATGGCGTTATTATTGCTTCTTTTAGCACTACTAATAAATATTATTTTTTAGTTGATAAGTTTGACTCAATTTCTACCTCAATATGAGAAAGTAAATTCAGATCTTGATATGTTGAGTATTAAAGGCAATTTCATGGCCCCTATTCATAATTGCGTAACAGCTTAGGTGAGCGTTGTTAATTATATACTCTTGGCATATGTTTTTAAAGAGATTACTCAAGAAGTTGCTTTAAGAAAAATGTAATTTGGAATGGATTCTATTTATAAATCATATGAACATTTAAAATCCTCATTTTCTACTCAATTAGACAACCAAAACCTCTAAGGGTTTTTCTATGATAAGGAAATAATAATGTATTAATTTGAGAATTTAACTCTGGTGCCACGAAACATATCATTAAAGCCTGCTTTGGTTTACTATTAAGAAGCTTAATACTTTGTTTCAATCATAGATTATTACAATGTGCTTTCAGTAATTCCTTCAAACGATTTTATTTATTATATGGCTAATATCTTAGAGGTTGATAACTATTTTGATTACTTGAATGACGAGGTTGAAATATTTGTGGAGACTAGAATGAAAAATTTCGAGAGTAGTTAAACAAAGTTTTTCTTAAAAATGATATTTTTATAATTGTTAATAGTGACTTTGGGTATTTCTCTTGTTTTGTAAAATTAATACACCCTAACAGAGTTATTTAGTTTATTTACAAATATTAATATATTTGCATTATAGAAGGAGATTTAGAAGCTATAAAAAATGATCCACTTATTGAATCATGACGATGCATACTAGATTTACAATTTTGAAGTAAGTGTGTGGGAGAAGGAAATATCTGCTCAAACATTTTCATACAATTTGAAAATTAATTTGAGTAGAATCATATGTCATGAATACAAGTTGCCTAGATTAGCATTAATTACTATATTTGTTATTGTAGTTTCAATTTATTTACTTCCTTAAATAATATTAGAATCTATGAATGGAGTCTTTTTCGATAAATACTCAAATAGCATAGATCTCTTGGTTAGATTGTCTTCATTAGGCTCAGCAGTGACAGCAGTATATGAGATTAGAGAAATCAATTATTTGATATCAGGTAAGTCTCCTTTTTTCGATTTCTTTACTGATTAAAAGCGAATTGAATAAAACGCTAAGGTTGAGCATGAACTTAATAAAATAAACGAATTTCTCTTTTTTTATTTATTCCTTGATTTGTAAAAATTATAGCAATATTTATTAGTGAATAATCCTTAAGTGATGATGATATTGTATCGGTATTTGAAAATGTTCAATCATCAAATCTGTGTAAATTTATAACTCATGTAATAACACTATTTATAATGATTAGTATAACGTAAGTTTGGCTGAAGAGCATTGTGATTTAATTTATGACGGAGTGATGAAATTGGGATTGATAAATGCACTCACTGAAATATACAGTTAGATCAAGACTGAATACGAAAACAGCAAAGGCTTTCAAATTTAATATAGGAATAAATCGGGTGCTTTTGAGGAGGTTGAAATAGGATTGATTGCATCGGATTCAGTTTTATATTTAGAATCTGAAGTATTTCATTCAGTAACGAAGAAGACTTCAGAAATAATAGATTCTCATTAAGTATAACAATTTTTAAGGTTTAATTAGATTTTGATTGGTATCCAAATAACAATCAGTGTGATTCTTGGATTTATTTTGGTACGCTATTATTATCCATACTGAATGAGGAGAACTCTGATAGTTAAGAACATGATATTTCTAATACCCTAGTTGCAGTTTTATCTAGATCAAAAATTTGAAACTGATTTCCGATTGTTATAAATGCAAAATGTATGAGGTTGACATGTAATTGTGAAATTAATTTATAAATGTTAAAATTCGTTTTATTTATTTTATTCTTGAATTTTATTGATGATGTTACTCTGCGATAGGGAGGGGATGGCCAAATGTTATTTGTGAATGGGAAACCACATTAGGTATTGGTGAAATAAAAGCGATTTGCATAATTGAGGTAACTATGAGTAAATAATAAATTAAGATCTATGCCAGAGTTATCAGAAGATGAAGGAGGAGATGATGGTGGTGGAGATGATATGGGTGATGATGAGATTGAAGCAGGAGGAGGTGGGGGTCCTAGTTTGGGTGGATTAGGAGGATTAGCAGGTGGAAATCCGAGAGATGCAGAAACAGAAGAGAATCTAAGATTGGATGCCTGGTCTATCATAAGAAGTTTAGACGAATTTATGGTTGTTCAGAATCAGAGATTGATGGATGCATTATATGGAGATGCAATAGAATAAAATGAAGAAATGGAAGAATTAATCTACGATTTGACTGACAACATCGATCATTGGACCTATAGAGTCTATAGTAAATTCTAAAAAACGAACCTTGCTCTAGAAGACAGTAGATACACATCAGCAAAAACAGCTATAATAGTAATGATCTCATTCTACATGATTAGGCAATTGAAAGTCAAATTAGAAAGGCTAATTAGCAACTTAAAATATATTATGGTTAGTTGTATAGGTTGTAGGATCAAATCCCCGATGAGGAAGAACAATGCGCATAGTTCTATACATGCAAGGAATGTCTGAGCAATCAGGGTTGTGGATGGTGTCCTTTAAATGATAAATGTGTGGTTGGAGATGAGAATGGGCCACTCTTCTAACAATGCCAACATTACAACTATTAGTTCTGCTAAGGTAAATAATGCTTGAAATATTCTACTTGTAATGTAAGAATATTAAATAATTCATGAGACCTGTCTATCTGACTCTGAATGTGGATGGTGCTAAGTGGATGAAGATGACATCAAGGTTTGTCTCTAACAACCCAGGAATTTCGAAGGTTGTCCTGAGGGTCATTGGCATCACATAGCAGGGGAGCAATTTGCCTGTCCATTTAAGAAATAGAAACAAAAGATGGAGGAGGATGTGCCTGTTCATAAATTTTGGATGAGACCCAAGGCTCCACCTCCTGAGTGTAAACCTGTGGATTCTGCTATGAGAGCGAAGATTTAAAAGGAGAGACAAGAATATAATGATAAGTCAGAATATAAGGGGGAATAAAATAGAAATAAAGAAGTGGTAAAACTAGTGCTTATGTACAATAGTAATTGAATTATAAGAACACTCTTCAGCAAAAAGTAGTTTAATTAAAGAATTTAGTAGAAGAACTCTTAGAAAGAAGGGATGACATCTAAGCATGGGTGGATGAGTATATGAAGGCTAGAGGCATAGAACCATCGGAACCAGCTGAAAATCAAGATTAGGATGCAGGAGAAGAATCCCCTCAGGAAAATTAAGAGTAAGAGGATTCATCCAATGCTTCAGGATAAGGAGCCAACAACAGGATCTAAGTGAAAAAAGAGAAAAAGTAGAAGAGTAATTCTATATTTATAAGTTAGAAATTGTGTAAATATTTGCTGAAGAAACAGCAATGCCAGAGGAAGAATAAATGCCTGAAGCATTATAAGAAGAAGTGTAGGAAGAAGTAGTTGAATAGGGAGAAGAAGACGTGGAATATGTGTTTGAGACATCCAAAGAATATAAGGTAGATATTCGTGAAATTCACGTGGAGAAGGAGAAGAAGAAGAAGGTTGACAAGGAGGAAATTGAGGATAAAAAATATAAGGATCAAGGAGATAGAGATATAGAAGGAGATTTAGAAACAGATTATTACAAAGATTATTATAAATAAAGGAAAAAGCATTTTAGAGATTTTGAGAAGTATTATCCAAAATGAGAATTATTCGTTTTTCTAATAGTTAATTATGTTTATTATTTTAATCGAAAGCGTAATTATATTTTCAGGGTTGGCTGTCCATCACCATCACAAACAAGAGCAACTACTGTTGCAGACAGGCACGTAAAATTTGATTTACAATTCAGGATGGGATTGGGAGATGAATTATCAAATGAAGTAGATAGAATTAAAGTGTCACTAAAATTATAAAATAAAGCATTAGCCAAAGAACTGCGAGGGGCCACTGAAGAAAGAGCTGACAACATTTCTGAACTGTCTTCTGATATCAAGACTATTCTAGATAAAATGGCATATGTCACTGATAATAAGATGACCAGAATCAATGATAGAGTTCAAGAGCACATCTATTAAACAGAGGCAATTTCCTTAATAATAATCATGGATTAATTGGATAAGAAAGTTTAAGAATTGGCAGGAATCAAATAATAGATCAAATAACTTAAAGCCAAGATTCCAAAGCTTTCTGATAAATGCAGCAAATTTTACACTTGTTATGAATGTTTATAGGATGAGAGTTGTGGATGGTGTTCGATGGAAGATAAATGTGTTGAAGGAGATGAGAAAGGACCACAAAAGATCAGTTGCAATTTCTATAGTTATAAATAATGTAATGGGAGACAATGTCATAAATACAATACATGTGCAGTATTATATTGAATGTTATATAAGACATGCATAGCCGATCCCTCATGTGGTTGGTGCATTGATGACAATCGATATATGTCAGGATGTTTATAATAACCCTATGATTATTAGGGATGTCCTAGAAATGGGTGGTTCCATTTAGAAAGTCGATAGAATTCTTGTCCATAATAATTGAGGAAGGTCTATGAAGAGGAATTTGATGAAAATTCTTATTGGTCAAAACCACTTGAAGATTCTGCTTACATTGATGAAGAGGAGAGTAATGAATAGGATAAGAATAATGCTCTGAATGGCAGAGGAGGAGTAGAGGAGAGTGAATCTAATACAGAATATAATAAGAAGTAATAACAGGTGGTTAGTCAAATTAAATAATTAGAAGCTTTGGTCAAAGAGATTGAAAAGGAAATCGAAGCCTTATAAAAGAGATATCAAGAGACAGTTGAATGGTTAGATAAGTTCAATAAGGGAGAAGAGGGAGAAGGAGAATAATAGTAGTAATAAGAGGAAGAGCAATAATAAGAATAGTAAGAGGAGACTCAATCAACATAGAATGAAGCATAAAAGAAGAAGGAAGAGAAGGCAAAGAAAAAGGAAGAGAAAAAATAAAACGATTAAGAAAGTAAAAAGAAGAAAGAGGAGGAAAAAAAGAAGAAAGCAGAGGAGGAGAAGAAAAAGAAAGAGGAGGAATAAAAAAAGAAAGATGAGGAAAGAAAGAAGAAAAAATAAGAGGAGGACGAGAAGAAAAAGAAGAGGAAAGAAGAGGAGGATGCCAAAAGGAAGAAATTATAGGAAGATTTAGATAAAAAGAAATAGGAAGAAGAATAAAATGAGGAGGCCAGGGATTCAAATGAGTAGGAGTAATAGTAAGAAGATGGAGATGCAGAAGGCAATCATGGAGATGCAGATAATAATGAAAGTAATAATGCTTCTCATAGTGATGAAACAAATTAAGAAACTGCACAAGAAGGGGATGATCAAAGCGATTAATCACAAAAGAAGAGTAAGAAATCATCAAAAGGTGGAGATTCCAAAAATAAGGCAAAAGATAAATAAGGCTCGAAAGATAAGGAATCTGAATAAGGGGACGAGTAAGGAAATGAGGAAAAAGAAGAAGATAAAAGAGAGATTCCAGATTCTTACTTCAGAGAACCACAATTATAAAATAAGAAGTGGGAGGACTTTTACAATGGCAATTTTAATTTTATTGCCTAAGAATAGGAAGTTGATGATGATGAAATGTAATTTGACTCGATAGATATTGTTGATGAATTTTATGATCCTTTTCATTTAAATTGACTTTATATATATATCATAATTTTATTGAAAAATATATATTTTTCTATTATTATTTGTCCTTTGATTCAACCAATATCTTTTTCTATATTCTTTGCCATAATAAGGAATTCTAATATAAATTCTAAAGTCACTTTAATAATGCGTATTATTTGAGTATTTATAACTTAAATCAACGAAAGGGGGTATTCAAATTTGAGAACAATTTAGGAACATTATTTTCAAATAACATATTGAAAATAGAAGGAAAATGAACAAGTACCCAACAACCAATCCTGTGGAGGAGTTCAACAGAAACGTTACAATAACAAACCTAAAAATTAATCATTTAGAGTACAGAAATGTGGAAGGAAAAGTAGGAATTTTAAAATGAATTTAGAACTTGTTTGAGAGAGTGAAAGGCTATTAAGATCTAATTGGGCAATTCAGAAAACAAAAGATTATACTATATGAAAGGAGAAATATGTCAGCCCCAGGACAGGAATGTTACGGTATTTAAAGATGTTAATTGTAGGAATGGACGATTATGGGGATATATTCTATGGGATCAACTTTGCATCTGCAGACTATTTGGGTTTATGCACTAATGAGTAAGCCAAGGTACATAAATTAAACAACTAAAATAGGAAGCAGCAGCAACGGCAGCATAAGAATATTCTGTAAATTCTTGTGGAGCACCATTAGCTTTTGGAGCATCAAAATATTACATGTAATTGAAGGAAGAACTAAAAGATTATTGGAATATGAAGGAGGTGATCATATATAGTGCTGGTTGGTTGGCAGGATATGGAGTAGTAAAGGGATTAATAAGGTAATTATTGAATATTGATGAATATATAGACCATATGATTTTGTAATAATGGACGAATTATGTCACAATTGTTTAACTGAAGGAGCTCATGCAGCAACCAAGAATGTGTTTAGAGTAACTCACTTGAGTCTCGAAGCAATGGAGAAGAAGATTTCTGAAGTTCGATCGGATAATCCAGAAGCATGCATTTTAGTTGTGACAGAAGGTCTGTTCAGTATGGATAGTGATTACACTGATTTGGTGGCTTTGTAAAAGATAACTTTGAAATACGAAGCATTTTTATTGATAGATTGTGCCCACGACTTTGGATGTATGGGTAAAACAGGTAATTAATATTAGTATGAATTTATATAGGAAAGGGAGTGTTTGAAATCTAAGGACTGAAAGACTTTTCCAATGTTCTCTTGATGTCTGGAGGATCTAAATGTCTATCCACCAATGTTGGATGGGTAGCCTGCAATTCTTTTGAGGTCATTGACTATCTTAAGTTCTTCTCTTCTGCTTATATGTTTACTAATTCTGTAAACCCTGTTTAATGTGCCACTGCTTTGGCATAACTCAGAATCTTAAACAGTGAAGTGGGTGTTAGATTGAGAACAAAAGTGCTTGAGAACTATCACTATATGAAGAAGGAATTGAATTCTAGAAATTACAAAATCTTGGGATATCCTTGTCCCATTCTACCATTATTGATTGGAGATGAATTAACATGCAGAATTGTGACTAGATTAATGCTTGATGAGGGTATTCATTGCAATGGGATTGAGTATCCTATTGTAAAAATGGGATAGGCTCGTTTAAGAGTCAATCTTTAACCTCAACACACCAAAGAGTATTATTATTTATAATATCTTCAAGTCAAATGGATACTTTCATTGAAACCTTTGATTTCTGCTTCAAAAAGGCTAACAAATTAACTCAGGACTCGCTTGAAAGATATCAACTTTATTTGGAATAGTAGGAACAATAATAACAACATACCAAAAATAATTTAAATTAAGTAAACTTCAATGAGACCAAGATGGAACTCAAGAAGCCAAACTTATGATTATAATTATTAAATAATTTAAATTTAAATATTTGTAATTCCAACTTTTGCATTTTCTTTGATATTATTTACATATATAAACTAATTTAAATTCATCTAATATGCATATTGATTCTTTATTCAAATTTCTTCTTTGAATCATCTATTTTGGTTTATTATTGTGGAATTGTAAAGAAATACTTTTGATTGATTTTATTTTTGCCATTACCAACCTTTTGTATCCAAATTAGATTCAAAACTTCTTGGCTTCTCACATCTCTAAACAATTTCAACACAGTAATCAGAGATAGATACTACAACATAGCTGAGATATATAAATAACAAAGAGTTCCTACATAAATTGTATCAATACTTACCTGCAGCTGTTTTTAATAGATCTGTTAGCAGGATCACAATAGATAATGAACCGAAACAAATCTCCAAGAATACTCCTGCATAAATTAAAATTTGTATTTTGATGATCACTTTTTTATCTGCATTAAGATTTGCTGTTCTTATTTATTTCTATTATGCCATTATTTCTTATTGATAGTCCTCTCCCGATAAAACCTTAGTTTTCCGTTCGTCATTGGCTTGAGGATCGAATAAAGTCTCCCTATTATTAATCTTTAGAGTGGCCTTCTTAAACTTCTTTGTCTCAATTACTTACTATTTAGTTTTCTCTACAATCTTTATTTGCATATTCTTAATCTTTCTAATATTCTACCTATTTTTATCAATGTCCCACTTTCCATCCTCCTAATTGGTATCGTCATCTTCATTCAGTAAACAAGAATTAACTTTCTAATGAAATACTCCCTCATCTTTAGAACTCTATGACTCTTCACTCACTATTGTTTTCAAATGATTCTTCTGTACATCTTTATTAGGTTCTAAATCATAGGAACTTTGAACAACTTTGATTTTGAATGGTTGATCTGGTATTTCATTCATTGAATTCTGTTGTTTCTTAAAAGAGACAGACTTTTTAATATTGGAAAGATTTAATTTTTCAATTGAGACAATAGCTCTCAAAGTCGACACTTATTCATTGTTGTCCTCACTTCCACTCTAGGAACTCAGTCTCAATACTTATTAATCTTGAGTCTCTGGGGATTAAAGTTATTCATCCTATGGAACTCCTAGTGAACTCTTTGAGAATATAATCTTTTCAAGTTGTTAAATTTCTTACTTATTGCTGCTAATTTCCCTGAGCGGATTGATCCTCATTATTCTTCTCCACTTCTTCTATGTTCTTCTCCCTGCTATCCCTGTCCAACTTCCTTAATTGAGATTCGATGCATTGATTCAGCAATTTTCCATAGAGAAAGAATTCAAATATGAAGGAACTTTGTATATTAATTTCAATATTACATGAAATTCAACAGTAAAATTGCATATGCTATGTAAAGAATAGTTTTATATTACTAACTTAATCTTAATCCTAATTAGATAATCGAGTTACCATTTAATGTACTGATTGTTAATTGTATCAAAAACACAAAGAAGAGCCTTATTTTCATGATATCTTTATAGTATACGAATATCCACTTTCTGGTTTCAATTTTTAATTCATCTCTAAATAATTATTGAGATTTCGAATTGTTATTTCTTTCTATAACATTGAATGAGATTTCATCGTACATGGTGTACCAAACCATTAATAAGATTCCATAGATGTAGAACAGGATTGTGTACACTACTTCTGCGAGGATTCTTTCAAACACCCTTTTGTCGCCATCCTACCTTATTGATGAATGTTACAAATGGTTGGAATGGATCCAATATGAGCCATACGATTTTTAAAACATTGAATAGGAGTGTTAAACACAGAATGCAATTTAATGGAGAACCCAGAAAATTCTTCAGATAACTCAACCCTCTATAAAGCATAATTATCTGTTTAGTACCTTTAATAAGTTGGGATTTTATTGGTCTTTAGAGATATTTGAAGTTGTTAAACGGTGAAAACTAGTAGCAGCATAAAAAGAATCAGAAACAATCCGATAAATGTAAAATAAGAGGCAACATGAAGTTCCTCTAATTTTTATGAGCAATCCACTCCAAAATAGCCTAAATCGCATTGGCAAGTTTATTCAAAATACAATCCTCTTCCGTTACAATTTGAATTATCTAATTCTGTTTAAACGGAACTCATATTAATGTTATAATAATCATTTATAATATCTAAAACTTCAATTTCAACTCAACTTTTTCCACCTTACACTTTAAACCACAAATTACTAACCCCAGTAAACAAGAGACCTCTATAATATTGCTGGGTATTCAATGCAAAATTTGAAATTCCAAAGACTAGCTACACATTAAATTGCAACATTAATTACACATGCACAAATAATAGTAAATCCAATATTTTATAATAATGTATAAAATTAAAATCTTTTCGGCAATACTATAAGTCTTTCTTTGAGTATTTCTAAACGCAAATGGGATTGTCCGTCTATTTTAAAAATAGGAATTAATAATGACGATTAATTATGAGGATAATATCGAAAATACTCTAGTGTGAAGAACGCTGTCTAAAAATACAATAAAATCATTTAGATATATTAATTTTATTACATAACAATAATTGATGGGTTGTGTAGTACCCAAAGCTCAGGAAAAGTCAACCGATTCTAAAACTCCTAAAACTTCCAGTGCCGGTTAACCATTTTCATAAGCAGTGAATGCTTCCTCTGTATTTGAGGATACTGAAAATATAGAGACAGATTATATTCTCCATAAGTTGGACCCACTCACCAGTATTGTGTATGTATATTACGATAGCTCAAAGAAGTTATATAACGAAGGGGGTTTCCAAGTAAAATAGTACCTCTAGAATTGTAAGAACCTACAATTGCGAAAATATTAGGAGTGAATTACTTTAGGAATTTGAGGAGAATGTAAATACTGTATTGTAATTGGTATTGGCTGTGTTTAAAACTTTAGAAACATTTGAACATCCAAGGGACTATGTCATACTACTGTAATAAGAAAAGATTAAGTCTGATAGGTGAATACCTTGAAGGTGGGAATTTGTTGTTGAAATTGGACGTATTTAGTCAAATGCAACAATTTGCAATGATTGAAATATTTTGTTAAATAATGGCTGGATTGCAGTACTTACATGAGAATTAAATCGCTCATGGGTAGATATATTATGTTAAACATAGGGATATTCGTTTAGAACATATCATCTTTACAAATAAATCATTGGACAAGATTAAATTGGTGGATTTTGGTATTTCCAATTAAATGAAATCTTTAAGTACAAACTGGAAAGCAGTATCATCAATGCACGAATTGTCATTTAGATCACCTGAGGCTCTTAAGGGCCAAATAACGATGAAATCTGACATATGGTCATGTGGTTGTCTTCTCTATTTCTTCCTTACATCTCACATGCCTTTTCAAGCAAACAGTATCCAGTCCTTAAGAAATTCCATTCTCAGGGGAGTGCCTAACTTTGAAGGTTCTGAGTGGAACAACATTGATCCTGCTCTGAAATACTTGATTAGTAAGATGTTACATCCCAATCCATCATAGAGACCGTCTGCTCGATAGGTTTTGAATCATAATGTGTTTGTTGGGAGAGCTCGGATTCTCTAGAATCCCAACAAGACATTGCAAAGACATATGCGTGATTTCAAAGTATTCATAAAGATATAATATGAAGATATCATCTCAGTTGTAAACGGCAATGTTAATTTATATTGCAGATAATTTGATGTCTGATTAGGACAAGAAAAAGTTGATGGATGAATTTATGAAATTTGATTTGAATAATGATGGCTAATTGTCAAAGGAGGAGTTGTTGAGTGTCTATTCAAGGACATTGTCACATGACAGAGCATTAAAAGAAGTCAATAATATATTTAAGAAGATAGATGTAAATGGTAGTGGTAAAATAGATTACCAAGGTATTACTTAATTATGAAAAGCAGAATTTGTGATAGCAACCATAGATCAGAAGAAATATTTCAACAAAGAAAAGTTGATGCTCATTTTCTAGTAAATTGACAGCGATCACAGTGGCTAATTGAATAAAGAGGAGCTTAAGAAATTGTTGAGGGATATGTCGATACCAATAAAAAAATACGAATAATTATCGAGATAACTAGATTCAAATGGAGATGGCTAAATCAATTAGGAAGAATTCATAGGAATGATGCTTCAAATTTGATTTGGACTTCTTCTTTATAATTAATTTATTATAAAATAGATTTAATTAATCTCTTAAATTCAATCATTCTATAAGATATATATATTTAATCATATTGCAGTTTCTAAGAAGAATCCAGTAATTGTTGTATTGATTGAGGGAATATTTATTAATTTTCGTCCATGGAATATATAATCTTATGGGAAGTTCTCTTCAATTAATTTCTTAGTAGTTTCTGATATCAGTACTTTACCCTCCTCTGAACTGCTCTCCATTTTATTTGCAATCAGAATGTCCTTTCCGTACACATCATATCTAATGATATCTGTCCCTATGATACCCCCAATCACGTTACCCTACAAAATAAACCCTTAAAAATACCGTATGTATTCCAATCCTCATATGAAGATCCTGATACTTAATTTAATTTCTAACTCTGGTTATGGCTTCCAACATATTGAGACTCATTTCCACCACATTTAATGCTTCTTGAATTGGGTCTCTTTTGAAATTGTCAGTTACTCCTATCACCACATAGCAATCTCCAATGGTGTATAATTTGAATACATTGTTCACTTAAGTCAGTGTATCAAACTCATCGAATAAATTCTTAAGCATAGAGACTACTTCCTCAGGTTACACACTTGATGAATATTTTGTGAATCCAGCAATATCTGCAAACAGGATTGTACAATCATTGTAGACATCAGAGAAATACCTTGCACTTGTGGAATCATCCAAGAACTAACTCAACACATGAATTGGCAATAAACAACTTAGGAGATTAATTTTATCTTCCTTCTTTATTTCTATTTGTTCTTAATTGAGCATCTACTTATAAGAAAACAAATAGCTTAGCAGTTCTCTTTATAACAATAATGCAATCGAAATTAGTAAGAAGAATACTTCCCAAATATTTATTATAAAAACTGAGCTGATGATAATCAACCAAACTGTAAACATGAAGGCACAAATTAATATCTTCTCTTAAACATAGAGCCATTTATGAGCAAATAGAAGACAACTAGTTATTATCGATTCTATCGATAAGATTACTGATTTGTCTTTATCCTAATCATAGAACACTCCTAATATGACACATTAAGATACTAGTTGAATTATAATCACTTTTAGTAATCTTTCTCGTTTCCATTCAAAAAAGTGTGCTTTCAACAAGTATAACTCAATTAAAATGAAAAAGCATCCTAACGCTCTTATTACTGCCTATTGAGTATTTACTTATTGCAATTGAGATAGTATTATAAAAAGGATGTGTATTATTAGGAGAAGCAATAATGATACCACAACACTATTGATACCATTCTCTAATTCCTTTCCATAATATCGAGTCACATTCTCACTATTCTTAAATGCCTCGAATAAAAACTCTTTCGATATCAAATGCCAATTGTTATTGTTATTCTCCTACAAAGTTGGACTTCTGCCTTCATACAAGAATTCTTAGATCTTAAACAAAGGGATAGTCTTATTGAAAACTTCCGGCTTTGATTTTATGAATAACTCTATATCATTAAATTTGATCACTCTTATCGCAGAATCAATAAACTTCTTCTAGTCATCCCTTCTGCAATTAAATGGAGTTTGGTCTTTGATCGAAGAGTCCATGACATTCAAAGATTGATCTAAAGGGATATCAGGGATGCCGACCAAAATATTCTAATTTGAGGGATCCTACTATGGGAGATGTATTGAAGATTATTATTAATATTTATCGATTTTTTCTAATTGCATTGACATTTATTAATTCTATTGCTGTTGACTGAAGATAGATTTTTAAGGAACTAATTTAGTATTAGGACCAAGAGGATTAATATTTTATTACAACAAATGAGGAGATTGGATTTGATTCAAAGTTGACAAATTGGCTTAATTGTTAATTAAATTTCTCTTTGTATGCTTCCTGAATAATTGCAATTAACTAGCTGTAAAATTGAGAGTAGGAGTCTTCTAAGGAATTACTTATTATTAGGTGGATGAAATCAATTAATTTGGTTGTAGCAATCCCTAATTATTTTATGGCTAATTTAATTGTTAAAGATCGTCCTATTTCATAGAATTTAACTTATTGGTTAAATTTCTAGTAGTCTTCTATCTGATGGCTGCTATGCTTGCTTGATTTTGATTCTTAAAAGAGTTTTGTTACTATTCATTATTCAAGACAAATTTCAATTTTTAATCAATATGTGGCATTTCTGACTTTTTTTATTTGTTATTAAAAGATTGTTCGAAATTTCTTTTCTTTTCAATCAAATAGGTATCTATGATTCCCTTACCCTTAGCTTCAATTTTATTATTAGTGAATTTAATTGATTTCACATTTTTAATTTGATCAAAAGCCTGAAGAGATATTTATATCAAACCTTCTGGACAATGAGCACATAATCTACTAGTCGTATTGACGGTGTCTCCAATCAATGAAAATTACGGCTTTATTGATCCAATCACACCCATTAGAACTCTACCATAATGTATACCTATTTTCAATCCAAAACTCTTTTGATTGGGTCCCCATTTAAAATGAGTAATTTCTTATTGAATCCCAAAGGCTAACTCTACCAACCTTTCGATAGGGTTCTTCAGATGACCCTTAGGTTAGAATTTCTCTACACATTACAAACCTGAACATGCCATGTAGGTCTTTCCAACAGTCTCTATTTTTCTGACAATTAGTCGATGAACAGATTTAATCAAATTGTCGATAGATGTTATCCATCAATTACACTATATTTTGAGCCTCTTCACTTACTATCACATCAAAACTGCACATGTCCACAAAGATTATGCCTACCAATCCTTGATTCTCTGAGAAATTCAAATTGCCTTAATCAAGTCTACCCAATACAAATGGAGGCAACAACAACGACATTACAGATTAATACTTTGATCTCTCAATTTCCAATACTTTTCCACAAATGTAATCCTCTCGTTGTGTTACATCATCCTGATAACGAGATTATAAAGATATTATGCTGAAGGCTACAAACAATACTATTATTTCTCCCAAATACACATCTTCTGCATTTTACATTTTGTTTGCATATAGCATCACTATTCCAGATATCAATGTCATTATTTGTTGAATCACTATAAAACTGTACTTGTAATTGATTTGTTGAGTTAACGAAAAAATTACCAAGTAATAAAAGATGAATGCATAAAATTAACTATCATGATCGTAGACATCTACACTTATTATGAATAAACGAAATATGGTTTAAAAGAATCCAAAATAGATTATCAACTTTTCATATTTTGGATAACATGATTAATTAATAAGAAACGCTTAGCAAAAAGTCAATATCAGCATTATGGAAAACAAGGCAGTATTAATCTATTCGAATCTCAATCCATAATGTATCAATAAAAATATATCGAGGCCAAAGAAATAACTTAAATTTGTTATGATCCCAATGAATTTCCATTTTGAAATGTACATCTATATGAATTCTTAATTATAAATATGTTCTTCGAAATTCAATGTATAATTATTTAATTAAATTAATTGATTCTTGTTTTCTCCCTTATTGAATATCTGTTTCACTGACAAATCGATTTCAGAATCCTTAAACACCTTCTTTATTAAATATTAAATATTCTTTATACTCTGCAATTCCTTTGAAATTATTTCCAATATTAAATTAAAATCTATATCCTATTAGGATCTCTCTAAAAAACAATTGTACAAATAAATGCTAAACTATCCAAACAAATTAACCACTATTTTCATTGCCAACATCATTAAAAATGACATTATTGTTGTAGGTTAAATTAAAAACTCTCTCAATATTTCGTAATCCAAATTAATCATCTCTATTGTTATGTGTAACAGTATCAATAATAAGGTACTCAAAGACAAGAATAATGCCAAGTAGAGTTCTTTTGATAAAAATGCCAATTTAAAGAGATGAATTATCAAAATAAAACTAAAAAATAATGCAATTTCTTCTTTTGTATTGTAGACTCCTATTTGAATATCATTGATATAAAAGATGTATTTTACGATTGTTATTAGTACCACATCCATAATTGTTTCTAATAATAATTCTACAATGTGATTATTCTCTAAATCAAGGGATTTCTGTTTGATTGTATTTATTTTCACACTCAAATATTCTTATTCTACGAATATTGTCTTTATTGCATATGTTAACAGTATTGCTGGCACTAATATTTGCAATATTAATAATCTATCCTTCGAGAGCAATTAACCATTATAATATGGAAAGCAATAGAATGTCATTTGCAATAATGCAAAACATAGGTTCCATTGAATGCATATGCGTTAAGTGGCATCCTTAATTTAAAATAGTTGAAATCCAGTTTTAATTACTAAATTGTCAAAAACCTCTAACTCATCAATATTTATTGAATATTAATTAATAAAGCCCATAACATCTGATTCGATTTCATCATGTCTCTAATAAGAGAAATTACTCATCTTTACTAAACCATGTGATCCTGCACTATAATTAACACATAAGGATGAAGAATATTCACTATCATAAGCAGTTAAAAAATTCAATAATTTCTACTTCAAATTGTTGTTCATATTATAAACAATAATGATTTTATTAAAATGAATAATAAATCCAAAATGATTATTGAGGTATTTGTCATTTAAGATTAAATCCAACACATTTCCATCGATAATCAAAGCATTGTTATTGATCTTAATTTTATCAGTTTAAATTTATGCATTTCTGCGATTTAATTAATTTGAGCTTTTCTTTGGATCTTCCTAACTAAGACTGCTTATAATTTATCTAATTTGATAAAGGATATCATCTCTTGATGAAGATTAGAAGATATAAGTAATTGTTTCATTATGCAGAACATTATTTTTAATACAAAATGGTAGAACTAATTCGTAAGGTTTTTCTGATTGAATAATAATCCTTGCTCTATTCGTAATAAAAGACTCCTTAATTAGATCTTAATTATCATTCTAACTAATTCCGAACAGTCCAATAATATCATACTAATTTTCAGATAATAATTCGATCAATTAAATAGTTTTCTCGTAATCATTAATGACCAAACTCTTAGATTCTTAGAGATCTTCTTATTTAATTGACATTTTCAAAAAGCAAACAATAATATCTCCTCTATTTATTAAATATTGTATTTGTCTCTACAATAAAGTCTTCTTGACCAAGTCGAATTTCTCATATCCAGGAATATCGGAAATTGTAACAATACAGAATCTACACAATAACACTAATTGATTTGATTCTTTAATCTAAAAATTATTATCCTAAATCATCATTGCTATAAATCTTGAGGGAATTTTAAACATCTTATTGTTTTTAGTCTCATCATAATCAATAAACCCTTAATGATATAGTCGATAGTGAATTATATAAGGAATTTCTAAGTCATTAATCTTCAACACATAACAAAGCTATTCTTGCTTATTATAACCATAAGTCTTATATGAAATTTTAAATAGTTTGCTCAATTTTAATAAGGCTTCGTCTTCTGCTAGAAAGTATTAATCAATGTTAAATTTAGGTTTTCTGATTCTTTCCCTTTCCGTAAATCCCAATTTGGAGTTTTTCTAAGATAGTCTGCTCTCTTCTCCAAGAGTCATCAACTCACTTCTAGTTAGATGACACAAAGAAATGACACAAAATAATTCAAAATATTAGAAAGGTTAGCTTAGTCCTAATTCAACAAGTGTGTTTTCCCTAAAAATTTAAACTTATTTAACCTGTTCTTCCTCAGGTTCCTGACTAACTTAACTATGTTATTGTTGATTTAGAAGATTCCCAGCTAAAGTGGATGAGATCAAACCTCCTCCATCCATACTATGAAAGATTTCTAATGAGGGTCTGGCACTACTAGGATTATTGAGAATTGGAGAGTGTAGAGTTTAAGTATTCTATTTAATAAATGGTCTCTTATTTCCAGTATCCTTAATAATGTTGAAATTGATTTATTAATGAGAAGTTATGCTTAATTTTTGAGGAGGCACATTGGGACTGATGGTTTCTATCTTCTCTTAGAGGATTTCAATGTTTTAATCATTGACTTATTTAATTAGATTGTAATAAAATTAGGTTTTCTTAAAAGACTGTGATAACACTAAATCTGGAATCAAGGTTTGATCAATTTAATAGATAGTGTCTCCATGACATAAGGCTTCAATTTTTGCATCAGATAATATTTGAATATTTAGAAATACATGAGTAGTATCCATTATTTCTGTCATGTTGACTGGATAGTATATGTTCTGTTATTTGGCTACTTGTTTTGTTTCCAATATCAGTTCCTTGCAGTCTTTGGATTGTAATTGTGATCGATTTTCATTGATGATAAGGACTACATCGAATAGATGAAGGAACAAATTCAAATAAGATGGTAGAATAACCAGGAATTGTTGATAACAATGGAGTAGGATTTGACTGAATGAGGAATTCGATTAGTATCCGTAATATTAGATCAAAGATGCAATTATGGGCATGACTATGTAAAGGAATAATTATAAAATGCTGAGATTCTTATATCTATTTTTATTTTTCTATTGTTTTTTTACAGATTTAACTTTCCTACAATATAATGATTGTCCACCAACATTGATTAGGATTCCAAATACCCATTCACTAAATTATAATGCTTATCCAAAAAACAGAATATTTTCTGGTAAAATTGGTTCTCCTTTGGGATCTTTAGATAATTTAATATGACCTTCGAATTAATCAAAATTGTAATTATTATTAAATGTTAGTTTACCCTTTAATATCTTCCTCAAATAATTCAAGTCTCCTTTGTTGGGTGCATTCAATTCCACTTTGGTTGTTTTCATTGGTTCCTTACGTTGCAGAAAAGCCTATTTAAAATAACTTTTGGAATAAAAGTATCCATGTCTATTACTCATATCTAAAATGACTAAGTCGCCTGGACACTATTGGTTACGACTGAGAAGAATAAAGTCTCCTCTTTTCAAATTGCTGTAATTTACATCCTCAACATTTGAAGCAGGCAGGATATCAGGCACATTCGATTATGAGTCAAGGTATTAAATGCTCCTAATCGAAGATGAGCGAGCCTATTTGACGAAATTTTATGTATCATTATAGACCAAGTCTTCTTTTTTAAATCCTTTTAGTCTAGTGTAAACGATGCGAGTTTGTTGCAAGATAGATTGCCAACTTTACTTTTACTCAATCAATAATTATAATGCTCTAATTCCTGTTTCAATCAGAAAGGGTAATAAGTAAACTATAAACAAAATGAGTCTATTTGTAAATTGTTCAATAATTACGATGATATGACATCTTCTGTATTGTCATCATAAGCTATTCCCACTAAAATCAAAATGAAACTAGCTATAAGAAATAGATCATTAATATAGTCTTCAAACATTGTGTTAAATAACTCCAGAATTTTCTAATCAATCATATAAATTCAATACCTCCTTTAAACATTCAGTCATATACTCAAATAACCACTACTTCCTCCTTACTTTTTCTTCATAACTCTGTCCGTGCTCGAAAGTAAGCTAGCATTACTATTATTTTTATACATCAATTAGGGATTTTTATTTTTCCATTTTCTAATTTATTTTTATCGAATTTCTTAAACTAATTCACATACTATTCATCTTTATTGTCATCAAGATTCTCGAGACACATTCTCAAAAAATGTAATTCTAATTCAATTTTTAATAAAAACAAGTCCTTCCAACTTATTATACCAAAACACCATAATATTATCGTTATTTTAGAATTAAATCTAATCAACAAACGAAGAATGATCATAAATATATCTTAAATTAGACACCTATACTCTAGAAATTATTGTCTGTAATAACTATTTACTTTAGTTATTATTTGTCATTAGATATTAGATGTGAATTACTCAAAAATTTGAAATTTATAGTTTCTAAATTCAAATTTTAGAACATATTTATTATTTTGAGATTGTTATAAAATTTAAATTTTTACTTTCATTATAAATATTAATTTTATTTGTTTGTTAATATTTATTAAGTATTAGTATTCAAATATTCAACTTTTTTATAATGATTTGGGATATTGGAATCAAATCCAATTAATTGTGTTATTAAATTTTCTTTGTCAATTATTCTATATGAATATTGAATTTGTATTGGTAAATTTTGATAATTTAAATTTAAAACATTTTATTATAATTTTTGTTATCATGAGCTGTGATAGGGGAAAAAGTGCATTAATAAGATTAGTAATTATTGAATATCAACTGTTAAGTCCACTCAACTTTTATATTTTATGGATTACAAAATTCATGAATATAGTCCTGAAGAATTGTATGAAAACAAAGCTCGATTATTCGAATAATTAATGGCAGAATGGAACAATATGAGTGCCAATGAACAAGAAAAATATAATAAAAAAGTTCAATTCACCAATGCAGGTGAAAAGGCAAAATAGCGCAAAGATGAATCTACTCTTGAAACATTGTATGAAACTGCAGTTGAAAAACACCACAATATATAATAATCAATAATAGAAGAAAAATGTGAAAAATAAACAAGTTTTGAGGAAATAAAATCAGCAGAAATAATTAAAGAGCAATGTATAAATAAATTAAATTTTAGTAGAAAATAATAATGCTGCTAGATTTCTTGAAGAATAAAAACAGGAGTTTAAAACCTTAAATTAAGAGTTTTCTGAAAAAGAAACTAATTCATAAGAACCTCCATTGAAAATCCAAAGATCTGTAATTATTTAAGAACCTAGAGACCATTAAGTCAATGTCAATTTTTCATAAAAGGATGAGAAAATCTAAGAATCAAATGAAATAGGAGAATAAAAAGATAATCTTGGAAATAGAAGGTCTAATGCAGGTAGGAAACGCTCTCAAAAAGAAACAGTTGAGAAAATAAAGTCAAAACGAGGTTCTGTTAAGAAGAGAGCTTTAAGCCTTTCAAAATAAATATAGTTATAATAACACAACAATCAAAAACACTTTTTCGTAGATGAAACGCTTAGCTTGAAATAACTCAAGGAATAGATTAGGAATTTATTGAAACAACATGAATGAAATTAATTATTATAAGGTTTTAAATATAAAACACATCTATAAATCATTCTTTTGATGCTTATGAATGAGCAGATTTTCGAATTCTTATTTTTGTAAAGCTGTGACTTGTTGCTGGAGTTGAATTATTTAATAATCTCGAATCTACACTATAAAAACTATTTGCATGTTAATGAGATGTTATTTTATATTATAATTTAAGTTAATTCCATGAATCTAGATTTTAAATAACTTTAAAGCACTCTTTAGATGATTATTTGATAATCTGATTAGAAATTAAATTGCAGATTGAATTAATAAATTCATTTAAATAATTAAATTTCTTATTTTAAACAGCATTTAATTATGTTAATTCTGCCAATTGTTTAACAATACTTAGGAAATTCAATTTCATAAATATAGTGTGGATGTTGAATTCAGATCCAAACTCCAAATTTAATTTCATCAATTTAATAAATATCCCTTAAAATGTTTGATTTGGTCGAATAGGGAAACAGTACTTACAGATTTCAATTAGACAACTCCAAGTTGTAGCAGTTATCCTATTTAGCAATTAGATCTGCCCTCTGTTGATTCCATATTCAATCATTAAGCAAAGTGTCTCACATAAAAGGGTTTTACCTACATCCAATTCAATAGCTTAGGATGATGAAGTCTTCCATTACATGGAGTTGATAATCACCTTACACAAATAATCAATATAAGTTTATGCATTATCCTAAAAGTTCATGTATTCTGGCTTTTTCTTAATGATTAGATTTACTAACTACCCGCATAAGACAGCACTATTTTCTTTCATACATGGAGTTAATTTTATTTTAAATAAGTAAATCTGATGATAATTATGAATATTACTTTCATTAGATTGTCAAAAACTTTGCAATTTTCATTAAGCAAGATTACACTTAACATTTATTATCTATTATTCATAAAATAAGTATTAGAAAACAACTTATGGTCTCCTAAAATCAATTGCTAAATTAGGATTGATAAAAATTAGAGTAGATTATAACAAAATGGTTCATCCTTCATCAAACTAGTTATTATATGATATTTTATATACTTCTCTATTTGATATTAGTCTTATTTTTATTCATGATCCCATATGCCTAGTGTGACATCCTTTAGAGAAAGTGGATATAATTATAATGATAAATTTCTTGAGTGTTTTTTTTAATTTGGACCCTTTTGACTGTCCCTCATAAATGAAACTGATTTCTAATCATATTTGGTATTGCTATCTTTGGTTTCAACTCTAACTTCTAAAGGATTAAGATTATAGCCAAAAGGAATAAATTGATCTTTCTAAGAATCTTATTCATCTAAATCAAACATTACTGAAGCACTCCTTAAAACAATTAGCCTTTCTCGTGTAGCTCTCGGTTATCGTTTTTTATGAGGCTCATTAATTATTTCTGCATTCTAAATTGCAACCCTAATAACATCCATCATAGAAGCTGGATTTTCATTGAATGAAGGTAAAATCTTATGTGAAACTTTATTGAAAAAAGATAATTATTTGATTGTTTTCTTTTAAACAAATTTTTTAATTTGATCTATATCCCATTTTAAATGAATCTTTTCTTCCAAAGTAAAGTTAAAATTGTTTTCATTTTACTAATATACTTTTTCCTTTAATTGAAAATCTGGATGTAAAGTGAATACTTCGAGCATGTTATTATTTCGAAAGTTTGATGTACATTTAAGTAATAAATCCTATCTATTTTTTGGGTTTAATAGTATGGTAATAATATCATCAAACAATTTGGAAGCATTAAAATATGTCCATACTTATTCATATAATTTTTTTTAATGTTCTGTTATGTAATGTCCCAACAAATTAATTTATAAAAAGAGATTAATGAGAAATGTAGATGATTGCTCATAATTGATATAATGCAAAAATGCATAGGGAATATTATAATGTAGACAGAAATAAATAGAAATATCTTATTCTTTTTCTAAATAAAATATCAGTAATTGAGTTAAATGATTGAAGTTACAATTCTTTAAGTTATCTTCGTTAAGACATTCGGACAAATAGGAAACTAGAAATTAATAAAATAGCAATACAAGCGATTTGTAAATACGAAGGGTTTACTTTTGCAATAATTTAGTGATTTTCCTCATCTGTTAAACTCTATAATGACCTTATTGATCTAATGTGATAGATGTGAGCAGGGGCTTATAAGGAATAACAATTTTTTAGATTTGGAATATCTTTTAAACTGATTTTCTAATCAAATTCAATTTTCATCCACTATGATAGACTAATATTATACACAATTCGCAGGATCGTATTTTAAAGGGCAATAGATGAATGAGAGCATAGCCTCAATGTTTTCCTTTAATTTAAACATGTTTTATGAATTAATAACACTGCTGCCTATCCTTTTGGATATTACAGGAATTGGATAATTCATTTTGCTGAGCCACCTCTATAACTCAACTACTATCTGATTTTCCTTTCTAATAGAATTGGATTTGGTTGGACTATCACATTCAGTCGGTTCCTCATAGAATTAGATTTCCACATTTCTTGGAGTTCTCATTGCAATTATTTCCTCTACTTCATGAAAAATTAATGGATTTATATTGTGTATCAACGGCCATTTATGCACTATTTGCTGGAGACTTGTGTAGAGTTCGATAGTAACTTGTTTATCATGAATATTTCCTAAAATAGTTTTATAAGCCTAAGCTATTTATTCTGCAACTGACTAACCTTCCTAAGAATCATTTTTAGGAATTTGTTTGATAAAAAACTGTAGCTATGTTATGCACTCTTTATATATGTTTGGAAGATGACTTTTGATTACATCTGACAAGATATAAGTGTCCTGTGAAAACACCAATGTACAGGCATTTAAGAACTATATCTAAAATTATGTGATTGGAGCAAATCTCTCAATTATTAACTCCAAGAGCATTTTGATATTTTAACCAAACATTGATTAGAGCATCAACATATAAAAAAAGAGATTCTCCTATTTGAACAATAAATGCCACATTGATTAAAAAGGTAGTAATTATGCAATCTGTTTGCAGGCTTTCGACATAAATGAATATCGAATTTATTCTATATTTGTGTTAACCTAATATCTAATAAATAAGTACAGCTTCTTTAAGATAATCTGCACATTTTAATTGCATTGAACAATAAAGTCTATTGTTATTATAATTTATTTATAATCTTAAAATATGCAATAAGTATAAAGAAGTCATAAATTGTCAAGAGAATAGGAGTGTTTAAAAAATTAGAGTTTTAACTGAAGATAAAAAGAAGAAAGAAATTTTGAAATAAAAACTGTTTATGTGGGGTTCAATTAATTTATTTAAATGAGGCAATAAATAACTAATTATTTACTTATTTTTATGATTCTTATATTAAAATAGTAAAATCTCATAAATTATGAGAGTAAATAAAAGATCGAAGCAACTTAAATATTTATAATAAAATCAGAATTTTCATAAATTCATTTGTTTTTTTACTAAATCATATAGAATTTATTTACTGTCAGAGCAATTAATAGATAAGACCGATAATTCTGCTTTTGAATATTTAAATTAATGTATGGCAAACCTTAATAATTTATAATTTCAATCAAACATATCAAGATCTGTTATAATTCTAACAGTAGAGTTTATATGATTGATTTAAAATAATTTTTAAATTAATATCTAAAGTAGATTAAGAATTTTATAACATTAGATTTTCAAAGCCAATCTGAGAAAATGTATTGTTTAAAGATATTTTGAAAATTCTGTTCATTTTTAGAAGCCACAAGGTCTAAAATCAGAATTTATACTTTAGTTCATATTTGACACTGAAATTGAGTATTTATTAATAAACAAAAAATAAATCAAATAAAATTAAGAAATTAGTACTAACTAATATAGTTATAGAATATAAATGATTTTTCATATTAATAAAATAACACAGAATTAACTTTCAATATAACCCTTTAGTTTTATCCGTGAAATTATTTGATGTTACTAATTCATTTTTCTTGACAAGAGCAGTTTTTAATATAGCTATTATAACAATATAAAGAGTACGTTGACTGGTAATGTGTTTATATTTAAAGGTTTTAAAGGTATTGAATTTTTTAGTTGCTTCCTCTGCATCCATTTTCCATTTTTCATTTAATTTAAGTGATGAAGTAATTTATAGTTAATTGTTAAAAGTGAGTTAATATAATTAATCTAAGAATTCTTCTCTTTCTATATATCTTCTTAATAATGTTCTAATGTTTTAAAATTTAAATACATTTTATCTGTGTGAGTGAATTATGTAAAATTTATATCTCCTGAATTATGATTTAGATCCAAATATCTATGATTCAGAACCTGTTTTTGTTAGCACTAACGAGAGTGAACTTCTTTTTTTGTTTCAGCAATGCATTCTAATAATATTTATTCCATTTCTCCTCTTTAACAATTTTATTTTGAAAGTTCTGCTTTCAATTGCTAAGTCTATTATTTTTCTTTTTACAATTACAATTTCAAATCAGAGATAATATCTTTTTTGGAGATTTCTTCAATCTAATATAATGCAATTATTACCTATTCCATATCTGGATTCTGTCTACTTTACTATTAAGAAGACAATTCTCTTTTGTAAAAATCATTTAATGAAGAGCCTTAATCTTAAATTTTGTTTGAAAATTAAGTCTTCTAAGTTTATTTGATTGATGAAAACCCTCGTTTAGATCCCTCACCAATTTCATCTTTAGTTGAACTCACTTGAGTGCCATCTTAGGTCATTGGCCTCATGTCCAGCATTTTCTTAGCTTTGTTTCTTTAACCAACATTTCCACCTGAACCCAGTCTTGTAATTGCCTTTTGTTCTTCGCTCTTTTATTTATATAAATACAATAATTCATATTTCAAAGCCTTATTCTCTTTTTTTGAATCTAATTGATATTAATAGCTAATACCAATAACAAAGCCTTCATAATATTGCTTTTCTTCTAAGGTAATCTTTAATTTAAATTTGAGTTCTTCGATAGTTCTCAATTATTCCTAACACAATTTATCTAATCTTAAGGCTTCTTATTTAAAATAATCTCTTTCTTCCTCTAGAATTCTCTTTTTCTCATCTGCCTTCTACCTCAATGCCTCTTCATCAATTTTTCTCTTCATGTTCTTCAATTCTTTTTGAACTTCTGTCATTTATTCTCTATATGCAATCATAAAGTCATCTTCTTAGGATTTTATAATTTTATCAATCTTCCCTTATAAATTCTTCTTATTCAATCATTTATTTACATCAAGAATATCTTATAATTTATTATAATCTCGATCTATTTCCTTCCCGTATTTTATGTTGTCTTCCAAAAATACCTTTTTCTTCTAAGTCATAAATTGGGTTTAAGTCAACAAGAGGTTATCAAATCCTTCAATTGCAGACTTTGTTAATACTAAAATCAAAAGTAAGTTTTACAATTTTGGGGTTCCATTAAATACTAAATGTAATAATTATTAATTATTTCAATCAAATTTCAGAAGCAATATGCAAACTGTAAAAGAAACAGTTTAAGCTATATGTAACATCTTGTAAGCATTTGGGATCAATAACATCGATCCAAATGTTTTTAGATAAGCAAAACATAATCTTTCCGAAGCAGTAACATTATACTAATCTTATTGATAGATTAAACCGATCTCAAGCATAATGCATAATTTACTCATATTAGATTTATTTGATTTTGAATATAAATTAAATGAGATTACCAATACCCATGCAGATCCAGATGGCCTGGAAATTATCTTGCTTGCTTTAAGAAATTCCCCTTTTATCATATATAAAAATGGAAAGCCAGGGATGGATTATTCATCAAGTAGAGATTTGCTCCTAGTTGTTGGATAATTATTGGCAGAATCAGATATTTTTGACAAATACAAAAAGCTAATCGAAAAAAAAGTGGCTAATTTAAAAATAAAATTAGTAAATAAGCCTAAAGAACAAGATAATGAGATTCCAGCACTCAAATTTGTAAGTGAAGGTAGTTAAGTCAAGGATTTTGAAAATCTAAATAGAATAATTAGACATTAATTCAAACAACTCTCTTGTCTATTTAAAAGGAAAGAAGCCCAATAAAACCAGGTATAATGAATATAAGATAACAACAGATTGATAAAATAGTATAATAAATGAATTTAAAGGATTTTACAGTGGATCAATTGCTTAGTCTATCGGATCCAGATTAATTAAATGAAATTACAGCAAATTTAAAAGAGATTATCTAATTTTTAGAATTTGAAACTTCAATGCATAGACATTAAGAAATATTTTGGGCATGGTTGGTAAGAAGTGATGTTATTTAGGAAAGCACAGTCGATGAAGACAAAAAGGATGTCAGAGATCATGCAGACTATGGATTTCCAGATGAAACTATAATTTTTAGTCCAGGGTAATAGATGATTAAATTAATTGAACAGTAAGTATTGTTGAATTAATATTAGCACTTAAACGAAGCTTCAATAATTAAGTGATTAATTTGAACTATTTGAATCTATTTCCTCTTAATTTGAAGATGTTTGGGAGAAAGTCTCTTAATTATTGAAGGAAGACCCAGGTTCAGAATAAAAACTATAATAATTACAATTACAAATTCATAAAATTGTGGCTTAGAACAACATCAAATTAATGTCATTGAAAACATTCAAAGAATAAGTGTTCTCTGAAAAAGATCTGCTATATTGTTAGGCTAACGATTTCATTAAATATGCTATCAAACACAACTTTGCTTAAAATTCAAATCATAATGAAAGTAATGGATTTGAATAGAAAATAACCTACCAATAAGAACACTTTGCATAAAGGATTGAGCAATTGCATTAGTATATAGAAGATGAAGCAGGAAGAATCAAGGTTCATCTTAAAGAACTAGTATTTTATCCATTAAAATGAATACAATATTATTGATCATTATGCATATCATTTTTACTCAAAAATTAGCATGTATGGTGTTGGAGTACCATATGTGTCGTATTGTCTCTTCTCTAATTGGGCCTCTTCAACAATTGAATCATCAAATCTAAACCATTTTATTGAATTATCTTCCGCATATTTGCAAGTCCTAAATAATATTCTAACATAATTATTAGTACGCATAATAATGGCCATTATTGCAAGTTCCAGAATGATGAATTATAGTTTACAAATCATATGAACAAGATCTAATGTTTGGAGTACATTACTCAATCAAAGACAGATTTTCGAGAGGGAAGATAATGTTAGTATTTATTCTCTAGGCAGAATTCAAATAGTTGAATCGCTTTAATTGGATAATTAAAATTTTCGGAAGTCTTGCAATTTTTTGTCTGGAATTATTTTATTAATTACATTAATTAGTGCTAATCTTTTTAACACTTTTGACATTTATAATTTGTAATGATTTGAGGTTTAAATTAAAATTTGATTAGTTCATTCAGAAGACAACTTTCTTTTTAAAATGTACATATACCTAAATAATATTCTAAGCTTAATGGCAACACATTGAATTCCTCATAATGGATTTGCTCAAATTAACAATTTTTGCATATGATTTTATTACTAAATAAACCAACAAACAAGTTTGTAATAATATTATTTTCCAATTATCTTTTTAATCTCCATTCTTTTTCAATTTTTGATTCCAAATCTCTATTATTCCCAAGAAAAATATCTTCAAAAAAGTTCTTTATATCATCAAAGAAATTATGTTCATTTTGCTAGTTCTTAGATTCAGATCCTAAGGTTTAAAATAAACACAATAAAAATTCATGTGCATCTTCTTATCTGCCAAACTAAAATTGATTATGTTTCTTCACTACAATTAATATGGAAATCATATACAAATAGCGTGATAAAATTGACTAGGATTGATTGAATATTGCGTTTTGGAAAATTTTAACTCCTAAAAAAGGGATTACAAATGAAAAGTAATTGAATCAGTTTGTAGTTATTTGACTGGTAAATCTAGGATGGCTTTTCTAAACTACTTGATGCCATATAACATTTATATAATGGTATTCCTATGTTTATTTAAAATAGTTACATAAAACAATTGTTTCCGATGTTGTTCAATCCCTTTGGTATTTAAACTACATTAAATGGTTGTTATTGGGTTTAATCATATTTCTAAGGTGTTTACAATTATTTTATAGAAAAATTATTATATTAAGAAAAGGATTATGGTTGTTGAATTTTATAATCATCGAATATAGGTAACCTTGATTTGCTTTGGAAATTGTTTTTTTATACTATCTAAGAGTTTCCAAATGGGGTTTGTTGTATTTGAGAATTATATTTTGATCCATATGAAAATTAATTTTTCATTAATTATATTTAATTTTTAGAAAAGTTAGCTTGAAAAAGGGAAATCATGTAAAGATTTAACAAGTACTTAAGAAGTCTTCGAGAGGAAATAGTGGAGGAGAGATTGTCGTAAAAATAATACAGGTTGGTGAAATTTCAAAAATTAATAGGAATAATAATTTTTTCAACTTTTGGTATAACAAGTGTAAGAATATGATTATTAAGACTTAAGTTAGCATTTTATAATTTGGGTGGTAAGATAGAGAAATAAAAATAAGACAGTTTTGATGATAGTAATAATGAGGATGTCCTTCAAGAAGCCAAACTTTTGCTTAATTAAAAATTACAATAATCCAGCATTAAAAAATGACATCTTTTTTTAATATTATAGTATGATTATCCAAAATTTCATTTCATATTTATTATATATCTTATTTTAAAATAATCTTGCCCACTTACTCAGTAATAATGTAATCTAAATAATCAGAAACTAGATAGAGCTGGTCCTATCAAGTAAGACTTTTCCATAAATACCTCTAGGAAGACAAACTTTTATTAGAACTTATTAAACTTTATGGTTGTACATCTTGGAATCACATTGCACTTGAACTTCAATCTCAAGGGAAAAATCCCCTAAAAGTCCGATCTCCTGCAGCTTGTAGGGAACGATACTAAAACATTCTTAACCCCAATTTGAATAAAAGTAATTGGACATTAGAGGAAGAAACAAATTTATTTAACCTTTAACAATCTTTTGGAAATTGTTGGGCTAGAATTGCTTCTCAAATGCCTGGCCGTTCTGATTTATTATGTAAGAACTATTTTTATGCTACTCTAAGAAAAGTCTTACGTCGACTCAGTAAGGCAGTCGGGCTGGATTAATGTAATTGTATAGTAATTCTTCTTTAGCATCAGATGTATTAAAATAGGTCAAGCCCAGTGTCTTAGGAATTATTTACAGCAAGGAAGACTCTTTCAAAATTTTCAACATTGAAGACAAGGTGAAAAAAGAATTTCAATAACTTATCAAACAATATAGGTTCACAGAAAAAGCAGAACTTCGATAGCTTTAAGAAAATGACTTGAACTATATAAAGTCTATGTTGAATCAATTATTTGTAATCAAGTAAAGAATATTCAAATAATGATTAGTAATAATTACGTAACCTAAAAGGAGAGGAATTTTAGAAGAAAGAATTCAAAGCAAGAAAACTGTTCTGTTGAAAACAACAGCAAATCAACCATTCCAAATGGCTCAAATGTTCAAAATTAAAAAAATTCTAAACTTGAATCTAAACTTTTAAACGCAACAAACTTCAAACTAGATTCTCATGAAGAATATAATCAACCTAAAAATAGTGACTAATAAGATAATCAATCTATATAAGTTTATGAAAATCTAAATCAACCTCATTCTGATTTCATTTTGATGAATTAATCATAAGTAAAAAAATTATTTAGATATTAGGGATCCTTTTATGCTCCATAACCTGTTTTTACATTCTGCATCTAATAAAACTTTATAAGCTGGCCAATCTAATCGGTTTAACCATATTATACCCCTTAATACCTGACTTATCCTTAATCTCATCCTTTAATGAGATATGAGTTCCTATAGATGATGTGAATTATATCTTAAACAAGAAGAACATTATAAAACAAAACATTTTACACTGGTTTATCTTCTTCCTCAACTTCTCATCTTCGTTTATGCAGAAGGTTTTTTAAGACTATTTTAAATTAACATATTATTAGAAAAAACGCTATTTAATATATATTTTATTTGAAAATTAATTATTTTCTATTAATAATTTTACTATTTTATATTTATAAGTACAACTGTTTTAAATTGATAATCTTTGAAAAGTATACATAAATAAGCAAAACTTGATTCAAGATTTAAAAATGAAGAATCGAATATATTATAATTATTTTTTTAACATTTATCCAGATTTTTGAATTAGCTTTAAAGACTTCTGGTGAAGGCTTGCTTTGATACTGTTAGAAGCTCATTTAGAATCCTAAATTTCTTAATATTCTATCATGTTCAAATATGTTTCTATAAATAGAATAATCATAATAAAATACGTCCAAGTATATTTTGGATCAAGAATCTAATCAGGAGCTCCAGTAACCTTCCTTGGAATCTTTATTTGAACAATTCAAAATTGTCAAATTCTCCAATATGAATAGCATCATTAATAAGTCTTGTATTTTTGAGAGCAATTCTTTTTCCTAAATTTTCCATTTGACCAGCCAGTATTGAATAACCAACATTTGGTTCCATGCTCTTTCATTTTAATAGCTAAAATAGTCGCTTAAACAGTTGGATGGAATGGTAAGAAAGCATTTTCAAACAAGCTAAAAATGTAGCGACTGGTACTTTGACACCCTTTTCAGTACTTTCAAAATTGAAATATTATAAAATGCTTAATACCTTTTTTGTATCCAGAATTCAAATGATACATGTCTTGTTCAGGATTCAATATAGAGACAGGCGATAGAATACCATAAGCATCACATATAATGAAGAAGATATTTTTCAGATGATTTCCAACAGCAGGATTTTTGGCTAAAAGGAATAAAATCTAATGGGAATTGACTCTTGTATTTTCAGTGATAGAAATAAACTATGATCTTTTAATGAGCTTTCACTCTCCTTATAATTTTGAAAATATCGATTGCAATCTAATTACTCAAAATCAAAATAATTTCTGCTTCTTTAGATTTCTGACATATTTTTTATCATCCTTAATTAGTTGCAAAATTCATTTATATGATAATTATTAATATAGATTAATGTATTAACAACAAAACATATATTTAAAATAATATTCATACGGATGCTGAGATATAATATAATATTCCAGTACTATTTTTTTGTCTTATCAATATAAACTATTTAGGATTACAAATTAATATGAAATTTAGTTAATCTGGATATTTAGTTTAGATAATAAATAATATTTTTCTTGAAATATTAATATTACTTTATTAGTCAAAGCCAACAACTAATTTTAAATTAAATTTGATAATTTTAATACTATAAATATTTTAATTAACATACTATAATTATTTATTAAAAGTTTAAGTCTTAATAAAATCAAAAAATATATCTATAGCTAATAAAAATTTGATTAAAAAACCATTCAAGAGAAGTAATCCTCAATTCAATTCTATTAATTTACTTAATAAACTAAAATACAAATTTTAAATTTCAATTCTTTTCAACAAGTTCATATTTTTTTATTAAAAGATAATAAACTGGAGCAACAGAATTATCTTCATGACATATTACTTCAGATTCATTTCTACGAGAATTAAATGAACATTTTACATTTGAATTCTTTTTTTATAAAGGGGACAATCAAGAACAAAACTTTCAAACTCACCTCCTTCTCCACATGGATGAAACCCAAATTTTTTATTCTATATATGATATAATTAAAATTGTACTATTTCTTTGAAATAATCGTATAATTCATGAATGGTTTTTCCTAAATGTTTTGGAGTCAATCCCATGGCTGCAATTTTAATGAGGATTATATTCATATTATTTTGAATCATTTGATCTAGCAAAGAAAACTAATCTTGATTCCACAAGTAAGCAAGGGATGTTAACCCTAACCTATTGCAACTACAATTGGAGAGTAGATTTACCAATCTTCAACTCTTAATTTCTGATAGGTGGAAGCAATAGCTCCAGAACTGACTCCCTTGATATCAGGGTATTAAAGTAAGGCTTCTTTTAAAATGATATAGAGATCTTCCACTTCATCTCCAATTCGCTCTTCATCTTTGCTTTGATAATCTAAGTTAGTAATTTTGGGTATTCCTGATATTTCTCTTGTCATTAGTGGTTTGTCCATTGCTTAAGCAATAGCTTGGATTACATTAGTGCCAACACTCTGATACATGAAGCTATCAGATTCAATTCCGATTTCTAATTAGAATGAAATGTAAATGTACGTTTGGGATATAGATTTACTAGGAGGACAAGTTCGTGACCTTCTTGGACGCATCTAATGATATTATAAACAGAATCTTTGCCTCCTGAGATGAGAGCTAAAAATTTCATATAATATATTTAAAAATGATGGGGAGAGAGTGAAGATTGAAATACTGTTAAATGTAGAACAATTGTCAATAATTGTATATGTTAATGAATCAATTTCTCTTGCTGATGAATTGAGCGGTGGTTGATAATTTCTCGCTGATGTGTTCTTAGAGTCTGTCAACGATTTCGTTTTATGCAGCTCTAGATTATAGTGTCTATGATACCTTTCAGCAGTTTGAGTTTCATAGATTTCTGATTAGACTGCATACCAAGCTTATTATCCAGCAAGTCTTTCTTCACTGTTTTCTAATTCTAAGGTGTGGAATTCGATCCATGATTGAGCATCTTCAATGGTGTCCTTTTATTCTTAGATTTAGACTTCCAATTAGGCCTTTCTTTCGACTAATCTGGTGTGTTCGTTACTCAAATGAACGCTGAATTCAGCCCAGTGAGCAGCTTATCTATCTTCAACGTCCTTAATTATTGGATTGAATGAATACAGTTTTAGCAGCCTTTTCTGAGACCAATTATTATCTGATTTCGCTCAAGAGTTAAGCAATCTTGGTTAAAGCCTTTTAGTTGACTCCGTGAGTGGCTAATTCTGTAAGAGCAGCAACGACTGGCTAAAGGAAAGATATAAGAGAAGCTAAATACTTGTAAGAGTTGGGAGTGGGAGGTGTTGTCTGTGAGTCTCTTGTGAATTGTTTCGTATTTTGATTTGACTTAGACGAATGAGGCACCTAAACTCAAGTGTTGAATTAATTTGGCAGCTTCATCAATGGCATCAATAACGTCATCAATAGCGGCGACCTTAGCAACAAAGGTTTCGTGTTATTAGTTTCTTGTGGCTTCTTCTCTGGCATATGTTTATTCATTTGTTGCGATGTCTTGAATTGTGACTCTGATGTCTTCTTCAGAAACAGCCAAAGCTTCAATTGTGTCGTCTCTCAATTAAGTGTTGGATGAGATTTGATTTTAGTGATACAAGATTTCCTTTTCCAAATCTTCGACAATCTAAGATATTCTTAATACATATTCTTACTCTGTTGTTGGTTGTTGTGTCAAGTTCAAAAGTGTGGTCGTGGTCATTTTGATCTTATTACAATCCAGCAGCGACACCGTTCAATAACATATTAACTTCGTTGGCTGGTGTTTAGGCTTACAAGTGGGCTTTGATGGCTGACAATACAACATTTCCAAATGGATTAGCATCAATTTAAGCCAAAGTTGTATGGGTATCAACAAATTTGGAAGCTGCAAGAGCAACAACTAATGTCAAGATGGCTAGTTTTTGCATATATTTTAATTAATGTTTTAAAAACGGATCGATCAAATGCTTATAATGTACATTTAATTATTATTAATTACGATCTAAATATATAAATATCTATCACACACTATTCCTACTTCACTCAACATTTATATATTTGTCTCCTTTCTCTTCCCTCCATTTTTCATTCCCGCCTTCTCAAAATATCACTATTACATATCCACAATCTCATACAAATCCTCTAATCTTATCACAATTTAAATTATCACATCCAATTCTCATCCTGCTTTACAATCCCATTCAATATATCAAATTCTTTTTCAATAATTATTTTAATCACTTTTTAATCCATTTTAAGAATTCCAATTCTATAAAATTTATTAAATCCAAATTAAATTAATATCACCTTGGTCCTTAATTTCTCCTTACCTCTGGGGTATTAAAATAACAGATATAAAATAATCTAAGAAACTTAGTAAATATATTCATTTTTATTCATAATTTCAATGATAGCTGAATCACTAGACTATTAAAAATATACACTTGCATTCAGTACTCATTAAGTATGAAAGAGAAGCCATTAATAATAAATAATATCTTTGTAAATATTCAAAAATATTTTTTTAATTTTTATTATTGCATGTCAGCTCCATTCTACACCGTCAAAGTAATATCACTCATTAAACGAAGGACGTACCTGCCTAAGATTTCATTCATGCATATGCTGAGTATTTGAAGAAAAACAATAAAATTAAAATTCCAGAATGGGCATCCATTGTTAAAACTGGACTTGGAAAAGAAATTTCACCAATTGATTAGGATTGGATGTATGTTAGAGCTGCTGCACTTGCTCGTAAAATATATGTGAGAGGTCATTGGGTATTCAATTTATATTACATTTAAGGGTGTTGGAAATCTGACTCATATGTTCGGATCAGTCAACGATAATGGTAAGCACGAATCCGGATCAGGAAAAGTCATTAGATATCTATTCTAATAATTAGAATAAATCAAAGTCTTGAAGAAAGACAACAAATCTCTCTTAAAGAAGGGATCAAGAATTGTTACCAAGGAAGGATAATAAGATTTAAACAGAATTGCAACTTAAGTTGCCTTGGCTGCCAGAAAATGATTTATTAAACATCAAGAACATTAAAACCTGTCGATATTATTGTAACCACCTCCAAATCTCATATTATATCTCTACAAATCACAAAATAATTTCTATCTAAACTATTATTATTGGGATGAGTCATCATATTTCAAAAATCATTTGTAATCACTACTTCTTTATTTTCTTATCAATTTAAGGTTAATTATTTATTCTATGCTAGAATTTAGTTTATCTCCAATTATGAGAAATTGAAACAAACATACTTCAATTTTAAATAATATTATTATTGATTCTTATTCTTTGACTTATTTTTTTTGGAATTATGTGCTCAATAAATTCAATTTTATTTTATAAAGAATTCTGAATAATATAATTATGCAATTTAATTATTATTTATATCATCACTAATTCTCATATTCTACTTGTTTTCATAATCCTACTCAATGATGACTATAATGCATTTAATTCGCTTTGATGTCTATAATAAATCTGATACTATTACCCTAATTAATATGTGCCTATCTATGAAATTGGAATCTGATTCAATTTTGAGGAAAGTGATGAAATGTCACTTTATCTACCATACTTTTAGAAGTTGGTTGGAGTTCTTGCTGAAAACAAGTCTGATTTAGAACTCTTATGTGAGTAGGGTTAATAACTTTATTGAATGAGTTGATTGTTCAATTTTGCAATCGAGTTATTTTATAATTGCAATTGAATGTCTAATTTAGAGTTCCAATCTTGAAATTGATTCAACTTGACCTTAGCTCTCTCTGGAGAATCTCTAAATGTTCTTGCTGATCTATGAGGAGATGGTGTTTTATCATTCGAAAATACTACATGGGTTGGTGCAAGAGGACTACAATTTATGCATATTCTTACTGATATTATCCTACTACACAACCTTCTAGGCCTTTATAAATTTTTGGAGAGTCTCTAAACAATCTTAATCTCACTGGAGATAAGTTTTTGGATTCTTAGTTTCTTGATTTAAAACTTGAATCTCCTAATTTACTTATTGCAGTTGAAAGTAAATGAGCTTAATTGCCTTTTGTCTTTATGGCTGAGTTGCTATCAGCACTGTAGATGCTTGAATTTAACATAATTTTTATTTATTGCTTAATAAATTTTAAATACAGATCTTATATATTAAATAATAATGCGCAAAATAATTGCAAACTTTTCTCTATTTATATTTTATAATCATTATTCTTTAATAATAATACCATAATGCTGAATTTCTTTGATAAATTCTATTAAAGGTGTTTTAAAAATAATATTGAGTTTGTTTGTCAAATGCAACACATTTTTTAATGAATTTTCAAATCCATATTTTATTGAGTATGATTTCAGAGAAATTGATTAGTCATCTATAGGGGTTGATGAAATGTAGAAAGAAACAATAAAAATAAAATTAAAGATGATGTAGTTTTAACTTGGTGGATATTTTTAAATTGAATATTTTATAATCTAATCATTTTCTACCAAGGGATGTTGATGAGGCTAAGGCTCTAACTTGATCCTTGAATAATTAGATGACAACATCGATGATGGCGTTTTCCTCTAGAATAGATTAGATGAGGATAGATACCTTATCTTCTTACTGTTTCTGAAGCATAGAATTCTCTTTTTTCTTCCAAATCGGCGGTGGCACCAGCAACTGCATTCAAGGAGTCTTTCCATAATTTGAGTGCTTTGGCTTATTAAGCAAGAACTGCTGGGAGTATGCTAATCGAATTAATTGATGAATGCATACAGTTTCTAATTTTTCAACAAGACCTGTTCTTCTTTCGTGTTCAGAGTTCAACCAAGCAACTTCAGCATTGGTATCTGAAACGTATTTGGCAAGAGCGAAAGCAGCATGGATTTCTTATTCTTAGAGTGTAGCAAGGGTTGCCTCTAATTCAGCTTGTAAGTCTGCTAAGATGGAAAGGACTTGTTCTCCGGTTGTGCCATCTCTCTTGACTTCAGCAAGGGATTAGAATTTTTGCATGGCATCTTATTAGAAGAGGTGACTGTATGCTGACAATTTGTCGGCGATGGTTTCAGCCTTTTGAACTAATTCAACTCCAGCATTGTTTGTGAGCCATCCAGCGACGTCTTGTGATAAGAGTTAGACGACTGCAATTGCATCAGCGTGATCAGCCAATGATTTGACAAAGAGTCCATTGGCCCAACATCTTTAGTCTTAAAGTTAAGCATTTCTTCTTTCGATTTCAGCAAGTCTTGCTTCGGCCCATGCCAACCATGAATATCCATCCTAAATTTTAAGGGGAAATAGCATACTCTGACTTGGGCTTCAACATCAGTACGAACGGCACCTAATCTTTCCCATTGTTATTTGTTGAGGGAGGCAACATTTGTCAAGTCACCAATGACCTAAGAAAAGATTTCTATTGTTTAATTTATATCATACCTTCATCAGTGTTATTCTTTTTGTCGGCAGCAGCTTAGACATTAACATTTTCTGTCTTCAAATCTCTCAAGAGGTTGTAAACTGATTCAACAGCATCATTTCCTCTAGTACCAGTTTGGAGGAGCACAGCAAATTTGTTTGTGTCAATAGCGAAGACGGCAGCCACTAAGCAAAGGGCAACAAGAGTTCTCATTATTAATTTATTAATGCCAAAAACGGAATCAAAATTCCTCGTTTTAAAATTGCAAATATCACTAATTATTATTTAATTAACACACATTTATGCACACTCATCATTCAAAACATACATAAATTTTACACTTACATCTCAAACTAAAAACGTATTCAATCAATTAATCTGTTAAAATATTTATATGAAAACTTAATTATAAAGAGGTTCATATGGAGAATTATCATCCATTCGTTCTTACCCCACTGAGAAATTGAATACTCAGTCTGATAGCGAATTGATTGAAGTTGACATGGAGAAACTAAATTTCCATTCATATTACTTAGCCTCTGATCCAATTCAATTATAATCAATCCAAGTGGAAGGAGAGCTTTATATTAAAGATTTCATGAAAAAGTTAATTGCCATAGTCTCAAAAAAAATCACTGAAAATGAGCAAATCAAAATGCTACCAATCATAGGCTATTAATCTTCGATAGATAGAATGTCACATCCGATTCAATAATACTTTAGACAACATGAAGATCCTACCTTTGATTATTTGACTGGTGGATTAGAAGAAGATGAAGAACCTGTATTCAAACTTTCTAATTGATAGGTTAGGTTCCAACAGGAATAATGGTTGGTATAAAAAATAAATTCACTACCTGCCAAGTTATTGGAAGTAGAATAACAAAGCACAAATTCCAATCGTCAATCTTTAACTGCTTAAACCTTTATGAGATCAAGAGTCTTAATTTAAGTATTTGAAACTTATTTCTAAATTTTAGGATTAAGCTTAATTGAATAATTAAAAAAATGTAAAAGATAAAGAAAAATTACCTGGAATTGTTGATCTAAATGATCCACTAGATATAAGTGCAACTGAAGAACTATTAAGAGCATAAAAAGAAAGAGATTATAAGGTTAAATAAGACTTAAAAGAACAAGAAAGAAAGAGAAGGCAAAAAGAATTGGAAGAATAACAGTTAAAATATGATCTCATATCTAAAGATAAAAAATCCAAATTGTACACTTACGATTATGATGGAAAATTGATTTCAGTAGTAACATTGAAAGGCCATAAATTTCCACCTACAGCTGCAACATTAGGGTATTTAAATTAAAAATTGAGAGATCCAAGTTCGAAGATGGCCAAACTAAATTAAGCATGTTCAATAAAAGGAAAACAGTTTTTTAGAATTCAGGTTCCCAAATCAAAAAAAAACAAGAGGACGAGAAAGACAAAGATACCAAAGAACAAATTAAATTTTAATCTCTAGCTCCCCTTGTTAATGAAAATATGCATTTACAATAAGGAGTTCTTATGATTCAAGAAGGTAGAGTTAGAGAAGGGCCTAAGGATTAACCAATCAGTCTAGAAAAAATGAGTGATCCTGCTTTAAGAATGGTCAGAAATGAATATTTGTCTCTGACTTAATAAATTAATGCTTCTCATAATTAATCATCTGCATAATTGGTCAAAGCTGAAGATGCTTAAATTAAAGATTTCACAAATGATCATGATTAAAAATAAATTCTCAATAGAATCCGTCGATTAAGCTAGCCAAGTATAACAAGTGATGGGAATATAAAGTAAAGATAATAAAACTATTCCATAGGATTAACTCGATGCAAATTTACGAATAAGTGGCTTAAGTTATCTTCGATGATAAAGAATAATATCCTATTTCAACTGCTAAACTAAATAATAATAATACAAAAGATGTGCGAATGATGAGATCCCCAACAGATCAATATAACATTTCGCTCTATAAGAATACCGCCTGGGGCAAAGAAGTTCCATCCACTTAGAGTAATACTACAAAACTGAAAGGCAACAAAGCTAGTGCTAAGTAAAGCTTTCATTATGTACAATAGAGATATCTTATCTACTGTTGGGGTAGTCGTTAAAAGAACTAGGGAAAGAAGAGGTAATTCAGAAACTACACATCTACCAAAAATGAAGAATATTTCTCAATTTTGATATTTTGTAATTTTAATTCTATCTCCAATTAATCAAATTTTGAGTAAGAAGAATTGTAAATTAATATAATTTTTTAAATTAATCAGCATTTATTTCTTTTTTAATACCATTTAGGAATTAATTTATTTGCTAGGGATTGATTATTTGATAGCTCCTCCTTTGTGAAATCAAATAAATCAGGAATTTGTATTTTTGATTGATACATCCTAAAGGTAGTTTCATCCCTAAGATCATCAAAATATGAATGAGTTAGTGCTTGAAGCGCAGTCAATCTAGTTCTTGGACAGTAAGTAAGTATTTTACTAATTAAATCAATAGCTGAAGGATCAACAACAGTTTAAAATACTTTTCTCCATTCCTTTTTTCTTATTTAAACTATTTTGTATTGTTTGATATCATATAATTCGTTCATTGACATCACCTCCTCTTTGCTTGGAGACCCAAGTATTTTGATAATCTCTACCAATTAATCTACCGCTGATGCCCCCAAAAATAGTGGCAGCCCATTAAACATTTCTCCAATGATACAACCTACTGACCACATATCTACTTAAGTAGTATAGTTCGTAGCTCCAAATAATAACTCAGGTGCTCTGTAGCACCTTGAACAAATGTAGGCTATATTCGGCTCTAATGGAGATAATTTTTTGGCACTTCCAAAATCGCAGATTTTCAGTACATTTGTATCTGGATTAACCAAAACATTATGTGGTTTAATATCTCTATGACAAATTCCTTTGGTATGAACAAAGGCTATGCCACGTAATAACTAATAAGAGTATAATTTGGCCTATATTTCTGGTAACAACTATTGTTATTTTAAAAATTATGCGTTAAATGAATGTAGGGTTTCAGGTTGATAATCCATAATGACATTCAAGTATTGTTCATCAGGTGAATCTCCATAGGTAAAATATGCATGTTTAGTTTCAACAATATTTGGATGATCCAATTCTTATAGAATTTGTATTTCCCTATTTTTATATCTCTTATCCTATATAACTTTCTTTACGGCTACTATTTCTCCAGTTTCATTCACTTTTGCTTTGTAAACAATTCCAAATGATCCTTGTCCAATCACTTTTAAGCTAGTGAATGTAAATTACGAATAATCAATAGGTTAATTGGCTTATGGTGGAGCTGGGGATTTGCTTTTTGTTCTTTAATTTTTTAATGGAGTTTTTTGTTTCTCTTATAAATTTTTGAATTTTAATATTGCTTGTTAAAGATCAATGTCATCTATATCAGCTGCTTCAGTTTACACTCTTCTATTGGCATCTGTTGGCTGAGTATATTTGTTAATAGGCTTTTTAGCATAGCGAGCCATCCAACTGATTAAATTATCAAATTTTTTATAAATTAAGTTTATCTAAAATTTCCTTAAATATTCATATGAGTACTAATGAATAGGAATTGCAAAATAAAGTCGAAAAATTTGTTGATAATGTAAATATAATATTTAGACTTAGTACATGAAAAAGGCAAAGTCATTTCATAGGTAGAGATCATCTATTTCAATTAATGAAGAATAGAGAGATTTAACATAAGAGATTGCAGAAAAAGAACTGTAAAAGTCCACTTTGTTGGAAGAATTGTTAAAACAAATTTCATAGATTGTTGATAATTTAATTCAAAGACACATGTTTGATGTGAATATTTATATATATATTCCTAGTTTCAAAATCAACTTCTCCATATATAGAATGAACTGTATTAATTGAAGAATAAGCAGTGTACTATAGGAAGTTAGGAGAGTGCAATAAAATAGACAATGGTTTTATCAAAGAATAGTTCCTTTACTGATTTTAATGAGCAATTTCTCTATGATGAATAAATCAAAAATCTGAAAAACAAAATCAAAAATCTTAAGGAGGATGTGAATAAGAAGACACAATATCACGATTCATTAATCAATATGCTGTTGGATTAATAGTAATTATTATTTATTATAAAATTAAAGGAAGGATTTAAAAGAGAATTTGAGAAAAAATTAATTTGAATCCGATGTTAAATCCATTGAAAAAAAATTGCTTGATTAAATTTGGTTAAGTAATGTACATTATTATTACAATAGGCGTTGAAACACAAAGTAGGGATTTTGTTGAAACGAAATTTCATTAACTGAAATAACTGGCAGAACAAAACAATTAGAAACAGAAAGGTAGTTTCTTAAGTAAAATATAGAAAAGGACGCTGTCATGTGGACGATCGTAAATGAGTGCAAGTAAGAGATGGATAAAATGAATTTGAAGTTTAATGGTGTTAACAGTATTTTACAAGAGATGAAAGAAAATAACAATTGGTTTCCACATATTTGGAAAAGGAAATGATATAATATTATTATTTAATTTAGTTCAAATTTATTAATTTACCATTTTTTAGAAAATTAACTCAGTTATTCTAAGTTAAGAAAATGAGTGACTTATTTATGTTAGACATTTCTTGTCGATATTAAATTAATGGAAACTGAATATTCTTATCTTTCAATATTTCTTATTAGATCAATTTTCAATATTTAATTATTCAAAATTTGCTGAATCTAGCAAAATGAAAAATCAAGAAATCTCGGCTTATGCAGGAAAATTGTCTTAAATCTATTAGAATGACAGTATTTCACATTCTTAGAATATTTAATTAGCAAATGATGAAATTTCCCAATCATTAGCAAATAGTCCATCAATGAACACAAATTTATAAGTAGTATTAAAGAAACTGCAATCAAAAAAAATTAGATAATTGTATCAGGAATTAGGTCCTGTTTATGATATTGATGAAAATTATGAGATCCGAAATTTCGATGATGACAGCTGTTATTTTGGGTAAGTGGAGAATGACCAAAAAAATGGCACAGGAATACTGGTATGGTCCGAGGTAGGAAATATACTAGATGGGTAAAGTTTATAATTTATAAAATAGAATTTGGGTGAATAATGAGTTAAACGGATTTTGTAGAATGATTTACTCAAATGGTGACATGTAAAGTGGTAATTAATTGAATAGTTTCGAATGTGAGTTCAAATATGGGAAGGCTAATGGATTTGGAGTGTTCTCAACTAAGAGTAAAGTAGTGAAAGGTAAATAATGTAATCATGATAGGGCTGTGGACGAATAACGTACTAAATGGAGAAGGACAAGAGATAAGAAGTGACGGATCTAAGTACTTTGGACAATTTAAGGATGGATAAAAAAATGGAAAAGGGATTATATATTATAAGGATGGATGCAAGTGAAGAATGAGATATAATTTTAGGTACGAAGGAGAGATTAGTAAGAATAAGTTGGATGGAAAGGGTGTGTTGGTTTGGAATGATTCGAGTTATTATGAAGGGGAATTTCGTAGTGGTATAATAAATGGGAGTGGGATTTATGTTAGCGGAAATGGAAATAGTTTGAGTGGATATGTATGTTTGAAATGATAATGAGTTTATAGTTTGAGGAAATTAGTAATAAGGATAGAATTCAGAGAATTTAATGTATACATAATAGTGGATCTGAACGATTTATAGAGAAAATACGATATTTATGATTTTTTTGATTGATTGCACATGATTAAATATAACATTGTGTATTATTGTGAAGGTTGTAAGCTGTTAGAATATAAGAAAATAAAAAAAAGTATAAGAAATGCATATTAATTAATATTAAAAAGAAAAATTCGTTTTTGCCTTTTTTTAGCAAAATAATCCTTAGAATGAATTCATTATTAATTACAATAAATGTTCAAAGTTGCCGTGTGTGCATTGTTAGTACTTGCCTCAACAGCCATTAATGTCTAATCCTCAATTTGGACAAGCAAAGACCAAAAAACTTTCGCTTAGATTCACTAATCTGGTTGGGGTAAATTCATCTTGAACTATGCTGAACTCCATTTAACAACAGGAGGTATCCTCTCTGAGCTCAACTCCGAGATTGAGAAACTCGTACATATATAGAGTTAATATTTTATAGGTTGATGAAATGGAAGAGGAATTGGCTGGAGTTCATCATGAATTCAACAGAAGAACAGATGTCCACAACAGAGAAGTCTCCAGACTCGAATAAGAAATCTAAGACAAAGAAAGAGGTATTTTATCAGTTTTACTATTTCCTTAGAATTGTTCAATGCCCACGATTTCTATGACAACGTCCTCATCCCATAAGGAGAAAGATTTGCTGCCTAACTTGAATAATTATAAGAAAACATCGCTTAAAACAGAAGAACCCTTGAATAAGCTACAGTCTAAAGAGCAAACGATCACGAAACATTTGAAAGTGAAGTTGTTGAACACAACGAAGCTATTGCTGCTATTGATGAATGCTTATAATTGTTGAGCACATTGGCAGCCCCATCTCTTGCTTAAGTCAAGAAAGTCTAAAAGAATTTGGCTAAAATCTAAAACTCATTGAAAAAGCACAACTAATTCCAAATCTTTGTTAAAGTCTTATTGGAAATCACATCCGACTCCAACTTTGCTGACTAAGGAGCTCTTAGAGATGTAATGTCTAATTGATATATCCTCTAGATTGTTGTTGCCTTCAATAACTTGAGAGTTGAATTAGTTGACTCCCTCAATTAAATCACTGCTGATGAAGCTGAATAAGTCGCCGAATATAATGCCTCAGTCATTTAATTGAACTAAGAACATGCCGAATTCTAAAGAGCTGTTGTTGTTAAGAATGCTGAAATCGAAGCCAACACAAGTATTCATTCCAATCTAACAACAAATAGCCAAATAAGAATAAACCCTTGATTTAATTGACGAACTTGATGAAGATTTGGCCACCCTCAACGGATAATTACAAGCTGAAAATGATGACTATGCCTTTGCCACTGATGTCTATAATGCCACCGTTGCTGAATACAACAAGGAAATCAATGCTGCCAATTAAGCTTTAGAGTTGCTCAACCAACCAAGATTCCAAGACTATGTCAAATCATAACTCAAGGGAGCATGATCTATTTCCAAATATAAAATATATCAAAGCATAGAAATTATTATTATAATAATTTATTTGTAAAAACCAAACCTTGTTCTCTCATATGCAACAAAAGTGTTGTTGTTTACCCACTCAAAAAGCATTTCTAATGATTGTCTATCTAGACATTAGCAGAATCATTTGGGGTTTCAACTACAACCATTATTATTTCTAGGAACTGTGGCATGTGCCTTCATGTTTTAAAAAGACTCCTCCCTTTCTCTTATCATATCCATCATGGACATTATCATCATAGTATTCCAGTCCTCCGTTGCTTTATACATTAATATGAGAGCATTAAAACAGCAAAACAAAAAACCAATCTTCATCTATAGAAAGTTGAAAGTCTTAAGTATATGCTTCAACATACTTGATCGATTGATCGTCCCCATCATCAACTGCACCCTCATTTTTAAAGATGTAATAACCCTAATATTTAGGATTAAAAAGAAGCAAGATCACAGTACTGTGTACTTGACATATTTGTCGCTCTCATTATAACTGCAATCATATGGAATCTAATTGAATACTATTTCTACACCATAGTTAGAGATTTTGTACTCATTCTTCAATCCACATGTATTTATATTTTCTTAAATTAGAAAATCGATCATTGCGTTACATGAATGATAGCAAACTAAAGCTCTTAGAATAATAGAACCTAGCCATTGTCTTCGAAGTTGTAGGATTGAGGCCAGCTCTACGTCGAGGAGGGTAGCCTGTAATTAATTCGGATAGAGTAGAATAAGGACATCTTAAAAACACTAATGAAGTTCAAAAGATTTATCAGCAACCATTACAAAATAATTAAAGTATTAAATTTAGTTATTCAGGTTTTCAAGTTTATGGTTCTCAATAAGAATTAATAGAAATCAATTTAATTGAATGATATCAATTTATGTTTCATCAATGAATCTTATTCATATTCAATAATTAAGATAAATAATAACAAAAATTTATTTTTATCATAGTATTTAGTCATTAGTTTAATACTTGACTACTTTTTCTTATTTATTTCTTCATTAAGTCATTCAAACTTTAATCAACCTACTTTATCTGATTTTAACACGCAATCTATTCTAATTATTAATATTTGTCTATCATCTAAGTCAGTTCTTTGTTCTTTATCATTAATTCATTTTGCAAAAGGGATATCTACTCCGACATCCTTTTAAATTATATTGTATTATTGAATGGATCATTTAATACTCTGTTAGATTCTTAAGTGTTGCTCAGAGATATTAACTTACTGTACAACAATTCATTATCAATTCTAATATTCTATTATTTTAATTATAAATTCTTCACTTCTAAACTTAAATCTATGCATTCTTAGTTTTTAATTTCTAACATTTGCATATATTCTATTTTCTCATTAATTAGATTTTGTAATTAAAAATCATACTACTTTAATTGATTTTCAAAGTTTCTTTGTAATTAATATATTTATTATTCTTTTTCTTTTTGCTTCTGTTTATCCTGTTGCTCATAGTGATGCAAAATATTTAAATTTTCTTCCTCCAGTTTTAAAAGGTTCTCTTCATAATGATTTAGCTTTTTGTAAATATTTTCAAAATTATTGATTTCATTATCTTTATGTATAATCTAATTTTTTAAAAATACATTCTCTCTATTTATTTATTCCATCTTCTAATTTGTCTCTTCAAGTAATAACTGGCATTATATTTGGATCTCTTACATTTTCTTGACTGATTCATCATTTATGCTTTCTGACTATATTCTCTAAGATAATAATCTCTTATTTTGATCTTCTATTATACTATTCAATTTTTAATTTTCTATTTCATAATATTCCCGCTGTCGCAATCTTTCAATCATTAATTATTATTATTCTGAATTATTGGCTGACAGGAATTCCTTTAGATTTTTTATCTCACTTTCTAAAACAGAGATTTGTCTCTGGGAATTTTGTTTAATAGAATCAATCTCATTCTTTTACATTTAAAAATAATCATTCTTTATTTAATTAATGTCTTCCAAATATTATTAATCCTTTTTCATTATTTAAAACTTCAAGACTTCATTTTCTTATTTTAACACATTGTTCTCTAAATCAATTTAATACTTTAATCTTTAATTTTAGTTATTTATAGTTTGTATCTCCTAATTTTTTATGTCAATCAAACATTTCAATTAATTAATTTCTTCCTTTAATATTTCTATCTAATTATTATAAGCTATTTTCATATTCTAAACCTGAGAATCTTGATAGAATTCCATTTTCATTTTCTGCTATTGGATTTGATTCTAATGTTCAACCTATATCTAACTTATTCTACTGTTGAGTTACTCTATTTCTCCATTAGATCTCAATTATACTTCAGAGATCTCAATCTTTTATTTCTCTAACGCAAAAGTCAAATTTTTAATGATTGAATTCTTTTCTGCGATTTCATCTATCAGTTTATTACATTCGATTTAATTGTCATTCTCATTTAATGATCTTTAGAATGTCTACATACTCATATTAGTCAAATTGTCGCCCGTTGGTTTCTACTCAAAAAAACTATAGTTTCTTTATTGTTCACATGACGTAATTCGTTCATTAACTGCTTAAATTTCCTAGCTTAATATTTTTATATCTTCATCATATTTGCTTCTCATTTCATTTAATTACCTAGCAGCTTATTCGTATTTTTATTTCCATTATTCAATCTCTTATTGTTATAATTCACTTTATTTAATTAGAGATTGATTTTGTTATTATAATTTGTATTAATATTATTCTCCCTAACTGTCTTCATGATTTTTATTATCAATTCCTACTATAGAAGAATACATAGAAGTAAAGTTGCTCTCATTTTTATTGATTTATTATAAAAATTTTGCTACTTCAATCCCAATCTCCTTACATCTATTTTTGTTTTTATCATTCTCTCCTTAAGCTAAATTGTAAAGACCCTCTTTGTTTTATGAAGAATATGGTGATTGAGTTTTCAAGTTCTTGCTTCTTTTTAAGGCCCCACCAACAGAACAATTTGAAGGAGTGGATATGTATTAAAATTGGACAGGTGAAACAGTTCTGAACTTGCTTTATTGCATATTAATAATTTTATAAAGAAAAAATAAAATGCTTTCATAATCAATAAAACCATTTACATATTGAATAAATTTATTATTATGTTTTATTAACCTTATATTTCTCTATATTCCAAAAAATATCAAAAAATAACATTTAATTCCTTTATTTCAATGGAATAAGTGAACATTATTTATTTTGTAAATTTTATACAAACTGTAACTTTTTAAACTGGAGAATAACATATTGTTAAATAACTAGAATCTAAAATCTTATGCAAACAGAATATAATATTAAACTAATCGAATTAGCAGAAATTTAAATTTATCATAACTTAAAACTACTTGATAATGAGGTTACTCCTTTTTAATAATGCCTTTGGTTCTGTTTAATTGAATGAAGAGTATTTCAGGTTTAGAATTATTTTATTCGCCGTTGAATCAAAATTAAACTATCTATAAAGGATTATCGATAATTTAACTAATTATTTTAATTTATATGAATTAGTAAATTCAAGAAAATGAATCGAATTCTATAACTGATACTAAAAAATAGTTAATTATAAATTAATGAGTTTAGTTATTAAGAAATCTATAAAGAGAAAACTTAGAGATATTCTTACACTCAAAATATAAAAAAACCTAATCATTTTCATCTAAACATAGAAACATATTGCTCAATTTAAATTTCAAAACAATATAGTATTTTAAATTACTAACTACAATTTTATATAGTTTCCGATCAATCCCTAGTTTAATGAGTTAAATAATCTTAGGAATTAAGACGAAAAAGTCAAATAAATCTATGAAAATTAGGAATACCAATATGATTTATAAGTGTTTTTCAAATCAAAATAAACTGGAAATCTTAGTATAGAACAAATACATTTCTCAACCATTATTGATTACTTAAATCTAATGATCATAATAAATAAATATTCTTAGAATTATAAATAATTTGCTTAATTTTATAAATGCGTCATAATTAAAAATAAAATAGATGTAAATTTCTAAAAAAGCGCATTCATCTTTAAATCTTGCCAACAATGACTTATTGGAAACTCCAGATAAGAAACCCACGAATCATCATGTCATTAGATCAAATAAACAAGAAGAAAGTGCAATAAAAGAACCAATGGTAGTAGATGTGTCAACTTATAATCATCCTCCAAACCTTCAGAAATTAATTCCAGTTTCACATATTTTTGGAGCATATAAGAGAGTTAAGAATGTCATAACAAGAACACCAACTCAAAAATCCATGAAATTATCAGAATAATTCGGAGCTAATGTCTATATAAAAAGAGTAAATAAAAAATATAAGTTTAGGAAGATTTGCAAATTGTTAGAAGCTATAAGTTAAGAGGAGCCTACAATAAAATCATATCTATACCAGAAAGTGAAAGACATCGTACAGTGTTTTGTTCTAGTGCTGGTAATCACGCTTAGGGTGTTGCTTATGTATGTAATCTATTGAAAATCAACTGTGTTATTTATATGCCAACAAATACACCTAACATTAAGTTTAATGCAGTCAAGTAATTTATAATTCATATTAAGATCATGGGGCAAATAATTTGTTCAGATTGAATTAGTTGGAGATACTTTCGATGAGAGTTTTAGGGCAAGCAAAGAAAGATGTAATAATGAGAATGGAATATATGTCCATGCTTTCGATGATGAGAAGATTATAGAAGGATAAGGAACTATTGCTGTTGAAATTCTAGAGGATATTCCTGAGGATTAAATTGACTTTGTTTTCTTTCCAGTTGGAGGTGGAGGTTGTGGAGCAGGAATTTCATCTTATTTCAAACAAGTTCACCCTGAAACAATTTTGATAGGTGTTGAACCAGAAGGGTATAATATCAAACTGATTTTTAGTTCCCCTTCAATGTATGAGGCAATCAAATAATAAAAAGTTGTAGAATTAGATACTATTAATACATTTGTAGATGGTGCTGCTATTAAAAAGTCAGGAGCTATACCATTTGAGATTCTGAATTCTGTGTTAAAAGATATTTTTTTAATTCCAGAAGGACATGTTTGCACTACTATGATGAAGTTATTTAACGAAGAAGGAATACTTGTCGAACCTGCTGGGGCTTTGGCAATAGCGGCTTTGGATAGATTCAAGGATGAGATCAGAGGTAAAACTGTTGTTTGTTTGATTTCTGGCAGCAACAATGATTTAGGTAGAATGACTGACATTAGAATGCTTTCAGAAATTCATTAGGGTCTCTAATATTATATGTTTGTAAATTTCTTTTAAAAACCTGGAGCATTAAAGCAATTTATTATAAAATGTTTGGGTATATCCAATAATAAATATCTTTAATAGGACCTACAGATGAAATCACTAATTTAGAATACACAAGAAAAAATAATAGAGAAAAGGGACCTGCATTAGTTGGAGTTAAAGTAAAAAAGCCTCAGGATTTCGAAGCCATTAAAAGTAAAATGGAAGAATTAAAAATTACACTTAGAATTTTATAACCAAATCAAGAGATTTTCAAAATGTTATTGTGATTTATAATATTATAAGATCATAAATATATAATGTTTCACACCATCTAACCAATTAAAATTAATCTTTTAATCTCTCTTTAGAAATATTCATCAAAAAATACAGTCCCCTATGGAATTAAGTAAATGAATTTTTGTAAAAGAATCATTTTACTTTATTCAGAATTTGATATTACTCTTAAAAAGTAAACACTAGCAATTTCAAATGATAAATAAATTGATACTACAATCTACAGTTAGACATAATTTTACATAGACAGTATATTACAAATCAGTAATTTACAATGAAAACTATTCCTTTATGAATCCAGAAAATTTAGACAAAACATCTGATAATAGTGTTGAACCTTCTAATTCCAATCTTTCCAGCGATTGTCTAGTATCAAAATGAGTAGCTTAATATTCGTTTGAGATGCTGTTTATAACATAACTTAATGCATTTATAAGTCCTCCTTTTAAAGCTCCTTACATAACCTTATCACAGATTCCACTAGCCTTTTTTTTATATTCCTAAAAATATAAACTGTTATAGTTACTTCACTTAAATTGTCACAGACTGAAATTTAAGTAATTTTTTCAACGATTTGATTAGATGGTCCAAATATTTAATCAATTTAATCCAACTGAAGTAAATCTTAGTTGAACTATTTTAATGAATCTAAACTCTATTCCACATGTAAATAAAGATCTTTAATCTCTGAGGAAGTGAAGAATGTAAATGTAGCTTTAAAATACAAGGCTTCTTTCCAAGCATATAAAATCAAAACATTAACACTAGCATCTGATATTTTCTAATAAAATTAGGCCACATTTTAATAATAGCTTATCTAATTATGTAATATCAGATAGAAACTTAAACTTACTAAGAAATATATTAGATAATGAAAAAGTAATGCGAATGCCTTTCTAAATATATTTAGAGAGACTAATTTTTTATCGTTAATTTGTCTATATTTAAAATTAGATTATTTTTTTTTCAAAGATTTATCAATATTATCCAGATCCATAGAATACCCATAAATAATTTATCTGCTATTTTAGATTTTCAAAGTTATCTATTTCAATCTTATAATTTCCAGCTCAACCTAATGGAGATCTTGATTTTTTAATATAGACAATATTTTATTTTTGGCATTTCGAATCTGTTTCAAATGATAGATTTTTAGAATAATCAAAATGAAAGATATTACTCCAAATACCGTTGTGTATAATCTGATGATGGTCATTTTCTAGTTTGAATATATCAGAGTGTGTTCTAAAGTAAAGTTTTCCAGATCAACAAACTTTTTATATAGTATTAGACTGTTCTTATATGAGTAATAAAAATAAGGTCCATCTGTCAATAATGGTTTCACAGTATAAGCCAATTTATATTCATATTAGTAATTAAGTAACAAATGAATTGACTCTCTAAAACTAATATTATAATTCACTCCAGTATTATTCGTCACATATAAAGAAAGAATTAAATAATTCTCCTCTAAAAATGGTTAAAATTACGGGATGTATAATACTTTTGTAATACTTTTTTTTAAAAGATCATACCCTGATAACAAATTTGATCTTGGAAATTAAACTAAATGTGCATACTCAATATCATCAATAAATTTCAGACCGAGCAATTAATTATAATTTACAATAGTGTATCTAGTTACTAAAAAGGAGTCAATTGGTTAGTACACTTCATTCTTTATTGAAAGTAATTCTAAATGAGATATCAAACTTTTGAATTCATAGGTTTCATCAAATATAATTATCGAAAAAATTATAGCTATAAGAATGTAAATTAGATAAATGATAATAAATGCAACCCAATTCTTGGATTATTTTTGAGAATTGAGAATAATTGAGGATTGTTTAAATGCTTGATAGTAGGGAGACCTCTTTACTTAAGCAATACTTGATAAATTTGTGAAATTTTCTAACTTTTTGTTGATTTTATTACTGAACCGAGGGAAAGAGGTTTCAGTTTATTTCTTTTCTTTTATTAATTGGAAATCATTATTGTCCTATAATAATTCTATTTGCATTTCTTGTCGTTCTGTGTTTAATATCATTTATTGCTTTTGGTACTCCTCTTCCGGATCTGGAAGGTTGATTTCAATTTATTCATCGATATCAAAAGGGTTCTCAGAATTTTACTAACATCTAAATTATGTAATAGAATTAACTTTATCTAATTTAAGGTTATCTAATCTCAATACATATATATATTGATTTTCTTAAAAAAATCTTTGAGTAATTGATAAATGACATGAATACAATGTTATATTTTCAATATCACTGAGACAATTAAAAGTTCTTGTTTTTCCCTTTTATTCATCTTCTTCATTGCCATTTATAAAATTGATAGGACAAATTTTGATATCAAAGGTTTTCTCTTCAATATATCTTTTAAATTAAGGGATTATTTTTATAATACTAATTCCAATTATATGATCCAAATAAGCTTCAGACAGATTTAAACCACCAAAAAATAAGTTATGACTTATTTCTTAAAGTCGTAAATTAGAATCAACAAATATTATATGTTTTTCACTTTGTGGCAACCTATATAGAGTAATGATTTCGATATTTTATGAATTTTTTTGATTCAAATCCATACAAATATCTATTGGTTAAATTATACCTTATCGTATTTTAATGAAAGTCTCCCCAATAGTTTAATAATATTTATTTTAACCTGTTTCAAGAAATTTTTCAACTAATAATTAATGTTATTATCGAAGTGATTATGGTATTAAAGTTTATAACTATTCCCCCTCTTTTATGGTGAAGTGTTGGCCTTATGTTATTTAATGGTATTCAATTTGGATATTTTACACATCTATAATTTTGAATAACGCGAAATTAAAGCTTTAATTAAAAAAGTTAAATAATTCAGATTAATTGTGTTTAAGTATTATATCTTCATCAAGTGCAACAATCTAACTAAAGTTATATGCATCTAAAACATTATTCAACACTTCCACTTAATAGAACATCAAGACACTCTAATTTGAAATTGCTAAAATATATTTAAAAATAACATACTTGGAAATAATTCATAGTTTTTCTTCAATTTTTATAGAAATGTCTCCATTTCAAATAAGATCTTTTAGACTTTACGATTAAATTAATTCTGCTAAGTTTTATCATTTAAGATAATGTTGAAGAATTCTATTTTTGAAATTACAACATTTAAAAACATTGTTTAAACATCGATAGTATTTGAATTAATTATAGATAATTATTTCATAGCCAATGAAATTGTTTAGTGATTCGATTTCGATTTTGAAGTTTACTAAACCATTTTATTCTACATCCTTGCAATTATTTTACATTCTAATATTTTTAAGAAGGTTTATTACGAATTGCTCAACTCAACTCTTATTGTTAATCTATAAGTTCTGGAATTCATAATTGAAGGATTATTACTTTGAAATCTAAATAATTACTCTATTATTTATTAGGCTTCAACATATTTATCTAGAATAATTAATGTTTAAACGTAATTTATATAAATCTATCCCAAATAAAAAGGATTTCTGATTTTATCTGCTAAATTCTCTAATTATCTCAATATTTATTATAACATATGCTATCTAATCTTATCAATGATTTATTGAGATAGTAATTACTCATACTAAAACAAGATTTCATTTTTTGAACAAAAAACTTAAACATATTAGAAAAGAAAAATTTAATTCTCCAGTTTCTTTGTATCTATGCCTTATTCTATAATGCAAGAAACATATTTTAATTCAGTTATTGTTATCTCGCTAAAAGGCTTGTTAATCAGAATTTATTGTATATTTCTATCTAATAAAATTTTTATTATGAAAAGATTTATAGGAGCTAATGGAATCCACAATCTTAAGGTAAAACAGTTAAAAATACTGTCTAATAGTTGTAGTACTGCCATTAGAAATCCAATACTACCAGTCATAATTATTATTAATAAATATGGATTTCTCATATGGATATGATTGAATCTAACCTACCAAAATTTATGAATAAAATTTAAGATAATCAATACTGCCTAAGCAACTTTGGCAGCTTCTTTGTTTTGTAAAAATGCATAATTTATTATTTGGAGTAATTTTAAGTATAAATTAATAATGTTTGTATCAGATTGGTTTATTGTTAAATACTATAGTTAAGGTATAAATCTAATGCTTCTGTTTAAGAATTACCACTAAATAAACAGGATGATGCTTAACTAAAGAATTAGAACAATGCTTATTATAACAATGATAATTGAACTCTAATCTTTAGTAGCAAGATGTAGCATACAAAATTCTATGATATTATGACCTAAATAGACTTTGTTAATAAACAAAAATAAGGAGATGATTGAAATAATTGCCTATAATTTAGTTGAGTTCATTTGGCTAAATTATATTTCATTTATTATGTTGTTCTGTTTTTTTTTATTAAAAGCAATGCAATAATATATCCAAACGATGATAATTATTTGAATCAAAAGAAATATAATTCCAAAAGTTATTTCGTAATTCCCTTGAGTAAAAATATATATATGAGGTCTGGTTAAAAATAAAATAATGGTAAAAGATTTACAAGGTTCGTAAGCAGGCTATTCTAAATAACTCACCATCTGAAGCTAAGCAAGAAAACCGAATATTAATTAAATTAAAGTCGGTAGTTTCAATGTAAACTATTAAAACACTATGCTAGTTTTAATAATATCATTTAGCAATTTTGACAATCCGTTCATTCAACTAATGATAAATAAATTATTAATTTCTTATTAATTCAGAATTAATAAATCAAAGAATTCTTGCATGTTTACTCATTAGGTTTGATTCCGCTTATTAATAAAATTGATTTATAATTTAGAGATTTATTTAAATTAACATGTTATTTTAGAATTGAGTATTAGTTTGTAGTATAAAAATATCATAATATTATATAATAACAATTTTCAAGTAGAGTTTAACAATAATTTAGTAATTCAAATTCTTGTGATAGCTGTTCTTTAACATTTAAAAGCAAGTTTATTGATTCCTATTTATATCTGCCTATTCTTTTTATTATTTTCTTATTTCTAAATACAAGATCTGATGACAATTCTTGGTATTTTTAAGGATTTTCAAATTTTTCTACAATTCTAATAATCATTTCTTTTTTTGAATACTTTTAAGATTGTAAATTTTGAGAAGATTAAAGATTATCAATTTAATTGAGTTTGAATTCTATTTTTTCTAAAAGTTATTCTATATAGAAGGAATTTGTAAACCTTGTGAAGTTTTGGTTTTTACGATCGAATAAACAATTAACTAATAGAGATTAGCAAAATTATTCTATATAATAGAGCGAATGGAACAGTTGATGAGATTACTTCTGATCATTTTTCAATAGACACTGCATAGTTAGATTTGGTAATATGAGAGTATAAAAATGATTTATACCATTCTCAATCCCATAAGGATAAATGATTGATTATTCGTAAATATTGATATTCTAATTAGAGTTGTAATCAGTAGTTTCATAGGTCTAAACAATAATAATATTGCTTGGCCTATTGAGTTAAAGATCATTAAGGATTTCCATACAATTAAGGGCTTTTAAATTTATAGAAGATTTCTTCATATCCTTCATTTAATAGATAGCAGCAATCGGTAATCGGTTAATATTGACATACTCAATTAATTGATTTTGAAAATGTTTAGTAAGAAAGATTAATTAGAAATTCTTAGATAACACAAAAATCATATCTTTTAAATTTGTTAATGTGTAAATTGTAGAATTTTAGACTAGTTTACTAAAATAATGATCCTTAGTATGTTGATAATCTATATAAAGTTGAGACTATAGAAAATCCTATTAGAATCCATAATAACTAGATTCACAAAATCCCAAGAGTTCATCAAAAACGATTAGCACCACATTATTTATTTACGAGTTTGTAATTTTTAATTATTCGAGCTGTAATAAAACTGTATTAATGAATGGTTTTTTTATTTAGATTTCAGATGTTTGTTTTGGTAGTGAGGTAATGGGTCTAATAAACTATGTTTTAGGACTTTTGCTAAGTTCATACACAGGTTGATTATAAGGAAAAGTGTTTTCAAAAGAAGAATTGTTTGAAGCTGAGGATTTTCTTTTAGCATTTGCTTAAGTCAGTTATTTAATTCCCATCTACTCAATAGTTAAACCATTATTAGGATTTTATTTGGGAGAGCGAAACTTGATATTTTTATTATGTGAAAAGCTCCCTTTAATTATTTTTCCAGGTATTTTGACACTATATTTCTCCTTTCTCATTTAATAGTAATTAGCACAAGCTGGTTTTATTTAATATTTTGATAAATTAGGTTCTTAATGGATGTTATGAATGAAACTACTTGTTACATCATTTTGGTTTTCTTCATTCCTAGAATCATTAGATATATAGGATTTTGCATTAATTTGTGGTAAGGTGATTCTTTTCTCTTGATTTGATGAATTTAAAGCCACAAAGGGTGAATAATTCTTCTTCCAATAACCCTTTATTAAAGCCTTAGGAGAATAGGAAGTATTGGTTTTGATTTCTCTTTATGAAATAGATTTAATATAGTCATCATTGACGTAGTATTATTAAATGGGGTCCATTTTAGTTAAAGCCTGAATCATTATAATTAATTTTATAATTGATCTAAAAAATAATATAGTGAAAGTGAATATTGGGTAGTGATATCATATAGAACTCATAAATTAGATTTCACTAATAAAATGGAAAAAAACATTAAAACTTAGTACAAAGAAGGATGATTCAATTTTTAATTACTGCTAGAGTTTTTCTAGTATTTTATAAAAACTCTAATGGCAGTAAATAAGCCATTAATTTGTTTATTAGTGTAATAATTAAATTTATCGATAATCTCCATTTATATAATTTATAGTAAAGCATCTATCATTTAAATTACATATATCCTATATCACTTAAATAAAACTATTTATTATTAAATTTAAGGTGAGGAAAGTTCTTCTTTTGCAAATTCAAACTAACCTTCCATCCCTAAGATTGATAAAAACTCTAAACGAAATAATACAAAGGTAAGATTCCTCATGGAGGTTCCAATAAAAATAAATGTATTCAGATAGAATGAGTGAAGCCTAAGTATAATCCACTAGCACTTAAGTTAGACATTTAATCGTCTTTAGATTAGGTCAAAATTCTCTATTACTATTGTTGATTGGACTCTATCTTTAATTAAAACTCTATTTTTATAAAGAGCAAGAATGTTTAGATGGATATTATAATATTTCCATTAGAACAAAAATATTATTGAATTTAAATATTAATTACCTAATTTCTTAAATATCGGCCCAATAATACAAGGATTTACATAAATCTCAAATAGTTATATGAAGTGATAAAGGATTTATGAATTTTCACCTTCATTTTAAATGATAAATTAGAGATGTTGATTCCACCACCCCAGTAGTTAATCGCTAAAAATATTACAGATGATGTGTTTATAATTAAGAATATGGATTCAAACAGGCCTAATTTTATAAAGAACACTTTCTGGATTTAGTAATTAGTAATATTTTTATTCTAATAAATATTTATTGCTTCCAATAAATTTGAATAAATTAATTCTCTTAAATAGTAATATATATCTAATTTATTAAACGTTATGAAACTTTTACGAATATTATAAATTATCAATTATAAAAATTTGCTTTAGACAATGTAATAACTATTGAGAATTATATTTGATTAATATTGAATAATAATCTAATAAAATATCAGAAAAAGTTTATTGTGTAAGACTTATATAATTTAAATATATACCTCTAAATATTTGTAACCATAAGGAAATTAGGATACTAATTATAGTTGATATCTCTTCTAGGAAATCCATCAAATTCCAAAATAAATTGAAATTTAAGAGTAATAATATATGTACCTAGAAATCATCTTCGAATTTTACCTATATTGATTACAAATATAATATATTGAATTTAAAATAGATATAAATAGATATCTGATCTAGAATTTTGAGAAATGAGGATTATTGCATTAGTTATAATTGATTTTAATTGTCAAATCTGATTTAATAATTAAGTAATATGTTTTAGTAGTAGATCCTCTACATTTATTCCACTGGGTTTTCACTAAATACATACTAGGATGGAACAATATAGCTGATTTTGAAAAGATTCCATTTAAAATTAAAAAGTCTGTAGAAACTTCTATTTGAAAGGCAATCTGAATGAAATTTAACTCTAAAATCAAATAAAGAGATGTATGTAATTGGATATTGAGTTATATAGAAATATTAGCGATAAATACTTCAAAAAATGGCGTATTTAAGGATTGGATATTTGATTTTGATTGTGAACAGAGATTTTTGTAATGCATTCTGAGTTTTTTTTCATTAATTAGAGTATTTTAATTATTTAAATTAAAATAACAAAGATTTTAATCAATGAAGGCAGAACAATAACAAAAGGGGGCAACCAAAACTGTGAAGAAAGTGAAGGTTAATAAGAAAGCACCAGTTAGGTATATTGAATATTTGAAAAAAGATTATGGGTCAAGGCTGCTTTCACTGGTTTCAGAAGATCTAAAGTTTAATAAAATGAGAATTAGGCATTGTTAAAGATTTAACATGTCGATGATGTTTCATCAAGCAGATTCTATTGGGGCAAGAGAGTAGCTTATATCTACAAGGCTCACTCTCTCAAGAACAACACTAAATTCAGAGTACTTCATAATCATAATGATTTTAGACAATCTGGGGTAGAATCAGCAGATCACATGGATCAAATGGAGTTGTGATTGCTCGTTTCAATAGAAATCTTCCACCAAGAGCCATCGGATCTACTTTGAGAGTATTCCTCTATCCAAATAGGGCCTGATCCATTATATTAATATGTACATTTATTTCCAGAAATTAAATAAACCAAATTTATTTTTTAAATATGAGTCAACCACCATAAGCATCATAATCCAAGCTGCCAAAGGTAATATCCTAACCTCTATGTCAAGCTGTATCAGACGCAGTAAGAACCAGTTCGGGAACAAGAGGATTGGATAAAATGATCTTAGATGCCAAAGGTCAGGTACTCATTTCAAATGATGGAGCCACCATACTCAAATAGATGGATTTGGTACATCCCACTCCAAAAATAGTATTCCATTCAATATTACAAAACCTAGTTGAAATTTATCATGCTTAAGATGTTGAGGCTGGAGATGGCACTACTTCAGTTATAGTATTCGCAGGAGCCTTATTGAAATCATGTGAAATGCTTTTAGAGAAGGGAATACATCCAACCACTATTTCAGAGGGATTCCAGTATGCCTAAGAAAATGCTTTAAAAGCTTTGGATGAATTGAAAAAACAAGTTGATCTAGAAGATAAATAATAATTGATTGAGCGTGTTTAAACAGCATTACCATCAAAAGTGGTTTCATCCAATAGTGAATAATTGGTTCCACTTGCTGTTGACGCAGTCTTGAGAATTGTTAACCCTCTTAAGTCTAATAATGTTGAACTTAAAGATATCATAATAGTCAAAAAATTAGGAGGCACAATTGATGACACTGAATTAGTTGAAGGAATTGTATTCTCTAATTAAAAAGCAAGTTAAACAGCCGAGGGACCTTAAAAAATAGAAAATGCTAAAGTGGCACTGTTGTAATTCTATTTATCTGCACCTAAAACGAATGTTGAGAATTCAATTGCCATTAAAGATTATACAGAAATGGATAAAATTTTGAAGGATGATAGAAAATATATTATAGACCTAGTTAAATAGATTGTAGCATCAGGCGCAAATGTATTATTGATTTAAAAAAGTATTTTAAGAGATGCTGTCAATGATCTTTCATTGCATTTCATAGCAAAAAAAGGTATTATGTATGTGAAAGATATTGAAAGAGAGGATGTAGAATTTATATCTAAGGTATACTTAAATGTTGATAAGTATTATAATAGACCTTATGTTTAGTAACAGTAGCGCATATAGATTAGTTGACTCCTGAAAATTAGGAACTGCTGGACTTGTTGAAACTGTATTCTTGAATGTAAAAGCAGAATGTTGAGAATTACTGGAGTGCCAGCATAGTCTAAAGCTTTAAAAATCTTAGTTAGAGGGTCAAACCAATTAGATTTAGATGAGGCTGACAGAAGCATTCATGATGCCTTGTGTGTTGTTAAAAGTCTTGTTAAATGTAGAGGTTTGATTCCAGGAGGAGGAACACCTGAAATCCACTTATCCTTAAAATTGACTCAAAAGGCTAATACATTAGCAGGTGCCAGATCTATGTGTGTTAGAGCTTTTGCTGAGCCCTTGAAGTGATTCCTTACACTCTTGCAGAAAATGCAGGTAATTTATACTCTATCTGTAGGATTGAATCCAATCAATGTAGTTACTGAGTTAAGAAATAGACATCTTAAATCTTAAAGTTTGCAGGTATAGGAATGAAGAAAGTAAGTATCCTTTAATATAATAATTCAGAATAATATTGTTGATGATATTATAACTGAATAAATGGTCTAACCTATTTTAGTAACAAGAAGTGCTTTGAGTTTGGCTACAGAATGTATTAGAATGATCCTCAAGATTGATGATCTTGTCATCCCAGCCCGTTTATGTTTAACATATTTATATATAATGATTAAATGGATTAATTGAAACTTAATTTAAAATAGATTCTCTATTTCTATCTAATTTATGATAATATTAAATAAATTAATGTTTAAAAATTCAAGAACAAAGCAGGTTAACCAACCAGTTTTCAAATTAAAGCAATTTTTGAATACTATTGTTGTGCCCTGTTCATCAAAAGATCCAACTAATAGTTTAAAGAATTCAATTGAGAGTTCAAGATTTGCATCATATCATAATATCAGTAATTCTCTTCGCAAAAATATAATCCTCAATTAACATTCTTTGTTACCTACTAATAGTAATCGAAAATCACTTGTTATCGAAACTAATTAAACATCTACAATAACAATTGATCATGTCTAATAGGAGTATAACAATAAAAAAAATACTAAACAAATCAGAAAACATTTCAGATAATTAAAGAATCTTAGTATCGGTCAGAATTCTAATGATAATCTGAATTCAACAAATGAAGAATTATAAACACTTTAATCAAATAAAAATAGGGCAACCAAATATAATACTAATAATAAAAATGTATAGTAAAAATCAAGGAAACAAAAATTAATAGACTTTTTGAAAGGTGAAAATTAAGGCATTTAATTTACATAATTATTACAAAAAAAATACTCAAAATAGTATACTTTATTTCCATTTTTCACAATTAAAAAATATCAAGAACTCTAATTTTGAAATTTTGTTTGTATTATTATTATTTTCAATCATAATGCTTGATAATCCAAAAATATAACTAAAAACAGAACTAACATTACTAGGAATGGAATACTTAATCAATATTCAAGCTAATGATCATTTACTGTATATATATATTATACTTTAGTTATATAGAATTAGAATCGAAATATGCACCCTAAATCTGGAAAAATACTTACACTATTGATTATATTGAAGAGCTTACTCGTAAAACAGGAAATCAGAAAAAATTCAATGTATTTCTTTCCATGTTATAAACTGCAATATAAAAAACCAATGAAAATGTATTAAAATATATTTTAATTAGATATTTTTTGAAATTTTGACATACCAAGATCTAGAGAATCTCAAATAATAGAAATAATAAAATTAAAGTCATATTTCTAGAACGTCATCAACGAATTCAAAAATCAATAAAAGATATCTCATCTTGTCATATAAGAATGATTTAGAAAAGGTTCATTATCCTTTAGCCTTAAATTATGAAGAACATATTGAAAACTCAAGATTAATGACTAAAATCTAGAATCTAAAAACCGAATTATTAGAGCATAAATCATAAAAATAGAATGACTCAGAATTTTAAGTTTCGAATTTAATTTCCATTAGTAAAAGGGATAATTAAACATTCGATTCCTTAGTGAATTAAAATGAATTATTGAAAGCAAAGGCCAAGAGATTGGAAGAGGCTTTGACCCAAAAAAAAGGGGCAGTTGAAGTGGATTAATTGATTAGAGATAATGAGGACTTATAAAATTTGTTAAATACATCCAAATTGTTATATGAAGAGAAGATCTAGAAGTTAGAACAATAGATAGATTTGAAAAGTACAGAAATCGTTCTGTAAATGTCTGAAGTACTTATAATGAAAATAAAGATTAGATAAATGCATTTAAGAAAGAGTTATCTAGATTGATTGGCTAAGTAGAGATGGATAATCATATCAAAGAGAAAATCAAACTTATGAATGAGGATGAGGAAAGTAAATTGGTAAAAGCATAGAAAACTATTCAAAAATATGAAAAAGAAGTGGAAGCTCTTATATAGTATGTAATTGATAAAATCATAGATAAATAGATTCATTAAAGAAATAAGATGCAGTACAAAAGAGAAAAATAAATTAATTGGAGACCGAACTATCTTAGTCAATGAAAAGGTTTAGTTACAAAGGAGTTACTGACAGACTTTATTCTTCATATAGTAACCACTCTAATGCTAGCAAAAAATCGAATTACTCAGTTCCGAAAAGAGAGAATTCAAATAATTCATCTAGAAATGCATCTCCAAATGTAAGGCAGACTTCTCCAATTTTAAATAAGAATTCACATTCTTCTGTTTAAAATTCAGTAAGTATAGACAGTATTTTAGTCTGCAAATCAAAGACCTAAGTTTTATAACACTTCTCCAATGAATAAACAGCCAATTTAGAAGAAATCATCTCCAGCTAGACCCCAACAATAGATTAAGCCTAATCCTATTAGGACATCTCCAATAACTTAATAGAAACCATCTCCTGGCAGAAACAATATCTTTAAATAGCCTTCTCCTCCAAGATAATATAATTAACAACATAGAGTTTCTCAATTATAGTAGACTAAATAAAGGACAAATTAATCTGCTAATAATTATAAGTAACCTATCAAATAGGTACACCAATATGATTGGAAGTCAGGGAATGTAACAGAACTTGACAATAAAATAAATAATTTAAAAAATATATTGTCGAAAGCTAAAAGGTGATTGAGTATTATTTGTGTTTAAATAAAATGAAATAAAAATTAATGAACCAAAAAATCTTATAAATTTATCATTTTTTTGTTTTTTTAGTGGGCTAAGGACTGGATTCCTCATCATCGTCATCTAAGTCACCATCGTCCTCATCTAAATCATCATCTGATTCTTCAGAATCTCTTTCTATACCTTCTTCATCGTCACTATATTCAATATCATTTCCATTTTTATCCTTGTTATCTAAAACCGACAATCCAGGAACTAAATCAAAGACCTTTTAGAAGTATCCTGGTAATTGAGCAATAGGATTATCAGATAAATCTAATTGTTGTAATTTTTTCAATTGCTTGATGGACTCCAATTCCTAATGATATAACTAATAAGATACAGCAAATGTTTTAATTGAATTTTCTGCTAAGCTTAAACACATCAATTTTGGATATGTGGTGGCAATAAATTTAATTGCCTCTCCATCCAATTAATTGGTTTCCAACACCAAATTCTGCAAATTTGGTAATTTAGGAAATCCCTCAAGTGTCTTTAAGGAGCACTCAACTAGACTTAAAGACTCTAGTTGACTTTGAGATTCAAGAAGTTCAGCGACCTATTTCTCTAATTTCACAATCTTAACATTGTCAAGATCAAACTCCATTAATTTACCTTCTTGTTCTTCTGTTTTTTATTCGATTGCTTTTTTAAATATTTCTAATATGTGAGCCATTTATTAAAATAATTAATATCATTTAATTAACTATTACGCTATATGCTAAAAAGGGTGATCAATGTCCTGATTACGTGCCTATTTTAATTAAGCGAATCAAGTACTGTTGACACTGAGAAGAATGACAATCCTAATTAACTTGCTAATTGCATCCCTTATTTATTTTCTATCTTTCTGATTGCTTGTAAGTCTGATTTCATGGCAACTAAAACACCTGGCAATTTCTTTCCATTAGCCTTCGTTACTCTCTCAAACCATTCTTTGGCTGCCTCATAGGTTGTCTCTTTGGTCATATCGTAACATAAAAATACAAAGTTGGCATCTTTCAACTTGAATAATATTATTTAAATTTAACTATGTTAGATTTTAAAATCGCTTATTCATATATTTCGGATCCTGCAATATCAAATAAGTATAATTCGACATCTTTTTCCTCCTATTCAAAGGGAATCAACTTTGTTGATATTTCAGCTATTTGAGTCTATGATAATTGAATTAAGGTAATACTAGTTGATAATCCTTGAGAAAATTGACTTCTCCTGTAGTATACAATTAGATCAGGGCAGATTTTCCGACTGCAGAGCTACCGACCACCAATACCTTAGCTGTTACTTTTCTCATTGAATATTAAATAATTTAAAAATAATATAATATTAATAATATATTATTCATTTTTGTCTGATAGTATTTAAAAAATTACCTAAATTGGCTTTTTTACCATATAAAACATATTCATATTACACAGACTTCTTTTTTGTTTCTTTATCTAATTAATAGAATTAGTAATACTCTAAAAATGGACAGGTCCATAAGCTTTTTTCAAGTCAGCTTATTTTTTTGTAAGTGTAGGCAATTTGACAGAGTCTAAGAATTATTAGTTTCTAGTTTTGAAGGAGTTCTGTAATATTTTATTGGTTTGATTGAGTAGAGTCTTTTTCTGCATAACGTGAGATGTGTTTTGGTCTTCTTCAATAAGGGAATCATCTCTTTTGAATTTAATTTAATATATACGCTTTCTTCAATAATTTAATTGATTATAGACTGGTTTCTAACAGTTTTTGTTATTCTAAATCTCTTAATTCCTTAAAATACGGATGTCTTAGAGCCTATTTAGCATTGATTCTCTCATCAGGATCATAGATAAGCATTTGTTTAATTAAATCAACTACATCTTTGGGAGCATGGGGAATGAGATTTTCTAAGCCAGTTCCTACTTTGGAAGGGAAATTAATTTCCATATGCGATGCATGTTTCCTGAATCGATCGAGCACCTTAGGATTGGGAGTGCCTAAAATGTTATGAATCCGATGAACTTAGTCTAATTCATTGCTTCCAGGAAACAAAGGGAATAATGCAGTAATTTCAAATAGCACACATCCAGCACCCCAAATGTCCATCTTACAATCATAATACCCATCTGTCATTAAACATTCAGGGGATCTGTACCATCTTGTGGAAATATATTCTGTGTATGGGTGTTTAGAATAAATGCCTTTGCATGATCCCAAGTCGGCTAATTTTAGATGATCTCCTAAAAGTAAAATATTTTCACTAGATATTTGAGAATAGTCTTACGGCTTAATATCCCTATGAAAAATGTTATTTGTGTGCATGAAATCTATTGCTTTGAGCAATTAATACATATAACTTCTAATTTTGTCTTATTTTAATGGTACTTTTCGACCTATTTAATAAGACAAGATTGATACCCTTTATATGTTCGTAAAGGTTTTGCTCCATTAATTCGAATACTAGAGCCAATCTCCCAGTAGGTTCATCACTAAATGTATTATTAATGAATAATACTAGAGCACTTCTATTAATTTAATTATATGATCATGATTTTGCAACTTTTTCAGTGCTTGAATTTCTTTCAATTTGTTAACCAAAATTAGTAATAATTCAATACTTGGTCAATTGTTTAAAAAACTTGTTTCATGCATTTAATAGCAACTAATTGGCTTGTTTTTATAGACTAAGCCTTTATAACTTCTGAAAAGGTGCCTTCTCCCTTCTTAGTTATTAGTTTATAATCTATCCAACTTAATAATGTAATTACTTTGCATTCCAAATTTTATTTTATAATATAATAAATTTATAATCATCACAATAAATCCTCTTATTCTCTTTACACTTTGATCTCTAGAGTAAATTAATGCTTAGGATTTTATCATGTTCTCATTTTCAAATAATAAATAATTTAATTAATTAAATTGATGTACTCATCATTTATTACTAAAAAACCTATTGGATATAGTTTGCTAATAACATGCATGATTCTTGATCTATTTATTGCAACATCCTAATATTCCAATTACTGCGAATTTTTCAATAAACCAATATATAAGGTGTCATCAGATAATGGAATAACAATTTATTAAACTAATTCAGAAGGATGCGTACTAAGTTAAAATTTTGAATTAACTTATATGGGTTTAAGTGTTAGCGATCAAAACGCTAAATCAGAGGTTGATAATCGAATCACAATATTAAATTCCATTAACACTGAATTATTCGCTTATTTATCTCTCTTTGTCTTCTACTTTCACATTATTACAAGCTTTTTACCCTTGTTTTTAGACTTCATCTTAAGCATTTCAGAATATTGGGCATACAAAACAAGAAACACTCTCATGATATCATTAATCCGGAATTTAATCGTAATCAATTGGTAATTAATGCAACCCTTACTTCTACTTACAACAGTCGTTAACAGTATTACCTATAAAGAATGCTTTGAAGTGTAAGATTTAAGATTCCTGATCCCAATTTACACAACAGAATGGGCGATCCTTTTCATTGTAGTCATCGTTCTGGAAACTTATACGCTTTTTTTCTTTTTAGTTAAATGGCGAAATGAATTCCCTTGTTATCTACTAATATTTCAAATGTTCCATTTTGGTATTTTTCACACAGTCATTATTTACAATATGGTTAAGGGATCAAAAAAGCTGTTGCAAGTTTTATTCACCTATAAATAATGGGTGACAGTTTTTGAAATCCAAAAATTATATCTAGAATTCTATGTAATCTAAGAAAGATTTCGAAATCACAGAATATAATAAGCTAAATTTGCTCAATTATATAACTAAAAATTTTGAATCATTATTTAACTATTAAAGTAAGAAAAACTTATAAACTCATTGATTATATTTATATTAAACTTAAGAATTATGAATTCATGCTTGCAATTGAATTATCAAAAGTGATATAATTTATATCTTAATAATATTATTACTTTTTGGATATATATTCTTGTTATGGGTTTAAGTTTGTGTAAAATCTTCTTCAAGAATTATCTATTTGATTATTAGATAGCTAGTTAATGTGATTATTGATTTTATGTAAACTATTGTTGTTCAAATTAATAAACTTTAAATTTGATTCCAAAATTATATTTAATATTCCAATTCTCTTAACCTATAGTTTACTATTTAATTTACTCGTACCCAAAAGAAAGTATTTGACTTAAAAAAATTTTATACCTTAAATTTAACCTCAAAAGTAGAGTATTTTCATTTATGAAGTATATGATAATAATAAATGTTATATTTCATTACAAAAAATATAAATTTTATTCATTTTTATTTTTTTAACTATTATTTATTTATCTATTGCATTCTTTCAAATAGTGTAAGCCCTGGCTCGAATTCTTAAATCTCATCCAGCTGCAAATCAGTCATCAAAAATAAATCTTCTTAAATTTTTAGATGATGAATCCTTTCGATTTATCTAATAAATATAATAAAAATAGACTTACTTTTTTTGAATTTGTGATGGTAATTCTTCAATATTAACATCAGCTGTAAATGATTTCCTTCCAACATCTAAAAATTACTATTATTTATTAATATTCTTTTCGTTATCTTGAGAATTTCTGATTTCCTCCTTTGTCCAATCAAATTTTGAATCAAAAGGATATCCTAATGTTTGATATAATTTCTAAAAAGATTTCTATATATATTCGTAATTTGGATCTCCATCAAATGATATATTTTAAATATATTTGAAATAATCTTCGAATGTTTTAGGCAATCCAGAACTATTGATATTTTTATTAAAATATACCATAACTCTTCAATAGATGTATTCATCTTCTTCGATCCAATCAACTTTATTTTTTCTTCTGGTGTCTCTGCATGAATGTGCATCCATGGAAGTGAACCTTTCAAAAAGTAAACGGCCAAATAACCTAAACTCTCTAGATCGCTAGCTCTATTTTAAGATAAGCTCAAATGAGAGCAAATTGGGCAAAATCTAGGCTTAGCAAAGTTAATCATTTAAGTACCTGGGAGTTCCAATTACATTCTCATTTTTCTGTCTTTCTATATGTTATCCTTAATCTCTATATTTTAATGTAAATCCAAAGTCAATAAGATAAATTTCATCTTCTTTTAAACCTGTCATAAAATTCTCTGGTTTTATATCTCTATGTATATAATCATTCATGTGTAAATATTATAGTCGTTATATTGCCTAATCTAAAAACATCAGAACTGTTTTTAATGAAAATACTTTTTTTGGAGTCTGCATTAATAACTAGTATAAATTTTGTCCTAGTAATGTTTAGACAATGAAACTTTCAGTTCCATTTTAAATAAAATAATATAATCGTGGAAATCCAATATTCCCATTTAATTTATACAGTACATCTACTTCATTCTTAACAGATTGAGCAAGATTAGGATTTTTGCCTGTCTATAAGATCTTGACAGCGTAATATTCTTGTTTTATTTGATGAATTGCCAAATAGATATGACCGAAGGTGCCTATGAAATAAGAAGATTTTTAACCTTAATTTAATGGACTGAGAATTCGATAGTTTTTGCAGACAACTTTATCAATCCATTTATTTTAAGTTTGCTTTTAACTTAATTTATCATTTCGTTTTGACATCGATTTAATGTATTAAAGTGTATTTGTAATAATCTATTTATATTATCATTTATTTATCAAATCAGTTAATCCTCCTTTGGGTATAGAATTAAATATACATAATTTAGATATAAATTGTTATCAATTGTATAAATTATCAAGATTAAGAAATCCCTTATTTTATCTCAAAGTAATCTGAACTGAATTTTACATCAAAAGTGGATTCATTAATTATAATGAATTAGTATTTATATATAAACATACATGTGAGACTCTTATTTAAAATATAATGATGATAAATTGCTGAAGACATATTTTTAAAAGTTGTCTTTGCATGTATACATGTATTGATGGGAATAAACCTTTGAAATTAATACTATAATTGAATCATTAATAATAATAATGATAAAAGTCTATAATCCAGAATTACTTATTTCTGATGCATAGGATAAATTAACATAACTAGTTAGGGATGATTTTAAGCCATTCATTTTGAGATGTGAATAACACAAACTCTGTGTATTGGAAAATGAGAACTTGATACTATTTTCTGTGCTTTTTGATAAATGTTAGCCTATCATTGATGAAGCCTTATTGTATACATGATTATAAATAAGAACGATTACGCTTGTGAGTTAAAAGAATGAATCTAAAATAATAGCAATTAAGTTTGCAGACAAGAAAGGCATGTCTTATTTGCAACATTATGTATATATATTCATGGTATCTAGATTAATTCAAGAAAAACATATACAAAGTATATGGGTCCTTTGGCATATCAACCAGTGAGAAAAGAAAGGACATCATTATTGAGTACGGAATCCCCAGAATAAAATTTCAGAGGAATATTAAATCTGGCAATTCTGATATTGATAGCTAATCATATTAGATTGATATTCGAGAATTTTTAAAAGTATGGTTTGCTTATAACAAATGTCTTCTGGAAGTTTGAGATGGTGTAAATAAATGGTAATCCTATCATGTAAGCTTTGTTGGTATTAATTATTAATTTGTTGTCTGGATTTGGAATTCAATATTTATAATTTAAAAGAGATTTTAATCCTAGATTTATTAGAATATTTAATATAACTAACATTGCATTAACAATAATACTCCCATGTTATTTAATTTAGGGATCGCATCCAGGATTAAATTTGATTCTTCTAGGTGTTCAATTTATAGTTTTTATGAAGTTGATAAGTTATGCACACTTTTTGAGGAACACTTACTTTTATATTTAAAGAATAAAGTAAGTATAAAATAAGAAGGTATCCCTTGATAATTTCTTTGCTGAATACGAAGTCAATGGTGAAAACCTTAAGATATTAGAGAAATATGCTCAAAATTAATCAAGGATTTTGGACTTTCAACACTACTTATATTTTCTAGCTGCTCCTACATTGTGCTTCCAATTGTCATATCTAAGAACCAATTCTATAAGGAAAGTTTGGTTGATCAAGAGGATAATCGAATATATTTTTGTGATACTCTTTTTATTGATCATTTGGTTCCAATACACAGAACCACTTGTGGAGAATACATACAAAATGCTAACTAAAGCTCCCACTCTTATGGTGCTTGCTGATCGATTGTTAAAGTTGGCAATACCTAATACATATATGTGGATAGCCTTATTTTATGGATAATTCTAATGCTTTTTAAATATCACAGCAGAACTCTTACGATTTGCAGATAGAGAGTTTTACAAAGATTGGTGGAACTGTAAGAATCTCGAAGAATATTGGAGATTATGGAATTTACCTGTCCATCATTGGTTAGTTAGTATATTATGTAGTTAATATTATAATAGGACACATATATTTTCCATGTCTAAAATCAGGGATGAGCAGAACTACTTCAAATTTGATAGTGTTTTTAGTATCAGCTTTGGGTCATGAATACATAGTCAGTGCTTCAATTGGAGTGATAGAGGCTTGGGCATTTGTGGGAATGTTTGCATAGGCACCATTTATGTTAATGTAGAAGAAATTAGAGAAAGTAATATATGAAAATATCATAAGTTACTTAAATTATAAGACTCCTAATTAGGAAATTTAATGTTTTGGATGACTTTTTGTTTTATTGGATAACCAATTATGATCTTTGTTTATTACTTTAGATATTTAGAAAAGATTGGCCATCCAATATGATATTTTAAATATGTTAGAGTATCAAAAAAAGATATAATAGTTGAATTTCAATCATCTTCTTCCACAACAGTAAACATTGATTTGTTAATATTTCCATACTGTAATTTATATTCTTCAGAAGCACAAGTATTCGCTAATTGAATTATCATCTTCTCTAATTTTAAATTAAGTGGTTAAACAACTCTTTAATCCCAAGTTAAATCTACTGCATCAATTCCTGGCATAGAGGCTTTATCAGCTATTCTTGCTATTGCTTCTAAGCATTCAATTAAAGTCATCTAAAATATCCTATCACTTTCTAATTCATCTACTTAAAGCATTATTGATAAATTAAAAGCCTAGCTTAAATTAAAATTTTGCATTATCTGCGTCTCTTTCAACAAATCTTTCATCAGATAGACTGGCTTATGAACATATTTCGTGTATTTCATCTAAACACATAAACTTCTTCTAACCTAGTTTCACCTTTTTCACACAATATTTATTATAAATGTGATTGAGTAATGGTCTAAAGAATTTCAAGCAATCGTCAAATTGCTCATTGAAATTTCTTTCATCCCTCCACTTGTATGCATAAAAATGGACATATATGTTTACATTGCTCTAATATCATTTTTGTTGCCTCTAACATATTATTAGCAACTTTAGTTTCCAAGTACTTATCCTCTGAAACACTTACAAGAAACTCCATAAATTAAAATCTACAAAGAGTTCGTTCTGGATTTCTAAAATTTCTTTGTATTCGATTGAGGCTGCACAAGTTGCAATGAATTTCAATTCCAAATCTGATAATTTTAATGTTTTTCCATCTATAAGTTCTGTTTATTAAGCAAACTCTGTAATAACATTTGAAGATATTGACCACATATCCCCTGTTGGACTGTTAGAACTATATTATTTATAAGTTTCCTTAATTAATTTATAATGTGCCCACAAAACAGTCTTAATTTCTAAGAATTCATCAGGATTCTTAACAATTTTAGATATTTTACTACAAGAAAAGTCTTTTTCAAAGCATTTCTTTAATAAATCCCCTTTCTCAAATTTAAAATCTTTAGCCCAAATAGAAATGGGAAATGTCCATATCTCTTTTGTTTTTTCAATTTTGGAGGTATATAAACTGGATCTGGTGTTCTAGGTAACACACCAAATAAAGGTTTGAATTCAACTTAATCAAAAGTTTGAAAATGTTTGTCCTTCTTTACCTAATTCACATTATCCATCAAAACACTTATATAGTTATAATTGTAATTAATTTTTAATTAGTGTCCATAAGGAACATTAGGTTAATCATTAGCAATCACTTATGTATCATTCATAGTGTAAATATATTAGGTAGTATTTGTAGGGATCATTAAAGTTAACGTTATTTGATCATAAATCTTAGGAATATACACTTATTTATAGGCCTCGAAATCCAAATGAATAAATAAAGGATCTGCTTCACCTTCTCCTGAAGCATCAGGTGTCCAAGTAAACTTCTACACTTACAAACCTTCACATATCCAACACACATTTTCCTATCTGATTGTTGTAGTCTACTATAATCCTTTGATTCTAGGTGTTTCTCCTAAGACTCGCTATAATTCGTTCTTCTATCTCTATAAGAATCCTCTTGCATCAACAACTCCCTAATTATTCACAAAATGAAATCCATATATTGTTCTGTTTTAATGCATTTGCTATTAATTTTACAATCACTTAAATTAAATTGATTGGATGATAAATCAAAATGCAACACAGTCTTATTAGTAAGCAAAAAATCGTATATCTTCTATATACGTTACACATCTTTCTCTCTTAGATTCCAAAGCTATTCCAACCAGCATCAAATACCAATAAAGTCTTATTCTCTATTAAGCCTTCAAATATCTTCTACCCTCCCCACCCTTTTATTTAATTCCAATGAATATATAATTACTCCATATTATCTAATTGAATAATGCTTTCCTTAATAATCTCTGCAATATCATTAGTCAAATAATTTTTGCTACCATTTAGTGATTTCAACTTATTATTGCTATTCAATAATGCCTTCAAAATACGAGTTACATTTCTGTCTCCTAATTTATTATCCTCTAAATTTAATACTTCTAATCTATATGTAATTCTATTTTATTACTTATTTTCCCTTGATTATATTTGCTACCAAATTGAATCTGTTCCTATTTTTCCAATGTTATTTTATTAAAGATCGAGAACCTTGGCCACCTTTCCAATTTAATTCAATAGTTTAGTTGCTCCTGAACTTTGAATTCTATTATTTGCCATATAAAAATCTTTGATATTTGGATTGACTTTCAAACCCTCACTTAACATTGATGCATATCTATCTCCATATTTCTAATGACTAATCTAAAGAGATTATTCACTGCCTTTAGTTTTGACAACTCCTATCTAACAAGGTAATACATCAATTTATTCTGCCTAACTAAGCTTTGCAGTTTACACACTATCTATTTATCCATCTAAAACTTACCTGAAATGTTGAAGAACTCATTTTATTAACGAACCTTATTCACTTTTTTGTAATGTTGATAATATAATTAGACTAAGGTCCAACTAAAGGTTTGTTTAATAAATCTTCTTTCACTATTGTTGGTGACAATTACAAATTCTTTCTTATTTCGTTTTCTAGTTCTTCCTCAAGAGGATCTGGCTTCTTTTTTGGTTTGAGAACATTATCGACCCTAAAAAATTTCTTTTTGTTATCTGAATTATAGGGTACCATAGCAGCAATTTTAGCAAGAACTATAATTCTAAAATTTAAGTTTACACTATGGATTTATTTGACTTTCGTGTGGCATCGAATAGGATGCATTTCTAGAAAGATGAGTACTACTTGGATTCATCACAGTTGAAGCTTCTTAAAATTATACACTGGTTCTTCTTCTATCTAATTATCTAATTGATTTTAATATTTATTTGCTTTTTCTGAATCAAAATGGCTATCCTCGATCATTTATAATTTGATTTATAATATTGAGATAAAATATACTAATAAAATTTTGATATATTAAAATGTATTCATTTTGCTTTTGTAAAGATCTCTAGAATTTATAATATAAAATTATTTGTCTTATGATTAATAATAAATTAAATAAAAATGTCAAAAATTTCTGAAATTAATATTATTGACGGTAAAAGAAAGAGAGTAATGTCAACTGACGGTGTTTTAGCTTGTGTTACAACCAATCTATTAAAAACTACTAATTAAAAATAAGGTATTAAATAGAAGAAACCTTTGAAGTAAAAAAAGAAAATAGTGATTTAATAAGAATCAGATAGCTCAGCTGTTTAAGTAGTTGAGAAATCTTAAAAGGAAACAGAAGAGAAAGTGAGAATAACAAAAAGTGCTCTTACAGAATTGATCAGTTAGCATTTTCTAATCATTGATGATGAAGAATAGAAGCAATAATAGGTATTAAAAATCCTCCAAATTTTTAGCCAAAAAAACATGTCAAGCATTAATTAAGAGATTCAAATAGTGAAAGTTCAAGTTCAGATAAATCATCATCAGAAAACATTCCAAAAAGATATAAACATAAGGCATGAAAAATACAAATCATTTATTCTATTAAATAATTAATTACAAAATTGATGTAAATCTAATTATTAAATATTTTTTCCCTTTCCTGATTATATTCTATCTACCAATCACAAGATTTATATATAATTGATTAAATTAAATCACCATTTTTTAATTCATTTCAAAATTTTTATATTAAATAAAACTCAGGTTATTCTCTTACTAAATAATTTTATAATACTATATCGAATGACTAATTAAGACGCAAAAATAATAAGGGAGATGAAGTTCAGTGGCTTTATGAAATTCTAATTAATAAGTAATGAAATTTAATAAGAATCATTGAGAAATGAGAATTAACACTTAAATGTTTATGAACATCTTATTATCAACCGACATAAATAATATGTATCTTGATAATTCTTGTATTAGTATACATCATTCTAGATAAATCAAATAATAGTATTATATTGTAAAAACACTTGAAAGGACAGATGCTATTAAAATTCTAACATTTAACGTTAACCAAATCGCTGATGATTCTCCTCCTTAGAATAGTAATGTAATCTCAATTATCTTAGAGGAAATCGTTGATAAATTAAATTGAATACTATCAATAGAGCTATTAATATACTCTCTAAGCCTTCTCTATCAAAATTTACATATCCAAGAAAATTATGCAAATGATTATCTCACAATGAAAATAATCAGCGATTTTCTGATATATTTAAGTGAAAAATTGCGTTTCATAAATTTCGTAAACATACAAACTACAAGTTTATATTTAATGTAAAATAATATTTGAAGAATCCAAGGTTTCATTCACCTTTAAACCAAAATTCATACTTATCAGTTAAAAATTAGTAGGATTAATAGGATGAGCAAGAATTTAATAATTAAACAATTTTTGGAAATTCTTAATTACAATCTAAATGAAAAATCATAAGAAAATCTTTCAACCAATTACTGATTTTTCATTACTCAATTTACAATTCTAGTTTTTATGTAATAGTTTCATTTATTATACGATACTAAATATTATAAACAAATGTCAATATAAATATTATGTAATAATAATCACCACCTCCAAAAATAATTTAAATAGACTTCAGTACAGAAATGCTTGGGAAATATGCTTCTTACAGAATTCAAGTCGATCAAAATATAGTTTGTAGAAGATTCAATGATTTTGTTCACTTTTATGAGGCATTACGTGCTAATTACCCTGGAGTATTTGTGCCTAGACTCCCTGAAAAACAAGCTATGGTAACATTGCAATTAGGATCATAGGGTAATCTGGGAGAAGACTTCCTTAGAGTCAGAAGAAGAATGCTTCAATATTTTCTGATTTCAATATTCAAAAGGAAGATCTTATGGAATTCGCCAGAAACTAAATAATTCCTCAATGAGTAGAACTAAACTTGGATACCAATAAATAATGAAAGTACATCATTAGAAGAAAAATATAAAACTAATCTTCCTGATTGCTCAAATGTAAACAACTTAATTAATTGAAGTTAGAAATTACATTAGATATGAAATGCTAATTCTATGATTTTTAGTCATTCGTAGTTAAGGTCAAGCCCATGATAGAAAACTTTAAAAAGATGTGTAACAATTATGTGACTGCAAAGACCAATTTCAATACAGAAAAACTGATTTTTGTGAATTATGTACTTCCAGAGTTTGAAAAGAATTTATTGTTTAAAAGTGATAAAAAGTTTTTCGAAAAAATAAAGCCTTTAGATTTGATGAAGAATTAAAGATATGATTAAGTTCGTAAGTTTTAGAGTGATCAAATTTTGATTGATTTGTCTATTTTGGAGAGTGACATTGAAGTAATAAAATAACAGAATTAAATATTAGTCTCATTTGATTTAATTTGAATAGATACGAAAGTGGGAAGATAGGATACTAAAATATGAGGACAAAATAAGGTAATGTCAATTAGATTTATAATAAACGATAAACAATTAGAGAAATACTGTAGCTAAGCTATTATTTGGATCAAAGGACAAAGAAATATTGAGATTATAGAATTAGATTGAATAAGTAATTTTGTATTATATGTATTTTTAGTATTCTAAAACAATATAGGAATTGAAGGTATTAATAAATATAACAATGGGGTAAGTTTGTCTATTTGAAATTCCTGATTTTGTAAAGGAAAAGGAACAAAATCTTTTTAAATTAATAAAACTCATAGGATAATTGGAAATGGAACAAGTTGGTATAATAGGTGAATATTGGCAGAACATTCTGGATTCTCGTTTAATATCTCAAATTGAATAGTA